CCATCAGATGGGAAGCAACCGGGAGTGCAAATGGCGAAGTATAAGCACTGGATGGGGCTGCCCTTTTCGGGAGCCGCAGCCGTCATGTGGCCAACACATGCTAAGGTTTTCATTCCTCGTTTAGCACATCGTAAGCTAATGCAGTTTCGTTTATGTTGCTGGGCTTTGGAGGCGAACAGAGCACGAAGGGGCAAGTACCATGTCCCCAGGGGGCAGCGGTTTTGCCACTGTTGTGGTCCTAATAGCCGAATTGAGGATGAAAAACACGTGTTATTGGAATGCCCAGCCTATAATGATATTCGTGCTGAAGAGGGATTCGATCATCAACAGAGTATGTTGGAGGCCATGCAATGGGAACCCGCACGCCTGGCGAGGATGTTGGAACGTATGTGGGCTCACCGAAACTCAATTACCCCCTTTGGACGCTAGTCTGGGCTGATGTGCGGTGTTTTTTCTTTTCTCCGTGGCTTTTAGGCGTTGTAGTATTGCCCTTGGGCCTTCGGCTCGTATGGGTAGTCTTACAGGTATGGGGTCACGCACCCCCAACCATGTAACACACACACACACACAACTGTGTTCCATACATCCCACACTACAGGGTGTATCTGATTAAAAGTCCTGCCCGCCCTAGCTGCTCAGGACGCATAGAATGTATGGGACACAGTTGTGTTATCGTCTCGGCAACACCCTGTAGTGTGGGTGTGCGGTTTGCCTCATCAACGTGGGTGTATCTGATTAAAAGTCCTGCCCGCCCTAGCTGCTCAGGACGCATAGAATTGCTGTACATGTGTTGTAGCAAGCATTCCCTACCTTCGTTAGGCAGAACGTTTGTCACTTGAAGTCGGGAGAAAAGATAGAAGGGACGTTACCATCAAAGCGAGCGAACTGTTCGGATCTGGGGATCTGACAAAGCTCTGTCACGAGCCTCCAACGGCCGTCACCATAACAACCTTGTGGAGGGACTATTCAAGAACTGCCTAATTGACCGGGGTCCTTTGTCCACGGAACTCCACGCAGGGGTCCTAATTTGAGGGAAAATTACTCGCAGATGGAAGTTGCCGGAATACGGAAGGACCGACGCGGTAGGGTCTTAACCCCCCCAAGACATCAGTATATGATGTTAAGGAGATGCCTGGCCTTAACACTTTACCCGGGCGGCTGGCTTTTATGCTATGGGTGCGGTTCACGCATTGCGCTCCTACGCACTTGCTTGTTTTAGATCGAGGTTTGAACCTCACTGGGGATAACATCTTCAATCTATCCACGAGATGGGTCAAGTACATGCTGGATCCTTACGGCCCCGAAAGTCCGGGTGGAGGTCAGGCCAGCCTGGCCAGTTACAGCCTTCATCTACGGAGCAAGCCCCCACTGCTATGTGTGCGATGGCCTACAACCCATCCTCAACGGCCGTAAACTATGGAAGTTTTTTCTAGACCAGCGCTTTTGCCCAGTTTGGAAGAACTCGGTTTGACACAATTCCTTACCATTAAAAACTTAGTCACAAAGCATAGCAAGGCATAAAAATGAACTTAATCAACAAAAAAATACATTACTCATTGTACATGACCATTTTTTAAATAGCTTAACATTTCCAATCATTGTACGAAAGAGTGGAGGCTGAAAAACGCCCAGCGGATAGGCGGGCGAAATGGTGGGCAGACGCGAAGGCGGGCCCAAGCATTAGCTTGTTTTCCCGCCGGCTGCTACCAACTACAACTTAAATGTTTGTGTATTCACGCACTGAACCTCGCCCGTTCCTCATGCTCTCATTCACATACCGCATATCGAACTCCTTCGGACGTGCATACGCATCTGGACCTTCCTTCAACTAAAAGATGCCTCCGGTGACCTTCAGTTGGGAAACACTTGTCTTCGGTTTCGCATCTGCCTGCTGTGGACTTTTGCGTGGCGCTGTCCTACTGCTGGTGCCTCCTAGTGCACTGTTTTCTACCCAGACACCTGCGCAGCGAACAAACCTTGCAATGCGTGGATGACCCCCAGGAGAATTTTATGTTGTTCCGTTTGAACCCGTTTCTCGGTAGTGCGAGCAGTACTTGCGCGTGGGGTTGGCGAGACAGGGTTATTACTATTTAACCGAACTGCCTCACCTTCAATACTAGGGAATATGAATCGACGTGCCACTTGTGACGAATGGTTGCAAGGTAAGCACCATTGCCACATACGTCCGTCATCCTTCGATAGTCATTTGTGTCTCAAACGTTGCGACAGGGTACGGCGAGAGGAAGCGCATCGACATCCGCCGGACACAGCAAGGGGCATTTTTCTACTCCAGTCATGCCTCGTTCCTTATGCCTGTAAGACATATGCAACCCTGTAAGAGGTGTTGCTGCGGTCCGCGTGTTTAAGGTGCTATATGATGTGTGAAACAGGGGGGTGTATCTTCGCCCGTGGCAGCTACCCTGCGAAACCCTGCCTTCCCCGGTATTTCGGGGCACCCTCATCCAGTCACCCTAGTCAACTTCTCAGTGGATCGCTCAGGTTCCGCACCCACCACCAGCATCCAACGGAATCTGCCGGGTCGACAGCGGCCCAACTCCGTTCCTGGTCCGCTCGCAGGTTAATTTTATCCCAGGTCACCACCGTCCATCAACTAGGGGCGCAATGCCTTCCACCATCGGAAGGACTTTGACCCTAATGGGTATCGATTCCGGGATCTCCGGGGGCAATGGTCGCGCCTTACCAGTAGTGCCAAACCCTATATATCTGTCCGGCGCATATCACGTACAGTGTTCCATTTCGTAAAACAACTCTGCTGCTGCCCTTTCCTTTTTCATCTGGTGGTCTGCATAACATATTGTCGCCGTATATATAAACATTGTCGGGGAGAAGTAACGCACTTTCTCCACATGGAAAGGTCGGAAAATGCGTTGCTCGGTGCGGCCGTCGATCCAGGCATCCAGTATGCTGAGCGAGAATAGTGATACTACGCTCTCAGCCCGCCGTGAAGACCGCACGTTATTCCACAGGCGCTTCGTTTAGTTCTGTGCAAGGTGTACCTAACGAGATGTACCTTCGAGGAAGCTATATAAACCTATAAAAACCTAATGTCTCCTTAATTCGTCACCATTAATCTCTGGGTTTTCACAGAAAGTTCGATTGGTGTCCATTATGTACTACACAATGGACGAATTATGTTCCTTCGGAAGAAACAACAAGCTCAAAATCAGCAATCTTACAACTTCTTTAACATGTTTAAATATGAAAATCCTTACGCGATAATGTGAAGGATTGTTCGTACGCTTTCGGCAAGACCGAGGTTTGAAAAATATCAACCACCATCAACCATCATCAACCATCATCATCATCATCACCACCATCACCATCATCACCATCGTCATGGCACGCATTTGCGGAAGTCTATGAAAATACATTTCGGTCACTGTGAAGCAAATAAAGACATGGTGACGCGCTGCATGGTTCGTACGCAAAGGACATGAGACACTAAGTGCCAGTGAGCGTCAAATTCATTTAACTTAACAAATTCAGAAGATATATCTAATTGTTTTGGTAGACACCTTATTTTGGCAGGGCGTGCTGATAATTAGCGCAATTACTTCGTACCTGAACCCGCCAAGGTAGCAAAGTTTTCCACCAAGATCCCGGTCGCCAGTATGGCACGAGATTACGGACATCCTGTATCATTGAAATGTATTGATTCACGCTTTGATGCGCGCTTTAGAGTGACCCTAGCAAACACTCCAATCCGCCTAATCCACAATTACACAGCTACTTTCATATGCTGTAGATTGAGCTAAATTAGGCCTTCATCTATAGCTGTTGTTCCATGCGATTATCTCTTCTTGGTGAGGAGTATGCGCATGGGTGCCTCCATTCCTACGTACCTAGCAGCTGCATGCATGGTCCTAAATGCAGCAGAGTAGTCAATGCCATTATTTAAGGAAAATGATGATGATTTGATAGGCAGGCGCAACTGTGTCGCACTTAAAAAGTTGCTCCCTGACGGACAAGCTGGTCACTGGGAGACCCCAGGAATGAGTAGTAGAGCACCGGCGATCAGCTCGTGCCTTTATCCTGATCCTGCATGCCAACTCAATTCTTAGTGACAAGACAGTCCACCAGCATTAATTGGTCTGGCGAGGTTGATAGCAATCGAACCAGGTCTGTGGGCCTTGTGGCTGGGCCACCCGCCCAAGCCCAGGTCGCAAATCGTGACAGCATGAAGACAGTCTTATAACATCAAATTTGATGGTTTCTATAAGCAACTTAGTAAGACGGCTTACTGAATCAAGAAACAAGCACGTTCGATCACGTTCGACCGGGATGATTGAAGGTAGTGGTTTTCCGTAGGCTTTTGCAGCGACGTTCTGCACATCAATTCATAGGTAAAAGTTATCCACCGCAACGAAGGGAGTTTTTTCAGTTCCATTCCACACCAGGATCCGATGCGGTGGGAGGTGGCGTTTCTCGTCGCTGTGGCAACGCTGTAAGCAAGCCGTAGGCAGGAACGAGACGAGGGTTGTGCTGTCGTCGTATAGGTGCTTGTTGTAATAATTGCGCCTCCTACTTGCACTGGCGGCAATTTGTTACCGTGGAGGGATGTTGTGGGCCTACCCCATATCAGCTGTGCATTTACAAGCTTGACGAACTTATTGTTCTAGGCTGTTTTGTATGCTGTTTTGGGTCACACCGTTTTGCAACGATTGCGTGCATCGACGCGCCTCGACGGGCGCGCATCCTAAGCTCATGGCACTTGGTAAAAACTGTCGTTTATCTTCCAGTTGCGACCCTAAACGTGCTTGTCCTCCGGCATCAATACGTCCATCCTCATTCCGCCGCACATGACATCCATCCAGTCTAGCGCGCCCGCCCCCTCACTTTGTCAACCGCTCAGGGCCACGATTGCCAAGGCGCAAGCAGAAGCTCCCCAGTCTTCCCTGGCTCTCACATTCCCATACAGCGAGTGCAAGAAGGCACCTTCTGCGTACCGCCTTGAACAATTTGTCAGCTCAAAGGCAAACAACACGTACTGCTTCGCGATCCGGGTTGACCGTCCTGCCAACTGCTCGGACGCCTGTTGCAGCAGCAAGCTGATCGTGAAGAAGCTCGTGGTGCGTAAGATTTGGCGCTGCACGCTCGTGTGCGTATATATGTACGGATGTATAAGTGCATGTCGGGCATGGGGCAAACATACTTCGCAACACATATGTTTTGTCCCCACCCCGACCTGCACACCGGGCCTGCCGCTCTGCTCGGACAGGCGGCGCGCCCGCTGCATGCCAAATCAACGCCACAACTGAGAGTGTGGGACCTCGCATGCGTGCAGTGATAGGCCAGATAAGGGTGCGAGTAGGGGCCTGTGGTGGCTACCGGCAGATTTAGCTAGCTGCACTAGGCGAGGGCTTGGGAGTAAGCAAATAATGCAGGCATGTCACGGCTGTCGACGGCTGCCTGGAAAAGGGTTTGGTCCCCACTTAGTCACTTATTTCTTGGAGAGCAGAAAGGCTCTGGATTCCTCCATGAACGCAACGGGCGTAGGGGGCCCCGGCATTCGTGGCTGATAGCCTACTTGAGGTGTGATGGGCCTTACCTTCCGACCCCGCTTGCCGCAGAGAACTCTCTGGTCGGTCTTTAGGACACGTTGGTTTCACTCATACATTTCTTGCGGCCTCAATCTTGGAAGCTAAGAGAAATATCGGCCGCATGCAGCATCAAAGCCTGCTCTTGCTCCCCCGTTCGACTGCAGGTCAACGTGAAGCCGGAATGCGACGTTCCAGGCGTCCTGCTCGCAGCTACCCTGAATGGCAAGCCCACGTCCATCCTACCAACCTTCGACAAGGGACGAGAGGCGGGCGTTACACTCCTGAGGCTTACCCACCTGGACCTGAGCCTTGACGCTGCAAACGGTGCTGAAATCTGCATCACACTGAATACCAACCGGGCCAAGAAGGGCTGCATTAACCTCGAACAGCTTTGCGTGCCACCCCCCAACGAAATACGCCCAGGCGTGTGTATGGCCGCTGTGTACGACGCCAGCCTTGGTTGCTGCCCCGTGCAAGAAGTCCGCCTTCCGCCGCCGCCACCGCCGTCTCCTCCCCCCCCTTCACCGCCGCCGCCATTGCCACCCTTTAGCCTCTGCAATACGTACGTCAGCTTCGGGATATCTCCCACTACGGACTTCACTGTCCCGTACTCTTTCACCCAGACGCAGTGCAGCGCCGTCACAACCATAGTGGCGGAAGCCATGGCATCTGCAGCAGCAATGTTCGGCGACAACATCACATCGGACTTCACCTTGATGAGCTGCAGCGGCGGCAACATCACCTTTTGTGGCACGCTTGTGCACACCTCCAATCCCACCATCCCACCAAGCGCCTTCAATACCGAAGCCGCCGCCCTCCTATCGAAGTTGCTGTCGGCAGCACTAATCCCTCACGGCTGTCCACCATACCTGTACAACCATATCATTCACGCTGAGCTCACTGCGAACCTCCCAGGCATCGGACTAACTAGGTTGGCTGAAGCTACGGAAACGTGCACGGAGTTGATGTATGCCATGCACATGGGGGCACTCCGTTTCCCGAACTCCAGCCGGTAAGGAAAAACGCATCGCTGTGTGCGGTGCGAGTTTAATTGTAGGACGAAGGATGCTTTCAAGCAACTGACATGTTGTGCATCATGGCACACAACTGCACGCAATGCTGCGCAAACACACCATAAATTCTAGCCGCCCACCACCTAGTCGCCTTTCGCCAGTAGAGCGCCGCATATTTCTATTGGCTCTGGCATCGCTCTCCTAAATTTAATCTATTTTTAAAACTCCAGCTATATCTACATATTGTTTAGGAAATTGCACCACGTCGCTGGGCTACGGAACTTGGTAAAGTTATTCTTGTCACAGCCACTTCCATCATCGTGGCTCAGATCATTAAAACACACACCTATGTGGATGCATGAACCATAACATGCAGCTGTGCGGCAGTCAGTTGCATACGTCGAGCGCCTCTCCCTCTCCCTTTCTTTCCTGGTACGCACATTTCTTTGCTGATGCCACACGCTCGCCCGCTGCAGTTGTGACGCAAGACAAGGTTCGGCACCCTTTGCGGCCGGTTACTTGTATTCGTCGAGGCCAGGTCTAGGGCGAAGGTCCAACAGGACAACTCTGTACTGCTTCACCTTCACAAGCTTAAGCAGCGTTATTGTAAGTAGCTTCATGAATTTTTGCATGCCGGGATGCTGCGCTGTGCTTGGATGCGCATGGGCTACTACAACAACAACTACTACTGTTATTTATATTATTATTATTATTACTATAATAGTACAATAATATACAAAACGGCACGAAGATTTGGGGATGGGCGATCAGAGCAGAAGGCGGAGACAGGACACACTTGGCGGAAGGTCGCTGATAGCTATCAGCTGTAGGTGGGGGCCCTAAAAGGCAGCATGGCAGCGTGGGGCAGGCCGGTGCATGCCAGCAGACAACCGAAGGCAGGAAACACACACATATACAAAACGCACAGACAGATAATAATATTGTTATTAATATTAGTATAATAACTTATTATATTAGTATGATAACTTATAATAATAGGCTATTATTGTCATGGTTATTATACTATTACTACTAATAATATTATTATCTGTGTGTGCGTTTTGTATATGTGTATGTTTTCTCCTTCGGTTGCCAGCTGGCATGCACCGGCGGCCCCCCCCCCACGCTGACATGCTGCATTTTAGAACCCCCACCTACCAGCGACCTTCCGCCATGCGTGTCCTGTCTCCGCCTTCTGCTCTGATCGCCCATCCCCAAATCTTCGAGACGGTTCACCGTTATGTGGACTCAAACGTTTACGTGTGTGCGTGCGGTGCTCATACGTGTCGGTGTTTTAATAACCCCTCCGGCAAAACATCAACCTCCGCCAAACGTACGCATGCACTTAGGATGGAGCGAGATGCGGAAATGCAACAATCCTTCAAAAGGTGGATTTCTGGGCCAACGAGGAGCTACGGCGAAGTTTTGTCGGCTTTGGGGTCAGACCCAGCAACTCTGGAAGTCTGGTCTTCCGTAGCCCTTCGTGGGGCCCCCCTGGCAGCAACATCGTCAAGGCCACTCAGCTGCGCTGGACACTACAGCAAGCCGCGGGGGCGGAGATTTGCCTGGAGCTGCTCAACTCGGTCTCCCTGCTCGACTTCTGCATAAGCCCCTACACCGGCGCCTGCTACTTGAGCATTTTTGATCCTTCCGGAGCTTGCTGCCCGGTCTATACAGCAATGGAGGGTTTCCCCGCACAGTAGATTCCACCCGGCGGAAAGCCGTGGAGCCGTGGACCCGTGAAGTCGTGGACCCGTGAAGCCGTGGACCCGTGAAGTCGTCTGCCTATTGCCCAGCTAGGTTTCCTAGATAGGCTCAGCACGCATGCATGTTGTCTGTGGTTCAGCGGATTTCATGCGTGGGGCAAGAAGAATATCTACATCGACAAATATTCTTATACTTATGTTCTGTTCATACATTAAAGAGCTGCCAAGACGCTACAACTACCGTAGTCCATCACACGACTCCATGCAGTCAAAGGAAACTGTATGTGTCCTAGGCAGGCACTTAGTGCAGATCCTATCGGTGCATACCACGTGGACTGCCAATGGCGGCCATGTGGTAGGTGCATGCTCATGGCAAAATATTCATTCAACCAACTTCGGTTACTCATGATGCGCATGCTACCATTTAAATGATTACACGTTACGGACATGGCTGTCGATGCTACGTTGGCGCATACTCGTTTTCAGGAATAAATTTAGGATTAACGATAGCGCTTCAGTTGTAGCTCTTAGGAGTCTCGCAGACGAAACCCGTTAATTTTTTTCTGTCCCACACGTCAATTGATAGGCACGCTCTTAACATTGGTGTCGAGACGAATGATAACAATATTACACAGAGTATGAGAGCAGTTTGGCGTTTCGAAAGCTGCCTTCTGTTACAGGGTGTGTGGCTTGGACATGTTTTTTTTGTTGTATGAGAGAATGTTCCACACTGCTGGCCAGTAACATGTGTTCGTTTCCACGCAAGGGATATCCGTCAAAGGACGCACATATGACCGTTATTTACAAGCTTTACGCCTTTGAATTTGTACCTGACTTTGGTCCACACTGGTCGAGTACGTAAGTGGTATCGGCGGACCTGGCCTGCTGCTATATATGCAGGCCGCACGGCCTGGCTTAGTGCAAATAACCGCCGGACGCCGGACTCCCATTGAGGTTGAGGCGTGAAGTGTGTTCACCCTGATTAATGTATTCACTTGGAACGATGAAGACCATTTTGTGTCAATTACAGCCTGTCGCAATATTGTATGTAAGCATTTTGTCACACGCTTGCTGTCCTCAGCACAGCTTTAGCACCACCCCGAATCCCCAGTCGCCACTTCGCCGCATACGTGAAGCGCCCAAGCGCCGGGCTTCACCGTGAAGTACGCATGACGGAGCGCCTGCGAGGCGATTGGGAGACGCGCACAGTCGCTTTCAATGTGAAGGGTCCGAGAAATATTTTGAAGGATTTGGCATAGGGTTCCAAGCGCGCCCCGCCATACACAGTGCTGGCCGCAAGAGTCAGCTCAACATGTAACCGTTCGCCGGCCCAGATTGCCGTACGGAATTTCAGTACGACGATGGGGACTTATTCCAACAGCAACGGTACAAAGGCCCAGGATCGGCAGTACCATATTCCCACAGCCTCGCGCCCCCACAGGTCCGCCCAGACAGAACGACACCAATGCCGTGCACCCGAACCCCCACTTATTTCGAGCGAGCCTGCCAGCACCCTGCTAGCAACACCCTGCCAGCAACACCCTGCCGAGCCCGCATACGTACCTGGCGAGCGGATGGGCGGCTAGCAGGGTCCCAGTGAAGGAGCCGCAGCAGCAGCCTCAGCGCCATGGATCCCTCCAGGCCCAGCCCTAGCACAACAGGATTAACACACCCAACCCGAACGGACCAGACCCAGGAGAAGATAAGTTCCATAGCGCCACGGAGCGGGAGGAGAGCACGAGGGAGAGGAAGGCCGTAAAGAAACGAAGAAATGAGAAGCGGGAGATCGTCATCCAACAGCGGGCCGAACTAGTTGGTGTTCTAACAGAAGCGCCCCTGCACTGCCTGCTTGCAGAAATGCAGGACACATTGCATACCTGCGTTGGTCTAAAGCCCTGTGGCGCGCCAGGCATCGCCTAGCTGCCATCACCCAACCACCCATAACCCAGCCGTCCATCTCCCAGCCGTACATCCGCCAACCGTCCATATCCCAACCGTCCATCTCCCAGCCGTACATCCGCCAACCGTCCATATCCCAACCGTCCATAATCCCAACCGTCCATATCCCAACCGTCCATAATCCCAACGGTCTATCTCCCAACCGTCCATAATCCCAACCGTCCATCCACCAACCGGTGGGGTCTCTGCTCTTGGCCAGGGACAGCATGGCGTCCTCAGTGCAGCTCCAGCTCATCAGCGGCCGGGACTTGCGACCGCGCAGGGGTGGGCCGGACGGCGTGGAAGGGGCCTACGGAGCGGGGCAGGATGCGGGGTGCGTGGCATTGAACTTGCAGTCTTGAAGAGGATGGACTGGCAATCAGCCAACGAGCGCGATAGTTGTCCAGTCATGGTTCGATGTATCCGGTGCCACCTTCACACGCCTAGAAGGTTCGGAAGGTAGCAGCCGGTAGGGCGTCGTACGTCCTTAAAGCTGTAGCCGTTATACAGGGCGTCCTCTCCCTTCCCCGCTGCTGCCACCCCACCTGCGGCGGATAGATGCACCACTCCATTAGCCCTCGCAGGAGGAACATAAGCTGCCGCTCGCTCTCAGGCCGGCTGCGCAGCGCCAAACGTGCCTCCAGGAGCGCTCGTGTGGCTGAGGGAAGCTGCCAAACCTAGGGGTGGGAAGGGAAGAGAACGAGATGTAGGAGTGCGGCCACGAGGTGACGGCCTCAGTTGGCTCCGGTGTTGGTTGGCGTTGTCGTTTGTTTGGTGGGGTACTGGCTCCCGGCAGAGCTAGATAGACGTTCGGCGGGAAGAGGGCGACAGCGCGCGGAGAGGTGCGCGCTCTTTCCCTCTCAGGCCAGTGGGTGGCAGGACAAAACAAAGAGCTTCTGCATGAGGTGGAGGCTTGCCGCGTCACTGAGGTCCCAGAGCGCACATGCCCCTCCCCTTCCCTCCTGGCAGATGACCAAGACGGGCTGCAACAGCGCCTGCCGGACAATCCAAGCTGGCTTAATGGGACACCCTTACGGCTAAGCTGCTTCTGACCCTACAGCTGCAGGGTACGCCAGGCGATGGCGGGTTTTCCTGCTTGCATGTGGCGGGCAAGTCCTTGCGACTCGCTGCCCCAAAGATACGAAAAGCGTGCGACAGCTCGTGCTGTGTGTGCATGTACCTGCGGGGTGGCCATCAGCAGCTCTAACCACACCACGCCAACGCTCCAAATGTCATACGCCCAGGCGCGCGGCCGCATCGCCTTCATGCCCTCCCAATACCTGCCAGCCGCGACGACGCGTCAGGAGAAGCGGTGGCAGCAGTAGCAGCGACAGCAACGGCAGGGGCAGCAGCAACGGCAGCGGCAACAGCACACAGCCTTTCACAAGGAAGAAACTACGAAATTACGAAAAGTTTGGGGTATAATGTCTGAATGTTAATCCACGTTTTATATTAAGTAAGTGGCGTTGGTCAAGCGGCATCGAGCCAGCTGCCTCCGCCTTGGCAGCACATGGCCGCTGCAGCAACCAAGCACAAGATAGTGGCGCGCTACTCGTCGTCATGGCTATTTGCCGCCCTTTCCATCCTGCTGCTGCTGCTGCTGCTATGCCCGCCAGCTGCGGCAATCACGATGGAGTCTGAGTCTGCGCTGTAGCATGGCGGCATGTGGGGAGGGGCAAACAGCCCTCTCACAATGGCCCTTTCGCTCCTCACCTCACCTGCCAAAAAGGGCCTCCGGCGGTGCATACTCAAGAGTCAGTTGGTCAGATGTTGGCCCCTCACTACCGTACAGGTGCTGCAAGCTGTATTCATCGACCGCGGAGCCAAAGTCGATGAGCCGCAGCCAGACCGGCGTTACAGCTTCATCGTCGCCGCCGCCACCGTCTGCAGGCCCCGCAGGCCCCGCACTGCCTCTGCTGGCACCAGCGCCTTGCGCACCCACATCTTTACTCTCGTCGCTCACGGACGGACCTCCAAGAGTCGCGGCGCCAAGCCATTGCCGGCCGGTTAACGACGGCGCTCTTCTCCGTTCCGTTCCGTGTCCGGCTTGGGTTCTGGGCGGTTGGTGATGGCGGTTGGTGGTTGGGCCGTCATGAATGATGTCATGCGACGCCCGCGGCGCGCAGTCCGCGCTCGCTGCTGCGCCAGCAGACGCAGTGGCCGCAGATGCCGCCGAGTCATCGCTGCCGGCTGCTGCTGCGGTGCCTGCATGCGGCCACCTAGCCCGGGGTAATGGCGATGACCCGTGGGTCACACGCGTCAGCATCATGTTCTCAGGCTTGACGTCGCGGTGGGTAATGTTGGCCTCGTGCAATACCTGTGCGAATCCAATGCGACAAACGTCAGTTCTCATTTGGGAAATTTGGTTGGATTTTCCAACCACTTTTACAATCCTCATTTGGTTGGATTTTCCAACCACTTTTACAATCCTAAGACGTCACTTACTAAGGCACGGTGGAAGTCAATGCATTAAGGAAAGAAGGCACGCGGTAATTGTTGGCGGCAGCGTGGACACGCGCAGGAATGGCCTTCCACACGGAAACAGGAACCAGCAACGGACCACAATGATACATGTATGATACAATTGAAGCCAGCTTTCAACCGCCCGTCCAGCACTGCGATGGAGGCGCTACACAATCCCACGAGGCCGCCAAACTCGCACCTGAAGCCCCAGCAGCAGCTGCCGCAGCAGCTGCCGAACAAACTCATTGCCCCGCGGATGACGCCTCATGGCTTGCCACCAGGGGCTAGGCCCAAGAACTTGAAAGGCAGGCCCGGCAGCCTGCAAAAGGGAAAAAACGCAACGGAATACGCCAACAATGCAGATGCTTACATCTCCTGCCCGTTGCATTCTGAAGATATGTATGAATTGAAGGGATGTTAGCTCTGGAGGCCACTTGGCCAGTAGAGGAGGTCCAGAGATTTCACGATGCTTTTTTGCTTGGAGCCCTTGTTTTGTAGAGTCGCGCCCGGCCTGAGCCGTTACCGTATTACCGTGGTAGGTTCGTACGATCCCGTACATTCCGGTGTCTTCGGGTCACACCAGTAGTTAAAGCTACGTGCAACGTCAGCTACGCTGCGCGGTGCATAGCATAGCCGTGCGCAGACGAAAAGCCCTGCACTTGTGCCGCGCACCTGTTGCTGCTGTTGCTGCTGCTGCTGTTGCTGCTGGCCATCCCCTTCCTCGTCCTTGTCCGCAGCTGCAGGCTCCTCTTCCTCGTCATCTGGTTGGACAGTCTGGAGACCCACGGGACTGTAGATCAGGTCATGCAGCGATCGGCCGGCGTTCTGAAAGACAAGCCAGAGGTCCGGCGGCGGCGGCGTCTGGTCAGTCGGCCCGCCGCCGCCGCTGCCGTGCTTGTCGCAATCCGCAGCTGGCTCCCCACTGTCGTCATCACCGCTGTTACACCCGCCCGCTGCGCTACCTAGGTCAAGTGGCGTGGCAGTGGTCGCATCCGCGTCCTCCTCCGAAACCACCTCGAAGGATTCCAAAAACTCCACCTGTTTAGTGCGAAGTCGTCCAGAACCGCTGTGTAAGTTTACAGCACGCTCTCTTAAGGTTCAAGACATACGCAAAGCATGTCGCTTGGGAGCTTATTCCGAAGCCGCCTTCCGACTTTGGCATGCCACCCCCCTCGCCGCTGCCCTTTACCAATCCTAAATAATGCATGTCCACTGTTCGGTCCTATCACCCAGGAGCTACCAGAGTTATGGGTAGTGTTAGTGGCCCCATACCAGGTCCCAAAGCAGTGCATGTACCCCACTGACACGCGGCACTAAGCACGGGCTCCCACGTACCAAGTGGCTGTAGCCGTTGTCGCTGCGCCATCCCCCCACACCGTCCTCCATTGGTGCGCCAACCGTCGCCGCGCCTCGCAGCCTCCGAAACCGGTCACCAAAGTACGCCTCCCGCAGCCCGCTGAGCAGAACGCCCTTCCCGCTGCTGCCTCGGAGACGTTTCAGGACAAACCCCGGAGGCCCGCGGGCCGCAGCGGCCGCCGCCGCTTCTGCAGTGGCCACCGCCGCTGCTGCCGCCGTCGCCGTCGCCGCCGCCGCCGCCGGCCCCGTCGCATCCCTCGGTCCCGGCGGTTGCCGGTACCGGCCAGAGCCAGACTGCCCGCTTGCCCCGTCGGGCTGCAGACTGTCAGCGGCTGTGGCGGCGGCGGCGGCATCCTGCACCGCATCCTGCATCGGAAACCGGTCGAGGCGCCAAGCCCGCCACACCTCGCCAAAGTGGCCTTGGCCAAACTTCTCCCTCAGTCTATAGGCGTGTGCCCGAGCCTCGGGTCCCCTGCCGTCGTTGTTGAAGTCGCCGCCTGACCGGCCGTCGGCGCCGCTTGCGACGGCGGTCGTAGATGGGGCCACGGCCGCGGCGGACTCGTCCGTAACGAGGTGCAGCGCGCCATCAGCCAGGCGTACCCCGTGGGCTCGCGGCTGGAAGCGCAGCTGGGGCGCCTCGCCGGCGGCGACGGCATGGTGATCAGTGGCCGGGGCCGCCACAGCAGACGTCACGAGTGCAACCGAATGGCCGTCTTCCGCGCCATCAACGCTGCTGGGGCCGCCGCCACCGGCCACATTGGTATCATCTCCATGGGCCCCAAAGCTATGCGGGGATGCATCACCATCTTCCGAGTGCAGCAACACCCGCCCAGTTCGCCCGGGGGTGCCCAAGAAATTGGCAGGACCGACCCATGGGTCGAGTGGTGAGAAGCTCAGCTGTGGTGTTTCTTCCAACAGGCCTGCCATCGGGTCCATATCATGGGAACGATCGCCAGGCTCTATGCCGCCGGGCGGCGGGATTGTCCACTGTTCTGGAATCTGGTCCCATGCAGTAACGGTTTCACGGCCCGCGATGACTTCTCTGTCATCCGCAAAGCGGGTGTCAGCATCATGGCCTACAACTGGTACCTTCTCCATGTTGCTAAATGCGTCGGGAAGCAAGTTACGGGCAGGGGCGACGTCATCATACCGGCCCCCATGATCCCCACCGCCAATCATGTAGCGGGTTGGAGGTACAGGGCCGGAGTGGCCACCGGCGCTGGCGATGCCACCGGGTGCATCCGCCGCAACGTGTTCTCCGCCCTCATTGCTGTCGCCAAACAGGGCCAGTTGCAGGGGTACTGCAGCGATTTCCAGCAGCAACGACTGCGTGCTGCTGAAAGACATTAGGGCGTGCGAGCTACTGCTGCTGCAGCCTGTAACGCCTACGTCCTGTTGGGTTGCAGCAGCAGGACCACGGAAGACTAAACAGAGGTGGTTCAAAAGCAAGAAACGACATGCTTGTAGGACATCAACAACACAGTCACACATCCACGGGGGACGCGGCGGGACGAGCTAAGCCGCTTGGTCAGAGTTCACACAAGCCGCTGCAGGACACGTCACATGCGACGAAGCTTGCCTAGGAATCAGGCTCTTGTGAAGGGACGCACACACGCGCGATGCGGATAATCCACTCTCCGACGTGATCTTGGAACCCCCAAGAATCATTCCCGTAGGCAGGAAGGGAGAAAAACACCCAGGAAGGGAGAGGGCGATGGCCCCAGCCTGAAGTCAGTGCATGGGTCCTAACCAAGCAAGCCCTCCACCTACGTCGTTCATTTCACAGTCACTGGTCGGAAGCTGGACACCGGCGTCAGGCACGATAGCTGTTCCCACTCCTGGCGCATCGTACGGCCTCGAGCAGTACATTTGCAGGCAATCCAGCAACCAGCCGGTGCCACCGACGCCGCTGACGCCGGGCATGATGAAGGTGGCCGCACTATGTCACATGGCGGAAGGAGGCAGCAGCAGCAGCACATAGAACGTGAAGAAAGCTTCAGGTTAACCTGGTTCGGGTCGTCTGTGCGCTAAGGCATCAACAGTTGAAAGTGTCCGGGTGAGGGCAGGTCACAGGGTTTTTCGTACACCATGCAGGGCCCTGCGTCATATCACCCGTGCATGCATGCATTCGTACACGCGGAAGCTGAGCTTACCCGTCGAAGTCACTCAGCCTCCAGGGCTGCAGCGCCTCGCCACCCGGGAGAGACGATACATGTAGATGGCTCCGTACAGACGGTACGGCACCAATCCGCTCCGCGAGCACGTAACCGTATGAAACTTGCATGAGTTCCACCTCGTCGTCTCCAATTACCACCACGTCATCCCAAGCATCAACATCAGCGCCGCGCTTTGTACCCGGGCGCGCATTTGGAGCCCCACAAACGTCACTGGAAATTGGCTTGACTTTCGCAGCGCTAGCAACAGCAACAGCAACAGCAAGAGAGCCGCTGCTAAGCTGTGTGGCTGGAAGGCTGGCGCGCGGTTCATGCGGGCACACCAGTGCAATGACGGCCCCAGCGCCGCCACCGGCCTCTCCTGCCGGCCCAGCGTAATATGGCGCAGGCACCTCCCCACGGGGGACCGCCGAGTCACTCAACGCTCCCTCTGGCGACTGCTGCGAGGCGGCCCCGCTGCAAGGTCCCCGGCGAAAAGGTCCAACTAATCTCAATAATAAAGCACACAGCCGCCCGAGTAACCGACGTCGATGAGAAGACCAAGCATCTTGGATTGCCCTTAACAGCACCCAGCCAGCTGCGGTGGCACTCGGCTCTGCGGTGCTCGTTTGAGGGCCCCTGGAGGGAAAGCCGCGGGAGCCCTCCGGGGCGGCTGGCGGGCGTCGCGCTGGGGTAATAGCCCTGCAGCGCTGCTGGACCGCCACTGCCAACCGATCCGTCGAGGATATCGTCGCAGTCGGTACGTTTGTTGTCGCTGTCACTGCCGTCGAGGGCAGGGCCTCATGCGGCGACCTCCAGGCAGTGACCTGGTGGCAGTGGCCTGGTCTCGAGGGGCTCTCCGCGACCAGACTCTCCGCACCTGGGGTGCATGTGGGATCCAATGTCGCCTGGCGCTCCATGCTTACCAAGGAATTGCCCCGCCCTGGAGCACACACGGCGCCGGGATGGACCGTAGATTTGAAGCACGATTCGGCAGATGCAGTGGCTGCTGGCCTGACCGATACTGGCAGAGTTGCGGTATCTGGAGGATTTGGCGTCGTGCGGGCTGCTGCTGCGGGAGCCCTTTCCGCATCACCGAGTTCATCTTGGTCCGAGTAAAGTACGTGTCTAGGCAGCTGTCAAGCAAGCAAGCGGCAAAGCGAGCAAGCGAGTTACGGGAGAAGTGGGAGGGCTGATGGTGACAGGTCCATGAGTGAGTAAGGCTCTTGTGGCCGTTTGCAAGTCCGGGCGGCGTCTGTGGACTTGCCCAATTGACGAGGAGGTGCACCAAACCAATTATCAAAGCCGTCACAATTGGCGTGGGCAACTAAATAGCTAGCCGACGCGCACGACTGCGGACGACCAGCGTACACACGGACAGGGGCAAATTGACGTCAAAGTGGCATCGGAGGAGCCATGAAGCTGCCGGGATAGCTAACCGTTCAGTGGTTACAGTACGAATATTAGGGCATTTTTAGGAAATATCGTCTCATCCGTTACATAAGACTTGGGATACCATAAGGTACAGGGTTCAATTACCTTCGCCCCGCAGAAATGAATGTTCAACTGTGTTTGCAATTTTGTTCTTATACGCTTACATATACTGTGTCCCATGTAAGCGGGCTAGCGGGCGCTTCTTGTCCACGTACCTGTATTACGACAGCTGCTACGTTGTCCATGGAACCTCTGTTGAATGCCTCTTGCACGAGTCGTGTGGCAGCGTCTTGCACGGTACGTCTGTCCAAGTAGGACGGGCGGCGTAAAGCCTGGGGACAGACGGGTTAGGCAGGACTGAAAGCCCGCAGTCGCATGTATATCTGGGCTTGAGCGCAAACTTACATGCGTTTTGTTTCGGCCACTGCCCACTGTCGCGTCACAACCCGACAAACTCGCCCACCACCAACCTGCGCAGCACACGGCCCCTCAACTTCGGCACCATCATCAAGCTCTGAAGCCTGTACTGACGCCGCGCTAAGGTCGCAGTCACAACACCCTGGCAGGCCGGCCGTCCAGACACCGGAGGCTGCGGCATCACTTTGTGAAGCTGATTCTGACGAGCGCGCCATGCGAGTTGCCATGCCCGCGTCCTGGCTTGTTCCCGCTTGGCTGGAGGAGTCGTTGCTAGGGGCTTGCGGGGGGTTTATCTCCGAGGGGCGGATCTCTGGATCCACGGGACCAAGGGCAATTGCTGGTGGAGGGGCCGGCGTGAGTGGCGGCTCCCTTGAGCCTGTAAGCTGTGCCGCCAGGTGTTCACACACGTCCTGTGTTACACGGCGGCATGTGCAAGAAGAAGTGAATGGGGAAGGATAGGTTGGGGAGCTTTAGGGTGGGGCCTGCATAGACCAGCATACATATCCTCTTGGTTGAATATATGCGGACGTCCTCCACCACCACGTTTACTCTGCAGAAAGCGGGGGTACCACACAGACCATCTCCCATTTTCAAACTCTTAATGATACATTTTTCCAATCCAGCTTGAGGAACCCGCGCCAAAGCCAGCCCCAAAAGGTCCTGTTACTGGTCAAGGCCCACCTGTGGCGACATTGTCTCTAAAATGCCATCAGACGCCAGCAGCAGATGCGGCGCCAGCTGCCTAGCAGCGCCATTGCCGCCAGCCTGGCGTCGGACGAACCATGACTCCGATTCACCCCCCTTGACTTGATCAGCGACATCGCTCTGCTTTGTAGCTACAGTGGTGTCTGTCCGGCAATCTGCTCCGTTCCTGTCAAAGCTCGCGGCAGTGCTGCCACAGCCGCAGTCGTCCATATCTTCGTCGCCTATGCGCCAGGGCCCGGCGATGTCAGGCTCCGTACTGAGGCCGTACTGGCGGTACTGCAGGTCACCAAAGGCCCGGGATACCTCCAGGTCCCCCATTAAACGCGGGGTGGCCCCTGATGTCGGGCGGGTCAGTCCATAGTTACAGCACAGGCAGGGACGTGAAACAGTTTATTAGGCAAGACTGCGATATGGCTGGCAGAGCAACGAAAGCTCTTTCCTTTGTGGACCCCCGCCCGAGCTCGCTTATTCCGGCGTAGCCCCCGCAGGCAATGCTGCGGCCCAGCAGCCACCGCCCCCCGTTATCCTAAAAATGGCTAGCAAGTAACGGCCAGTACCGGGCAGGACCGTTTCTTCCCATACAACGCATGCTGATGCCTGTAACCCTGTAACTCACGTGCAAGAGCGGCAGCAGCACAACGTGAATGGCATATCCTAGATTAATGAGATCTTAGTCAGCAACACGCCTTCTATGGTGATACAGCAATACGGTTCGGGCCTTGTGCCCTCGCCCCCTGAACAATCGGTCATCCGTACGGATGAGCTGCCTACGCACCTGGCCTGCTGGGCCCGTCCACTCTGCCGCCCGCAGCTGCCACCCGCCGCACCTCCTCCACATTCCGCAGGTCATGACTGGTCGTAAGCACACGCGCCACAAGCTGCCTGCCGCCGCCGCCGCCGCTTTTGCGTGCCCCTGTTGCCCTATCCACCCGACGCTCCTTAGCAGCGCTGCCCGTACCCGCAACGCTTCCGCCGCTCTTCCCGCCCTCACCTCCTGAGTTGCGATCATGTCTGGCCGCACCTGCGACCTGCGGTGCAGCCGGTGCACACAATATTGCTGGGCTGTTTCCTAGACTGGCAATCCAGAGCCAGCCGCAGCCGCCACAGCTACCAGCCACGTCCGTGCTGCTGTCATCCGTGGCGGCAGGGGAACTCTCTTCATGCCGGACTGCTTCTTGCCTAGTATCATCAGCAGCCACATGCTTCATCTGCGCTGGGGAGGAAGCCGCGTCCGCCGCAGCTACCGCTCCGGAACCGACGCTGGGGCACACGGTGGCGCGCGAGCCGTCCCACTCAGCGACTGCTACGACAGCTGTTGAGCCTGCATCCCAGGCCGCCGCAGCCGCGGCCGCCTGCAGCGCGCCTAGGCCATCCACCGCAGTGGCGTTCTCCCCCGAGGGCGAGACTCCGGGCCCTGCCATGCCCGAGGAAGCAGTATGTGAAGGAGCGGAACCGGATCCCGCGCTGCGATCCTTTAGGGGTTCGGAGAGGTGTAGGTGCTGGGAGTGGCCTCCAGCAAGCGACTCATGTCGCGTGTGCTGCTGTTGCTGCTGCTGCTGCTGCTGCTGAAGGTCTGCATCCAGATCCTGGAATGCGCGCAACAGCGCCGTTCGGACGTGACTACCGCCTCCACGGCTGCGGACACGTCGCGTCGGTACGAGTACGGCGGATATGTAATACTTTTACAAACATGGTCGTTGCGATGTAGCCCCGTTAGGACAGTGATGTCGTTAAAGTGATGTGACAGTGGCATATACGCAAAAACATGATGCAAGAAGTACCGGGTTATCATCGCGCCCTGGTCGGCAGAAGGTAACTTTATCGGAATCGCCTATGGGCTGTCCGTAAGCCACGGAGGCGGGAGCTCGCATGCTAAGGTGGACAGGAAGGCTGTCGGTGGCTACAGCCAAAGCCGTAGCACCCACCGGCGGAGCGTGGCGGCCTCGGCTGCGTCAGTCGCCTGGGCTTCAGAGTCCACCTCACACAAGCGGCGTCGAAGACGTAAGTGCAGGGCGGCTTCGAGGTAGGAGCTGACCGCAGCAGAATTGTGTCCATCGAAAACGGCCCACACGCTGCGTAGTCGAAAGCGGGGTGTAACTCTTCCCTCTGAATGAATCTGCTGAGAGGCATAAAACGCCGCATTATACAGACCTAACGTTCATGCAGGTTCGCAGCCATGTTCCAACACCGTACGGTCCTGTGGAGCGTTATGCGCGTACGTACAGATTTCGTACATAATCCCGACTTGGTCCTAAGGAATTCGGCAGGACCCAAGTTGCATTATACATAAACCTTTAACAGCATGAATGCGTGTTCTCCCTGACGCAGAAGCTTAAATGGGCTGTGTACGCACCCATATGTCCTTCCTTGCATGCCATCCTCAGAGCAGCGAAGCGCCCACGCGCCCACTCTGTCCTCCATCTGCAGATGAATATATGCATTTATTGCCCCAATCCAATCTGCGGTAAATGTGAGTTCCTTACATCTAGTCGCCTGCCACGTCGTGTGGCCATCCCCGTGCGGGATGGGTCGACCAAGCTGAGCACATTCGCTTTAGAATTCAAGCAAGCTTGCAAAAATAAAACTAAAGTGAGAAATGCTGGCAGCATGTCAAGCTAAACAGTGATGGACTATAAAATTGCACCGAGGGATTTTTAGCGTAATCATCTTAGCAAGAAAAATACGATGATCAAGCTGTAGATTTGTTGGACATTTGTGGCACGTTAGACACTCTGTCCCGTACCGAACGTTTCGGAGCTGGAATGAAAACTAATTCACAAAAATTTCCCATGGCTGTAGTATACAACGTTGAGCAATAACTGAAAGGGTAGTCTGGAAGACGTAATGTATTGTGTGGCACTTTGGAAAACGACACCGCAGCATGCGCAGCGCGGCACGTCCCATCCGCAAAAAGCAAGAACACCGGATTTCCATGAATGCCCGTTGCATAGGTCATATGGGTCCATTTGAAAATAGGTAGGCTTTCCGCCACTCTCTCCCTCGTTACAAGGGGCTTAAATCAGGTATCGGAAAGCAGGACACCCTACGGCGCTACCGTCAACGCAAAGCTGCTACATCCCCGTCGACGCTGAGTCTGGTCCTCGTAACGCGCGCAAGTTTGGGCCTAGCGCAGTTGCAGACCTGAGCAGGTTGTAGTTGTTTTTATTCCACAGAACGTCCTAGGCTGTCGGCCACCAGACATCAAGCCTACTCCCCATCAAACCCTAAAGTTGTGCTCCTGCACTTGTAACAGTGTATCAACACCAGAGCATTGACGCCGTACATCTGTACGGCTTTCCTAGAAGTCAAGAATAGGTTTAAGGTTCGCCGGCTCAGGAATTTTGATCACGTGCCTGCAGAAAGTCCTGAGCTAGTGACGCTGGCATGGCTTACAGCGCCAGCTTAAGGATAAGGCCCCAGCGTGTGCTGTGTAAATGGGTTTAAAAGCCGCATGAAGCACAGATTGTTCATGTGACTACCAAAATGTCAACAATTGAAGTTGACAAGGATTCTATTGAACAGGTTCCTAACAAACGGAGCGGTCGCAAAGGCCGACAACGACGGCATGGACAGCCAACAATGGATCGATTTAGTCATGGTAACACAGATAAACCAGCAACCTACAATGTGAAGAAGCGTGGCCGCAGTACAGTTGGCGGCGGCGGTCGGAAGGGTTTCGCAGCGAGCAACGTCAAGCCTGCTCACATCAACAGGCAGCGCAATCGAAGAGCTAAAGGGCATACAACGTTCGGTATTGTTGCTGCCATGACCCGAGCTCGGTGCCTATTGAACGTTAAAGGCTGGACCTCATGGGCTGCATCGGACCCTGTGGCTTTAGCGTGCGGTGCCGTTATGTGTAGTATCGTGATGTCAGCGGGTATATTAACATTTAGGGCTTGGTTGCTCAGGAATACCTAATAATTAATTGTTTAGCTTTAGTAAGGATCGACAATAGCGCATATCAACCGTCTATTGTAAATAACTTTTGCTGTACGTGTAAGCATGTGAAATAGTGTCAAATTGCAAACTTAATGGATTGGTTACAGTGTTCCTGTGGAGCGAGGATGCCGTGTAACCTGACGACTTTTGCGATGACTAGTTGCGTAGGTTGTCAGAATGAGACTATTATAGAGTCTACTAACCTGACACGCCTCGCGTTCAGTGTCGTTGAGCCCTTGTTTCGCGACTCCGTTAAAGAGGGACTATAAAACCCGCTGAGTGTCTTGTGACCGGGTCATGTTTGTGAGGTGTGATGAGCAGTCATGCACGGCATGGAGCGTAGTTACTGATGTTTCCGTGATGTGGTGACGTAGCATGGTAGGCGAAACCCCTGCGAGTCTTACGAGTCTCCCGTAACATGCGCGAAGGTCTACTTAGTTGTATGTGTTGTAATGTATGCCCTGCTAAGCTTACAATATACTTCGTCAGTCTGTGCCTGGCTGATAGCTAGCTGATGCGCGGACGGGATGCTCCTCAGGCAGACAGCAGGCCACATTTACCTTTCCGACGACACCCATACCACACCCAATATCAAGGTTGCACACATACGAACTGCGTCCCTGTTGCTCGGCAAGGACCGAAAGGCTTATGTCAGGCGGAAACCTTGGAACCCGGACTGCACCACGCCTCCCCGGACCGTTCTCGAGGCCACGTCAGGCATCACCGCCCCCTTGCGCAGTGGATATAAGTCCTCATGTCAAACAATGCGCTCGCAACGACCCGTTCGTCGTGTCCAACTGCTCCGTGGCGAAGCAATCTCTTGCGCTTTTCAAGATATCAACAAAAATGCCATGAAATCAACACATAATATAAAATAAAACACCCCGAGGCTTCATTAAAACCAGGTCTATACGCGGCAGTCATCAAAATCTTAGAATTAAGTGACAATACAGCACGGAAGCCGTGCCTAGTCTTTTTTATAACAACTTCTCGAAGCAAAAAATGTCCTTTACTAACGTAAAACTACTTCAATTGCCTAGCGTATATGTGGTAATCGGCACAAGCAGCTAACCACATTCATGCCTGCAAGACTTGCCACACGATATAGATTACCGGACATCTTGCCCTGCACGGCGTATTTCCAGCATACACCATGGAACACGACAGGTGCCGCACGCGCTGCTTCCAGGACATACAAGCGGAAAGGGGGCAGCATGACCCTCCCTGACATGGCCTTACGTTATCCTAAGCGTTTTTTTCGTCCTCACGGCGCCAGCGATGACGCCAGCGATGAATGCAGGACAGCGCAAAAGAAACGCAAGTGCAATCCCTGTGATCACAAGCGCGTTGAGCAACAAAAGCTGGAGGTGCCCGAACCCCCTTGGTGGTACGACTCCGTACAACCTTATTACGGCACTCATCAGAGGCCCATAATGAACCTGAAGCGTCGTGGCGACCAGCAGAATCATGGCGCTGCAGACAAAAAGACGGACGATACCTGTCGTCCGGAGCAACAGGGCCCGCAGACCCTGCAGCAGGTTGGACTTCACATATTCATGGGACAACGCCAGCAAGCCGGCAACGGCATGGCGTGAATCGGACAGCTTCGACAACCCCCGGCGTCCGCTGATCCATGGCCTGCCTTGGTGCAGGAAAGACAGCCGGGAACCAGGCTGGCTCTGCACCGCACTCACGAGCACGTCAACGCGCTGCAAATCCACCAAGCATCGCGAGATGTATGATGACGTGCGCGTCCAACCCGAAGCGGTCGCGTGGCGAAGCAGGCGCTCCCCCAAATGCAAGGCCATAGGTGTCGAGAGGTATTGGTGCAGTGCGCCGCGCAGTCGTATGAACCCGCAGGCCACACACTCGGGCACCGGAGGCCCAGATGCCGCTTCTGCGGCAGCCGAAGCCGGAGTCCTCATCGCGGCGTCGGAAGATGCAAGCAATTTCCCATCAGCGCTCACACTCTCGGCTGGAACGTAAGCAGGCTGAGGGGATTCCTGTGCGCGTTGCCGGCAACGGCAGCAGCACGGCGGCATCGGGCCGTGCCGCAGCCGCCCCGCCTCCACAAAAGCCAGCACCGGCCGCGCGGCGCGGCGTAAGTCAGCTACGTGCTGCAGGAAAACCCCCAGGTCCACGAACAGGTCATCACTATTGGCTGCGCTGCACGTCATCGCCGCCTGTTTGCCTGCAAAAGCCGCATGCAGCTCCTCGACGACCCACGGGTCGTCTAGCAGCACCACCGGCCCTGGCCGCTGTGCCGCCGACGCGATTTGGCCTGCTGGCCTCGCCAACGATTCCAGCAGCAAGAGCCCCGGGCCCAACATGCCAGCTCCAGGCGCGAGCTGCAGCGCCCTCAGGCCACCCGCTGCGGACTCCGACATGACACAGTCCTCTGCCAGCCGGATCTCCTGTCGCAGCACCTTGACGTCCTGCAGCTGCGCCGAGTGAGATGCCTTTAGCGAACGTGCCGAGGGACCTCCCTGCACGGCGCCGGAGCTGCCTTCGACCTCCGTCGACAGCGTACAGGTGCCTGCAAAGCTCCGGCCGTGACGCAGCAAGATCTCCAGGGTGGGCCCACTGCAGTTACCGCATGACGCGGCCGGAGAGGAGGACTCCCCTGGACCGCACGGGGGGTCGACGCGACGGGCAAGCGTGGAAGCACTGGACAAGTGAACCTTGCCGCCTTCAGGAATGCCCAAGGGATGGCTGGGCCTGGCGTGGCACACAGTGGCCGTGACTTGAATGTGAGCTGCTGCTGCCGCGGCTGTGCTTCCAGGCAGCCACTGCGAGTCACTGGCTGTGGCTGACGGCAACTGGCACTGATGGCCGCCTCCGTGTGGACCCAGCAGCACCACCCTGGGTGCCACGGACGTGATGCGGCCGGCGAGAACCTTTCCATGCAGTGCATGCGCTGCCGATCCGTCCACATCCACGATCGAAGCTGCCTCCCCACCTAACACAACCTCACTGCTCATACCTCTCATCAACCGCCGCCTACAAGTACTGCTGCCGCCGCGGCGGCTGTTGCTTCCGCTCCGGATTCTGCTGCTGGTGGGGGCGCTAGAAAACGTCCCGAGAGTTTGATCTAGGGTCGCGAGGGAGGCGGCCATTCTGAGAGTGGCGCTCCGCAACCACTGGCCCCAGCCTCGCAGACTCAGCCAGGATCGCCGAAGCAGCGCCGCACGCAACCGCACCATGCCCAGCTCCGCGTCCGGCCCAAACTCGACGTTCACCCGCCGCCCGACCCCGGTGCCTAGCCAGTTGTCCCAGCCAGCCGCCCCAGCGCTGCCGCAATCCCACCATTCGGCCGCCTTCCGACGCTCCGAAGCGGCGACCGCCGGGCGTCGCCTGGTGGCCAAGGAAAACCCGGCCGCACCGCCGGTGGCCGCACTTGGAGTGACCCGCAAGTCGACCGTGTCCAGGATGACATGGAGAATGGATTTAGAGCTGTCAAGCCGTACACATGCGCCAACCTACGCAGGCTATGACGGCAAGGGTTATCTACAAGAGAAGCTGTAGCAAGCCAGAGTTAAAAGCTAGCAGCAACATGCATGTGTGAGGGAGCACAATACTGCCCAGGGAAGTGTGCAGGCGGTACTGTTCGCAGAACGTTCCTCGGCTGCAACCGAAGTGCGGCGGGCTCTGGGGAATGCCGTGCCCCTGACTAGCGGCTTCGATATCAATCCAGATGGCACCTACTGCACGCCAGCAAGCTATTGCTGTTCTGTACATGAACAGAAAGCTCATGCCCAAGCCGTCGTACCGCAGGAAACCCACCAATTGTCGAGCGGTGTAGATCCGCACGGCCTCGTTCAGCCGTTCAAGGCCGTCGGGAGCAATGTCTGTCAGCCCAACACCGTGAAGCTACATAAGCGCCACGAAAGCGGGAGGGTAAGGCGGAACAAAAGCCAGCAAGGATGGGTTAAGGGTTCAGCGCAGAGCCTGTGGATGAAGCCACGGCAAAGTCTGCCAGAGCCACACGCGGTGCGCTGAGCGGACTGCATGTCGGGCGAAGTACATGAAGCATGAGCACATGAGTTGTTTTGAAATGAAATGACTTACGAATTCCCCCGTCAAACACGACACCGTCACGGCTGACTCATGCCACGGCAACCCATCTTGAATCTGTAACAGAGAACAAGTTCATCATTTGATGCCCGCCTCACCTCATACCACTCCGTTGACAGGCTCAGAACGGGATCATACGGCGGCGTCTCCGCCCGGAGAGGACGTTGCTGCGGTAACGGCGAAAACTCTCTACCGAGAGTGGGCGTCGACGGCCCTGCCGCCGACGGTATCCCTGGCGATCCTGAACAGCGGTCGCTGTTGTCACCAACTTCCTGCTGCCTCGCGTCCAAGTCACCGCCTCCTGCTCCGGGTAGCGCTTGGGCGGTTTGCAGAGACTCGGTGGCCGCGGAGACCTCCAAGCCTCCATCGATAATTCTTATCCGACTTGCCATATTTGCCACTCCGGGACGTGGGCCTTGGATGATCGCCTTATGCGCTTAACGTGAGCTCCCAGGCGTGGAAGACCACCAAAGCAAGAGTACGCTACACAAAGCTTAACAGCTGAAAGCCCTGCTGGGTGGTTGCTCATTGTTGGTCAGGGACTGGGAAGGGAGCTGTTCTGGGTGTTGCATGGTTGGCAACAGTTACAGCCCCTTTGCTAGCAGGACTGATCAAATCGCCAACTGAATATAAGCAGGGTGGCATGAAATGCTACCTTAAGCAGTGAGCTTTTTTAGGAACGCTCGTAAAACTATGGTGCTCCGCGACGGCCTTTTTACCAAGGGGGAGCAATGAGGGATAAGCAATAGAGCCCACGGTATCCGGTGCGTTAGATCGCCTTTTACCGGAATATCACGCCCCCCTTACATACAGCTAAGGCTATGATGGAAACATGGACCAATGGACACGGCCTCACACAAACGTAGCATCCTCAGCAGCTGGAGTGTTTCACTAAAGCGATATGTTTGACAACTGTTAAAAAGTGATTGTAACCTTTGCCAGAGGTTTGCATTCTCTAGCTACCCACTCCTGACATACGGCATCCGTCCTCAATACCCGCTAACGGCTACATCCAAACCATTCAAGATAGTTTTACTTCCCGTATATCTTAGAAATTTAAATTTAGGACATGCTCGACTTTCGCTATTCCGCCTGGCTGCGTTGTATCTCTCCATCGCTCTTATTTAACAAGGGTAGGAACTTAACCGGACCTGATACTACGTATGCTTGCATTGCTAAAAGCAGGGGCAATTAATAGGAATTTGTGTAGATAAGGACTTTGGATAATTAAGTCCCGCCTTTTGTGGGGTACCAACATAGGGTGAACAAATGGCCGGGACTTCCTCAGGATCCTGCAGTTATTACAAAAGCAGGTGCTCTCTTCCGTCAGCATGGGAGCCACGAGTAGTCGGAATGCGCAATCAGCAGGCCATGCAGTACCTCAAGGTTGGATTACCGAGTGCCGCGGTTCAAGGGAGCATCGCGCTAGGGCTATTGCGTCCAACTCGCAACGCATTAGGGGGATGGCAGGCTCAACGACTTGCTCGAAACGAAACACCCTTCCTCCCCTTCCTCCCCTCGTCTCCCACACCCAGTGAACTGGTGACGTCTGAACTCCAAAGCTTGTTTGACCCACACACTTCAGTGTACCCACTGCATGCCTTTTGCTTTGTAACAAGAAGATTGTGCGTGTCCACCACTCAGCTTTAGTCACCATCTCAATGTGCGACTTGTGCTGTACGTGATAATTGTCTGTTCCCCCAACCACGTATCTGTAAAGGTCGACGGTACACGTGTCCGGTATGTTGGGCCCGGGGACGAGGACTCCCAAGCAGCCACCATTCGCTCCAACTACCCTCTGCCAGCCGACTGTGCCCTTTACTATTTCGAGGTTAAGGTGGTCGACAAAGGGCAGGTGAGGTCGCCTTGTACGCAAAGCTCTGAGGTGCAAGTTGACCTTGCTGCCGCCAAGCATAGCGTTTACAAGATCACACGCCTTCCATGCCTGGGTATAAAACATGTCCTTTCTTTCTACCTTCCCTCCGCTGTTTAGCCGGGGCTGGGGCCCTGCCCATATGCCGGAGGCGTCCGGGGACGCCCCTTTCCTCTGGAGCTCTCTAGCCTTACAATTCGCACGATTCGTGTCCATCAGCTATGTTCGTTACGCGTCTCTGGGCTAAAAAAATGTTTTCCAGCTGCTCAGGCCTACAGCTAGGGGTTATGCGGTACGCCTGTCGTGCCGTCAGCGTGCCCCTAGCTGATGAGCTTTTAGAGCTGTATTCCTAGCCGGGAGAGCATGAAGCGCGTGACTACATCAGGTCCCAGCCCGCCGTCACGGGGGCCCACGACAAGAACAACCTAGTACTGTTAGTTGCGCACGAGTCTGGATCATGACTCCTCCGTATGGGGCCGGCCGGTTGCGGCGGCCGGCCGGCTTCTGCCTGCCGGCTGCGGCGGCTGCTTGGCGACCTTCCGCGGCCTGCCGGATCCCGCCCTTGCAGGAGGGCTACATCGGCATTGGGTTCTGCACCGAGGAGGTGCTGCTGGCGCGACTTCCGGGCTGGGACTCACACTCGTACGGCTATCACGGCGATGACGGGTGGGTGGGAGCTCTTGGGTGCTGTCGGTGTAGGCTGTGCGTGCCGACAGGTCCGCTGCCATCAGGCGACCAGGCGGGCGGCGAGCACGAAGGTAGCGGAGGCTGTCTCGCATTGCTGGCTTGGCTCGCCCCCTGATCGCCCCCTGAAGCACGGTGCAGTGCATTGCCGGTTTCAAAAGTCACAGCACCCGTTCGGAGGGAGTAAAGCGCCCTTCCCATGCACTGGCATGACTGGCAGGCCAGCGAGGGAAGGACAATCAGCCAACGGCCAATTACAAGACATGAAACATTCGTCAGGAACAGCGGGCGCTGTGCGGCCACTGGCGCTGCGGCACCGGGCCTTCGGAAAGAGGACGGGTTTGGGCTACAGCGCTGTGTGTGCGCCGTCGTGTGGGTGCTGCGCGGATATGTGCTTAATCACACCCAATTCCGTGGACCACATCAACCATAGAGTCACCCTTTTCTCCCCTTCTCAACTTCAGTACACAATCCCTTTTTGTGGGCTAGACGGCTGTCAAGAGGCAATACCGCTCCGACTTACGCCTGTGGTGCAGGCACGCCTTCGCGGGCAGTGGCACGGGGCGGCCGTACGGCCCACCCTTCACATCAGGGGACGTTGTGGGGGCGCTGTACAATAAGGCGGATCGCTCTATTACGTACTACAAGAATGGCGAATCGCTTGGAGTGGCGTTCAGGGACATCCATGAGACGTCACCGCTGTATCCTTGCGTGGGGCTACGCACGAGGTGCGTGCGTGTGTGTTTGTGTTGTACGTGTTTCGGGGGCCGGAAAGGGGAGGAAAGGTAGGGGAAAAAGGTAAAGCAGGGAGATGGTGGCAGCAGAGAAAATAAAGCAAAGCTTGGACTGCCTCCAACACGCGCAAAGCACCAGTTGCCGTAGGAGCTCAAAGCCAAGTGATGCAACTGCCCCTAGCCACTTCGGAAACATGCCCCGGGAGAAATCGAACCGACATTGTCGACATCCTCGTATACACGTGCCTCAGCAGCATCAGCACACACGCTGCGTGCTGACGTGTGGGCCAGTAGCTTGTGCTGAGGAGAGCCTCTGTGCCGTTTCCCTCGGTCGTTATGTGAGGTTGGCGTCTTCGCGACTCGTGGCTGCCGTTCACTTGGTGTGAACTGCTGCCCCGACCCCCAGGGGTGAGGAGGTGGTTGCCAACTTTGGCACAGGGACCTCGAATGAGCCCTTCCGCACCGACTTTGCCGCCATACGGGTAAGCTCGAAGTTGGGCAGCAACGCTTTGGGGAGAGAGAGAGAGAGAGAGAGAGAGAGAGAGAGAGAGGGAGGGGGAGAGAGAGAGAGAGGGGGAGGGGGAGAGAGGGATGACAGGACGCCGCAGGACTTCATGCTTGAGGCATGCCTGCCGTGTAGACGGACTGCATGTGGTAGCCCTGGCGCCCTGCATTTGGTTGCATTCGTATCCGTGGTATGGCTTTGCGGTTGCATTCAGTTGCATTAACGGTATTAACGGTTAACTGCTGGTGCATATTGGGCTGCGTCCGTTCGCGGATTCAGTTGCAAGGGTGTGTGGATCTGCGGCCACGTCTTGACTGAAAGGTCGTTGCTGATATGTGGTGTCAGGGATTCAAAAAACCAGCCTAAACCGAGATATAGCAGCTGCATCAGCGGGAAGCGGGAAGAGCGCGTGTGTGCTTGTGTTGTGCCTTCCGCTCCTTTCCCAGGAAGTGGCGAGGCGTATAGTGAAGATACTTGTTGTTGTTGCACGTCACGAAGTGGCAAAACCAGTGAATCCGTTTGGCCTCGAGGCCTTTTTATGCGTGGCGCAACGTCCTCGCTATTTTTATTGTTGCAGGCTGACTTCCGTGGCCGGGTGATGGCCGCGGTGCGGAAAACGGAACTGCCGCTGCTATCTAGCCGGGGAACGGCACTGCTTCCCCAGCTCATGTACGATTACCTGATGCACCAGCGGTTTTGGCGTACGGCAGCCGTACTAGGCCGTGACCTGCTGCGTTCGGAAGGACAACTAGACGAGCGGGAGCTGACGGATATTACTGTACGGCAGCAAACGTACGACTTGGTGGCCGCAGGGCGGATCGACGACGCGCTAACGCTACTTCGGGAGAAGTACCCTCCAGAGGTAAGGTGGAGCAGCAGGGGCGCTCTGTCCTCTGGATCCTGTTGGCGGTGCCAGAGCACACCAGCGGGTGCGCTACGGCAGATGCTGCGGAAGTGTGGCACTTTCTACTGTTCAGAGCTGCAACGGCTGCAACAGCCGCTGCTACGGAATATCTCGTAGCACACCCGAAGCATGTGACAGTACTGCTTTGGGATGCCGTACACGTTTTTGCGCTCGCGAAACTGCCCGAGATCCTCAATCCACCATGACTGATACAGCAGCTGGCTATCTGGGAGCCCAGGTGTGCGCCCACGCGCCTCATATGAAGCGCGAGAAAACAGCGCGAGAAAACAAACACGTGCACGCCGCCCCGTCGGCAGTTGAGTCCTTCGTGAGCTTGGGTCTCACGCAATTGTTACTCGGGCGTAAAACAATCGGCAGTTATCCTGGGGGCCTTTGCCATGTAGAGGTGGTGAATCATCCCGCCCGGGCCCCGCAGCTGCTCTCCGAGCGTCCCTCCCTGGACTTCCGGCTTCGAGTCCAAAAGTTTGCGGAGATGGTGGCTGCAGCTCACGCGGCGTCGTCGGGGGCCAAACCAGGCGGCAGCGGGAGTTCTACCGGCGGCGAGGAGGAAGCAGCGGCCGCCGCGGCGGCGCCATCGACCTCTGGTTCCGATGGTCCTAGGAGGTCACCAGCCGCCGGATGCAGTACATATGACGGAGGCCTGGCGCCCATGGAGACTGCTGTGGCGGAGCAGGCGATGGAGGAAGCGGCAGCAGCATGCAGCTCACGTGAAGGAAGCGGCGGCGGTGGCGGCGGCGAGTTGCGAGCGGAGGCGTCGGGTCGTACGCATAATGTCGACGGCGAGGGGGAAGTAGTAGCGAATGGGAAAGGGGCGCAACAGCCGGCGGCGGCACCGCCAACAACGCGGGAGATCTTGACGTACGGCACCACGGACTTGTGGCCGCGATGCCGTACCACCGGTGACCGAGACCTCTTGACGGTGCGGCACGGGCGAGGCCGAGGGTAGGGAGGTAGGGTTTTGGCTTCAAGGCGTGGCTGGCGCCTCGGTGCATGGCCCGCAGTCCCTTGTACCACCTTTAGCCATGTCATCCAGAACGTATTGCTTCCGTCCTTCGTTCCTTTTACGCAATCCCCTAATTCCCGTCGGCAGTTGTTTCTTCGAATTTGCCGACAATAATTCCTCAGTTTATTTTCTTTTGTTTCGGTTCTCTTGCAGACTCCCAAGGTCATCCGCTATCCATCGTGAAGTCCATGTCTTATCTGCAGCTCACAAAATAGTTTGGTACGGCAGTGTCGTGAGCGCCATCTGGATCTGGATCTGGATCTGGACAAGTTTACTAACAGAGAGTCCCATCCGCATCCCGCAGCCAGTATACACGTCTTATATCTTTGCGAGGTTTCGGTATCTCATCCAGCTTCTCAATCGATCCTCTACTTCCGACCCAACCCGCCGCAGGAAGCGCTGTCGTTGCTGGCCTTCCATGACCCCGCGGCCTCACCCGCGGGGGACATGCTACGTCCCGCATATAGGGTGAGTGCCTTTGTGTGTCCTGAGGATCTGAGGGCTTTAGAGCTTTTCCTTGGAGGGCAGCGGCCGCGATGATGAGCGGCTTGATGTCCCGTAATCTGCAATAGTCTGCAGAGCGCGTCGCAGCTGGAGGAGCTGTGTGCCTTGTAACTCGTCAATAACCTTTAAGAAGTTAAAACGGAGGTCTTATCCAAGAAGTGTTAACGAGATGCAAAGGTGTAAGGTATACCCAGGTAGTTGCTGCAATGCCATGCTTTTTGCTTCACTGGGGCCCCCCCGGAGTACCGGAATGCTGCTCCTCTCTCTCCTCCCACATTCGCGCCGATGTAACTCTACTCTACTGCCGCCGCCGCTGCTGCTGTTGTTGTTGTAGTTGTAGTCATTTGTTGCTGCTGTTGCTGTTGCTGTTGTTGCCGCCTGCTACTCCTGATGCTGTGTGGACAGATTGCGCTAGCGGAGGAGTTAAATGGCGCCATGTTGGCATGCCGCGGCCTTCCCGCCACCTCCCCCTTGGAACGGCTCTACCAGCAAGTATCGGTTTTGGTTTCGCAGCTCAAGCAGCTGGACCATCCACAAGTGGGTGACTGCTGAATCTAAGGCGTGTGTTCCAGGCCGCTGCGTCTTTCTTCTCCTTTTCTTTCCTACCTTACTTAATCCTGTTGCTACTGCCGTCATTTAATTGCTTTGGCTTGGCTTCAATCACTGGTGACCGTTTCCGCCGTTTCGGCAGCGGAAGGCGCCACCGGCGATTATTACAAAAGTGAAATAGATCCTCTATTAAGGTCCGAAAAACCCGCCACCCTGAGACTTGTCGTAACGCTACACCCTCGCCCGCCGCAGCTCCCTTGACTGGCGTAATGTTCTCAGCCTTAATTCCCCAAGTGGGCTGCGTGGCCCCATGTTGAGGGGCAGCGTTTGGGGGGTTTCATGCGTACTTGCATACGACCGATACGACGTGTGTCTGTTTGTTGCTGTTTTTAAGCCTTGCGAGTTGTCCTCTTGGGTTTTTCACAGCTTGAATTATGGCACGCGCGAGTGTGTGTATGTGTGTGCACGACAGGCAACTGTTCTACCGGAGCTGCGGCAGTTGGTTCTGGAGCCGCCGCCAGTCGCTTCTGGCAGCGGCGGCGGGCCGATTGGAAGGTGCGGCGACGCGGCCGACGCCATGGCGACGTGACCCAACTTTGTCGGCCGCCGCCGTCGCTGGCATGGCACTTTCCACGGGGCCGGTTGGGGACCTCCGTCCCATTAGCCAGCGTCATTATCTGACCAACCCTGCGTTGCAGCATGAATGGAGCCGGACGTCTTACAACAACGCGCACAAAAGGGTTGTTTTGCGGGACGTCGCTAGCTGTAGAAGGCCCTCTGAGGGGCACGATCGGCAGGGGAACGCAGCGTCAAGGGGTGTTTACAGATGTGCAATGTGGTGTAAAGCTCAGCGTCGGTATTTGGTCATGTGGCTTTCGAGCAGGCGCCAAGCGTCTGGAAGGGTGGTGGAAGCAGAGTGTTGGTGCATGTGCTGGCGGCATGCGGGCCGAGTGCTCCGGAGGCGGATGTAGGCTCTTCGGGTGCCTAGGTGATCTTGCGATAATGGCGCCAAGTTAAGGTCAGGGGATATTGATTGTGTGATTTCCCAAGTATGCTTGTAGTGAGATCCTTCGAATCTCTCTCGAGTGTAAGCAATGGCTTTCACCCTGGCTTCATTTACCCATGGCTTCGGTCACTCACGAGGGTTGCTTCAGGAAGAAATTGAGCAAGACAGAGATCTAAGAGGCCTCGCTGAAGTAATCGCGCGTCCTTTATCGCGGAATATTTTCAAAAGCGACGCGCGACGAGCGTTTCGCCGTACATGATAAGGATGTGTCAAACGGATCGGATTTCCTGCTTAATGCCATTCGCACCTGCCACATTCATTTGCCTCTCGCCCTTGGAAGCTTTGAGTGGTGAGATAGCGCGACGATAGCGGACGCTTGCATCTGCTTGCACTAGGTTTACACCACACGGACTCCACAAGACTTGTAATTCCTGCTGAATTTTTATACAGGTTTAACGCCTGTGAGCAACGTGCGGCAAGACAGCTGTCCAAAATACTGGCAGGGCGAGCATGCAGACCAAAATGCAGTTGCGTTCGCCGCGTGCGGTAAGGTCGTTCGCATGAAATTTATTCAGATTACAATAGCCATAACCAGTGCTTTGCATGTCAGCGATTTTATCCACAAGCTGTGCGAAATGCAAAAGCTGCAAGACAGCTTGTAGCGCCCGCCGCTGGTCGCTCAGGACCATACACATATCGAAGCCTACCTAAGCTTTCCAAATAGAAGCAGTTCCTGAAGAATTCCTTGTATAATGGCTGACCCTTATCCTTTGCGGTTTGCCGTTGGGACGTGTTAGTCACAAACTGATCTTCTTGCGTTTCTTCCCTTACATCCCCAACAACCGAAAACAGGCATCGTGCGCACGCACTTTGCGCTCACGCACACAGCCCAAGGTGATGTGCCGCGCTTTCAACTCCATGGAGGTACGAAGGTAGAACCGTACAACTGTCGAAGTACAACTGAGTAAATGTCAAGCGAATTGGGATGTATGCTCTTGGGCTGCACTAAGGGCTCCGGTGTGCAAGACATCCGTGTTGTCACACGGGGAGTCCGGACTACTTTTGGATGCTAAACCAGCTTTTCCTGCACCATAGGAGCCCTCGCGGGACTCGTCCAAGAAGTAGAACATTTGTGCGTGCTTGCGTGTTACACTCTAAGTTGATTATAAATCAACCAGCGAAATATTGCCATCTTGGCATTACCAAAGTCTCGCTTATCCGTTTGCCGTACTTCCCCACGAGCCAAAGCTTGGGGCTCACAGCACGCATATTGAAGCCTCTCTGCCCGGACTGTGCTGCGGTTTTCCGTACACTGTACGCAGAGCCCCTATGCTGAGGAGCTCAAGAAGACCGCCGCGTACATCGCCCAAAAAGGCAAGGGTATCTTGGTGAGTGATGCGCATGCTCAGCTGAGCGGCAAATACTCGCATCTTGCAAGGGACGGGCGCCAGTAGGCGGATCCCCTACTGCGCTGCTACAGCTTCCGTCTTTGGTTGAGTGGCTGCGCCCGCACATCTCCTTGTGCACTATTAACTGTGGCACGCATGTGTGTGACTTCGCCATCGACGATGCCCCGCCGAAGCGCCAAAGCTCCGGACTCGCCTTCGGCTGCTACAGCCCTTCCAGACGCGCGTTACCAGCACTGCCAGGAACTGCCACACGCGGCCAGAGGTCCCCTTTCGCAAAGGCGGGCTGAGGAGGCAGTACTGCAGCTGAGGCCCCCATCCTCACCCCCTAGTCCCAACGGTGATTCCATTTCCTGTTGTGTCTCCCACCGCCTCATGTGTAGGCATCTGACGAGTCCAACGCGACCACAGGCAAGCGCCTGCAGAGCGTGGGCGTCGACAACACGGAGGATAACCGCCGCGACTGGCGCGAGCTGCTGTACACTGCACCAGGTACGGAGATAGAGTGCATAGGGAACTTGGGAGGCGGCAGTTGGCAGTGGGATAAATTATTTCATTTTCAGTCCGATAGGTGGCACGGGCCAAATATACACGGCTGCCCACCTAGTAGTCCGCAACCTTGGCGTTATGAGGTGGGACTTCATCTCGTAATCTCATATTCCGTACTCCATAATGAGTGCTTTAAATGACCAGCAGCAAACTTGTAAACTCCGCCCGGTTCGCGCTACTGTCCTTCCGCTGCCGTATGTACTTTGTGATCTACGGCAGGCCTGGGGCAGTACATCAGCGGTGCGATCATGTTCGAGGAGACTCTTTACCAGAAGGCCCGCGACGGTCGCCAGTTTGTGGATATCCTGTTGGCGCAGGGCATCTACCCGGGAATCAAGGTCGATACGGGCCTGCAGGTAAGCCCAGCATGCGAAGGAACACAAACGCTGTAACCCTGATCGAGCCTGCCTCCGGTGCGAAAGTTTTGACACAGCCGCCAATGGCTCTGGCATTCTTCTTGGCGATCAGGTCCTTTCCTCCCGACCCTGCAGATGCTGCCCGGCGACAAGGGCGAGACCACCACCCAGGGTCTGGATAACCTTGCGGACCGCTGCAAGGCCTACAGGTGTGATCATCACCATGGTGTACCTTACGGGAGAGAAAGTTGTTCTCCTTGCCGCGGCTTTGGGGCTCGTGCCGCGCGCCTCTGCCTCAAATGCGTGCGTAACCGGTGCAGCAATGAACTTCGTAGCTTTTGTCGCCCCGGGTGCGCTACCTCTCAGGCTGTTGCTGCTCATGGGTCCCCCGTGTTTTTCCCTCAGGAAACAGGGAGCCAAGTTCGCCAAGTGGCGCGCGGTGGTTAAGATCGGGGAGGCGGGCTGCCCTTCCACTACCGCCATATTGGAGAACGCGCACGGCCTGGCCCGCTATGCGCAAATCTGCCAGGTCAGTTGAGTTTGGTTCAGAGAAAGGCTGACGATGTGCGAACTCCGTGCAGCTCACTAAAGGCGTTAGGACGCAGTTCACCTGGGGGATAAAATTCAGGTCCTTGTCCTCCTGCACGGGCCCATGGCCCTGCGGGGTGTGACTCGCGCAGGCTGGACTCTAGCGTGGCGGTTTAACTAGGCTGACTGGCTGGATGACTAGCTCTTTACTTTCTGGCTTTTCCTTTGCCCTGTGCCTGTGCCTGTACCCGTTTCTCTGCAGGAGAACGGTCTGGTCCCTATCGTGGAACCCGAGGTGACTCTGGGCCCTGGTGACTACTCCATCGAGGAGACGGCCTTCTGGTCGGAACGAGTGTACAGCCACGTGATGCGGCTGCTCAACGAGTACGGCGTCGTGCTTGAGGGAATCTTGCTCAAGCCGAACATGTGCCTGCCAGGTGCTGGGGTCTTGGTTGTGCGGGGGGTTGGGGGACCTTACAAGTTACGGGTTTGAGGGTTTGTGAAAGGTTGACCAGGTGTGGGCTACAAGCACTCCTCCCTGAACACAGGAATGGGTTGGGCGAACACTGGCAAGCATGTGGTGTCAAGACCACTGGCCCAGCGGAGGTCGCTTTCTGGCGGCGGGCACGAGAGTGGACCAGTTTTTTTGTGGGATGGGAGGGAAGCGAAGCAAGGGAAGCCCCACACGCTGCTTCAGAAAGCACAGTTGTGCACCCGACGCACCTGTCCCGCCCTGCTGCCTGGCCCCACGCGGATCCGCCCCCTTGCCCCGCCCCCAATTTGGCTCAGGTCTGGACGCGCCCGTGGCCAGCCCCCAGGATGTGGCTCGTGTCACTGTGCGCACCATGATGCGCTCTATCCCCCCGGCAGTCCCCGGCATCCATTTCCTGTCAGGCGGCATGAGCGAGGAGGAGGCTACCCTCAACCTTCAGGTCAGGCATGTGTGCGTGGACACGTAGGCTCCGGGACGTAGGCTGGGCTACAAGACGCCGCGGGAGCTCTGCCCCGAATGTGACCCCACCTGACCCGGTTGCATAATTTCATTATTACATAAACTTCGCCTACAGTGCACTTAGTATTAATTGCGGTAACGGTATCGCATGTTTGGGGGGGTACGTAGGAATGGGGCTTGGGTTTGTGCCTTCACTTGCCTACCGTACACCACAGTTGCAGCCTATCGCTGAATCGCTGGGGTGGGAAAGGAGATGCCCTTTGCCTGGCTTTTGTTTGCTGTCAAGGCTGCTGGTTAAGACTCTCTTGTGTGCCTGGCTCGTGACCGTGCAGGCTCTGAACGACGAGGCCCCCAACGCCCCCTGGGCGCTGACCTTCTCATACGGCCGCGCGCTTCAAGCGACCACCCTCAAGGTGCACAGTGCAATTGCCGTCCGGCGGCGTTCTTGGGGTGCGGGTCTCGTGCTTTCTGCCTCGCTCTTTGTGGAAGGGTTTTAGGGTTTTAGCTTTAGGGTTTTAATCTTAGGAGGCCCTGCACGCCGCCGCCTCGGTTTAAAAAGCCCTATGGTCGTTCACACTCACCCCTGCGACGTAAGCCCGCGACATCTCAAAAAACTATTTGAAAACCCTCCCCGTCTGTGTAGGATTGCATGCCAATAAATCCTCTGGTACCGTTGCTCGCTCGCCTCCGTACACAACCGCTCGCTCTGTGCCCTGTCTGTTGACTTCCTTTCTTGCCCTTATCCTCCCTTGATCCGATCTCACACCCCCTGCTGCCCCCCTTGCCTAACCAATGCCATGATGTAGACCTGGGCGGGCAAGGAATCCAACTGGACTGCGGCTCAGGACATCCTAGTCAAGCTGGCTAAGGCCAACAGTGAGGCGGCTGCGGGCAAGTTCAAGGGGCCTCACCCCGTGCCGGGCGGTGGCCGCATTCTGCAGGTGAGGTGCCAGACTGGGCGGGGCCCCGACGCCGCTCTATTGGGGTCCTCCAAGGGCTCCCGTGGGAGGCTGAGCCCGGGCTCATGGTCCGTTTCCCCCGTGGCCATGCGCCGGGATTGTAATATGGGGAGAGGGATGAGAACCGGCAACTAGGTCTTCCTTGGCGACTCTGGAACCTTCTCTGTTTTAGGCGTATTGAAGCCTGGGAGACGTATCCTCGTTCATCATCATCTTTAATGTAGGGGGTTTGTTGCCGTCGGCCCTCCTGCACTTCCGCACAGGCTCTGCGCACCGGTGGAGCCGGCAAGTAAGGAGCAGAGAGACCCGCCAGGCATGAGAACGGAAGCATGCCGGGGCACAAGCTGCTGACCGATAATGACCTGCTGCGTTTGTTTTTTTTGGTGACCGTACGAAGTCGCTGACGTTTCGCGACGCCAGCAAGGGCACCTCAGCACACGCTCGGTGCATGCTGTTGGGTTTTGTGACCTATTGAAAACGACAAAGCAAGGTCAGTTTTGTTTGTATGCATTCAAAGCGTTATTATCAAGGAAGTTGACACGGCGCTCATGTAGATCAGGGGTGCGAACTCTATTTATTATTCATATGCTGCCTGCCGGGACTAAAAGCTGATCGATACGCCGTAACTGTGGGTGTGGGTGTGGGTGTGTGTCCCCTCGCCGGGGCCATTGTTTGTTCGATCTGCCGCTGTCGTTGAGGTACTGTGGCTATCCTGTGACAGCCACATTCTGTAAAATAAGCACTCGTGCGACGCATGGCATTGTCGGGGGTCCCAGGGAGAAGCTGGCTGGTGCGCATAGTACACATCTGGGAGCAGCGGACACGGCTGGCATGGGTAAATGATAGCATTAAGCCGGGGACGGCCTACGTACTCTTCAGTGTGCCTAAGTCTGGGAGGTGGCAACTAACTCGCAAGGGAGAGGTGCGGCCTCATCAGGCGCGGTTTCCACAGTTCACGCTTGTTGACGTACCTGAACGGTTCCACGCATTGTCTCCAGGATACTGCATGTCCGACACCTCATATTGTTAATTAGAGTTGATGCGAGTTGCACAGCAAGTCCCAGCTGGTTTCTCCCCAACCTAACTACACAACCATGTCGGTGCCCTTCGCCGTCCTGCTGTTTGACCTGCTCGCTTGCTCACTAAGTTCGCTGCTCTGTTAAGGAGTATATTATTTAGATAATACGGACGTCGAGTCTGCTCCAATAATTAACGACTTTTGCAACCACCTATTCCTATGCGAGTGGACGAGTCACTGCCTCACTGACTTCCGTCGTAGTAGGATGGTGCATATATTAAGCCCCGTTGCCTGATTTCATAGCGTCAGGCAGTATGTATCAGTGCTAGTGGGGAGTGTTTGCCTCGTCGGAGCAAGGTAGGAATGGTAGAAGAACCCGCCATGAATCAAGTTCGACCAGTACAAATGTCCCAACGAAGTCTCGCAAACAAAGTTGACGGCGCGGAAGCGGCCGCTGACATGGCTCCGAGTTGCACAGCGATGACGACCCGCTCCTCCGCGACCACGAATTTGCGGATAACCTTCAAGGCAAGTCTAAACATATCTATCTCGCGAGACATGAAACTCAAGGGGGGGCAGGTCCAAAGGCAGCCTTAGGCTACGCTAATACAAGACCGGAGGCCATCTCCGTTGGCGCGAGTAGTTGGGTCGGATGATTCTAGAATAAAATGCAACGCTCCGTGCTCATGCTTTCGATGCTTTTTATGGGCTTTTGCTGTTTTGAGGCGTCCATTTGCGCAGCTGGTCGGGTTGCACGAGGGCACCCTCGTTTACACGTGCCAGCTGCTGTCACGCCAGCTGGAGCCCATGCCAACAGAATCTGATACCCGCACCAAAGATCCCCCTCGAGGAGGATGGCTTGAAAGGGCGGAGTATGTTTAACGGGCTGCTGACCGCCAGCGAGCAAACTGCTTTTGGGGCAGCTGTCCGACGTCCTTGCCGCTATCTCCTCAAAAAACGAACACTGCCTCCGTGGGGGCTTGTCATGACAGGCATATGCGAGGGTCAGGCCCCGTTTCTATCCAGGGCTTCCAAGGCACATTCACGTGCGGAAGCTCTGACCGTGAAGGCAACTAAGAAAGGCCACCCATGCACCGCAACAGCTGCAGCAGCCGCGGCCGCGACGTCGCTCGGGGCCCTCAATTCCTGTTCTGGCCCCCGACTTTGCACCGTGTATGTACACACAGGATTTGTCGTACACTGTGGACAGCAATAGCAAGCAGGGTGAGAAGGTGCAGCTTCTCAAGGGCATCTCGGGCTTCTTCGAGCCCTGCCAGATGACCGCCGTGGTGAGTGGGCCTTACGTGGGTTAGCGAGTGGAAGAGGGAGCGCCTCCGGGTGGCTTCATGTGGGAGAGGAGGACTGGTACCGGGGTGTCGCGGCTTGCAACGGCAGGACGAGGTGTCGACCGGTTGGAGACGGTTGGGGATTTGGGCTGTTGAGAGTCTCAAGTGAGCGTGTGTCAGGGTGTGTGCCATCGTCACCTCAGTGAGGGATCCGCAGCTCGCACTCGCGATTTAATGCGACCCCTTTAGGGATCGGGTCCGTACTTCCCTGCTTTGCCTGCTGTCCCTCCAAGCCCATTTCCTGGCCCCGCTCCCGTGCGATTCTCTTCGTCCCAAACCAACCACATCCATTTCGTCCTCTTCCCCTCCGTCATCCCGTTCCTTCGTTGGCTCATGTCTCTCCTCCCAACCCAACCCCTCTCCAGATGGGCCCCAGCGGCAGCGGCAAGACGACCTTCCTGGTGAGAGTAACTCTGCCTTTCTGTCTGTCTCCTGTTTGTGTCTATGTCTATGCCTCGGTATGTCTGCGTGCGCCGAACTGTGTCTCCAAGTGCGCCTGAGGAGCATGGCAGGCGGGGGCTGGGGCCCAGGTTTCTCGTGGCAGAAAAAGAGAATACCCCGCCGGATTCACTATCGATGAAAAAGTTAGACTGTCACACTATTAGCATGTACAGTAAGATAAAATGCTTTAGTTATCCTTAATGGTTTAGTCACTAGTTGCTTTCCTAGCTAGTCCGGAATCTTCTTACATTTCTGGTCAAACTATTCATGAGGACCGGGACCGCGCGGTGTGACAGGTTCCGTCCTTCCGCCCTTCCCGGAACAAGTGCAGCTGGCAGCAGAGCTCCCGACTAATGGAAACTGCCCATGCCTCGCTTCCCTCGGGAGCCGCTAGTGCTCACTCCATCACTCTTTCTCACCCTTTCTCTCCCTCCTCTTTCTTGCTTGCCCCGCACGGTGCCGTTCTGCACCTTGACCCACGCTGACTGCACCTTGACTGCCACTGCGTGTCTGTCTGTCGCCTGTCTGTCCGCCAGGCTGCTTCCCTACTTACCTACCCACCTCTGCACACACACACACACACATACATACACACACACCGACCCGCCTACCAACCTGCAGGACCTGCTATCGGGTCGCAAGACGCAGGGCACCATCGGGGGCACATTGCTGTTTGGGTCCAACGCGCCCACCAAGACCTTCCTGCGCCGCTACAGTGGATACGTCGAGCAGTTTGGTGCGTGCGTGAATCCTCCCCCCGTCCCGCCCTGGCAACTCTGCACTCCACCCGCATTTTGCCTGATCCGAAAACTGTGCAAAAAAAAACCCTCGTACACAGACACGCTAGTAGACACTTTAACGGTGTACGAGATGTTGTTGTACACGGCGGAGCTGAAGCGGCCGCTTTCGGAGCGAATCGAGTCCAAGAGAGAGGCAGTGGAGGGCCTCATTGCGAAATTGGCGCTGGAGAAGTGCAGGTGTGTGTGTGTGTGTGACTGGGTGGGGGTTTCGTCCTAAATAGGCCTCTGGGCGGCCCTGGGCGGGTGGGGGTGTGGACGGGCGGGTGTTGTCCTGGTGGGCGATGAGAAGTTCCTGCTGGTTGGAAACACATCGGCACGCGGGCACTGACATGGTACTGGCCGTACTATTACGGGGCCATCGGCCGCTAACAACTCATAACCGTACTGCGGCTGCCGCTACTGCATCGGATATACCGCTGATACCGGCGCCATGGCTGCAGCTGCCAGCATGTTGTTGTTCATGCGTTCATGCGTGCAGGGACGTGCGCATCGGGTCGGCTCTAAAGCGCGGCATCAGCGGCGGCCAGGCCAAGCGAACCAACGTGGGGATAGCGCTCATCACCAACCCGCTGGTGCTATTCCTTGTGAGACAGGCGCTGACGGCGGCAGGGAGGGAGGGAGGGGGGAGGAGGGAGAGGGGAGGGGGGAAGAAGGTCATGAAGGAGTGGCACCTTCCCTTATTAGCTCCTTAGCCCTTCCTACGGACCTAGTCCCTTGGCAGTCCCATTAGCTACCCCCGTATCGTATCCTCCGCTACCTCCAAGTGCCGCAGTGTGTCAACTCCCTTACGTGCGGTACATCCGCCCGCCCCGCCCCGCCCTGCCCCTGTGCCCAACCTACCTATCACTGAAGGACGAGCCCACTAGCGGTCTGGATTCGTTCACGGCTCGTGAGGTGATGGAGGTAGTGCGCTCCTTGGCGACTGACGGCACCACCATATGCGCCACCATCCACTCGCCATCCTCGGCCTGCTTCAGCCTATTCGATCGGGTCATGGTGTTGGCTAGCGGGTGGACGGTGTACTTCGGAGAGCCCGGTGAGAGGCTGGGGGGGAGCTGGAGGGGGAAAGGGTTTTGCCGTGGCGCGGGGTTGCGTACGGGGTAAGGGCGAGGGCTGGGTACGTGACGTGGCGTGGCGGTCTGAAGAGTAGATTGCGGGTTCTGCGCGCGCGTGTGTGCGCGTTTATGTGTTAATGGATCTTCGGAGCCGTGGATAGGGAAATGGCGGTTATGGTGGTACACGAATAACTTCACCGAAGCGAGCTCCGTCGTCACCAGCGACGTCTTAGGATTTCCAATGAAACCGCATACGTAGCTTTTTAAATGTTTCAAATGGATGTTGGTTAGGAGAGCGATGTGAAGAGCCCGTAAAATAAGCGGTGCTGTAATGGCGAAGGGCGACTAGGTGTTGACCGGCTAGAACTGAGTACGGACAAGGATCATGCTACCACACAGAGTGAGTGTGAGTGTGTGGCTATCACCGTCGTCGGTGTTTGGCGCCGCTGCAAATGGAAGCCGTTGCGAGAAGCCTCAAGACCGACAGTGCTGCGATACCAGAAGGTGCCGAGGGGCTTTCCGTAAGGCTGCACGATGTCAGGTATAAAGCGGCAGCAGCATTGTCACTGTTCCTGCTGATGATGATAATGTCGAGGATGATGATGATGTAGATGATGGTACTTGATGATTCTGCCGTTGCGGCTGACGTATTCATGGATGGCTACTGATGATGCCTGATCAGGCGTCAAAGCCAGCGACTACCTGACCAAAATCTGCGGCTGCCGACCCTTGGGTCATGGAGAGAACCTGGCGGAGTGGATGATGGACTTTTTAACGCAGGTGGGGCCCGCAACGGGTTTTATTGGCTGATTATTATCGCATTGAAATCCTCCCCCCTTCTCTCTCTCTCTCTTCCTCTCTCTCTTTCTCCCCCTCTCGTTCTTTAGCTCGCTAGCTTCGCTCGCGCGTTACATAGTTATGCAAAGCAAACATCACAGACGTCGCATTCCAGCTTAGGATTTATGTTACACCGCCCCCCTGGTTACCTTCCACAACGTGGTGTTTCCCCTCCTTCCCTCCCGGGGCTGTCTGCAGGCTGATCGAGAGGGACGGAGCTCCACTTTGCACGAGGCCTTTGACAAGAGCGACTTGGCGCAAGTGAGAGGGGGTCGGGGGAGGAGGAGGTCACTGTGTGCGTGGCGGGCGGGCGGGCTGCCTCCGCTTTTGGGGTTCCCCTCAATAGCGACCCGGACTGTAAAGGGTGACTTTTTCCACTGCTGTGCTTTTTGCGGCGTTAGCGATTGAGGCGCAGATAGGCCTCTGCTAGGATACCTGGCTGGGGCCCTGAGTGTACGACGGCCTGGAGCTTGTGTACCGCAGCACTTGCATCCTGCTGGCTGGGTCATGGTGGTGGATGCAATGTCCACCGTTCCAACATGCTTGCCTACCACACAGCTACCATCATCTCTATCTTCACCTCCTAACCTCCTCCTCCTCCCCCGTTTCCATAATCGCCACTTCTGCAGGAGAGCGCTCGCAAGCTGGAGGACTATCTGCAGGGGGCGCAGTGCAGACTGGCAGCAATTTCTACGTCCCCGTCCTCAAAATCGATCGCCGCGACCAGCAGCAGCGGCGTCTGCGGCGTCTCCGCCGAAGGTGGCGGAACCAGCCGTGGCAGCGGCGCCCCGTGCAACGGCAGCTGCAAAATCGGAAAACAGCAACCCCAGTCCCCGCACCATCAGCCCCAGCAGCAGCTCAGGGCCGACGATTGGGAGCCTTGCTGTTGCGGTCTGGTTCCTGCTTCCTCTGCGGCCGCGCGGGTCACCTCCCGTCTTACTGGCAGTGAGCAGTACGTGACCCCTTGGTGGTGGAGCCTTAAGGTGCTGCTGCAGGTGAGTGCGGATCTGCTGCTCCGGAGGTTTTGGTGGCCGTAAGCTTTCGTTCCGGAGCGGTGGAATTTGCAGTGCTGCAGTGCAGGTGGGGGAAAGGGGTGAGGTGCAAAGCAAAGGGCAAGGTCGTGTGGTCGAAAAAATTATGGGGGTTTAGCACATCCTGTTTCAAACCTTGCAACCGGCGTGTGCGCTTCTCGGCAAGCCCTTGCCCCTTGCCTCCTCCGCCCGCTACCCCCGCTTCCCTGCTAATTGCGTTTTTGGAAATACCCTAGTGAATGCATTCCTCCCCGGCAACCGCACACGCTCGCCTCGTGCGTCGGCATTTGCCAAGAACTTGTTCTGTCACCATTCGCGTTTGTTCCGCCACCACTTGCGTTCTCGTCTCTTAACACGAGCCAAACAGTCCAGGACCCGCCACATGCCATGATGTGTGTTTTTATGACGTCGCCTCTCCTCTCCTGATCTTTCCTTGCACCTCCTGGGCCTCCGCTCGGCCACTGTTTGCTCGTACAGTATCGTACGCTCCGAAACTACCGTTGCATGGATTACCTCGGGCCTCGGCTGTTTGACAAGATCATCTTTGCGGTGGTCATAATGACGCTTTACCTTGGCATCGGGGACAACTTTAAATGTGAGTTATGGCGCAAAGGCGGGGGCGACGTGGGGGGAGGGGAGGAGGGTGGGGGCGCTCGTGGATCGATCTAACCTCCCCGAGCCCCTAACACCGCTATGGCTCCGGCTATGTCTTTGTTCCCTGGGAATGCCCTCTTGAGTGTGGGGTATCGCTGGGGTCATATGATGGCCGTGTTCTTTTACTTCTTACCCTGCGGTTCGTTTTCTTCCCGCCCTCTTTTTCATTTGGTTCCCGGCCTCGTATTTATTTTTCGCTCCTGCTGGCCGACCCCGACCCCCGCCAATGCTGTCTGCACAGCCGTCAATATCCCTTCCATGGCAGCCCTTATGTACCTGTGTGTTGCCCAGCCCGCTTGGGGGGCAGTCGCCTACGTGCCCAACATCATGATGGGTGAGCCGCTAAAGTGTGTTTGGTCTGCTGTATGGCCCTGCTCTGTCGGTCACCTCGACTTTTGTCGGTTGGCGGGTGGTTCGCTCGTCTGCTTGCTACTCCGCGGTAACGTCAAACTCCCCCAGCCCCCTGAGACCTCAACGCACAGCGCGCCGCGCCGCATGCACACCTCCTTCCTGTGGCTGAGCTGAACAGCATCCACGAGCTTCAGTAGATATATCTCGCTGTGGGCGCTGTGTCCCCGCCGCGCGCCTTGTGTGCCTCACGTACAGAGCGCGGGCTGTATGTACGGGAGCGCAACGACGGGCTGTACCGGCCCGCTGCCTACTTGCTGTTCAAAATGGTGGACGAGCTGTCGCTTAACTTCGCTGTGGGACTTGGCTCCACTGCCATCATCTTTTACGGGGTGCAGCTGCGGGGCGAGTTCGTGTACTTCTGGCTAAACTGCATGATCACGCTCAGCAACGGCATAGGTACGGCATATGCACAGCGCGGCACAGTGCGGCAGCATAAGTACGTGCCGAGGGGTCGTACTGTAACGCAGATTAGAGTGAGTGTGTGTGTTACACCTCGGTTGCGTTACCCAGGGAGGTGTAACGGGCCCATACGAGCCAGCGGCCCAACAACCTATGTCTGGGTCCGACCCGGCCACAACTGCTCTCCTTCGCTTTGCCGTGGGGCAACATCTTCTCTGTTGCGAGCGTGGCGATGTGTCTCACTCTCTTTAAGCCTTTCTCAGGCGCCCGCCGTCATCTCTGTCACAAACCTCTTAAGCGTCTTGGCTTCTTCTTATCCGACGACGTATTTTGTTTCTCCGTGCTGAGCTCTTCCTCGTCCTCCCTTCCGTACAATCTCCGCCTGCCAACCGCTCCCCAACCGCACCCAGTCATCGCCTACATGGTGGCCGCTTTCAGTCCCAATCTGGACGTGGCCAATGCAGCCGTGCCAACGCTCCTGGCCGTCATGTTGTTCCTGTCGGGCTTCCTCATCAGGTCAGCAGGACCCTATGTAGTCCGCACCTTTCCCTTGGGGACCCAAATGGCGCCCGGCTGTCTGCTCCTTAAGGTGTTTTGGTGTTTGGCTGGAGGGTTGGGGGAGAAAGACGAGTCAACCATGTAGAGCCTCCGCGATAAACCCCAACCTGCTGTCCGCACAGCTGTCCATCAGTATGTACGTCCTCGTTGTTAGGCACCCTGGAACTGTCTTCCTGCTGCTGCCGCTGCTAGCGTTGCTGCTGCTGCCGCTGCTGCTCCTTTCACGGGTCCTCCGGCCTTTGCTCTGCACTTGGCGGCCCCTATAGCCCACTGGGAGACCTAAGGCTTCAGCTGGTAACACCAGAAAGTTAATAACAACGCATGCCGCCCAAGGGTTCAAAGAGCCTGAGCGACGTCGCGCTCTGCGCCTGGTTCCCCCGCTGCCTGTACTTGCCTCGTTCGGTTCGAGATGGGTTGTGTTGTGTTCGGTTTCCGGTTGGGGATGCTTGCGAGTCCCCTTGGGGATCCCCGTTGCGCTCATCCAGTGTGTGTGTGCGTGTCTGTGTGTTTCAGGATTGAGTCAATACCTCCGTACTGGCGCTGGCTGACGTACGCGGATTTGCTCAAGTACAGCTGGGAGGGGCTTATGATCAATCAGTTCGAGAAGCACCCCAACGCGGAGCTAGGTGTGTGGGTGGGCGGGTTAGGCTGGCTGCGAGCTGTAGGCTGTGGTGGGCAGAGGTGGGGTCTGGCGGGGTGGAGTGGGGGCTGTTTGCGAAGATAGAGATGGGAAGGGATGGAAGTGGTGGCGGAGAACTTTAGAGTGCTCTAGAATACAGCTCAGGTGCTGAAGGTGCGCAGAACGGGTTTTTCATGAGGTCTCATCCTTGCAATTCGGTTCCCGCCCCGCCCCGTTCTGTTCAGATGGACACGCGGCCCAGTAAGACGGCCTTATGGCAGTCTCCAGCCGCCCACCTTTGCTGGTTGCTATTGCTTTGGACGCGAAACAGTTTGTTCCCTTTCCGCATTGGAATCTCGCACTGGGCTAACTCGTCGATGGGCTCTGCCGGGTTCTGCCGCACTCGCATGCTCACCACCACAACCCCCGTTGTCGCTCTGCACTGGGCCCGTTGAGTGAAACCCTTCTCCATCTCCGCCCTCCTACCCTCCTACCTGGATTCGGGGCTAATCCGCCAACAGTCCATGGTTGGCCCCAGCTCCCTCCCCCGTCCCCAGGGCAGCTGCATTTCTTAGGTTAATCCCCGGAAGTTGGTAGTTTGGACGTTTACAGTTGGTACTTTGACTTACGCGTATAGTCCGGTTCACTCCCTGGGGCATCCGCCGGTGCGCCCCCCTGTAACACCCCTGGCTGCCGACTGCAGCCGGGAACCCCATCCTCAAGTACTACAACCTGGTTAATGAGAACAAATGGGCGCGACTGGGCATCCTGGTGGGCTTCTTTGGCGCCTGGTCGGTGCTGGCCTGGGCTGCGCTGGCATTTGTGCGGCACCAGAGGCGGTAATGGGGCGGGGTCATGGGGATGTGGAATGGGAGTGCGAATGGAGTGCGCACGATGGGGACGTGCTGGGGTACCTGGGGTTAAGGGGTGAGGAGGGAGCTCAACGGGCGTGATGAGGATTGGCGATTGGAGCTATGCGCGACGCCGCGGTTTTTGTTTCCGTTGTTCTTTGTTTACCGGTTAATACAGGTTTGCTTAGTTGGCAGGCATTAGATGCGTGCATGCAGGCCGCGGTCGTCCACAGAGGTGATTCCAAAGCGGCCGAGCAGGGAGCCCGCCGGCGAATATGCGGGTGCTTCGAGCGAGTGGGAGTATGTGCGAAGCTGGTGGTTTAAATAGGTCCGCGCGATCCAGAAGATTAAGCGGATTTCCATGTTTAGTGCATCGCCTGGTTAGGTGATTCTTTACCCATGTTGGGCGTGTCCCATTACCGAAAACCTAATCGTAGGACATCTATGTTCATCGGAGTTGCAATTAAATCCCAGAAATTGAAGGTCGGTGGTTTCGGCGCATGCGCTGACATATGCAGGCAGGGCATGCCGTCATGCGCCCTTGGCTTGGCTGACCGGCAGCATCCAAACATTCTTTTTGAGTTCAAATCAAGTATGCACACAGCCGCATCGCATGCTTGGAAGATTTACAAAACGGAACCGTTCTCTTCTTGCTAATACAATTGACACCCTACCTGCCGGGGTACTTGCGTGGGGTGTCGCATGGCAGCGCTTTTTCCTGCAGCTGTTGCCGTTGCTGCTGCTGCTGCTGCTGTTGCAGCCGGAAATGTGTAGTGTACATAATCGAGTCTTTTCGAGTCTTTGGACAAGTAAGTACTTTGGTCCACTCATGCAAGTTGACAAACAGGTCTGGCAAGGCGAAAGGCTTTTGGCGGATGTATCCGTGTAGCTGACGTTTTGAGCGCTCTCTTGGCGGATAGGGGAGCCGGAGCGGACAGAAGGGGAAGTTTGGTAAAATGCGGCATTGCGGCATATTGAGCGAGGCAGGACGCACGGGTATGTGGGCCTCAACTCGGCTACCTTGGCGGGCAGAGTGTATTATCCAATATCCGCCTGGCAGGCGTCACCCACATGAGTGCCACCAGGTGTCAGTTTGGGCAGTGTTACGTAGGTGTTGTATGTATTGTTGCGAACCTTCTTCCCTTCGCATTGTTGACAGAAATCGAAATGCGCTGCGGAACGCAAATAGGAAGCTTTAATGCACGGGTTGAGACGTGCGTATGATAAGGGAAGCTTTTTTGATCACCTTGTTCCGGTGGCCTTTTTTTGCTGGTTATGTTTTGTACACGGGATTTGGACTTCCGGTACGCAGTGGCAACAGTCTCACCAGCTGGTCGCGAACCATCGTGAGGTGACATGCGACTGCTTTGCGAATGATGTGGGTGTGGGTGTGGGTGGACTCATGAGGGGCAAAGTGGTTGCGGTCGATGAGGGTACATTTGAGCACGTCCGTATACGGTTGGTGTGATGTGGATGCTACCGAGGACAATATCGAACCCTATCGAGGACAACAGCACCTGATGTGTTTGCCGTGAGGGTGCCCGCCAGGAATGCCCATGCCGCGCGTTGAAACGAAACGTGGTGGCCTCACGACAGTCAGGCTTTACCCGCCAAGACCAGATGCTCAACCCAGTCGTTCTGAACGCGTGGCTTTGCACCCACTATGGGCTACGGTCCTGAGTGTGCCGTGTCCCCGAGTGTAATGGTTCACGAGAAAATAAAGAAAATAACGATTTACAGGGCAAAAAATGCAAAACGTCACTTTCCACAGCGTTTCAGCCAAGGACAGTGCCCCCGTAAACGTTTTGCGGGGGTTACGGGGGCCCCCGTAAGGTTTTCGGCCGGTACAGGAGCCTGGTACGGGGGCCCCTCCGTAAGGAAAATTTGGGAGGTACGGGGGAGCCCGCAAGTTTCAGGAAGGTCAGTGTCGAACCCTGCCTACGGAACAAGTGCATGTTGCCAGTTGCGAGGTTCATGAATGTGGGGATGTCCGCCAAAGCCCGGGGGCCATGGACTCTAATGAAAGTTAATTCCGCCCTACAAACTGTAAGTTGAAGGCGGTTTGGGTCCTGCCATCTAGACCCCACCTCATCCAATCACCCGACATCCATAGAGATCAACAACTTCCCCCCCATAACCCCCTCCTTCTGTCCCAGAGAATCGGGTGCGTGATGTAGATTTCGAGAGATGGCACTCGCCCAAATAAATAATGACGGCAGTGAAGGCCCTCGATCCTGGACGCGACGGAATGAGCGAGGGAAAGCAGAGAAAAGAAAGCAGGGCAAGATTGTTGTCCATCTCGACATGGAATAATTACACATCGAGACAGCCTTACAAGAGCCTTCAGCATAGCTGCGGAGCTGCTTCAATTGCAATGCCAAAGCAGTCATCCAAATACCGCCAACTTAACACCGTTGACTGCTGTCGCTGCAGTTGTGTTCCCGGTGAGTCTCAACACCAAGACACATGTCTGGGCCGCGTCTGGGCCGCACGCTGAATCCCCGGATCCATTACCCCCCATACAGTCCTCTATCTCTGTGCATGGCATTACGTCAGCCGTGGACATAGTGCTCATGCGAGAGCTGTCCAGCTCGTCCAGCTCGACCGGGTGCACCCTCGTGCACCTCAAAAGCCATCCATGCAGACCAGCAGCTCAATAGCATAGCAGCTCCAACGGCCGCCGCTGTATCTGCTGTGCCTGCTGCCCGCCAAATGACTTGCTTTCCGACATCCCGCCCCTCATAACGTTCCCTAGCTTCCCCTCCAATCCATGCATTTCGTCACCAGTGGAGCGGATGGGCCGGATGCCGGACCAGCCCCTGCGCATGTCCCAAGCTCGCCTCCGCGGATGCCGCCTGCATCATCAACTCCGCAGCCGGCTTGCCGTCCTTGTTGACCACGCTAGACGGCGCAGCAGACGGAAGAAAGAGCCAGTCGCAGACTGGGATGGCTGTCTCCAGGGAGGGAAAGAACACAGCCCCTTCAAATGCTGCCCACGCCATACGCGTTGCAATGATGCTGCACATGCCGGAGGGGCTTCTGAGTCCTGGAGGAGGCCCTTGGGCGGGGCTTTTCCATCGATTAGGGTCCCCAGTATCCCTGGAGCCATTGAGGAAAGGACGGCTGGCATCTAAAGCTTGTTGTCGTTGTGCTCTGGCCTCCAGAAGGCTGATCTGCCGCAAGGATGGTAATGGGCCAGCAGTGGATGACTGAAAGGGGCCTGATGCGCATGCGGGACTACCCCTGCCAGTCATGTCAACTTTGCCACTTAGTGCTCTGTTAAGGCTACTCCTCGTGCAACTGGTGTCGTTGCCGCTGGTGCACCTGTCTGTGCCATTGCTGATATTATTGCTAGTATGGCAGCCAGTGGTGCTGCTGGCCTTACTGCTGCTGCGGCTACTGGTACCTTCACTGCTGCTGTTGCCACTGTTGCTGCTGCTGCTGCTGCTACTGCTGCAGGTAATGGTGCTGCCACCAGTTGCGCCTGCTGCTGCTGCTGCTGCTGCTGCGGACCTCGTAAATACGCTGTGTCCGTCAGTGCCAGCCGTACAAGTACTGCTTTGTGTGGATATGGGCGTTGTTGTTGTTGCCGCAGGTCCTATTGCTTGTAAGGCACTTCTGCAGCGCGACAGCAGAACCACACCACCTTGGGACCCCGGCTCATATGGGCCCTTTACACCATTAAAGAGTAACGCAAGTCAAGGCAAAATACGTACATAAAGTAAAAACGGTCACGAAATGGAGTATATGCTTGTACATGCCATTTTGGCCTCACATGGGCCTGAAGGAAAACCCACTCGAGTGGGAGCTTTAGGGCGCGCGAACAGGCATGCTACCATTTTCACTCTAGGATAGGACCCATATCGATTGAGAGCAGCAGGGGCAACTGCGGCTCCTTTGGCGGATGCGTATGAACCCAGTGCTCGTGAGTTACATTCCTGGTGGTGCCCACGAGCCAAGGCCCCGGATGAGAAGATTTGATCTGCTGTCGCCGTGCTGCCCATCTAAGGAACCACTGAGGGTTAACCTGTTACATATCACGAACAGACTCACATCGCCAATGTGTCTCAATCCATGCTCTCGGCCTCTTGCAACAAGCATCCGTGTGGCCGTGCGAACCCAGCATCAGTGCGGTGCCAGATCCTAACCTTAACCACGCTCCGAGAGAGACACACACGCTGATACGCACCTAGGGAGCGCCGCGGCAGCTGTAGGTGAAGAATGCGCCCCAACGCTTGCACCGTCCAGGGACCCCATCGCCGGCGGGAAGAGGTCTCTCGCCACGTGACCAAGCGGTGGTAGTGATGTGCCCCGAGGTGGTACATGTACCCCGGAGCCGCCTCCGCTGCTCTTATTCGTCAGGTGCATTGTGCGCTGGCAGGCGTCCCCAGCACTACAGCCATCCCAGCCCTTGATACCCCTCACTACAGCTGCAGCTCCGGTTAAGTTGCCCGCACGTGTGCCGCCGTCGTGGTTCCTAGCCCAGAGGCTGATTGCCGACGGGGGGCTAAGCAGCTCTAAGGGGCTAGTGAGTAGGCTCGCGGCTGCACCTGCCATACCGCCAATCGCGGCGGCCTCCCAGAACTTGTACGGCGGTTCGGCTTCGGCCGCGGCCGGCGCCTGCTCCGCTGGCTGGTGCTGGTGATGATGATGGGGATGGGACTGTGCAAGGCGCCGGGGCTGCTTTGCGGCTGCCAGCAGAGATTTGCCAGTGTCATACAGCAGGAAGAGCAGCGCATCGAAAGGCAGGTTTTTGGCCACGCTGCGGGTCCAGCCAATGTAGAGGCTGGATAGGCCCTCGAGAACCAGGATGCGCTCAAACTGCGGGATGCAGTCGGAAGCGAGGCGCGGGAGGTTATGCCTGAACAGCGGGCGCGCCGCAGTGGGAGAGCCCCACTAATGAAGGCACCGCTATAGTATGAGTAGTGATGGAGTAGTGTGCGTCATCAGGGAATTACCTATGGCCATTTTAGCGCGCATAGGTTGACAGGCATCCTAACCGGGCGCGCGTATAAGAAGTGTGAGTCCCATGCTTCACACCATGTAACAATCAAGGGCGGAGTGGGGTTGAAGTTCAGGGCCCTTGGCGGTCGTTCTTCCCCGCTGCGTGGTTTCTTTCTCAGCAGCATCCGCACCGCCATGCCACGCCACGCAAGGCCTTATGCAGCCGTACATTTGGCCGTACCTTACAACTCGACAGTGGTAAAATGGAGGCATCCAGAGCCTTCCCGCCTTACTTACCGCTTGAAGGGAACAGAAGAATTGCTTTCGCTCCATGCGGTCCTTGACTACCTACATGCATTGGGTTTGGCATCGGGGTCGGTCAACCTACGTAGAGCACCCACATACATCCATCCCACATGTAATTTGTAAACACCGTTCACGTATCAGCTGTGCTTACCTGCAAAGGCACCCGCACGCAGGATGCCGCGAGGCTTCCAGCCGCCGCCGCTACCGCCGGGCTCCAGCACGGCCGCTGGTGATGATAATGTTGGGTGTCACTGGGTGCCTCTGACGCGTTTGTGGCCTCCACAGCGGCGCGAACCGGCACGTACACGGATCCGAAGACGCCGGACCAGAGGCATCCCGCAGCCAGAGTGCCAAGGGCCCCTTGATATGAACCCTGTTAGGTATATGGTTAATCAGGTTTGTGGGGGCCCGCCTCAACAACCTCAGCCAGAAGATGATTGGCGGAAATATACTGCTAGACTCAATGGATGGAGCGAGAGCAGGAGCTAAACCGGTGATTAGATGTTAACGGGTCGCGTGGGCAAAACGGCCCCCGCCTGCAAAGATGGAAAAAGCGGGAGACAGCGGTGAGATGGCGGTGCAACATGGAGACAGTAGCAGATCCGGTCAGGTGAAAGTGTCCATCCATCGGTATCTTCGGCCTGGACACCTTCAGGCACATTAACGTACCGGGACGGGAAATGGGGCCCTCACCACCGGCAGCCACCTGCCAAAGCATAAGCGAACGGAATGCAGCAAGGGTAAATCGTCATGGGTGCGCGCACTGAATAAATTCCAAGCAAAAGAGCATTCAATGAGAGCAGCGTGTGGCACGTACGTTGGTACATACCATTTAAGGCGCAGGGCGCCCTGCAGTGGGTGACTGCATCGAAATTGCTGGTACTGGTTGCTGTGCAAGGCACGCGCACCGTGCACGCCTGTCGCGTTGCAAGTCAGGACGCGGTGACGGGGAACATGTTTTAGCACTCAAGAGGGTGAGGGATTGAAAGGAATGAGGATGCGACCATGGGCTTTCCATGGCCCATGTGCAAGTGACGAGGCTCGCAAGTGAGACGAACACAACTTACGGGGGCAAAGCTATGCACAACAGGACTGAGATGCGAGCTGAAACTAAACACATGAAGGGCTGATTCAACGGTTGATGCCTGTTGCTGCGATGCATACATGTGGGCGCATCGGACGTTGATGGTTGACCGTCGATGACCGTCGACGACGTTTTGTGATCTTTCAGCTTGAACCAAAGGGATTCATTATGGAGGCCGGAAACCACGTTTCAATGCTTGCCGTAAGCAAGGAGACCCTGTCCATGGTGGTTTAAAAGCCTACTTGGCCGAGCGCCATCATGCCCAGTTCACCTGCTTCAAGCGCCAGGCCGGCGATGGCTCCACTACAGAAAATGCTAAGGGCCTCTCCGGCTGATTTAGGCCAGCTGCCATACAAATTTTGAGCAAACTCTTTGGCGACACCACCGGAATTGGGTTCCGTTCCAGTCGTATGCTGTCTCCAGTTTTCCATCAGCTGATGTACATATATTAATCTACCTACTGCTAGCCTACTACTACACGCCTTGAGGTAAGTGATAGGCGTGAGTATATCCTTGCACCTAGGGTTTACGCGAGCCTACGCAAAGCTCCCAAGTTGCGCGTCCGTACTAATCTAGTTCACATGATGAATAGTATGACAACTTTTGAAATAATTTGCATTGGCGAGCGCATTGCTCGACCTAGCGAGCGATGCCCGGCGCGGACAGCAGGAATTGTAGAGCAGAAATGCATGGAAGAACACCAAGCAAACGGAAAGTAAAGTGCTTATGGATCTTAGTAGTACGTTCCAGGCGGCCCTGCGCCAGCTTCTGCGGGGTCCTGCAGCCATTTATCATGATGATCAGAATCAGGCACAATCCTCCTAAGCAGCACCTTCAGCATGTGATTCAACTTACCATTAAATACAAATTGTAGTTTAAGATAGTGATGATCCCTATGGCTTTAGTGGCTTTGTGCGTGATGGCCCCCATGGCGTTGGGCGTTAATCGATTCCCGTTGGTCGGACCGTTGGCGATTCACGTCAGGGCACAGCGGCACAGCGACGAACTTCTCTCACGCGTTCACTGTGAATAGATTATTGAATATTATTATTGAATGTCCATTAATAAAAAAAACTGAGATTAGAGGAGTCGTCATGCACGGGGACTGTAGCGGCGACAAGCGCAATCCACCGAAAGACGTTGGCCGGACCAGCGATTGGCCAGATGCAACCGGCTCTCCTGGCTGGCAATCTTGAAGCCCCTGACTAAGCATCAAGATCTGGGCGCCTTGCTTGGCCGACTAGAGATGCCGTCTCCCTCAATTGGCACCACAGTTGCGACCAAGCCACTTGTCGTCACATGATCGCCTGACTGCAGAAACGCGCTGTGCGAGCAATCGCATCAGCCATATGGAGATTCGCACCTTGTCAACTGAGCTCCAGGAGATAATAGGCGGTGGCAGGCTAGGGGTTGACCGCGGTATATGTAGGGTTTGACCATGTGCATACAGGTGCATTCTAATGTGCTAGCCTCGCCCAGTTTGATGCATGTTTAGCCGCGTGCGAATTACCCGGATTAAAGGGAAAGCTCGCACTTCCGATCTTGCCATGACGATTCAACCACACAGGAATGAAGGGGCCTGCGAAAGTGGGATTTGCTGTTTGGCTACATACGCACCCATTCAGCGATGGGCCCCAGCCTCCCCCAGGCAATCCGGTTGCGTTAGTAGACTTGCCGTATTAGTCAGCACTGACACCAGTGGTTCTTTGCTGATACTGCGTGGCAATCGATAGCCCGCGCTTTTGGTTCGCCCTCCCTCCCGAAGGTATCACCATATCTGCTTGCAGGATAACGGTTTACCGATGTTGCATCGGTGCGATTCAACTTTCGGTATCTCTGAGCGTAGCGGTAACTGTACTAAAAAGGAAAAACCCTTTTCTACCCGCAAAATGGCAGCTTGTGTTGCAGCGCCATAGCTACACAGTAATGATAAGCTTATTAAGAAATACGCAAGTATGATAAGATTTGAAATCCTTTGAAACTGGTATGGCTGTCAAGGAATCATTCGTAAGAACATACCGGAACTGATAATCAAAGATCTGTCATTCTTGATTTTTCCGAACCTACTGAAAATCGTCTTTACTGACAGGAACGACTCGACGAATTGCATATGCTACAAGCTACAACAGCTTGGAATTCCAGGGCAGTTCGACAGTCCCCGCGTCAATTATCGGAAAACGACCCCGATCCCGTTGGCAGTGTGCCGAAGTCGGGATGTTTATTTGCTTGCTCGACATAGGCAGGTCTCTGTTCCATCGGGCGGTCCAAAGGACGTGCCATTCAGACGAGACATAATGTTACAACGCGGCTGTACGACATGACTGTTACACCTATGTTACACAGAGTTCACAACTGTGGCGGATGCCAAGCAGTTGCACTGCAGCGCCCTTTCCGCCAGTGAAGAGAGGAGGTGTGCATTTGCTTGGTTCTACTTGGTTGGCGGTAGTATAGCGCAAGTGTAAGTGTGAAGGCCTGTTGCAGGAGTGGGGGCCTGTTGCCGAGGTCCAGGCCCTGCTTACGGAGATCGATGTTGTGCCTCCTGCTGTATTTAAACGGTTTGGTCGCTCAACTAAGGTGCAGGTCCTAGGCCTGCAAGTTTGCAGGTACAGTGGGTTACCTAATGTTGGAGGATTGGACGGTTCGTGCCTCCTAGCAGTCAAAGGGGCCCCGACAAGGCACCAGCGCAGTTTCAAGCCCGCCTCTCAAGTTCCGTCCCATTAAGATGTTCATACGAATGTAGTTTACGGACCAGAATCCGCTTGATGCTATGACTATTATAATTAGGACTGCTCAAACAACGGCATCGATGGGGCGCAATCTTGTAATCTCTTAGGGTGCATTTCCAGTGCGGATTAAGGCCAGGGATTAACCCTCTGTCCTCCATCGATACTTGCTCAAACGGCTAAGTTGTTGGCAAACTTACCTCGCCTTTTCAACCTTTGGTTCCCTTATGGAACAAAAACTATGTGGTAAGCTCCTACCAAGGACTTCCGTGCCCTAATCCCTGGCCTTAATCCGCACTGGAAATGCACTCTTATTCAATATATATCAAATCCCAGTAGTTTGATGTCAGCTGCGCAAGGCTTTGCTTACGAGCTACAGGGTAATGTTTTAAAAGAACGTAGGGTAGGCCATTATCGGATAAAGTATCTCATCAGTTTCAACAAAAAAGGCATGGTGATAACAGGGAAATCCAGGAATAAACTAGATCAAACTTCCTTCCTCAAGTGGGAATACCAGCTTCCATTAGTGGTTCAGGAGGCCTTGGGTGGCCGCAGCAGGTTAGGTTTATTTGGCTCATCTACTAAAGCTAGGAAAGCTATCAGATTCTCAGCTGTAAATCCGCCGTAAGAGGCGCCATATCCTCAAATTTAATGAAAGGAGAAATGTAATGAAATGAGAACGGGCATGTCACGAAATGGCGTTGAATACTTCTTGTCATCACACCTGCCTACGGTTCGTCACACTGTACTGTGCCACCAAACCGGCATAAATCTACCCTCGTCGCAATCCCACACATCCGGCGCCGGTGCGCCATCTATCTTTTATGCAATATATTTCTTAATAGCTTGCTGTCGTTCCCAGAACTTACATTTAAAAGGCTGCACCACTCTGCTAGCTTCCCGACGCCCATCGCAAACGCGCGTGTACCTTTAAACCCACCATTAAATGCTTGAAATGGCCTCGGGAACTTTCTTCGCGGGGAGCGGGCCGCTAAACACCACGCACTTCGCATGAATTGCCTATTTCATCCCACGCATCCGTACAAAGCCCTTATATATCACGGGCATTTACTGGGGCCCTTTGTACCTGATGTAGGTTGAAATCGCCCTCAACCCAGGCATTGCGCATCTGAATTAAAGCTGCTTTTAACGTGCGTGCGGGTTAGCGGGCTGAACATTGGAAACACTAACAGCAGGTAGGTACGTAACATAACGCGTGAGGCACCGGTGCTGCATAGTTGCATAGGCTTCTGTGCTCATTTTGAGCCTCGCAGCTGCAGGTCTATCTCAATTCAGCAGATTTGTGCGCTGCACGCATGCGTCAAAATGATGCGATCCTTCATTCATCCCGTGCTTTTTTCCAGTTGGATATGGTAAATGCCATCAGGAGCCTTCTCATCAAGCCGCTTAGGAAAAACTACTCACCAAGCATTTCCCGGCGAATGCCGCGCTACGTGGTCAGCGCCAAACGGCATCCTGCGTTTTGCCTATCCGTCGCTGCTGTGCTGTTGACCATGCTTCATACAGCAAGTGAGTTAGGTGACTATATCATTGGTGACTATCAGGCATGGGGATTGTCGAATGCACGCACCTTGCGTCTTAACGGCAACCGGCCGACTGCCGCCGCGTGTTTGTAACTAAGCTTTCATCTGCGACTGTAATTTGCTGTTTGACCAGGGGTGATCCGCCTTCCTGGCCATCCTCTGAGTCATCGGGGATCCATGGATTCGTGACGCAACTGGCTTATAAAAGCAAGATCGAATCATTATCAACCGCAACCGTTTTGTGTCCTACTCGCCTGCTGAGCTTTACTTGTGCTCCATCGGTTCACCTCCACGTCTCCGCCGCAGCTGTAGCATCTTTGGCTGAGGTCATGGACGGCCGCGGCCAGGCGGTTGGGGGCGGCACCGGTCTCCTGGATGGGAGCAGCTGGGCCCTTGGAGGCGACGTCATGGATGGAGCTAGTGGACGCAACACCGGCATAACGCGCCTTCAGCGTCGCAGCCTTCAGCAAACAGGTCCGCGTTAAATCTGTTAGCATGCATATGCATGCATAGCGAGCAGAGAAGTCTCTGTATGTCTCGCCAACCAAAGGACACATCCTTCATACGCACAATACCCTGGAAAGATGCAGCAGACGCCCGGGCATGCGGACGCATGAACGAATAACAACGCGAAGTTTGATAAGCAAATCCGGGCTTGTCGACTGAAGCATTGTCAGCCAGGAAAGGGCTAAGCTGGATTGCTGCTGCTGCTGCTGCTGCTGCTGCTGCTGCTGGTGCTGGTTCATATGTTGTACGTTTACTTCGAGGTTGGTCATGTGTTGCATACTCCAATCCACACAATGATGGAGTCGAATCTGATGAATTGATGAAGTAATCGCAGCAGCATCCACTTGGTCCTTGTGCCTATAAGCTCTCAGTACGACGGGGTGCCGCGATCCTCAGGCGATCGAATTTCAAACAAGAGTTACCCCCAAATCGCTTGACCAGAACCAGGGACGCAGGTCTCAGCTTTGATATGATGAAGCCCCCGCCCATAAGTAGGAATGGATTTCCGCAGAGCGGCATCAACGCTGTTAACAGTAGTCGCAAGCCGCCGGCTTGATAATAATTAAAATCAAAACAGTCCGGTTAACATCATCAGTAAGTCTAAACATTTCTTTGTCAATTACAGAAGCCGTGGTAATGAGGACCGAACACTTGGGACCTCCAACCGGCCATTAGGCATTTAGAATCGCGAGCTTAAGAAAGTAGCTTACAGGGCACAATACTGGGTACTTATTAGGTTTTGCTGTTCTTCATGTGTGGATCAACCTTCCAGGATGTCATCGCTCATTCGCGGAGTGGGGTGGTGAGGTAGGGATGTATAGCTTGGCGAGCCCAGCGTATGTTCTTCCCTGGAACGCAGCCATGCATGTATGTGCATGCTTGCTGAGCTTGTCTGCCTCACACGGCTGATACAACTGTACGCACGTATTTTACTTGCGTGGCTTTACGCGCTGGCTTGTCCCTCTGACAGGGACGACAGCGGTAATAGTCCTTCCATCGGTTCCTATTAGTGGAGCCGTCCAGAATCTCTTATCGGCAAACTCGCTCTATGCTGTCAAGTACGCGGGTACATCGGCGACTGAAGTACACGTCACCACCGCCAGTAGCAATTACAACAGGTTCAGTTTACAGACCCCGACTGCTCTCCCTATCACCAGCCCTGCCACATGGAAATTCATGCTGGGCTCGAATGAAGACATCTATGCTGTAAATCTCACTGAAATCAGGAAGCCTGAACTCTTGGTGCTCTCCAGGACCAGCTCTTATCGTTCAGTGAGTCTTCGAGCAACCATCGGAATACCGTCCGGCATTATCACCAATCCTACGGCCGTCCAATTTGACCTGGGTACGAATGACGATCTCTACTTGGTAAGGCCAGATGGGCCAGTGTTCACGGAAGTGTACGTCTTTCCCCGTACCAGCAACTATAACAAGCTTGGCGCCGTAATCTACACAGCTTTACCAGCCGCTAGTCCGTCTCCATATATATTCCACCTTGGTGCAAATGATGACATCTATGCTATAAAACCAGCGGGAACGGTGTTCACGGAAGTCACCATCCTGACAAGAGCTCCCTATTATCAGAGTAGGTCGATCTCTACCACAACCCTGCCGAAGACCACTGAGGCCGCCTACCAGTTCCTTGTCTTGCCGTCAAGGCCGGGTGTGCTTTTCGCGGTACCAAATGTATCGGGCGGTGAGTTAGTGGCTGTAATTACTGCACATGTATATGCTGCAATATTAGGAAATCAAGGCGGGGTACGTTGGATGCATGCATGGGTATAACATGATGTGATAGGGATGCTAGACATATAATAAGGACGTTAAAAAGTGTGTGTGCATTCGCATCGAAGCGAAACATGCATATGCTAACACTACTCTCATCTTGGCTTTTGGATGAGGAGCACTGCAGAGCCCAAACTCCACGAGTTACATGCATGCATGCATGTTTCATTCCTACCTGCTGTCTACACGTGCGTTTGTTACTGCTCCCGTGCACGGAGCAGCTCGTGCTCCGTTGCCACCGTCGCCATGGCCGCCGTCACCGCCACCACGGAGGTCGCCGCCCCCCACACCTTCACCGCCGCCTCCGAAGAGTCCGCCCCCCTCATCTTCACCGCCGCCTCCGAAGAGTTCGCCCCCCTCACCACCGCCACCACGGAGGTCGCCCCCGCCTCCCCCACCAAGCAGCTGCATCAGCGCCTTCAGTTGCCTCACAAATACCTTCAACAGCAGTCAGCTGCTGCAGAACCCGTTTAGCTTAATAGGCGGCGGGTCAATCTACACGGGGAGCGGGTACCTCTTCGACGACCTCCCAATCGGCCCGCTAGTGGAGATACCCCGCAGATTGTCATCCACGGCGCAGCTCTGTCCCTTTCTGACTTTAACGGGCAGCCAAATAGACATGCTGGCCTGGAGCATCAATGGAAACGTGGGAGGCCTCAATCCTTCACGGCTTGGAAGCGTATACATGGCGTTTGTCGCCATTAACGATTTCCTCACGTCATCCATGCCCTACGTGGTTGGCTTCATCGCACCCGTAAGTACTGAGCATGCCGCCTTACTGCCTGCCTGTCGTTGAATGCAGTACTTCTACATTTCCACTATCCGCGGCTGCCTGTGAGAACAACATTAAACTCCTAGCTAGGTTGCATTCTGCTAGCTAGGATAACCTTCACCGCTTCGTCCCTCCCATCATACGCGCCGCTACATCAATTGCATCATCAGCCAAACCCGAGGCCTCTAGATCCATCGTGCGAGCCAACGTAGGCCTCACGCCGTCCCTCATACTGGCCACCTCCTCAGCTTTTGTCCGTAGACGGCATCCATGAAGTGCACATGCAGCCGTATTTAGGGCATACTGTTCGGCGGAAATCCCCCTCCATCCACTCGGGGAACGACTTGGTCACGGATGTGGTCATATGGGGGGTTATATCATAGACCTGGTCATGTTGCCTCATGACCACTCATGAGGCCTCACGACCGGTCGTGCTACCATGAAATGAGTGCAAAACTTGGGCCGGGGTGGTCATGGAGCGCAGTGTACGACTCATGAAATGAGTGCAAAACTTGGGCCGGGGTGGTCATGGCCTGCATTGCTGCATCATCGAATACCATGCGCAACATGACCTGGTCATGTTCCGCATGTCATAGATGTTTATGTGCAGGTATATGACCGACTTTATGAACCCCTGGGGTCATAAAGCGCAGCCATGACTGGCTGGGGTCATATTGTACACAATATTGTGTTTGGATGGTGATGATATATGTCTAATCGTACTAATCGTACATGTATGCAGCCTCCCAAATGTGTGGGGAGATTTATTTACCGGTACGCAACCTAGCTAGCACACTCCACATTTAGGTCGCATCCCAGCCGCCGCAGGTACACTAATGCTAGACTGTCGTTATCTCTATGTATGCGCGTGTATTCACCAGTACTGAACGTGCATACAAGCACACACGTACCCGTCTCGGCTTAGTAGCTGCGTAAATCGCCTCTGCGTGGCTAGCTAGCTAGAGATCTTCCCTCGCGGCTATGTATGAGCGATTTATCGCTGGAAAAGCCATTCCAGGGATTGCAGCTTGGATCGCCCAATCTTTCAGTAGCGTCCCAGTCCGGCCTCGGCTGGCTTGTTAGTAGCCCCACACTACCAGAGTTCAATGCACAGGCCGAGATGTGCGCCTGACCTGATGGCACCTGGCAGGGTGCCTGAGGGCAGGCAGGGTTGAACATCCAATCATATAAAGGCCAGTGGACGATTAATAAGTCTGGCAACCCGGATAGCGGGCACAGGCGTTTACCTGCGAAAACAAAATGCTAGTGATCATCATGACTAATAGTAGTAGTAGTGACTCCCAACCCTTTCACCGTTGTTTCCCTCGATACACGCCGAGTTTATTAGCGGTCCCTAGGGTGAACCCTAGCTACTTTTTGCTGCTGAGTGGACGACGGTTTGCGGCCCGTACGGTGTATGCAGGACTTTGAAGACGCAGCCATTGTGAAAGCGAACTACTTGACGCCCATGTAAGTATCGGCGGCGGCAATGGTTACATACCTCACGCATATCGTGCATTTGTCCATCCTTCATCCTCATTACGTACATACATCCTTCATCCTCATTACATACATACATACATACTCCAACACCATCCCCGGACGGAGGTGCTGTGGAGCGGCTGCGTTGTGTGTTGGCAGTCTGAGTCGGGGTCGGGAGCACACAAGACTAATCGACTTGTGCTGTGTGCTCCCGACCCTTGTGCTGTGTTTCGGCTTTGGCCCCCGGCTCTCGCGGCCCACAGTGTAATCTAAGTCATACATACATACATACATACATACATACATACATACATACATACATACATACATACAGAGCCCGCCAGTTGCGACTTCGTTTATGTTAGGAGACCAGCGGGCATAGATCCCGTCTAGTTGGAGCGCCAAACGAGCGCTGTTGCGTGCCGGCCGTCGTTTCCCGTGCGGCCTGACCGGGGGGCGGAGTGCATGAGACTAACCAGCCGTGTGCACCCGCCCCCCGCGCTGTGTTTCGGCCCTGGGCCCCCAGCTTTTCAGCCCACAGTGTAATCAACGTCATACATACATACATACATACATACATACATACATACATACATACATACCTGTCAGGGTCGGAAATCCTTCCGATGGTGGAAGGTATTGCGCCCCTAGTTGATGGACGGTGGTGACCTGGGATAAAGTTAACCTGCGAGCCGACCATGAACGGAGTTGGGCCGTTGTCGACCCGGCAGATTCCGTTAAATGCTGGTGGTGGGTGCGGAACCTGAGCGATCCACTGAGAAGTTGACTAGGGTGACTCCTCCGAGTCTCTTGCAGCAGGCAAGCATGTTTACCTGTAGGGTTGTAAAACATCAAGTGCCCGCATGAAAGCACTGCTTATCTTCTGCTTACACATAGGCAGCGGCAAGCTCCTGCCGATGATGATGCATGCGCGCGGCTAGGTTGCGCACTTTTAACCCTGCCTCTTCTTTCGTTCTTCCATTGCGCGCAGTTCGGCCCGTGAGATGTCGATCTGCGCCGCCATCAATCCCTGCACGGGGCTCTATCAGCTCGGGTTCGGTGTAAGTTGTCGGAGTAACGCATATCCAGATGATTTGCCGCCCAGCCACGCATCCATGTCCCAATCACGCACGTGCGCGTCGTCACTGAACATGTGCACGCACGCGCTCATCATAAACTTCGTTCGTTGTCATGCATGCCCAGTGGACGGTGCATGTTTGGTGCCCTGGGTGATGTCAAGGCAGGTGGCGTGTCGGCAAGTGTGCTGAGTCCGCAGCATGCAATCTTGCTGGAATGGGCTCCCACCGTTGCATGCATGTATGGGCGGCTTCTTATCACGTATGCATGGGCACCCGGCAGCAGGCTGCTGCTTGCTGGCAAGCGTACACGATGTGTACTTATAATATTTGCGCGTATATGTTCATAACCATGCACCACTCGTGCTAAACAAGGCTCTCAAAGGACTAGGTAGATCATCCAAAAGCCCACGGAAGTCAGCGGAGTATATGAACAGCATGTAACAGCCATGTCCTCCTCTCACCACGCACGTACCTCTTCGAGTCAACTACTATTAGTTCCGTCGTCACCCTGCTGTATGTCAATTTTAGGATGTCTACAGAGTAATAAAAATTCCGCCATACTTACGTTGACAGTGATGTACGGTGCTAGATGTATTTCTTGACTTGCCCACATGCATGCTTACTAATATTAACACATGCTGATACCAGTACACAATAATTCTCATCACACACTTTCTGGCATATGTGCTGCATATATACACCTACCCTACGTCCTTACCACCGGTGCTGCCGCCGTGCACGCATGCAGGGTGCTTGGGGACAGAGACTGAGTATCTCCCAGGACCCCAATCTCGACTTATACTTGACGCTGCACAGGCTCTCCGTCAGCAGCAACTCCAGGCTGCTGACTATCAACCTGAAGCGCCTGTGGAACCCCACTGCGAATCCAACAGCTGGCGGTACCTTAACAGATGTTCAGTTCAACGGCAAGATGATGGTGGAGGGCTCGGGTGTTGAGAGCTCAGTCAGCTTCAACCTTCAGGCCCGACGCACAAACAAGTTCGTGGCCAAGTTTAATATGTATAATGATCTTGCTGACAAAGTCCAGCTTGCATGGAGTAAGTAACTCGGCGGCGGCTGGTTGTTATATGTATGTTGTTACAGGGTGGTTAACTTCGCCAGCGGCCCCCTTTCCCGGGGCAGTCCCTGCTCTCCCCTGCTAGAGGGGCACCCTAATCCGTCACCCCATCCGACTTCAGAATGTATTCGTTGGGTTCGGCAACTCACCACCAGCATCCAACCAAATCTAGCGGATCAACGGCGCATCAACTTAGTTCCTGGTTAGCTCGCAAGTTGATAAATGTATCATTATTTCCTTGCGCATTCCATTTGGATCTGCTAATCGTTCCCCACTCTCTCTCCACATACTAGCATGATGTAGTAGCTGGCCGCAGAAAGGTCTCTGTTTCAAGATGCTAGAGCATTTTTGGCACGTACTATTAAACGGCGTGTACACCTTTCAGTTCAACAGCTACATACTACAAGCAAGTGCGTGCATGCTATGTATGCAGGCATGCAGTATTGGTAAGCGGAAGTCCCATTAATGATTACATGCTCAGAGATGCATCCCTAAATATCTCAATACGAGGAATCGACGCTGAACCAAAACAGCTCATCCTGCGACCTTCCACCGGCAGCATTCTAACGCATGCACGCACACACATGCATGCGTGTCTACATCATGTATGTATGTATGACGTTGATTACACTGTGAGCTGAAAAGCCGGGGGCCCAGGGCCGAAACACGCGCGGGGGCCGGACTGGTTAGTCTCATGCACTCCGCCCCCGGGTCAGGCCGCACGGGAAACGGCGGCCGGGACACAACAGCACTCCCCTCCGGGGTTTGGCCTTCCAGCTAGACGGCATCTATGCCCGCTGGTCTCCTAACAGAAACGAAGTTGCAACCGAGGGCCTCTTCCGTTGACCGAACGAACCGAGCACCTCAGAAAACTCGCAACCAGGACCTGGGCGTCCGGGAGCCCGACGAGTCATCCCGGGCTGGGGAGGTCACCAAGCTCAGAAATCCTCACGCAAAAAGAGCGCAAAGAGCTCACGCCACATGACGCCAAACAGCCTCCTGAGACTACTAACCTCCTCCGCCTCTCCCTCCCCGGGCTAGTCCAGGGGAGATAGCACCCGTCGGGGGGATAACGCCACACAAGCCCACACCCTTCCACAGCACTGGGTCTAACTTGAAAAGTACTCGAACGGGGAAACCCTGCGGCGACGCCGGGCGATCAAGCCTCCAAAAGCCACAGGGGGGGAGGGTAGCCAGCTCGGCCGCCCCCCATTACCGCTCTACCAAGACGGCTGGTTCCCAAGATCCTATCTCACCTAGACGCCGCAACACACGAAACCCGGTCTCGTACCCTAGTCCAGCACCACGCGCGCACCTCCGAGTACGGCCCCTCCTGGGTGCCCACCTCCCCCTCATCCACGCCCTCGCGACGGCCACCTGTTTCCACTCACAACCCCTCAACCCTACATCCTCTTGGTGCTCTCTCTGCCTCTTCCCCTCCCGTATGTATGTATGTATGTATGACGGCTGATTAGAATGTTCGAACCTGCATAGGGTGCGTGCATCAACCATTAGACCTGTGTACAGCACCAGACGCACTGCTGCTGGCCTCATGCATACCGTATTTATTAAGGTAAACGGCGGAAATAAACGGGTTTGCAGACGGTTGTGTGCTCCTTATTATAATAGGGAGCACACAATTGTTAGCCCTTATTTAAGGGCTAACAATAACCGACAGCAAGATGAATATGCGTGCGTGATGGCACCTCCAATAGCTTACCATGCATAAGCAAGCTTGTATCGTAATTCTGCTGCAGCCACGATGGCACGTACCTGCGCTGTCTCTATGAAGCGGCAATCACTACATGTGTAGTCTTATTTCGTCATGCACACGTATTTGCAAGTGTTATGCATGCGGGATGTATGCATGTCCACCCTGCTGCTGCTGGTGTACAGCAATAGTACATGTACTACTTGCTGCTGTCCAGCGGCTGCGTACGTACAGCAATACATACGCACGTGTCGCGATTATTCTTCCAAATCGCATGCATGGACGTTGAGCGAATGCATGCATGGTTCTTATGCATATGCATGGCCGGATTCGTTACCCGAACAATAGCCTTAAACCCTAAAGCAAACACATACTGTTCCATTGGCATGGATTACCACTAATATTGCAGATCCGCTAAAAATTGTCTCCAATTCTGGCGGTGGCGACATCAGCATGGCCACGGTCATCACTGGCTCACCCAACGTACGTTATTATATGACTTCAGCAAGCAGGGTTAGCAATCAAGCAAGGGTCAGGTTAGCGTGGCGAACCTCGCTCCTCCTCACTACATGCATACATACCTATACATTGGTCAGGCACTACTGGTTGAGCACGTACTTATGCCCCCGGAGGTTCTGGGATCGAGACCCGTTAGGGTCAAACTTCCTTCGGATGGTGGAAGGTAGAAGTGTCTCTAGTCGATGCATGGTGATGACCTGGGCTAAAGTTGACCTGCGAGTTGACCAGGAATGAAGTTGCACCGCCGTTGATCCGGCAGATCCGTTGGATGCCAGTGGTGGTGCGGAACCTAAGCGATTCACTGAGAAGCTGGCTAGGGTGACTAAACGAGTGTGCCCCGAAATACCGGGGAAGGCAGGGTCTGCCGGGTAGCGGCCGCAGGGTGAAGCTATGACACCCCTGTTCCACATATTATAATTGCCTGTCAGACCTATTACTGTACAGACCTGCCTATCAGACCTATTGCTCTATATACCTGTACATGTCAGACATCAATATCACTGCCAATATGTTTGTGTGTGTGTTACACCTTGGAATTGTCTGAGTTGCGTTACCCTCCGAAGATGTAACGGCTGTGTATACGTGCCGTACTTTCAAGCCTGCTGCCTGCTGCATGCATGCTCGGCTGTACACGCACGTACCTGCAGGTTGAACTGGACAGCAGCAGATTAACTTTTGAAGCTAGCAGTATAACTATGCATGGGCTCTGGTAAGTTTCATTCAGCTAGCAGCAGCGAGCGGGCTGCACTGGTTATCATCGCTTTCGTATGCAAAATGTTATATTTTATCTTCCATAGCTAAATCGTACACTAGCTGGTATGTTATTAGGTAGGGAGCGTCGCGTCCTTGTCTATTGTACTACCAGGGTGTAGTACCAAGGTGCGAATGTTACTCACGTTGCTCATGTTTTTTTTTGAAAATGACCACGTGTGCACACTCATATACCAGTGAATGGTGACGAGAATAATCGGACACTTTGCTGATTCTAACATACATCTGTGAACAGATTTAAAATTGAGGAGATCATTTGTATATCTCCAGGCCTATCTATTATACCAAACATTAATATTGCATGATCTATATACCATTTTATACAATGAATCGATAATGATCTATTTTTCGATCCTATCTATTATAGGATAATCCTGTCTAAAGATCAAAAACTTTTACAGAAGTTCAATATACAGCACACCGCAACACCACTGGCGCAACTGCCATGCCGATTGTTAATGATATCACACGCACATACATTTGGATGCAGGTATGCACAGTCACATTGTAACACCAGGCAAAGAGTACTCAGGGAGATGCCAAGGGAGCTGAACCCTTCTTACATTCCTCCCTCCCTGTAGCAAGCGTCCTCGGGCGCCCCCGGGCATATCCCGTAGGATTTGGGTTAGTTGATATAGGATTGTGAATTTCTTTGTTATTATGACATATCGTCAGTCCCCGTCCGAGATGGAGGACTTTATTGTTTACTCTGCTGGTAGACTTCTTGCCCACCTGGGCATTCACCTTTGGATATGGAGTATGCTGCTTCATGCCTGGAGTGCACTATGTTCGTAGCCAGATTCGACCCGATGAGGTTCCACCTCCTAGCAATTCGCACCAATGTAACACCAGGCAAAGAGTAGTCAGGGAGATGCCAAGGGAGCTGAACTCTTCTAACACACATACGCGCATATACTTACGCCCAGCCACCTCTGTTCTGTCGTCGCCATGCCCTTTCTCATGCGTGCATGCAGGACTACCTATGCCAATGGCAACTATGTGCTGCAGCTGTCCATTACGGAGCCAATTTCCACATCCGAAGCCATCAGCTACACAGGCTTAGACGACCAGTACAGGCTGCTCAACGAGTATGTGCCTGCAATTGGGTATCGTGAGTGGCCCACCACTGTTTCTTGGTATGTCGCCCCCGGCATCTATGGAGTGCGGGTGGACATCTACACCTCGTCTGCTGATTATTGGTGGCAAGTAGGAGGAGAATTATTCAGCATAATCTGTACCGAAAAGGTGGGCAGTTTAATACACGGATGATGAACTGCATGTATGTTTGTTCACATCAGATGTACGTATTAGTATGTACTTCTAACACTGTTCTGTAGGGGAGTGCTGGTAAAGGGATACAGGTGAAGGGCAAACCGGCTGTTACAAGCCTATGCGCGCGTGTGTGTATGTGTAGCGTGTGGATACATGCGTGTGAACAGCAGCAATTTGCATGTATGTAATGGAGGTGACGAAAGCAAGGTGTATCATCGATGATATATGATATCACAGGCCAGCATAGGCAGAGCGAAATGTTTTTGTATGAGGCATGCAGAGGGTGCATGTTCAGATGCACTCAGCAGGCAATTGTCATGAATGGTTGACGTTGGGAAAAAAACAATAATCCCCCGTCCAATTAATATTATGTATGTATATCCGTACATCACGCGCGCACATCCATGCATGCTGCATACCCTGCTGCCTTCTCACTGTAAAATCCTTGACCGGTATTATCTGTTTACACATAAATGTGTACCATTTACGGCAGCAATAGCACTGTGATCAATGATTTCGAGTGATGAGGCCGGCATTCCAAGAGCAAAGTCCCATCCCTTCTGCTGCTCCCATGCTGCTGGCCGTTATATAATCCGCTATGCCCCCTCCCCGCCCCCATGCCATTACTATTCCGCTATTTTTGCTTGTCGCAGACCTCTGGCAACACTGCCACTTCGTACTCATCAGCTCTCGTTGACGGTTCTGCCTTGTATGCGGCTTCTTCTATTCGTACGATTTGATCTTGCACCGAGTCCACTGTGTCCACTTCCGTGTACATACAAATTTAGATGCAGCAGCGATCTGTGTATGTGTGGTAACCGTGCTACATATGAGTGCATGCGATACAGTAGTACTTACTTGGGGCTTTGGTGAACACAAAGAGAACCTACCCGTGTACGAATTGCCACACCGTGTGTGTATGCTTATGGGTGTATGTGTTCATGTGTCACCATGCATGAGTCGGACACGTCGTTTCGGAAGGTGGGCGGGGTCGCTAGCAGCTATTTCTAGTTTGTCTGATCTTTGCAGCTTTGTTTCTTCATTCGAGGCTGTCATGCTTTGGGATGGTTCCGTGGTGCTGCTGGCGTTAGTTGTCCTGCATGGAGATAGTAGACCTCCTGCTGATAATGGGCCGACGGGGTTCGTATGTTGCTTTCGCATGCGTATGCATGTGTTGCGATATCTGATGTAACTGCTCAGCTGCTGATGACCATCATGTCATGGCACCATGCTTAGTTCCGCCTTGCCATGAGCCTTGGTGTCCGCGGATAATGCTGTCTGCTGCCAGAAGACTTGGTTTACGGCTTGGTGAAGCATGCGTGGACAGGTAAGTACTAGCAGTGTTTTTTAAAAGAGTGGTTACTAGTGACCAAGTGGTTACTGAGAAAATAATTCCCTTCCAGAAGGTGGTCACTAGGAACTGTTTTGAGTCACCTGTCAGTAACCAGGTGGTCGCCAGGAAATGGGAGCAGTGATGCTTTACTGAGCTCGGCTCGGGAACACCTTGCCGTACATAGGGTCAAAGTTGGATCTTCGGATGCATGGTTCTAATGGGCTCCTGTTCAGCATACTCGCTGGGGAAAAAATTCTGTAAGGTGGTTACCGAGGAATACCCCTGATAATTCAAAGCCTTACTCATTAATACTCAAACCCCTAAGCACAGCAAGTCCTTAAGGCACAGTTCATAACTGGTATTAATTTCATGGATAGAAGGTTGGATTTTGTTAGGATTAGTGTTTCTTCGGGTTCTCTGGATCCTCTAGGCATGTATTTCCACACAGCCATTACCTCCTTCATTTACCCGCCTAAAAACACCCTTCAATGTTTGCCACGTTTGCATCATTTCTATCTTCCGCCGGTCCGTGTCTGTCTGTGCAGCGCCGCCGTTGCAGTACAAGCAGTGCGGTGGTGCTGCGGCCGGGGTTCGGGGTGGTGGTGCTGCTCCGGTGATTTATCCACCTAAGCGAGAGGGTGTTGACCCCGCCGCCTGCATCGTATGATAGGCTGGCGGGGGACTAACCTGTTGCCGTGGCCTTGTCATCGATGAGCAAGAGGCCAAGCAACTTGACGATGGGAGCACGCATGTCTCTCATATACCCACTCCAACGTTTTTACCCCAGCATGAGTCCGTCCTTGCCTGTACTGCTGGTCTGCTCTTATTATCGAAAGCGATGTTTCCCACAAAACAAGTAACGAACCACTACACACACATGCATCGGCCCTTAGGACGCATTTTGCATAAACATCCTATGGGGGGCCTTCATTCACCCATCAGGGAACCAGGCCAGGCCAGCCCCCAATCCTCCTTTCATGTCGCCATGTCCAAAGGCTTTCCACTTGCACGGCATAATCGTGCATTCCATATTTTTTCCGCAACGCAGCGGTTGAGTTGAGTTGAGTCAGGAATGAGACAGCCCTCGCTCTTTGCTGCATGCGTGCAAATTTATCATCTTGGCGACTGCAGCTCTCAAAGTCCCCGTGTGCACGCCGTACAGAGTAGTACCAACTACCAACCAACCAACATAAGATGGAGGAAAATGGAGGTGCACCAGTAACAAACTTGAAGAGGCTATTTGACATGTCCGAGTCAAAGAGCAGCATTACCCGCCCCCTGTGCGACGCTGCAACTTCTGGTAGCACCACAAGGAGGTTTCGGAGCCAGTCGCATTGGCCGGTCACCGCGGGCTGCGCAGCATTAATAAGGACTTTATCGCCAGAAAAAAGTGAACAAAAAGCAGCAGCAAGACCAAGAAGCCAGGACTTAATCCCCACATCGCCACACCGACGAATGAAACGAAAAATTCATCTACCTCCAAATCCGAATGGAACTTTGCCTCCTAACACATTAATCAGCTGCTGTCCATACTGCTACCATGCACAAGTAACCTAGCGGATTCCCACACGCTCGCATTACTCCCTCCTAAAATAAAACACACAGGAAGGCCAAGGCAGGGCACCGCGCGCGAGCGAGCGAGGCTGCCCTGGACAAGTGCCTGTGTGCCTTCGTTTCCCGTTCAAAGAAGAGGGAGGCAGAGGAGGAACCGGCCGCATAGAACAGCGTCCACATGTCTGCCTTGTCCTCGGCGGACTCCCCTGCCTATATCCGTTCACATGGCCACAATAGCACGGCACGGCCTGGGAGCCTCGTTGGGGCCCTCCTTCTCCATCATCCCCCTCACACGTTCTTATAACCCTGCCGTACGATGAGCTATCTAACGACTGAAAAAGCATAACGTTCCACAATCCAGTGTAGACTTCCAAGTTGCCGCCCCCACCATGCCTCCCTTATTAACCCCCAAGGCAGGCTTCTGCAGAGAGAAAAGCCATCGCAGTGACCACAACACAAGAACCAAGAACCCATACATAACGCTTACATACAGTGCACACGCGGCACGCAATGCGATCCACAAAATCATAAACTGGGACTTCCTCTTCTGCCCGCGGGACAACCCCACCAGCAGATCCACCGACGACGTACCATCCCCCACCGCCAAGAACTTGAGTTCCCCACCCCACATCGGAAATGGGTCAGCACACACAACTGGACAACTCGGAATACATGAATTGTGGACAGGCCCAGCACTCCGCCACGACCAATCCGGGGCCCATGTGAACTAGGTTGCATCACGGACATGGGACCCACCCACCCAGGCGTCTTGCGGTAACAGGCGGGGGGAACCGGGGGCACATTAGGTTCCATGAAATCCAGTATGCGTGCACACGTACAACCGCACATCTAACAGTAAGGGTATGGGGACCACGCGAAATTCACCATAGGGCAACATCTTGCCATATGAAACGAGCGGGATGCACGGCGGCTCCATTCCAGGGACCCAAAGGCGAAAAAGGAACCGACGTGAGCCACACACATTCACGCTGCATTTGCTGAGGGCGTTGAGAGCAGCAGCTTTTCTTTCGGCCAGCCGCCCGGCCTGAGGGACATCAGTCCTTGCATCTGGGAGAGCGACGCCCCGACGCCCATGCAACTGCCAGACAGGCGGCGGCCATGCAACAATATCCCTGCTGGCAGGCAGCAGCCACCCTCACTTCAGTTCCAACCTCCTCCCACAGTCCGCAGCGAAAGGAGCCCACTTCTGGCACCATGCCTCGGCGTACCTCGCATGTAGAGTACGATGGGATGCACGGCACGTCGTCGTAGCTGACGATGAGCATCGAAATAGTAAAATTCAAGGGCGCTATGTGACCATCTAGCCATCACTGCTGCTGTAAGCGTTACCACCAGGTGAGCTGACGCGTTCGTTTTCCTTCCGCTACATGTCTTTCACTGCCTTGTTGTTGACTCTCTTCCATAACGTTGACGCCGTCACGCACATCAAAACTGGTCGGCCCCACCTTTTTCGTTATCTCCTACACATCTCGCCACACAGTCACGGGTCGTGCCGGCCGCTGCTGCCACCCGCTCGCCTTCCGCAATCGACAAACACGTGCAAGAAAATCCCTTGTACGACATCAGGTCCTGCATGGCAACGATACCTTTATGACGGCGACGCAATGTCCTCCTCAATCGCACGTTGATGTACATCTTTAAGCATAAATCCAACCTCCGGGACCTTACTCTCTACGTCGAGGGCCGAAGCCCGGAAAGCAATACTTGCTTCGCGATATGTCGTATTCGGTTGAAAAATCGCGACCCAGCGCGCGACCTAGGGATCACAACAACTACCATTGCGCCCGTAATTCTTGCTTATGTTCGCCTTTTCGCATAAATGAGGAGGGCGTTCAAGCCCTTCCGCCGGCTGAGTATTAATAAAAGGAAATGGCCAGGCCGGCTGGTCACATTGCACGACCGCATGCCAGTGATGGGAACCCACCAGAAGGCGCCAACGGCATGTAGTTAGTGCTTTCCAAGTCCCCCACAATTATATCGCGCCACGAGGCGCTCTTGGATTTTAGGAACCAGCCCATTCGGGCAAGAAGCAAGGAAGGGGGACTGTCAACCCAGCCACTTAAGGTGGATGGAAGGGTCGCTGTCCCTCAAACGTACAGCAACGTACTCTGCTGCGGCATTTCCATCAGGCAGGCAGAAAACTTGAACCCAACTTAAAAAATTCATCCACATGCACCCACGGCCCTGGCTCGGTCCGAATTAACCGGCGGGTCACTTCCTGAAGACACGGCGTACAGTTTGTGTGAGCAGTTAAGGCACAGATGACCCTCGCTTCAAAGTTCATTCTTCGCAACCACCAACCACCAACTAACGAAGCTCCTCACACTATCCAAAATGGCTAAAAGTTGCATACCGCTGCAACCCTACCGTGCAGCAGCACCATTTCGTTAGTCCCCGATTGTGATTTTCCACCTCCGCCATTGATCTGCATACATTCTTTCCTTCCCACGCGCCCAGATGATTAAACCACACGCAGACATACACACATATGCACACACGGAGAAAGAGAAATGAGGTCCCAGGACGGTGCATCCGAAGGAATGCGATAAACTCTTACCGGGCACCACCCTGGCCGTTACCGTCCCCAGCACGCACTGCTGCCACCGACCAGCTTGCCTAACACCATTGCAGAAGACGGCATGGGACTGCAGCTGGCCCGGCGGTCGAGCAGCCTAGTTAGGAAAGCGGAGGATCCGGTTGCACCAGATGCAGAGCCACCCCAAGCAGGTCACAGCGGCCGACCTCCCTCGGCTTCCCATCGTCCACAGGAGCCTTCTCGCTCCCTCCCGCTTAACGGGCATATTTCGTGGCTGTCGGTAAGCTCTTTGTTGCCGCGCCAGTGATAGCAAAACGAGCCTTTGGAGCCCACCAACCCATAGGGTGTTTAAACAGGCATTGAGGGCAGAAGCCCGCTAGTAAGATGCCCCAGACACACCAATGCCCCTCCAGGTATTGCTTCATGTACGGCTCGCATGGGCCCCCAGGTTACACCTTTGGAGGGTAACGCAATGCCAGAAGGTGTGCAACACGCAGAGAGACACACATACACACCTTTTTCGTTCTGCCTCCAACATCTCCGTACATAACCCGTTCAGCTACCACCAATTCATGGACCCCCTTTAATAATCTGGGGCTCTTCAAAGCAACGTTCAACAGCCGGACAGCCATCCAGCACCGAGACCCACATCTCTCCTCTTACATTCTCCCTTCATGCCCTCTCGATCCGACGCAGTCCCTCCCGAGCAGCGTCTTCCCCACCTCACCCCACTCCACTCCACTCCACTCCGCTCCGCTCCACATCACCGTGCCCCATCCCTGGAGAAGCACAGCCGCCAAGAGCTACACACGCGGACGTCCAGGGGTATCCGAGGGTGCTTAGATGTCCTCTTCGGCAAGGTGGCTACACGCAGCCACGTGGTCCTATCCGGCCCTATCCATCCCAGGCCACGCGCCGCCCTTCCCCCTTTGCACAGGACTTCCTCCCAACCCATGCACCTCCTGTCCTGGTTGGTGCGTGTGCGTGTGCATGTACTCGCATATCCCCAAACCAGGACTATCAATGACGCCCCCTTCCCCTCCGCAACTTGCTCTGGTGGCGCCGTAGGTGAGCAACACACCACCGCTCATCAAGTGGACGCCAGGCACCCAGGGAACAACAGCATGAAGAACTCCTCAAGTATTTCCGAATGCTTTGCGGGGCCGCATTATTGCAGTGTACCGAATTGCCGAATGGGTAGCGTACCAACGGTACGCTTAGGCAGCTAAAATCGCCAAGGGCGAAATCCGCGTTATTGAGGAACTGGTAACGCCGCAGAAATCCAATCAGTAGCAGCAGGGTCAGCTGGGCCCTGCGCCTGTACCCGCGGGTCCCCCGCCCAGTGCCGAAGCTGACGCCACGCCGCCCCCGGCCACGGACCCATGGGCCGCCGGCGGCGCGACGACGGGGCCCGCGAAGCAGCTTAACAGCGACCCCGCCTCATCTAGGCAGTCCAGTAGCCGCCGGATGACTCCCAGCTGGTCGGGCGGCATGTACTGGGCGAGGAGGTCGAGGAGGTAAGCGCGAGTGGCGGCCTGGCCACGTCCCTGGAGCGCTTGCTGCAGCCATGTCCGTACAGGGAAGGACGCCACAACGGGGTGGCTGGCGACGCCCGCGTGGCTGAGCTGCAGCTGTAGCGATGACAGTAGCAGCATCTCCACCTCGGGATCGATACGTGCAGCTGCGGCGGCGGAAACCGCATTGGCGACGACGGCGGCATGGGAAGCGGTACTGTTGGCGGAGGTAGCGCCGAAAAGGTCCGATGCTGGCGCCGTTGCGCTTGCCGCCAGGTGCAGGCTGCCAGGGCGTCGGAACCCCGGCCTACCGGCATCCGCGAACACGCCACCCTGCAGAAGCGCGAACACGCAAAGCACCAACCAATGCCAGCTTTAGTGACAGACGTCTTTTCCAGTCCGTTCAGGAAACGGTGTCATGCGCCGCACAAGGCACCACACCGCATGGGATGGAAGTGTGCCAGTGGAATGGCTAGCATCTGTCGCACAAAAGACGTGGCGTGTTGGTACACCCTCTCGCGCCCACACAGAACTAACTCTCCACCGCACCACACCACACCACACCACACCACACCACACCACACCACACCACACCACACTCACCACACCACACCACACCACACCACACCACACCACACCACACCACACCACACCACACCACACCACACCACACCTCACCACACCTCACCACACCACACCGCAATGCACCGAACCTGTGGGTTCAAGCCACCATTGCCAAACGTGCCCGCTCCCAGTACACCAGCAGCAGCTGCAGCTGCGGCAGCAGCGACCGCATCATGGGGCCCCCCACCGTTGCCCCCACCAGCAGCTGGCTGGGCGCCCTGCTGCAGCTGCTGCTGCCCCGTACCGGAGAGCTGCAGCTGCTGTACTGCAGCTGCTGCCGCCGTGGCGGGGTCCTCCGAAAGCCTCGCGCTGTAGCTTCGAGGCGGCGGCCCGGCCCGCTGGCCGCCGCTGGTGAAGGGAGATACCGGCCCTAGCTGCAGCCCCGGTTGCTTAACCTGCTGCTGCTGCTGCTGCTGCTGCTGAGTTTGTCCTTGTCCTACTTGGTGGTGACTGCCGGACGGGAGAGCTACAGTGACCCAGCCGCTCAAGAGGCCTGCGTCCCCATGGCAGCAGTCCCCCAAGGGAAGGCGGGGTGTTCATGACGCAGTGCTCATGGGAAAGTCGGGTGAGGATGGCCCTTCGTCTCCATCACCCCTTTGCCTTCCCCCCGGCTGAAAAGGGCCTGCAAACACACGCGACCTGCAGTGCCTAAACAGTCGCCGTGTAGGTAGCAGTGCCGCTACCAGTGCTCCACGAGCAGCGCCACAACCGCGACAACCCACCTAGTAAGGCCCACTAGGCTAATGTCCCGCTAGTTAGGTTATTTTCCGCCAGGGCTCTTTCTCTGCCTGTGTCTCATTTACACACGCTTTCAACTCTCCAGCCCCCCTCTCGCCAGTGTACCAGTACCAGTAGATCGCATATCACATATCGCATCATCATCATCATACCCATGTCATTATTGCCATTCCCTCCCTCCCTCCCTCTCTCGCCCTCACCGGAGGGTTCAGCTTCCTCCGTCGTGTCCAGGAGGTTGGTAGATGAATGCGCCGCCAGGGAAGTCGACGGGGGGACCCCCGTGAAGTCCAAAGAGGCCGTACCGCTGCCGCCACCGCCGCCCGTTTGCCCAAAGTCGAGGCCGCCGCTCTGCTGCTGCACGTGCGACAGCCAACCCCCTGGTCCGGAGCCGACGCTGCCGCCAACGCCGCCGCCCTGGCCCGCCGCCGGGTTCACGTGATACGGCCCAATTAGCGGCTGCTGCGGGAGGTGTCCGATAGCCTGTTGAGGCCTTGCATGGGCCGCTGCTGATGAGCTTAGGCCCGTTGCCATCCCACCGGCACCACCACCGCCACCTCCAGCAGCGGCAGCAGACCCGCCAATCCGCTGTTGCTGCTGCTGCTGCTGTTGCTGCTGCTGCTGCTGCTGCTGCAACTGCATGTGCTGCTGGTGTTGGTGAAGTTGCTGAAGGTGCTGCTGCAACTGGGGGGCACCTAGGGGCAGCGGCCGAGCCCCTGGCGGCAGTCCCACGCCCTGTCCCGAAGCTGGGCCGCCGCCGCCGCCACCGGCTCCCCCGCCAGCCATCTCTCCTGCGCTGCCGCCACCACCGCCCTGTGCATTCCCTCCTACGTATATCCCAACGGAGGCCAGCCCGGTCACCGTCAGCTGGTGGTGGCTGGTGGATCCTGGTGTGTGGTACAACGACGTCGCCGACGTGGACTCCGACGGCGCCAGCGCAATGTCAGCCGTTGTCCCTACAGCGCCGCCGCCGGTGCCGCTGGGGACAGTCGCTGGCGCTGCGGTCAACGGCATCTCCTCCGTCAGGCCCGTGTACAGCGTGCTGGCGTTAGAGAGAGTCCTTTGAAGCTGACTGGAAGATGGCACTCGGTTAGGTGGCCCCGAAACCAGGCCCAAGGAGGTGCTTTCGAGCGGTACGAACGTCGAGGTGTCTAGTTCGTACGGTGCAGAGGCGCTGGCAGTAACGCTTCCACGGTGCTGCACAGGGCCGACGGAGCCGATGCTCGTGCTCTGCTGGCTGCGTCGCGACTGCTGCTGCGGATGATGATGATATGAGCTCTGTGCCGTGTTGAGCAGTAGGGCGTGGTCGCTGGAGAGACTCTGTCCGGCGCTGCCAGCTGTAGGGGCAGGGAGCAATGGGAGGGATAAGTGGACTGGTACAAAGGGTGCAAAGAGCAAGATTCGAAAGAGGACGGAAAGGTTTTACACGGGGGTAAGATGTAGGGGCGACGAGCAAGGAATGGGTGGTGATCGGGGATGCCACCGAGTCGGCCCCGGGCTGGAGAGGTGGTCTGTCGGGCCAAGCCAAACGAACAAGCACATAAGCGAAGGCCGGGGGACCATGGACTTAGAAGGCCGCCTGGCGTTCTCCGCGCCGGCCTTCCCAGGGGGAAATCTAACAGGGGTAACAAGACACATGGATCGCGTTATCAAAGAGCTTTCTTCAGTGTTTTGCATCTCACAAACGGCAGAAGACCATCGCTGCGACGCAAAGTGAGTGTGACACAGTACAATTGAGCAGCTGGAGTCCGGTGGGACCTAGATAGGTATCGAAGTCCTTCGTTATTAAAGGCAGTTATGCAGCTCGAACTCTCGACAGGAATACATGCTTTGAGGACGCGGAGAAGTGAGACGCAACGAAGGGCAAGGAAAGAAATGCGAATGAAAGGAGCTAGGGGAGCCAGCCAAGAATGGGAAGAACGAAGAGATAAGGAAAAAGGGATACATGGGAATATGCATACACCAGGTAGGGAGAGGGCGCTCCACTCCGAGGAAGGAGCGGCGCTCACCTCCCGGCTGCAGCGATGGTGGGGGCAACGGCGCTGCTGACGCTGTCACCGCTCTCGCACCTGCCACCATTCGCACATCCACCACGGAATGCACACCGCCGCCGCCGCCACCTCCCGACAACAGCCCCCCTCGCTGCATGTGCTGCAGCTGTTGCTGCAAACCGGCAGAAGCCTGCAACACTAAACGCGGCCGAATACTGCCGCTGCCGCCGCTATTCACAGCGCCGGCGGCGGCTGCCGCCGCCGCGGCTGCATGCCCAGACACGGACACCGACGCACTGCGTACGGCAGCTGCGGCTGCCGCCGCCGCTGCGGCGTCGGATTCGCTGCCGGCTGCACCGCCTGCCGCACCCAGCTGCCCCAGGACTCCGGCCGCATCGCCGTCACACGGCGCCCCGGAGGATCCAGGACTCCGCTGGAACGGCTGCGACTGCTGCTGCTGCTGTGCTTGTTGCTGATCACCGCCGGACGAAGTCCCCGTCCCTCCCTTCCAGGGCACCCGTAACTCTTCCAAGCTGTGGGCGAAGAAGCACGAGGGCCGCGTGCATTGGCTGCCGTACGTGCACATGAGGGCTTTATACCTGCGAGCGGGAACAGGGCGGGGAGAGGGAGCCGTGGAAGTCGGTTAGTATCGCCGGCATGTGTTTCTCAGATTCTTGTGCGTACCTATGTATGTATGTATGTTGTTACAGGGTGGTCAACTTCGCCAGCGGCCCCCTTTCCCGGGGCAGTCCCTGCTCTCCCCTGCTAGAGGGGCACCCTAATCCGTCACCCCATCCGACTTCAGAATGTATTCGTTGGGTTCGGCAACTCACCACCAGCATCCAACCAAATCTAGCGGATCAACGGCGCATCAACTTAGTTCCTGGTCAGCTCGCAAGTTGATATTATCACGTCCTACACCGTCCATAAGATGGGGGGCCACCTCCCATTTCATCACTCCTCAAACACCCGAGGAGCCGGCAGGCGGATTTGAACCCGGGTCGACTGGGTCGACTGGGAGCAGAAGTCAGGCCTTAACCTCTGCCAGCCGCCTGCATATGTATGTATGTATGTATGTATGTATGTATGTATGTATGTATGTATGTATTTGTGTTGTGTACCAGAGAACCCGACTGCCGTACGACGTCATCATGGTCCCGACCGTTGATGGATGACGTGCCACGAGATGCTGTGCTCCATAATGCTGTTACCATTGAGACCGAAAGTATGCACGCACTACCATCCTTTACCTTTGGGGATGAAGCCATTGCTCAAAAACGTTATGTGCATAGCCGCACGAGTCTCCAGCGGGGCATCCTGATTTCTGCGGTAGTTTCGGAAGAAGCACGGGCGCAGGGGAAGGGTTAAGAGGTGCTCTAACGAATATGGGCAGGGCAAGCCAGGCGGCAAAATCGGATGCGGGGGGTTGGGGGATTCGGCCTCGCGGAAGCCTATGCCTCAGGCGAGATGGAGGCAGCTTGGGCACATGAGAAGAAATATCGCGTCATGATCAGCTGCGTGGCTGCATCTACACGAGGATTCATGGGCGCCTGTACCGCAGGCAGCCGAGCATGCATGGGTACTTTGCCGAAGACCGTCTTTGAACAACGCGGTTATTAAGAACCTTTGCTCTTTGCGTTTTGCATGATTGTACTTTCTCATGTGCCTTCGGTGTTATCGGGGGGCTTTCTCCGAACCATTGCACGAACACTTAAACACGAGCAGGGATCTGTGTCTGGAAACGGCAACAGGGACCCGCTTCACCGCCTTTGTTGCGGCTAAGCTGCTCCGGTGGCGCCAAGATCCGGCACACATACCCAAAAGCTAAGGGTAAGGCAGATCGGCGCGTTCTGCTATCGCATGTCAGGTTTGGTTTTGAGGCAGCCATGCGCCCGTCGGTATTTGGGGTATGTTGAGGGGAAAGCCATGGCCTGGTCCCCTTCACTCACCGACTTCACGTTTGGGCAGAGAACCGGCTGGTAGTTGAACAATGTTGGATCTCGGCGACGTGCGGTTTCACCAGGGTGCGCGCAAGGACAGCTAGACCAGGAGTGGGCGTACGTCTTGGTACAAGGCACCACCTGACCAAACAGGGTCCGGGAAAAGGGAGGAATATGCTGAAGCAGTACACAGCTTTGGGGCAGTGAATGCTGATGCAGCACAGATGCAACTAGGTTGCAAGCACTAGCCGTTCACAAACGAATTCGCCGCATTTACAGGTGGACGTGCCATCTGAGGCGACTTTCCGACGCTATTAGCAAGGCACGGGACCTAAGGCTTAAGACCTAAGCCACACCTTAAAGCTGAGCATCCAGAACTCATCGCTGTAATTGCCCTTATGCTTCAAGCAGTGCGCCATCGGAGGCGGTTGCCTCCGTCGCCACCCCAGCGATCCTGCAAGTATTGCGGTGGTCTTGTGTTTCTGTGATTACCACAAATGAAGCAGCATCCTTGGTCCTTCCGGGCACAACAACAAAGGCGTTTCGCTTGCGACAAACCGCGACATAAGCTATCCGAGCGCCTATTCCCTTTACCGGCGCCATACCTTACGTAGGATTTTCCAAAATCGCTTGGAACGCCGGTGCGTCCAGGAAACACCCTAGCAGCTGCGGCATTCAGTGCGAGCTCACTCCCCAGTCCATAACTGCGCGCACAGCATGCTCACTTTCGCAATCTTTAAACGAAGCCAATAGCGCCTTCGATCAGCGGATGGTCGTAACAATCGTTGTGCGCTACGATTGATACGTATGATAACTAAGGCGGAGCCCCCCCGGTTTTCGTCTGAAGATAATATCGTAACTTTAAAGGAGCTGTTGGCAAATAACTTTAGGATGATAATGCTCGGGGGAAGAATCGGTTCTTGTACGGGGACATAGAGGCGTCGTTGTGTGTTCATGAGATGCCGCGACTAGATTATAATATACCTAGTCTTACTTCACCTGGCGTATAAAATGAGATCTATTACAACTGTGCAATGCTTGGTTGATGCACATGCCGATTGACGGACGTCTCCAGCCGAGCCACGTGAAAAGTTCCGAACTTGAGTGCAATCCAAATACGTAGGTGTTTCTGTAATATAAATGAATAATTGTTTAAGAAATTAAATTCAATGTACGTATGGCTAGCGCTGCTAAAAAAGTGTAGCTTTGAAGGAACCGCAATGGCCAGCCTTCGGATCAGGCAGGGCTTATGAAAACCTTGATAATTACTCTTGACGAAGAGGTTTCTGTAGCAAATGCGCCTGTTTGCTGGAAGGATGTTCCCCAGATTAATCAGAGGAGGACGACGTGGGAGCAATCCAGGTACTAACTTAGCTCAGTTCAGGTAAAAAGATTGTCCCAAATCCGTGCTTTTGACAAAGTCGTAAGAATTGCACAAAAAGCGATGGCGGCGACAATCAGAGGTACGTACGCCGTTGTTCGTAGTCCCAATAGTTGAAAGGATCAGATTTTGTATACGTCAATGGCCGTATCGACTCTCTTCTGTACATCGTGTCCATCTGCTTTTTCCTGTATAGCTAGCTTACGAACAATCCGCAATCTGGGCAGTACGGGCTCGATAGGTTCGCACCTGAAGACATGGCGAATGCAATAAAAGCACCTTTCAGCCTTGTGGCTGACTCTAAGCGGTAGAGAGCAAAAGGCTTACCAGGTTAGTAGATAGGCGACGATGTGTCGCTAACCACGAAAGTCAACGGCTGCGGGTGGACAACTGATTTGGGATGCCCCCCAATTGGCGATAGCAGTTGTACTCTGGACATGCGAAAAGCTTTTTGCTGGTTATAAGATATAAATTGTGCAGCCCCTTTAGTTGTGTATAGGTCTAAGCTTGCTATACATGAGCATAGTCTTATGCTTTCTATGCTTGCGTATATCATTCTACCTAAGGCCAAAACTTTCGTTTACGAAGACTCCGCGCTTACGAAGACTCCGCGCCACGGAAGCCGACAAAGTGCTGCGATGCCGGGATAGGATGCTGGATTGCTGCGGTGCCTTCTTGTTGGTGATGTTGTAGCGGGCTACCGAGCTTCTATGCCTGAAAGCAAAGAAGCCGTGCCAAAGGGCACATCGCCTGACGCTGCATGAAACATAAACCAGAAAAAGTATACCGACTAGTCCGTAATGGCATGCAAACCTACTCAACAGGCTGGGTACAGACTACGACCAGATTAGCACTGCTGGTACCAGCAGGGGGACTTTGCCGATATGGGCCCCTATGAGCGATAACCTCGTGCCTACCAATACCGGGAAGTTCTTGTGGTTACATGCCGCACTCCGGGTGTCACGAGAGCTACCCTGGAGGTAGGTTGCGCTGCCACACACAGGAGTCCAAGCTACCTAAGGCCGCAATAATTACCTCAAGGAACGACTTGAAACGACCCAACCATGCTACTACCCCCCAGCCACAGTAAACACCCAAACCCCTGCCCGCGCTGGAACACTCTCAAGCCCAAGGGCGCTCTGAACGCAGGACAAGCTGCTGCTTACAGGTTGCTTATTGTCGCCGAGAGATAAACGTTTCATACTTCGCGGCTATGACCGCTACCTGTGGGCTTCAGCGCGTTGGAACTCACTGCGATTTCGGCAGCTTCTTAGCGAACATATGTACACCGGTATCCACGAGTCAGGCATTTGCATCAATGGCTTTTGCTTATGAAGCAGATGGGAGTGAGGCCATGCGCTTCTGTACGGGGTCCCCGACCTGCGGCGCTGGGGTCCTGAACTACGTCGCGGCCTATATAGGTTTCGAAGGGTTTGTCACAGCTGGGTTATGTAGCGACCCGCCGGATAAGGCCGCATTGCCCTCTTAGCAGATTTTTACAATTGAAGGCCGATTATCAGCAGGCGACACATCCTACTGACTTGCCTTACGGCACGTGGGGCTTGGTTTCCAAACGTGGAAGAGGGTTACGCAGCTGGGGTTTCGATTAGGGGGCCCCAATCCAGCCAGGCACCCGAGCCCGTGCTTCCTTGCATGTGCTGAAAACATTAGTAAGAGAGGGTGCTGCATAAATACACCATTTAGCTGCTATCCAGGCATTCGAAGTTTGGTATATATCGCAAGTACGAATGTCCCATTAAGGTTAATTCCACGTGAAGATTCGTTTTCCAGCCTTTGCGTTACTTTTTGTTTTCTTTCCATTTGGAAACTGGCAGTGCAACTGTACCTTCGACTTGATTCGGCGATACGGCTGCTCTGCCCCTTCCGGTACGGCCCTCCGCAGCCTGTCGTAAGGGCAACGCTATGTGTAGGCACCATCTGCTGAACGTTTAAAGTTCCGAAGTCGAAATCCTCGGCCGTATGATCGTAGTATGTCCTCTCAGAGACGCGCGGCCCTTTGACGTACGTCGACGTAGTGTACGGTGAGCGATACATTTTAGAGTCCAGCCTCAAGAATAATTAAAACTTATTAGATCTATCTGTGTCAGACAATGTCAACTGCTATTGCCACCTGTACGTCTTGGCGTGCCGTGCCACAATAGTGATACGTCACTCAGGGTGTATTTCCAGTGCGGATTAAGGCCAGGGATTAAGGTCCCGCTATTCCCGGCTAATCCCCAGCTAATCCCTGGCCATTCCGAAGGCCGGGGATTAGGGCGGGGATTAAGGCCGTACAAAGGGCGATGCACATTTTTTGATGCGATCTCGACGCTAATATTACCAGTTCTGAATTGCTTTGGGCAGTAGGCATCGTATGAGTATAAAATATGGGCAGGAAGCGCACTCTTCTCGCCGTTGTGGCCACCGTTGAGGCCTTACATTGAGGTAGCACCTTTCGAGTAAACCAAATCAGATATTGCTTACTTGAGGTCATCCATATGGAATTACCTAGAAATTAAAATAAGATATGACGCCATAAATGCTAATCCAGATACGGAAAGTTACTACCTGGGTGGGGCCAGGTAATAACTTTTTTGTCACAAGTTGCCAGGTAAATACATGGACATCAAGTTCAGTTTATGTTCTTTCCTAATCTCTTGCTAACTCCTGCTAGTCCTCTGAATAGAGGACACGGTGTCCTGAGGAACTTCTTAATCCCCGGCTAATCCTGCTTAATCCCGGTGGGATTTCCACTGCTGGGATTAGCACAGGGATTAACGCTAATCCCTGGCCTTAATCCGCACTGGAAATACACCCTCATGGAAGCGCTGCGGGGCTCCTTTCCCACATCCAAGTCCTTAAATCTCTATACTTCATCTGCGTGATAAGCATAACTTCATGAGACGACACTTACAAGATAAAGGCGGTGGCTGTCACAACGAGTTGGTGCGTGGTTGAAACAGCTTGAAACTGCGGTTGGTAACCGCAGCGGGAGTCTGATCATATTCCCATGGGAAGGGCGCCCTGAGAGTTCAATATCCACCACTGATGGCCGCAGGCAATGATGCATCTGTAGCGAGGCGCCTAACGTATGAGAACATAGGCTCACCGTACAGCCCCCGATATGGTTGCTTGGGTTTGCGCTTATATCCTTGGCCTCCTTGGCGCTGCGGTCTTCCCTTCTGATCTGGTCTTAAAAGATCCCTTGCCTCATCACCATTGCTCTCGTGCTTTCACCGCGCATATGCATGGCCGCAGTAGCGGCGATTTTAGCTGTGGGCTGTGTATAGGATTGCCTCCTGGAGCTCCCATGGTTGCCCCCACCGGTCTCCTCTCTTTATCCCCAATCAGCATCTCCTCGCGCGTCGTATGGCCGGCGGAGTAGCTGCTGTTCCATCCCTTTGAACGCAATCTAACTTTTTGCTTTACGTTTATATCTATTCCGAGCTGCGATGCACCCTCATCGCACGCACAACAATCAGGCAGCCACCGAAAAGGTGCTCATTACAGGTGCCGGGTGCTAGGACGTCAGTTTATGTCTCACGATCTTACCTCTCTGACGCCTTATTTGCCACAGGAACGTACACATTTATGCACACACGGTGACACTGGCACTATCTATGCTTTAACGGCTGTTTCAATGTTTCCGTACATGCCGTATACGGAACAATGAAACGTACGCTTCTTTTGGCCGCCATACCGATGGACACCTGAGGGCGGCACTGCAACTACATAGTACGTATTAGCTCGGACAAGGACAGACTACTTGTTTTATGTTTTTATTTTCTGACTCGTGTAAGGAAACGTTTTTTTGTAATGATGCCTATGTTTCAGCGCACAACACGTCATGTAGTCTTCGCTTTAACTTGTGGGTGATCCATGAGCTAATGGGCTCGTCTGTCCTTACAAGCTCATGAATCCTTATCGCCAACCGACGACGCCATGAGCTTCAATCTTCAGGCACATGAGCTTTATCCGTCAGCGGTTGGTGCTCATATTGCAGCAACTCTTAGGGTCCAGTGAAATAGTAATACTTGTTTTGTAAAGGAACGGGCAATCTTGACCGAGCGATGGCGCTAAGAAGGAAACGAATCGAAGGCGGAGACTGCTGCAGCAAAACGGCAATCACCCTGTCGCCTCCTCCTCTTTAGCGCTCGTGGAAACTGGCGGCAAGGCTCTTGCCGAAGGTCGTCTTGGCTTCATTAGAGACCGGGTCAGATCCTAAGTAGATGTCGAAGAGGGAGGAGCACAGAGCACCCGAGCTGATGGTGCCCTTCTGTGGGGAAGCAGGAAAAGAGGAAGGGGCGGACATCAGCGGTCATGGGCAGCATGGCTGCTAGGGGCCCGGCGCAGCGGGCATGCACAAAGCACGGCATGAAAGCGGGGTTTTGAAGTGGAGGCGCAAACGCATTCCAAGGGCATGATACTGGAAAGCGCTCTAGATCATGCAGGCGTATCATGGTAGATACCCTCCACCGGCCGCCCGCCCAGCCCAGGCCAGACCGCACCTGCTGTCCCCCGACCTTGGTGACCAGCTTCTTGTTGTCCGGGCAGGTGAAGGCGATCTCGAGGCCCTGCGCATCATCAGCACCAGCAGCACATACCAGCTCCCGGTGTGAGCATGCCATGCAGCCGTGCCGAAACGCGGCAGGGCGCCGTTGTTATCAGGACACCTAAGTAACCCCATCCCAGCCCGCATACACAAACAAACGGACACACGTGAAGTAAGCACGGCATCTCCTCCTAGTACGTATGGTTGGGACTTCAAACGCACGACGCCTGCACGGTATGAACCCTCCATCCCTCGCATCCACAAGGCGGAGGGCCGGGTGGGCCTCGAGAGCAAGGTGTCATGATGCACTGGAAAGAAGTAAGACGCTAAGCCTTCACCCTACCCTCTCGAAGTGCACTCCGTCGAACTGCTTGCGAAACTCCTCCAGCGTCCCTGGCTCGCCGGCCTGCGTAGGAAATGCATGTATCCGGTACAGTGCCGTACGGTACGGAAAGAGGATTAAGGCAGGCAGGCGAGCGGCGACTCAGTGCCCATCGTGATCACGGCATTAAGCTAACATACGACCCGATACATCCTAGATTGCACACCGGATGCGACCTACTGGCAGCCAGGTGCAGCCGGCCGCGGCTGGTGGTCAATCGGTTAGTGACGTTCATGATGACGTCACATCATCCCTACGCTCTCATATACTCACCCGCCCACCCAGCCATCTAGGCCACCAACCTTCAAAACCACACGCCTACCTGCTTCAGCCTGGGAGCAAGACGCTCCTCCAGCGCCTCAAGAAACTTCCTGAAGAGTATCACACATACACGGAGCCACCATCACACACACAACAAGCAAGGCACACCACATCTTTGCAACTCAGAAACCAGGATGATATCATGGCAGCAGTAGCAAAGAACAGCAGCAGCCGCAGCAGCTCGTGCCCATCTCTTCCTTTATGAGAGGAATCCCTCAGTGGCTACAGGTGCCATTAGCGCCCAGGGCTTGGGCCACAGCCGCCTCCCGTTACACCCGCCAAAACAGCCCTAGCAGCCCCCCAACTCCCTTCCCCCCCTTACACACCATCAGTCACCCGTCTGCCGTTCCATCCGGATCATCTTACCCAGGTGGATCTCTCCAGCCCCGCTCCCTTCCCCTCCTCCCTCCCCCCCTTCCTCAAGGCGGCCTGACAGCTCCCCTCGCTCCACGGCACCCTGCACGCCGCTCGCCGTCGTCGTCAGGGGCCGCGCACTCCCTCCTTTCCCTCCTTTCCCGATCCCCCTCCCATTCTCACTTGCGGTCCACCAGTCGTGAGCTGATCACCAGTCGCAGGGTCTTCTCCACATTGGGGGCCGCCACCACGGCTGGGACCACGACGTGAACAGGCGGATAGGCGTGTGGGCAGGCGCGGAAAGGGTGGGGAGGCAGGCAACCGGCAGAAGATCCAGGCAGGCAGTGCTGATGGGGGGCTGTGGGGCAGCCAGGCAATTGGCTGTGGAGCCACGTAGGCAGGCAGTGCTGGATGCTGGTTGCTGATGTACCATCTTTTGGTTTGGGAGTGGGAGAGACAGGAAGCGGTAATTAGGGTGGGGGGCCGAGGGATCACGATGGCACGCTAGGGCATCGGGCAGGGCCATTGTACGGCGCCATGACAGCACCATAATCATCATACCGTCATAAAAGCTCTGGTCCTTGACCAAGTCCTCCACGGGCTTCTTCTTAAATGCTGACAGGGTCGACTTGGCCGCGGGCGCGTCCACGTAGATGCCCAGAGCGTACACTGCGAGAAGAGCGGTAATGGTGTCCGCACGGTGGCGCCAGAAGAACGAATGGAGGGAAAGCACAGTGAGATCAGCTCCGGTAGGGATACTACAGCCCCGGAGAGAGCACAAGCCTGGCCGGCATGTTTTTGTTTCCAGCATTACTTCGCGCACATGGACAAGCATCCGTGCACACAAAAACACATTAATCTCCGCCAGCTCACCGTTAATGTCCTTGATGAGAATCTTCTTGCTTCGCACTCTGCAAAATAACTCATCTTGTCAAAACCTTGCTTGTCCGTTGATGCGACGGCATGAAGATCTTACCAATCCCAAAGCATTCCATTAAATGCTTGATCCATGCAATCTTATACTCAGGGCAACTATGTTGACAGCTATATAACTGCTTAAACGCTAGGCAGGGAGTCGCCCTGACTTATGCCACTGTAACGCCAACAGCCTAGACGGACTTAGCGCTTTTCCAGTCAATTAAGCCGTAGCTAAAGACGTGTTGAATCTTCACCATGTCTAGAACCTAGCAGCCAATAAATTTCGAGCCAGGGAAGCAAATCTTGTGCTCAAAGCCGACCTACCCACCCGAGACCAGCGAGGGAAGGGCATTGCTTTGTCCGAAGGTAGCAATACTCCGGAGGAAACTCGTATCCAGTTGCTGGCTCCTCTCGGCCACCTTGCGCTCCAGGTCGTCCGAGCCCCGATAGGATGGACGAGGACAGGGATGCCAAAGGAGGTCCGCCGGTAGGAGGGGCAGCCTTTGCAGACCAGAAGCGGAAGTTCTCTGCTTTCAATCCATTTACATTGCTGGCGGTGGCATAGTCCCTGCTTCCTCATGGCACTTGGCTGCCCTCGCAGGTCTGGAAACTGACCATTTCAGTGATCCAAATAACAATACGTACAAGTGATGTAACCCCACTGATACATATGTATAAAGTATTATGCAGATATTGCCACACGAATAGATCACTGCACGGGCCGGCGAACATCGCACGCATCTCATGTTGCCGTACAAAATAAGCAAGTTTAAGGACGTCATCGCTCTACAGTCTTCGTGGCATTTATAAGGGAAATATTGCGCCGTTCCGGTACCAATTTCTGAATCTACGTATTCAGCCTTGTAGAAACACACGTAGGAACACACCATAGCAAATCTACGTACTTGCACGCTATCCTACCTTCTGGCTAACATGGAACGCACATTTTGGCCACTTGCACAGTTGTTGCTGACCCAACCAACATAGGTCCATTGTGCATCTTGACAATAAAGAGCGTATGTCTTAAACCCTGGTACAGCTGCACACCATTCCCAGCGGATTTCCCTCTTGTCATCGATAAGAACTCAACAGGGACACCGCATGAAGGAAAAGCTGAAGATGTAACTCAGTCCATCATTTTGCCGAACTCAACACTAACTCATTGAGACAGTGGGGAGTGAAGCTCTGGGATAGTGGGGCCGGAGTGGACGCACAGTGGACGTTTCCGTTAGCCTTCCAACGACAATAACAGAGTCGACCGTCGTTACGATCTCGTGACCGCTTTTTAGAAGAATACGTGCGACCCACCAGGTCACCTATAATTCAATGTGTTGAAAGATAAATTTTGGTTGAACAGTTTCGCCATCGCAAATGGCCCTACCGTCAGAGGAAGATGTCGGCATTACTGAGTATGTGTCGACAATGCCAGGGTTTAACAGCATTCTCAAGCATCGGTGAGCCCTCCTGCTCTTCTTTATCACTTTTGATATAAAGCTGCTCCGTAAACTCTTGAGGTCCAGACCTGTTGCTCGCGGCCGCCGCCGGACCGAAACCGCATGCACAATGCGTAGTTGCAACTTTCGCCAAGCACCTTCAGAGAGGCCTTAAGCGAGGACGTTGTGGCTGCAGATTTCGAGACTTTCAAGTGCATGAGATTGACCCCAAAGGACAGATCGCTCATTTGACTTCCCTGGACCCCGAGTCCCAGGTGGGCGCTCGGCACCAGCACCTCCTCCTCCGCCTTGCTTTTACATGAATGGATCTCCTAGATTGGCTTCCTGGCAAGGCAGCTGGTCCCACTACAGCCAGCCCCGCTGGCCATTGGGCTATAGTTTGGCCGGGGACCCCCCGGCTTCGCCCTTATGGCTCGCAGTACAGCTATGTACGAGCGACACGTGGCCGCACAAGTGCTTCTTTGATCACCCACTCCAGTTTGGTTTTTCGATACGAGGGACACACGCACCGGCACGCGCGCATGCCGACTGGATATATCATATGCCTGTTGCCTTCTCAGTTCCATCAGCTCTCAACTTTTCTCCCACGTTCAGGCGCCGGGGCCCAGCAGATCCGCCCCTGCTGCAACGGCAACGGCAGCGACTGCGACTCCAAACCCCAACCGAAACGGCATCTCAACACCGAATCACGATGGATTTGCGCCCGAGAAGTTGGCGGCTGCCCGACCACAGCTGGTCGCATCGTTCGAGGTTCTCGCCGGGCCGGAGAACGGCGCGCTGCTGGACGGGCTGCTGCGACGTGTAATCATTATGTACGGCGGCAAGGTACGGCAGCAAGCTAGCGACCACGGCGATAAGCCGGGACTATCTTGCACTGGGGCGGTTTAGGGCTCGTCGGGAGTGTTGCTGTGGAAGCTGGAAGAGAGCGACCCCGAAAGCAACAGCGTGCTATGGAACGCACCGTCCTTTTGGGGCGTTTGTATGTATGTGTGTAACTTCCCATGAGTATAATGACCTTTTCCCCATAAATAAGAATCTGCCCTCAAAATACCGTTAATGTTGGATTACCACCCAGTTGAATATAAGGGGTAATGTATGTATGTATGTAACACGCCTACATACATTGGACTTAAAGCTAGGACGACTGTTCGGGTGTTCGAGGACAGCAACGTTATCGACAACGCGGGCGATGCCTGTTCTTTTGGGGCAGCTGGGGTGCCAGTATCTCCCTTTGGGGATGTGGGCTGCTAGCTGCGGCTGTCGGGGGCCGCGGGAGTTTCCTGCCAGTCCACGATAAGCTGTGCTGGTCCTCCAGTGTTGGATCCTAGCCCTACACACAAGCCACACAGCCCTGCACATAAGGACACACATCGCGGCGCAGCATATCACTTATCACACCACGCATGTTCATTGCCCGCTGAGGGCCCCGAGGTTGTCCTCCCTGCCCGAGCAACTGTAAAACACGCCGTATAATGCAAACTGCAGGTCGGTGAGGGGGAGGAGGTTCAGCGCCAGGAAGAGGGCAGCGCTGCGGTCAGTGCAGCAACTGTGACGAAGAAGGAGGAGGAGGAGGTAGAGGGGCTAGACGGCGGGGCCGTCAAAGCTGACGACAACAGCACAAAGCTCAAGTCAGTTGCCCCAACCGATGCAACCGACACAACTGCAACTGTCAACACGTCTGCAACAGGCGACCGACCATGCGGCAGTGTTGATAACATGTGCGAGGACATCCGCGAGGGCCTCCAACAGCCCCGCGAAGGGGAGGAAGAGGAGGAGAAGAAGAAGAGCGAGGTGGAGGCAATAGCAGCGGCGACGGCTGCTGATACTGCAACTGCCAAAGCTACTGCGGACCCAGCAACAACAGCCATAACAGCGGTAGCCGCAGCAGTACCGGCAGCGGGTGCCGGCGCTGTCGCCGCGGCTCGCGGTCCGTCCGGTCGGGTCCTTTGTGCGCTTGAACGGACCTCCGTGTTGCTGCTGCCTATCGCCAGCAAGGAGATTCGCACGGTGGGTGCGGTTGTGGAGTATGTGGGTTAGGGTCGGGCTTGGGGTTGGGGGCAGCCGCCGAGCAAAAAGACGGCAAAAAGACGACAGCTGCGGGCGGGCGCCGCCCCGCCTTGGGGAGCAATTTGACTTGGGGAGCAGCCTAGACGCGACACGGGCCTGCCTATCTAATCTGTTCAGAACGGATAAACATGGGCTTCATCGGGGTTTTCGGCCCCGGGGATTCACGGGGAGTTACGAGGCATCGGCTCCCACTCTCTCCCTTCCGGACGATCCCATTTCCTTTGTGGCCGTTGTTTCGTTGACCTCGCCGCGATGACGAAATGGATCCCACAGGCCGTACATGAGTTCTTCCGTACGGCACCCGGGCTGCCGCCCATGCGTACGGAGACAGTCGCCGCCGCCACCACCACGGCCACAGAGAAGCCGCAGCAGCAGCAGCAACAAGAAGAATCGGCTCTGCTTCCGGTCAGCAGTCCCTTGGCGGCGGCGGCGGTGGCGGGGGCGGCGGTGGCGGCGCGGGGGCCAAACGCGGCCCTCCTGACGGCGCTGAAGGGGAACGGCCAGCGAAGTGGGGCGGCGGGCGAGGAGGTCAGGGTCGCGGCGGCAGGGACGGCGGTGGTTCCGGGCGAGGCAGCGGGCGGGGAGGGGTCGCGCGCGGCGGCGGACGGCCTCCTGGGGGTCCACAGCCGCAACAGCCGCCTCCCGCACCGACCCGCATTGAGATCATCTTCGATCCGTGGGATGTGGGAAAGGCAGCAGCAGGCGGCGCGGGTGGCGGCGGCCGCGGCGGCCGCGGAGGTCGCGGAGGTCGCGACGGCGGCGACGGAGGAGGAGGATGGCGGGGGCGCGGCGGCCGAGGCCGAGCTGACTGGGAGGGGGGGCAGCACAACTTCGTGCGGTTTGTGCTATATAAGGAGAATATGGACACTCAGGTCGGGTTAGGGTGGCGTCTTTGTGCACTGTGTGCTATGTGTGCGGTATTGTATGCTTTATATCACAGCTGGCCGGGGTGGCCACCGGTATGCACCGGGGTAACAGACAACCCTGACTATGTGCGTGCGGTACAAGGGACTTACAGGACGTAATAGTATAAGACGCGCTGTAATGCGTTGCAGCTGGGCTGGGCAGTGTGTGGGCGGCCCCCCGGTGTGCCGCAAGGCGCAGAGTCTTCGCGCGCGCGCGTGTTGGTGCGCGTTGGCGGTGTTGGGGTGTGTGGTGGGGAAGGAGGAAGTGTTGCAGTCCAGCAAACCAGTCCATCGCGGATAGGGAAACGTCAGCACCCTGATGTGGCGGGTGCACTGAACCGGTGTGTACCTACCTGGCCCTACGAGGGTTGCTGTGGCGTTCTTGCTATCACCTGGCCTTCCACCCCCACACACACCCCACACCCCACCACCACCACGATCAAGGTCCCGTGCAACTCCTCTACCTTTAGCGGCTCCTCGCGCTGCTCCTGTCACGTGACTTCCCCTCCCCCCATGTCACATCGTACACCACCACAACTTCCGTACGGAATGCTCCTCCCACCCACACGGCCCCTCGCCTAGGTCGCACTCAACACCGTGGCCCGCATGTTGCGCATCACCACGGGCAACTGTTTCGGCTTTGCAGGTGGGTGGGAACGGCGCTGTACGGCACTGTACGGCTCTGTATGTCCCGGGGGCGTTACAGTGCGTTCCCCCCCAGGCGCGAAGGGTGTCTCCGCAGGGGGTTGCGGTGGCAGGTGGCGTGTGGGCGTGTGGGAGGTAATTGAGACCGGCTGGGGGAGGCCCTTCGGGGACTTCAGGTGTAACCCGAAGGCGAGCAGCCCAGCGAATGCGCGGAGGGGAGGCGAACTGACGGCCGCCGGGCGAACTGGCGGCGGAGCTACGTACTAGAAATGGAATCTAGGAGAAGTTGAAACCGCGAGGGAGCATTTGTGCGGGCCCCAATGTGTCATGGGGAGCCGATGTGACCAGCCCCTAACGGTATTCCTAACTGCACAACCAACCGCATCACGAAGCGCTCAACTGACGGCCCCCTGGTGCTGTACACACACAGGCACCAAGGACAAGCGCGGTGTGACGTGTCAGTTCGTCAGTGCCTTCAAGGTGAGTGAGTGAGGACGTCTCCCACGGCTCCCGCCAGCTCCCGTCGCGTGTGTGTTTTCACGACCTGAGCCGCGGACAGGAACTGGCGAGGAGGCTGGGTGGCACACGCGAGTAACTCACACGAGTGCCGTATTGAGGGAAGCAACCCGCATCGACATGGGAGAAGAAATGTCAGGCAAAGGGAGAGGAAGGATGGGTGTGTGGCTGTGTGGATGGCTGTGTGGATGGCTGTTGAAGCAATGCTAGAAAGCAATACCTACCCGCCTCACCAGACGACAGTATCCTTTTGGTGAACCGGACAAAGCTATGTGATCGTGTGTTCATGTATGTTTTCTTCCCCTCCGCCCCCGTCCTCCTCCCCCCCCTCCTTCTTCCCCCCCCTCCTTCTTCCCCCCTTCCTGGTGCGCCGCTGACCTTCTTCCCCTGGGCGGCCCCCCACCTCGCCACCTCGCGTGGGGGGTGCAGGTGGCCCCGGCCCGCCTGGCCCTCCTGAACACCCGCCTGCGCGGCATCCGCGTGGGCACCTTCTCGTTCAGCGGTGAAGGACTGCGACTGGGCTGTCTGGCGGGCAACGAGTTCCACCTGGTCATGAGGGACGTAAGGCCCGCGGGGCCGGAGGCACCGGCAGTAGCAGCTGCAGCAGCCGCGGACGCAAAGTCGATCGAGGGAGAAGCCAAGATCGAGTCTGCGACTGGAGGGGGAACTGACGGGGTTTCCGCAGCCGAGTTAATCGCCCAGGTACGGGGCCAGAGCAAGCTGGAGCTTGTATGTGGTGCATGGGGTAAGTAAAGGTAGGCGCAGAGCCCGCAGTAGCAGCACCAGCAGGAATACCAAGGGCAGTGTTGAAGCTCAGCTACGAAACACGCGCCAAAAGAGGTCCAAATTCGGACATTGGATCCAGATTTTGACGTTATGGATGAAGCCAGCCTCCCATGAATTAGCTTCCATCCCCACGTTTTTTATGCACTGGGGCAGGTGACGGCGGCGTGTGAGGCGGTGGCGCGGACGGGCTTCATTAACTATTTTGGTCTGCAGCGCTTCGGCACTGGCGGAGCTCCCACCCACGAGGTGAGGTGCGGTGCTGTGGGGGGAAAGCTTAGCTGCGCAGCTGCCGATCGGGAGGCCGGGCACTGTGACTGCGTCGGGTGGCGCTGCCATCCCCCTGACCCCCTGACTGACAGGCGGACCGACCTCCCGTTTTGAACTCGGGCAATTTGTGCATTGGAGACGTTGGCAGTTGGTGTTTTGAATCTGCATCCCGTGGTTGATTCCGCCGTCTTTGTTCACCCCGTTGGAGCTCCCTCGCGGTTTCGGTTGATTTGGGGTGGGGGTTGGGGTGGGGGTTTGGGGAGCTTGTGCGGTTGCGATCGCGTTTATTTACCCACCCACATGCCCCTTGACCCACCATTCCCAACCCAAAGCATGATGACCTCATATGGCCCCCCGCCGTCATACAATTCCACGCCGTCATGGCGTACTATGGAACAACATGCCGTACAAAGTGCCACCGTTGGTGTTTACACTGTGGGGCTGTGCGCCTGCAGGTGGGCCGCGCGCTGCTCCGCTGCGAGTACGAAAACGCCGTACGCCTTGTACTGACAGGCCGATCGGACGAACGGCCGGAGATTGCGGCGGCGCGGCGGCTGTTCTTCGAGGAGGGCGACGCCCAGGTGGGAATCGGGCCCCGCTTCGTTCTGGCGTACACATACAAATACACATACACGTACACTGCGGTGTCCGCGCCCTGGCCGTCCGCTGGCCACTGGGGCGTTGAATTCCCCCCGGGGGTGGCTCGTGCTTTCCCGCATAAACACCTTCGTCCGCAACATCACCGCGACACTTTTGCAAGGCACCTGGAAGGATGTTGGGAAGAGTCTAGAACTTCTGTGCCGCTCTTCCGCGGCTCCTGCCTTCCGGGGGCGTCGCATGACACACCGCCTCCTCCTCAACCCCAACCCCACGGCCATTCATCGCTCTGCTCCCTAACTTAGCCTCCAAAATGGTTTCGGGGCATAGGGTGCTTTGCGCGGCATCCCGAACTACATGCTGGGGGAGCGTGCCGTACTGGGCGCCCTTGTGCGGCAGGGCGCCACGGCCTGGTCTGCCGCCATGCGTGCCGTACCCCGCACGCTGCGGATGATGTACTTGCATGCCTGGCAAAGCCACGTCTGGAATCTAGCTGCAAGTCACCGGTGGGCCCGAGGGGGGTTGCGTGGAGGTCGGGGGAGGGTCGGCGAGTGTGTGTACGTGTGTATGCGTGTGTGTATGTGACGCGACTAACGCTACATGTACGTTGGTCGATTGCACCAAAACTTACAGCGCGTGTGTCTATTTTGCATGAACAGTAAATTTGTGTGTCCGTCTGCCGGTCTATCTGTCTGTGCGTGACAGAGGTGATGACTGCTTAACTGTCATGGTGTAGCGGGATATGTTGGGTTGTGGACGCTTCCGCGTGGCGAATGGGAGTGGGTGAGAGTGAACTGAGTGTGCTATTGACAGTTGCTTACTGCGCCTGTGTATGTGTGTAAGAGTGCGCGCGCATGTAAGTATGTGTATGCGCGCACTCTCGTGTGTGCGTGCGTGCGTGCTTGTGTAACGTGGAATGAATTGGACCACAATCTGAATGACCTTGGCGCTGGAGCGTCAAGTCTCTCTCTTACGGTGTCCTGCAGGATACGGGTGTACGGCCATGACCGAGTGGTGGCTGGGGATCTAGTCATGCCGCGCGGCGCGGGCACTGCTGCTGCTGCTGGCGGCGGCGACAGTGGCGGCGGTGGGTTGCTTGACGGCGACGTCGGCGGCGACGCGGGGGAGGGCGCCGATGCCATGCTAGAGGACACGTCGGAAGGTCCGTAACTCACCCAATTGTACGGTATCACTAAGGTATCGTACCATGCTTGATTAAGACCGGCCATCCACTGCAAGACCTCAGGCACGGCCACATAGCCGCATGTTCAGGCCGATGTATTGCAGTACTAGAACGGGGAGGGGGGTGACATGTTCTCTTGTGCCGGCGCTGTGCGAAGGAGGGGAGGGGCTCTTAACGCAGCCACCCCCTACGGCTTGTGGCAGTCTGCCGTGATCCCCCAAATAAAGTCAAACACCGGCTAATTTAGCCGATATAGCATTTTGCGATAGAATCCAGCTTAATTTTACCCCGACAACCGCTTGGGACAGTCTCGGGGTGCCCGGAAAAAATGCCAAACTGACAGGAAGGCTTTCGGGGGTCCCCCCGATTATTCAAGGGGGTTTCGGGTCTAAGAGGGTCTCGGGTCTAAAATATTTCCGCTGGCACAACCTGGCTGGATGACCAGTGCCGAGCGCTCTCGCGGCCCTCTGCCTTCCATGTGGTTGTTATTGTGGTCGTTGTTCCCATCGCGACCTCCCCACGCATGGTGAATTGTAACATGCTGCGTTGCGACAGCAGCAGCAGCCGGCGTCACGACCTCAGCGGCTAAGCGGTTGTCGTTGGTGCGATTGGTGACGGACGCTGACGTGGCAGCTGGGCGCTACAGCGTCTTTGATGTCGTGCTACCGTTGCCGGGCACGGAGGTGGAGTATCCCGCACACGAGACCGGCGAATGGATTCGAAAGGTGATTGGATTGGATTGGCCCTGGGATGATGTGCTGTGCTGCGTGGCACCCCTTGGGGGAGGGAGTTGTCCGCGGCCTGTCTCTTGACTTCTCCTACTCCTGGACCTACCGCCAAACTATAAATCACCAGTGCATAAAAGCGGCACAGAACACAGATGACGGTTCCGCGTCATCTGCTCATGGCTCGGACCATTTGTCTCGTTCCCAATCACATCTGGTTCATGTGGTGCATCTCCTGTGACGTATGGGTTGCTTACTGTTAGCTGTTCATGCCAGATGTTCACGTTGGGCACTGGGGACGTATGGGCCACCTCGCACACCACAATTCCGCCCTCTCACAACCACCCGTCCCGAAGCAGGCTGCAGCCGAGGCTGGTGTGGATTTAGACCAGCCCGCCGCCTCCTCCGCCAACAATTTTGAGTTGTCCTTCGCATCTCTGACCGGCGACTACCGCTACCTGATACACCGGCCCAAGGGCTTCACCTTCGCCTTTAAATGGTGAGGCGGCAGCTGGTAGGGGCTGCAAAACTGCCCCTAGCCTGAGGGGGAACAACGTGCTGCACACAATATGTAACCTCTGGTGTCAACCCAAGGGTGCTGCTTAGCAAACAAACTCGTTCTAGGGAACCGGGTGGCATAGGGTCGGCATGGTATGCGGGAACTTTGGTCCTCGATGCGAGGTGGAGGAGGTTCTTGTGTTGTTGGCCGTGTGGGGTGATGGACTGATGACTGCAGTGCCTGGAGATGCTGACGGGCGTAGTATTCTGCGAATGTGTTAGTGCACAGCATCCCCTGGTGCTGCCCGGCTGCTTTCCTGGGTTCCAGCAGCATCGTGACCTTCACCGGTGGCCCCCAGGTACACGGACCCCAATGACGACTTCCTCCTGCTTACTGACCTGGAGCTTTTGCAGCAGCAGCAGCAGCAGCAGAAACCGGGACAGCAGAACGGCAAGGGGGAAATGGAGGGGCAGGGTCAGGAGAGGAAAGGGAAGAATCCTAGCATCGACACCAGCAGCCAGAAGCAGCAGCAGCAGCAGCAGCAGCCACAACCCGTGCCAGGGCAAGCCGACGGTCCGCAGGAGATAGTATCGGAGCTGCAACATCAGCAGCAGCAGCAGGGGCCAGACGACAAACTGTCCATTAGTGAAGGACATCACGTAGTAGGGTCCGACGGAGGTGAAGGCCAGGCACAGCGGGGCGGCACACCCCTGGTCAGCGGCAGTGGGCCGCTCCTGGCACTGGAGCTTCGTTTCCAACTGCCCGGGTCCTGCTACGCCACGATGCTGCTGCGTGAAATCACCAAGGTACCTGTATAGCATCAGTAGTATGGGGAAGAACAAAGACCAATCTGATACTTGAAAATAAGATGAGGGTACGGAGGTGTGTGGTGGGCCGGGTCAAGGCAGGGTCAGGGCTGATGGAGCCGCCGGCTGGTTGCGTGGGTTTCCTGCCAACCTCCAATAGCAGCTGAAGCATTTTCTGGTTCACACTCAACCCCTTTTCCCCTTTGTATGTTGCGAAAACGCAGGCCTCCACGTCCAAGGCCTTTCACGCAGGCCTGTCCACGGCTGCCGTGCCGGCCATACAAGCAGCGACCGAGCCGCTGCCACCGTCGCTGGCGGCGGTGGCGGAGTGTGGCGACGGCGATACCGAAGGTGCCCCTACAGACCTTGCTGATGATGGGACCATCACTATTACTGAGGACTGTGAGCTCTCCGCCACGGCTGGGGCTTCCAATGCGGCCGCTATGGACGTGGACGCTGCAGGGGCGTCGACCTGACCCAGCCTTTCCGGATCCCTTTGAGGACGCTGTCTCTTCCGCAGCATCCTCCACAGTGATGCAACCTTCGCAGCCAACAACCAACCTTCAAAGCCACCAAGCCCGGGGCGAAAGTATAGGAAGGCGCCTAACTTAAGCTGCCAAGCCTCGTATTATTGGTCTCATGCCGCAACCCGGCCTTGTAAGCGTTTGCAAGCTTCGGTTGCTTCTTTTTTCCAGCCCCTGACCTTTGTCCGGGTGTGAAGGATAGCCATGCATCCAATCGCGTTGGACATGGTGCAGCTGTTCGAAACAACATATTTCAACCACCAGCACCTGCTCTTCGCCGAAGACCTGCGAAACGGCTTTGATTGACCGACTGATGGGTCATAGCCATCGCACACCGCGCCACATGACGCAAAAGCTGGAAACAAGCAAAAGAACGTCGCCGCCCTCCCTGAGAACCTGCAATGGTGTTTGGGAGCTGCACGCCACCGGAGCTCGCACGACTTGCCATGTAAAACCCATAGAACAGCCGCCGATATAGCGAAATCCTGGTTCGTGCAGGTGCCGCAGTTGCCGGACGGCATGGTCAGCGAGCACCCCAGCGCAACCCCAAACGTCAGCCACGGCCACATTCTGCACCCACACCTTCCAAAGCAGAAACCGCCATCGCAGACCTTTGAACCAAAGCATATGAGCCATCAGAAGTACAGTCGGACGCAAAACTGGACTTAACCATCAACGTTGTCGAAACCATACCGTATGATCAAATACCATAGTGATGATGTCACTAGTGTACAAGGGAGAAGGGGAACCGGGTAATGCAGCTGACCCCCTAAGCCAGTAACCTGCCGGCGTCCGCACACGCCACATGCAGATGGGTGGTGCCACTCACATGCATGTGGGGTCCCTATGGTCACACTCCCCCAAGCGCACAGCACAGAGCTGCTTGTTGTAGGACGGACCATCGCTACATCATTACTTCGCTACATCTTCCGTACAAACCTGGCGGGGAAACGAGCGGAGCGGGTTCGGCGTTGTGGGGGATGCACACGCGCGTGTTCACGTGCCAGCTTGCAGACACCCACTTAGGAGACCGCAAACCAAGGCCCCGGTACCGCGTCATGCCTAGCTGACTGCTCGGGCGCGCGGAGCATCGCAAGACAACCAAGGATGCAGGAAATGTGCACGCGTTCACCGCGGCGTGCATATAACTTTTTCTATCTACACGCCAACAAAAAGGAGAACGTAGACGAAGTAGGTTACTATGGTACCAGAAACGCTAACCTAACCAGTTCAGGAGAGAAAATCGTCGTCTTCTCCACGCAATACTTGCGGGACATACAACTGTCGACCTCGAAATCCATACCTCAGGTAACTTAAACAAGCCACCTGCGCTCTCACGTGTCATCAACGCATCAAGCATGCATACACAAGAAGCCTCGCTCCTTACCGCACCCTGGCTCTCTGGTCCTACGTCGCTAGCAACCGTACAGAACGCCATAACGAAGCGTAACTTACGACCAAAGATTCCAGACGATGTCAACCCCTAGTATGCTGAACATAACCGCGCGACCAGCGACGTCTGTTCATATGTCACAGGGCATACATCGTCCTCACGGTGACATCACAATTCAATCGACCAACACGCCGTACGTAACATACCCACCCTTCCTCATCATATCTTCTTTCCTGTCAAGACACATATATTGTACAACGCCAGGTGCTATGCACCAATGCATCAGCTTTTTATCGGACACAGAGCACAGGCCCAACCCTTACAACAATACACCCGCATGGAACCTCATGGCGAAAGGTCCTGCTCCGGAGCGCTTTATGCGCTCTTCGACGCCCCTTCCTCCTCCGTATCGCAGTCTGACTGGCCTCCCGTCACCTGCGTTGCCTGCCCACCAGCGGCACGCGCGTTCTTCAGACCCGGCGCCTTGTCCCCGCCTTCTTGTGTCCCGTCGTCCTCGGTACTCGGCTTCTCCGCATCCAGCTCGCTAGGCAGCAGGGACAGGAAGGGCGCGGGTGCCATGGTCAGAGCTACGCATGTGGCCACCAGTTTAAAGAGGTTGCTGTAGTCCTCTGAGGTGACGCCGTAGAGCTTGGTGAGGCCCGCGCCCAGCGCCCCTCCTGTAATGGATCCGCAGTTGAGTACCGACATCAACGTCGCGAAAAGCGTTGCCTGCGGCGGGCGAACAGCAGCATCAACACAGCAGCATTATGAGTGGCTAGCTTCCCTTAGCTTGGCACTTGCAGTTGCAGCTTGAACGCTTTGACGTGGAATTCACAACCTATAAATAGCGCTGGAATCCCGTCACAAAAGGTCGAACCCCGCCACGCCGCATAGTAGCACGCACCTCCACACCCTGCGGGCACATCCTTGCCGCCAGCACCAGGATGGGCATGAAGGATATCTGGCCCAGCACCTGCGCACGGGTACAAGGTGTTACAATTGCATCTGACCGGCAAGTGGGGCTTGAGTGCGGGCAGGCCCGATGGGTGCACGCAAGCTGTCACCCTTGAATCCGAAAGCAGTGCGTAGCCTGGCTGCTGCTTGCAGGGGCTCGGGATAGTGCCAATGAAGCGGCGGAAGGACAGTCTACGATATACGCCGTACGGTGTGGCTGGAGCACTCAACCTTGTATCGCCTGGTAACGAGCTTTCCACCAATCCTGCTCACAGCGCATTCCAATCCTACTTTTATCTAACCCATTCTTAAACCTCGGCTGCGTTCCTGTTCGAATTCAGGTCTCCTCAAGCTCGGAAATCCTGTCTTTCCCTTCACCCAGCAAACGCAACCATCTAATCATCCAACCATCTTATTGTCCGGCTCAGTCGGGGCTACCCCGCCGCGCACCGTGAGCACCATCGAGTCCCCCAGCACGAAGATCTGATCGGACAGGCCCCACTGGCGGTGTAGTCCCGAGATGAGGATGAGCTGGCTGCTGCTCAGCACCGTGCCCACAACCATCACCCACCACAGCATGCGCCGCAGCGGTACATTCTGCAAGAAGGCAGCCAGATGGTGTGATGGGGAGCGCGGCAACACAGGGCAAATAAGCGGGCCGAGCTGCTGCACAATCAAGGGCTCGCGGGCCAAGCAGACAGTTGCCCGCTACTGCTGGCCCCCCCTGCTCCGCAGGCCATGCTAAGACTACCAAGAATGCCCACTGTTACCATCACTGCTTGGTAGTCGATACTGCTCTTGCGACGCGGTAACCGGGAACGGGGGATCGGGTAGCGGCGAGGCTAGGGCTTCTACCCATCGCCGGGCTATAATCTTATAGCAGGTGCGCGCTCACGGAGCATTAGGATGAGTCGTACCGCACCTTGAGCCAGGTGTTGAAAATTGCCACACCGGCCAAGGAGGCGATTGAACCCCCCAGCCGCACCCGGCCCAGGAACTCGGGAGTAAAGCCCAGTACGTTGGTCTGGTAGTAGAACATGGCCGATTCGGCGGAGGGGGTCGCCTGTGGACGGGAGTTAAAGACGCGTGCGAAGGGTGGACGGGAGAGGCGGGACAGCAAGGATACGTGTGATAGCACAGGAAGAATGCAATCACGTTGCGGGAGGGCAGGAGGAAGTGGGAGGAGCGGAGACGAGGCAAAGGCTGTGTGCAAATGACCGTCTATCCTTTCTTTGCCACGGAGTAGCCCATGCGCCGGCGCAGGGACGTCCGCAATACAGACTATGCACAACAGTCTGGCTGTCGTGTTGTGCGCCCGCACCTTGTGTGGAAGTGATCAGGGATGCGCCCAGACTGCCTAGGGGGACCACCAAAAGGTCAGAAACACAGGAAAGCGGTGGCAAGGCGTGGCGGGCACTGTGCGTGCTCCGCGCGCTTCTTACCTGCCACAGAAAGACGAATGTAGCGGGCAGGAGGATGTCTCTCCGCCGGACGGCGTTCCATAGGGCGACGCTTTGTGTCCACAGCCGCGCAGTAATCGTGGTGGGGACGGCCACGGCCATCTCCGTGCCTTCGGTGGCGGCCGGGGGTGTCGCCGGCGGGGCCGACGTGCCGCTTTGTAAGGACAGCAGCGGTCGTGACTGCTCTCGGTCTTCCGGGCTGCCACCAGCACCTGCCCAAAAGTGCAGACGGACATGGCAGCAAGTCGGTCCGCCGCATTTCGCACAGCACTCGGGCCGCTGCAGCTCACGAAGCCAAATAGGCGCGTGTCTCTCCCAGTCATAAAAGCGAGTGCAAAACGCACTGGCACGATACAGAAGCGCTGACTGGACGGCCTCGCCGCAATTGCGCGTTTCCGCAGGGCCTCGTGGATGCTAACGCAAAGGCGGAAACCCCTTTTTTCCTCTCCATAGGATATGGACATAACATTAAGGACTGCCCGGGGTCCGTAAAGTAAAGTGCATACAAACCCACGCTCAAACAATCAGGGCATCGCCACAATGTCCCTTTCCAAAAGAGGAAACCTGGCAATCTCCCACGAGTAAAGCAGCCAAGAGCACTGACCCACGGGTTTCTCGTTGATCAGTATGGACGAAGCCGACACCACCAGGGGGAAGAACGCAGTGAGCCCGAACACGAAGCGGGTGCCATAGTCCTGCAATGTGACGACGCAGCAGACACCTTGGTTAGAAAGCACAACCCGCAGTGCAGTCGTTCCCAACCCCAGGCCCCCAGACGTCACGCGCAAGGGCGTGTTGGTCCGAAGGCGCGTGTTGGGTTCATCTCGACGAACGGTATTCATGTACGATGCAATGGTTTTGGAAACCCTGTGCGCAGCGCGGTGCACAGCACGCTCCCCTCAAAAACAAGTTTTTAACAAGTTCCGATCATCACAGCCCCGAGCCACACCCCACACCCCAACGAGAGGCTAGGAGACCAACAACCGCAAAAGCAAGGCCCATGTGGCCAGGAAGCAGCATTGCGCGCACCTTGGAGTCAACTCTCCTGACACATCTGCCATCGCTTCTGGCCGACCCCATGTAGGTCTTGTTTTCCCACCCCATCCCTCCACACTCCCACCTGGACAAACGAACCGCTGAAGTAGGCGGAGGTGATGCCACCGACGGCGGCTGACGCCCAGCACAACGACTGAAGCGACCCCGCGACGGACTGCGGTCATCCGTCAGGCATTGGAACAGTGTTCAGACCGGACTCTGGTAGGACCCGAACGCGAGCGATCACGTTCCCTTTGGGCTGGCTTAGGGACCCAAACAAACTGGCCGCCTGTCGTAATACTTAGGGGCCACCCCACGAGCGCACTCGGACCCCACGACAAGCTCCAGACATGCAGCTAGGTCCCGCTGGGGCCTACAGAGGCCCGGGAGCTGCTCGTTTGCATGACTCCGAATAAACCTGTCCTAGGGTCCCCGCAAGCCCATGTCTGGTGTCCCAGCCGTACATCCCCGACGTAGGAACGACAACCACCATATGGTCACCACTGCATGCCCGACGTAGGAACGACACCATATGACCACCACTGCATGCCAACGCAAGCCCCCTGCCATGCGTTCCAGCTGCCAGAGGCAAGCGCGGCCACTCTCCGGGGGCTACATAGGCACAATCAGCCATCATACTCGCGGTTCGCCCTTCAGCTCGTGATACCGTTCTGTCCCCTACCCCAGCGAGGTAGCGGCAGTGGTCCTCCCTTACAGCCTTCATAGCGCAATCCCTGCTGTCTTTCTCCTTCCGATGCTTCTCCTTCCCTTTCCGATGCTGCCATGCACAAGTTTATCCTCCCTCCTCCACCCTCCCCAACCTTCCGAAGAGGCTGACTAGTCCCCGACCCGCCCAACAGCCAGCTCACCCACCCCCATTGTTTAATCCACCCACCCACCTGGTGATGCCCCCGTGTACGCTCCACCACAATCGAGTCCACCACCACGTCACTGGCTGCCGTGCCGAGGGACGCCAGCAACATACACGCCACGGCGCCCCGCGCGTCATGCACGCCGTATGCCAGAATGCTCCATGCCAGGGTGCCTGCAGGCAGATGGGGCCGAAGAACTTGATTCAGTCATCCTGTTTGATGGCGGCAACTATTTCAGGGGCCCTCAGAGGCCCCTCCTGATTGCTTGGGTGCGGCAGCTCGCAAGGCCGCGACACCCGCAACCCCTTCCAACCCAGATCATAATGCTGCATCGCGCCCTTGGGGGGTGCTATGGAGGACACCGCAGCGAGCACAGCCCATCAACCCTAAGACCTGTTCCTTCCCGGTATCCCTAAGTCCCGGTCCCGCACACCCAGTCCCAGCCAAAGCATCCCTGCACCCACCCATCAGACCGCACAGAACAAGATATGAACGGCGACGGTACCCGAACAGCGGTATCGAGTCCGAAATGAACCCGTAGAGCGGCTTGATCATCCAGGGGATGCTGGACAACCCAGTCAGCACCGCAACCTGTAAAACATAGCAAGAAGGAGAAGAAAGCGCAGGGTAGCTTTCAGGGTAGCAGCAAGGGAAGGGCACTTTCAGCACGCAACCGCTGGGTCTCAGTATGACGCTGTACAGCCCTGGAGGGAAATGGCCACATGCGGCATGTGCCGCATGTCGCACCGAATGAAAACACGGGCGTGTGGAAGATGTATGCGCGCATACACTTCATTACGCACGGCACAGCCCCAGCCGTGGCGGAGAGCCCACAGTTCTCAGCAATTTATGATGGTCCCATCGACAGCAAGGTCTGTGGCAGCACCTTCAAAAAGCAACCCTGCCTTAGCTAACGGACAACCAGACCACCTGACAAGGTGGAAAATGGATTGGGAGAACAGGATGCACGATATGCCGCGATCATGGCCGCATATGGGGGAATTCCATGACCACAAGCTTCTCTGGAGGACCCTGCCGAAGCTGTACGGCACAATCACCTCTGCTGGCTCGATGTGCAGCTCGTCCTTGAAAAAGTATGACACAGCCAAGCGAGACAGTCCCAGAATGCCTTGCACGAAATAGACTGCGGCCATAGAACACGTGTGTACGAAAAGGGGGAAATAGGTATTAGAGGCCGCGGCGAAGGGCCCCAGAGTACGCACGGAAGCGCTGCGAATGTTGAGTTTACGGCGCCCGGTTAGCATGGGATTCTGCCTGGCGATACCATGCCAGGTGCCGGGATATGCCTACATTGGCACAGGCTGCGGGCCTTGCAGATAGCGGAGTGCGCCGAGCTGAAGCGAGTTAAGGGTAACGGAGGTTCGCTTGTTGATCTTTCTGGCGCACACTATTCAATACTCACCCATGGAGATTGCCACGAGCTCTGGTGAGGGCTCAAGACCCATAATTCGGATGTCCGTTAACCTCCCCAGGCTCAATCGGTGCCGCAAACGGCTGAGGCGCTGTAACAGCGTTACTTTTGACCATTCATGGCTATCATCTGTTATCATATCACGATCGTGAGCTGCAACTTGCAGTGGCGACAGGCCGCCCCCATGGGGACGAAGGTGAGCTTTTGAGCTCGTCGGTAAGCCAGAGCCTGAGCCCGGCGCCGATCTATTTATGGGATTTAGATCCGGGTCTGGGCTAGCAGCACGCATTCGTGTCCGCATAACCCGGCGTTGTTGAGGGCGCTGGTAGAAGCCAGGTCGTTGTTGACAAGACGAGAGAGATTTATAAGCAGCTTTCATATCCTTGATGGTCACTGTGAAGTGTAGCCTTATTGGTTATTGCTGTATGGAACTCCTCATCGACTTGCAGACTAGGGCTTGACCGTCACGCGCCGAATTCACGCTCTTACTTTCCCTTATAAATATTTTATATTTATCAGACCTTACACTAAATACAACAGATCACGTCCTATCAACGTGCACACAAATGGGGCTTTGCCGACGCTCGTGTCAATATCGAAGGAGGAACTTGCTGCATAACGTATGAATGCTTTTAAGATATTACCCACCTATATCGTCAGCGAGCACTGACCCTAGTAGCCCAGTAAAAGCGTCTGCATCCCTCGATCAGCTGGCTATCATCGGCGTACGGTCAACACAAACCGAAATGCCGGAACCCTTGGCGTACGCATTAGCGACACATCTTCGTCTCATTTCGCGTCAAGCGGTCTGGTAAAAGTTATGCATGACCTCGAACACTGGAAGGAAAGGTTTTCCAGGTAAGAATGTTATGGTTTGAGCTGTACACGTCCAGTGCACTGTTACTGTTGAGCCATTTGCCCCAGCCTCATCTTGCACATTCCGTTGCACAACTAAGGAAAGCATATTCTGCCAGAGCCAGTTGTACATGTTGTACTGACAGTTGGACAGCAACATGGATACATAAAAATGCTGAGGACAGACATTTCATCCATATGAGCAATGGGTCTGGCAGTTACAGGCGTGGCCGGTTTTGCTCTCGAAGGCATGCGTTTACCAGACGGACCAGCGTTGGCCTTGCATCGCGCGAGGCGCGCGACTTGCAAATGTAAACGAGTAGAATGAGAACGACCCGTACACAGAGCGGATCGGATTGGAGAAATGCGCTCCTACCACACGTGCCGGCTGTGTTAGTCGTAACACGCAAGTGGCTTAGCTAGACATGTATGCACTAGGCTTGCAGGGTATCGTTTTTGGCTGGGGCAACCTGCAGCAGCACAGGTGCTGACCGGGTGGGGCGCTCGACCACGGCACCCTTGATAAGTCACGATCCACGGATTTCCACGATGGAGCGCCGCAGCAAACATAGCGTCATTTTATTGATCCCAACGCTGCAAGGTGGTTTGGGGTCTCGAAGCGCCTTGATGCGTGTGTGTGTGTGTGTGTGTGTTACATGGTTGGGGGGTGCGTGACCCCATACCTGTAAAACTACCCATACGAGCCGAAGGCCCAAGGGCAATACTACAACACCTAAAAGCCACGGAGATGCAGCTGAGCGGCACCTCCGGGAGCCTTGGAGGCCTGTCGACTTTTGCAGCCTGGCTTATGTATGCCGTTTCTTAGGAGGACTCCATTTTGGCGGTTGCGATGTGGTCGAAGGCTCTCCAGAGGGTCAGTTTGGCTCCAACTGGGAACCAACGACAACGGCAATTGAACTCATCATCTTAAGGAGTGGGGCTTCATGGCCATTACAACTTGATAGAGAACATTATAATATAGTAATACCACCGCCAGCGAGACAGAAAGGAGAAAATGCCCTCCGGAACTAACAAGTGATCCAGCTCTCCGAGTCCTGGAGGCTTCGTGCAAATTACCGTTGTTACCGTTGACTTCAGGATAATTGGACAGCCTGCCAGGATCATGAGTGCTTTAGCCGGCTTACTCAACGGCCCAGAGGTGTAAGCTTACCGCAGTACTCTTGTCACCGAGCGCATAGGAGTTGGACGGCATGGCACACGGACTCCTAACGCGCTCAGCTAGAGTGACTGCTAAGCTTGCAGCACGAGCCAGGTATATGCCAGTAGCCTTTGTATGATAACATCACCGCCAGTTTTATGAGTTGGCCTCTGTGCGTGCCATCAGTCCGTGTGGCTCACGACGAGCAGCCTGCCTACTCTGCCAAATCCTCAAATTTGAGCGACATAATTTGCAGAAATTAATGTGTACTTTTGCAGATCATTCGTTACTTCGCACCCCACGGTCTTCGTCGCCAGGTATGATATGGTGTTTGTTCTCCGTCTTACTGTACAGCTCTGAATTTATTATAAACTTTTGTCAGCATGATTATCGCATTATACTTTTATAGTATTAATTGAAAAATAGCGTCTGCATCACTTCAATTTTACCCCCATTCTCTGCCAGGAGCCCGTCGCCAACCCTGGTAACTCCAATCGCTACCGCCCGCATTGCACATGGTAAGTGGAAGAATGTCTGCACCTTACTGTCAGGTCTTGTCCGTTCTCCGCTGCTGCGCCCGCGACCCCGCTCTGCAATGTGCGCGAACGTTGACTCGTCCTCCGCCACCGACGTCGAATCTACCCTGCTTGACCACGTGCTGCTCCCACGTACTGCGGCCAGCTTTCGCCGCCCCTCGTGGTCCCATCGTCGCGCCCCGAGGCGTGCGCACAGCCGCGGCATCCGCTGCAGCCATGAAGCAGGTGGGAGGCCCCCCGGACCCAAGTGCCGAGGGCCATGAACGCGTGGCCCTGCTGCGCCAATGCATAGCCCCAACTCTTTTGCAACCTCCCCTTCGGCAACATTCACCAGGTTGCGTTCGAGCCTGACACGCTGCCGTCGGTCGGCCTGGCCAGCTCAGCATTGGACTCCTGGGAGGGGGACCTGCTGGTGCTGGCCGTCACAGAGGACGACTTCGTCACCGCGGGTGGGCCACTGTGGCACCGGGGGGGGAGGGATGTGACGCGGAAGCCCGGGGCAAGATCCAGATACGGAACGCCACGGGACAGGGATGGACTCGGCCGCCGGGCAGCACAGTAACACGTTTCACTCCGGGAAATGCTGCCTGCCACGCTGCGCATATGTAACCTACGTCACCCTGGCCTTGAATGGACACACACACATACACATGCACGCACACGTCCCCGCGTGAAGCGGATCCGCGCCAAGGCGGAGGCGGAGTGCTCTATCCTGGGAGCTGTCCTGCTGAGATGGTACCATACGGTGCGCTTTAAGGCGCCTACACGCAATACGGCAGATCGTACTGAGCAGATGAGTTTCATTGCCCTCTGTTATGGTTATATGTCACCTGGTGGATATGGGCCTTATGTCCCCTGCTCCATCGCCTTATGTCCCTTACTCGACTACTGCTGTCTTCCCCTCACCTTCCCAGACGAGGTCACCGCCGTCAGGTCGGAGGGGCTGCAGCAGCTGGATGCCAAGCTGGGGGGGCAGCTGGCGGAGATTGTTGCCTGGGGCGGCTTCGATGGCAAGCAGGTGGGGGGGGGGTAGGTTTGGAAGATGTGTAGAAGAAGGAGCTCACCAATATCCAGACGTGACCCCACCCACCTGTGAAGGGTCGCCCCGCAGTCCTGGCGGGGAACATGAATGGGCCCCACCCTACTCCATGGCTTCATTTCATTTCATGTCTCGGCAAGTCAACTAACTAACGCATACCTAACGGAGCAAAACCTTCCACCAAGAGCCCCCCGACTCCTAGTCTGACGGGACGGGAACGGGGCGAATGTCCTAGAGCGGATCCAAACGCGCAAGGTCTGGTAGATCTATGCGGCACCATAGGAGCACTCCCACCACCGGCTGCCGGCTAATATCTGGATGTGGAGCGCGTATGTTTGTATATGTGTATTATGTTTTCCTGATCGGGTGCTGTACGCAGGGCAGTCAGAGCCGTGTCGTGCGGTACACGGGTACCGGCAGTAAGGCCAAGCACGTGGCGATGGTGGGTTTGGGCAAGGCAGCCAAGCTCACAGTGGCGACGGAGTGGGGCGTGTCACCGTTCCAGGTACGGATGGACATAACGAAGCATAGGTAGGCTCCGAAACCCCTAATGTGCTGCGTGTGGGGTTTGGGGGATTACGGGCCGGGGGAGAAGGGGAGGGCGGGTTCTCTGTTTGGTGTTCTTGCATTGCAGCACCGTTGTGGTTTTGCTGTCTTGCAGCGTTCTCCAGGATGGGCTGGCTAGCTGCGTCACGTACGTACTGGTACTGGTGCGGGTGTACTTTTATGGTATTTATGTCACTGGTGCGGGAGTGGGGTTGTATGGATGGGGTTGAATGCATGTGCAATGTCCTCCTTTCGCAGTCATGTGGCGGTCGGTGGTAGAGGAGGAGGGAGCAGGGGGCCCTGCGGGAGGGTGGGAGGAAGGGGGCTTACTGGTGCGGCTTTGGCGGCGTTGGCGATCCACTGCACTAGCTAGCGCACCCGCTTGCCTGCTCTTTACCAGCTCTTTTGCTTGGTCCTACCTCCCCGACCAGTGGAGTGGGTATGCAATGCTGCACACGCCGGGCCATGCAGGGGTAGGGTTGCCGTAGCGGGTTGGCAGCTGGCGCACTGGGCGGAATGAGCCCAGGTGAACCTGACCAACTTGAACCCAATCCAATCCGATCCACTTCAACACGATTTAACAATCCGACGAAGGAGTGGGGAAATCTTCAGCAGATGCTGCGGTGTAAGGGTAACAATCCGCCGGAAGAGATCCAGCACGCGAGGCGTCTTAATTACCTCCCTTGTGCCGCTATATACTGGCTGTGACCTCCTGTCGTCCTATCGGCATTATGTTCTTTGCCACTTAAGGCGCTGTTCCCCCCCGCGCCATGCTCCCCGCCCGGCTCCTGGGTCCCGTGTCTCCCTTCGCCCCCCCTCAGGCCCTGGGAGCTGCTGTGGCCGCCCTAGCCAAGGCCAACAAGGCAGAGAAGGTGGCGGTGGCGATCACGACGCAGCCGGACCCGGCGGTGCGGGGGTCAGCGCTGACGCAGATCACCACGGGTACGTGTGTACCTACGTTTGTCTGTGTAGTAGCGGGATGTTTGGGTGGTGCGAGTAACTGATGTGTGTCGTGGGATGCAGTGATGGTGAGCTTCAGGACGAGGGGGAGCGAGGGGGGGGAAGGACGAGCTGATGTCCGCCGGAGTTCGGGTTGAACCCCTATAGGGTACCTAGCTGAGACCACCACGACCCGCGCGACATGCTGCTGCGGGCGCCACTTCCATCCAGGTTTCGGTACATTTGTGGAGCACTCGTCCAAAGGTACCGAAACCCAAATGGGTGCTGCGCCCGCAGCATGCGGTAAACTCAGTTCAACCCTGAGCCCACCCCCTCGACACCTGCCAGGCTCCCTGCTTGGTGGCTATGAGAGCAGTCGCTTCAAGTCCAAGAAGAGTCCAACCGCATCAAAGCTGACGTCACTGGAGGTGTGTGGGAGGGCGTGAAGAGGCGGGGCCGGGCCTGGTAGGGGCTGAGTAAGGCTGTGTGGGTGTACGTCATTTAGATATTTTACCCCCGTGTGTGTGCGTGTGTGCTAAGGATGGTTTCCGAGGCAGAGGTGATGGGGGTATGGGCCCGCCCAAGCTATGCAGGCTGCGGAGGCAGCAGGGCGGGGCATGAGGCACCGCTGCCTGCTGCCTGCGCGGGGAGGAGGAATAGCTCCCGTGGGATCTTTTCCTCCAGTTAACGTTATGGCCCTCGACTTCTGGATGGGTAGTTCCCGAAGCTAATAACGTATAGCCCTCGACAGCTCAGAGGCCTAGCAGGAACTCCAGCAGTAGCAGCAATGCAGCAGTAGCAGCAGTAGCAGCAGCAGCACACTGCTGTCTCGTTTTCCTGATTCAACTGGGCTTCCCACTGCCATCAGCGCCGTCCAGTGGACACCCCGCTTCATGAGCCGGTGCAGCCATATCATACTAATGTCGGACCTTGTCCGTGTTGCGGTACATGCAGGTCCTTATGGACCTTGACGCCGCGGCGGCGGAGGCGGCGGTGGCTCGTGGCGTGGCAGCCGCGAGGGGAAACCTGCTGACCAGGTGAAGACGTGGACGGTAGCGGAGAACCGGTGAAGTGAGATCAGGGCTACTAGAGCCGTGAGCCAAACACACTGGACAGGACAGGGGCCGTTACTCCGGCGTCACAGCTCCTAGAGGGCGCCCGCCTTCCAAGGGCGCTTTTGCCTCCGCTCCGCCTGTTTTGGTACCTCGTTCGTGCAGCCTTGTTGCATTTCTCATGGTGCAACGTGTCGCTACGTGTTTCGCAAGACATATCCTCCCCTCCCTTTCCCCTGCCTTTCTGTGCAGGTACCTGGTTGAGGCTCCTCCCAATGTGTGTACTCCGACCCATCTGGCGGATGCAGCTGCACACATCGCCGCCAAGTCACCGGATGTGTTCACGCTCAAGGTATGTCTGTATGTCTACACATGTAATGTCAGCATGCAATACTTCATCGCAACTGACCGCACTGCGCAGTGACGCGCTCTGCGCTCGCACGCGTGTCGTCTGCTCACTGCCGCCCTAGCTTGCCTTGCTGTGGCTGCGGATTTCTTTTTGATGTCCTCATGCGGGCATGTGCGTGGGAGCAGGTGTACGAGAAGGAGGAATGTGAGGCCATGGGCATGGGCTGCTATCTGGGAGTGGCGGAGGCGAGCTTGGAGCCACCCAAGTTCATCCACCTCAAGTACTCGCCCCCTGGTGAGGTCTCACAGGTGCCAGATGGCCTGTGGGCTGCCTGGGTTGGCAAGAGGGAGGAGCTGGGAAAAGGGCTGGGGTTGCGATGGGGGCCGCCATGCTGGGTCGGTTTCGTTCCGTCTGTGGTCCACACGTCTTGGGTGTACGGTATTGCTGACTGGGCACGTGTGCCGGTTGATCGCTTGTACGGCATACTTACCGCCCGCCCACCTCCCACCCACGCCCGCTAACCCTGGCGGTTTTCATTTTCTTGAACCACTCTGACCGCCAGGTGGCACCACCAGCCGCAAGATCGCCATCGTGGGCAAGGGCCTGACCTTCGACAGCGGCGGCTACAATCTCAAGGTGGGATCCTGACGCCCATCTCTGAAAGACCTTTCGTGTTTCTTAACCAGTCCGGCCACAAATCGTGATTCTGCCTGCCAGCCCTGCTTTTGTGCACTTTTATTTACATATTTTGCCCAGCTTGACGAGTCCGATTTACCTTCCTCACCCCCAACCCTGACCCCCCAACGAATTCAGGCGGGTCCCGGCTCCATGATTGAGCTGATGAAGTTCGACATGGGTGGTGCGGGAGCCACCCTGGGTGCCGCACGCATCCTTGGAGAACTCAAGGCAAGACAGGAAGGGAGGAAGGAAGGGAGGGAAGCCCACCTGATGCTCCAAATGTGTCTCTCCCTAGAGGAACTCCCCATCAGCTCTTGTTCGGTTAGGCTGGTCTTTAGGGTTTCCAGCCACCCAGCGCGCCCCAATTCGCTGTTGGTCATATGACCGCGGCCTCACCGCGCATCCACACCGCCACGCTCACCCGCACCTCTGTGCCATCTCCGTTCGGGTCTCGTCCGGTTGCCCTCCTGTGGCCTTTCCCTTTTCACATGATTTCCGTTTACACCTGGACCTGGTGGGTTTTGTAACCCCCTCTCCTCCCTCCGCCTGGCAGCCCTCCGACGTGGAGATCCACTTCATCATCGCCTCCTGCGAGAACATGGTCGCCGGGGCGGGTTTGCGTCCAGGAGACATACTCACCGCTGCGAACGGTGCGCAAATCGGGTTTGGTTTGGCGCGACTGGCGCAAAGAGTGGCTGGTAGGGGCCCAGGTCGCGGGCAAAGCGAGGACACCGGCCTCCGGCCTTTAGTGTCTCTTTCCTCCCTGGAAGGACACCAGGGAATGGCAAGTAGAGTGGAGGGAACTGGCTTGGAGAGTAGTGCAGGGACGCGTTGCTCCCATGCCGCATGCCCCATGGGTCGTAATCTTGGAAGTGACCCACGGGTCGTTCCCTGCGGGTCGTTTCCTGCCATGGTGCCTTGACTCACCTCCTCCGCAGGCAAGACTGTGGAGGTGAACAACACGGATGCGGAGGGCCGACTGACGCTTGCGGATGCGATGTGGTTCGCACAGGTACGTGTGGGCGGTGGAGGTGCAAAGGGTTGGGGCGGACCGGTGCCGAGCGGTTACGCGGGGGTCCCTATCCATGCCCATGTCCCCACTCCTGCACTTCAAACTTTCATCTTTGTCGTTTCCCGTCCTCCTGATCCCCAACAGGAGAAGTGCGGGGCTACCTCAATGGTTGACATCGCCACTTTGACGGGCGCTTGCATAATCGCACTGGGCACCTCCGTAGCCGGCCTATTCACACCTTCGGACTCCCTGGCCGCCAGCCTTACCACCGCCTCCAAGGCCACAGGCGCGTAGTGCTGGGATATGTCTGCTTGAATGGTGTGTTTTCCGGTTGACTGGCCCTTGCTCGTCCGCTCGGCCGTTGTTGCCGTCAGCGGTGCTTCCAATTTTGCGCGGCTTGCGTCTTTCGTGCAACGGGCACGGTGGGTATTGCTTAATGTCATATATCCGATTTCAGAGCACGTGATTCACTTGCTGCCTGCACTTGTTAACGCTCGCACACGAATATGATCCACTGAACGGGCGTCCAGGTGAGAAGATCTGGCGGATGCCCATGGAGGAGGAGTATTGGGAGTCCATGAAGTCCCCGGTGGCGGACATGAAGAACACGGGGACGCGCTACGGTGGCTCCATCACGGCGGCGCTGTTTCTCAAGCAGTTCGTCAAGGAGAGGGTGGAGTGGGCGCACCTGGATGTGGCGGGTGGGTTGAGCAGTAGGCGTCGTGACGAGTCGCGCGGCATCTAATGTGGAGATGGACTCCTCGGCAAATAAGGTGTCCTGCTTGATATTCCCGTACGCGGCTATGTACCGTATCATGGCGGTGGTGGCGCCGGATGCAGCGAGGGTGGGGTCCAAAATCTTCCCTAAGAACCCTCGCGCCTTTTCCGGCTGTGGCGATCACGGTGTCCGCGATCGGTTCAGGCTGGTTATGCAGCTTGCCCGTGTTTTATCCTTTTACCTCACCTCAGCTATACCATGGTAGCCGAAGCGGGACCGAGTAGTGCCAGAACTCTTTCGTAGCCTCTGCGCATGGAGGCCCTGTCGCCACGTCGTCTGTTCAGCGTTTATCTGGTTCTAGCCCACTGTCCCCTGGCCCTACCCTGTCCCGCGTCCCTCGATGTGCATAGGTCCGGTGTGGAACGAGAAACTGGGCCTGCCCACCGGTTTCGGAGCACAGCTGCTGGCGGAGTGGGCCATGGCGCAAGCAGCAGCTCCCCCCGCGGATAAGTGAGCCCCACAATGGGAGTGAAGGAGAGCCTAACAGAGCACTGCGGGCAAGCAAGCCAGGCGCGTATATCCTGTATGAACCACTTTCCAACCTAATGTTGTGGTTAGGAGCGGGGAGGGTGTAAAGCGATTTGGAGGTTTGTTCGCCTGCCTACGGCGCTCTATTTCCCCATCTCGGGATGGAGGCCAGCTTAAAAGGCTGGACTCGCGATAGCTACTGGAAGGATCGTGTTCAATCTAGACACCGTGCCATACTTACAAAGCGGTGCGCTGCTGGCACCAACCAGGCTGCGGTCAGTAAAGCTGCAGGCAATTGTCCATGCTGGAGTCGTAGAGCATACCCGGGAGGGTGTTGCGCAATTTTGTAGGCTTCACAGCAAATATACTTCGTCGGACGTAGATATGGCAATTCGTCTTGTTCAGTTCATCCGAAGCCAGTGGGACAGGCCAGGGACCTGTGTACATAAATAGACCTCCTCAGCAGCACCTGCCGATCCTTTTATGAACAGACTGCTGTGTCGTCGAGCCACGAGGCAACGTAGCAGCAGCATGCCACAGTACTGACGCTGACGCAACCACCGAAACCGTAACGACGATACATCATCAAGCACGCAGAGCATTCCGTATTATGTTTCGCGACGTTTGCACAGTCAAAAGTTCAAAATAGGAAAAACAAGACTAAATCACACATATTATCGTGTCAAAATATGACAAATCCGGCATAGTACACCACTACCGCATCGCCGCAGTGGTAGATCCGTCAGCACCTGCCACCGCTACTCTGTGGCCCCGCACCTGCACCACTGGCACCGCCTCAAGGAGACAGACACCAGAACAGCGCCACACCAACCCTTGACCTTGTTGCCCACCGCCACGCCAACACCCAGCACAATCTCTTCATAGTCGCACGCATGGTCCCCATGGCCCCCTTCCCTCCATGGCCTCCACTGGGCTAGCTCGACCCTCCCTGATTAGAACCCCCTCGCCACCTCGACAACCGTTTAGGTGGTGTACTCGGCGTTGATCTTGACATAATCGTACGATAGGTCGCAGCCCCAGGCCATGCCCTTGCCGTTCCCCTTGCCAACCGTAACAAAGATCTGTACGGTGCCGTGTACGGCGCACGTGTCCTTCAGATATTTATTGGCTGCCGCCTTGTCAAAGGGCAGCGGCTGGCCCGCCTCCATCAGCTTCATACTGCCCAGCTGCACGCCGAGATCGCTTTGGTCGAAAATGATGCCTGAAAATAGGATCACAAGCGGGATCAGGGGGCAGGTCGGGGCCGGGGAGAGAGCCTACAAGGCCACCTGTAAGAAGATCGCATGCCAGCCCAAGGGACCAGGTATTCGGACAACACAGGAAAGCCAGCCGTGCAGCAACTCATTCCAGTCAGTCAGCCAGCCAGACGTCACACCAGGCAGCACACGTTCCACCCGCAGTTCACTGACAACCCACTTCGCCACGCACTCAGCCATCCATTCAGCCACCGACCTGAGTAGCCGGCAGCCGCGGCAATGCGACCCCAATTGGGATCGTGTCCGAAAATGGCAGACTTGGCAAGGGAAGACCCGGCTACAGAACGGGCAATGACCCGCGCGTCCGCGTCGGACTTGGCGCCGGTTACCTGCGATACGAGGTTGCACGGAGCATATCAAGAGCAGAGCGGAAGAGAGCGGACTGTGATGCCCAAGAGGCTGATGCCTGGGTTCTTCACATCGCGTGTAGCTGCCAAAAACGCAGCCGCGAGGACTTAGCTGCGGTGAAAGGATATCGGAAGCATGTGCACAGGTCCCCCACCTCGATCTCCACAAGGCAGGTGGCGCCCTCGCCGTCCCAAGCAATGGACTTGGCCAGACCCTGTGAACCGGGAGCATCACACCATCATGTGCCGGGCCAGGCAGGGTCGGTTAGGGAAACCAGGTCTTAAGTCATTTCCCAGGTGGCGCCAGCACGCGGTTGGGCACTGAAACCGCAGCTCAAGCCCCCAGCAAAATGTTCATTGCTTACAGGCGGCTCTTACGGGGCCAATCAAAAGTTCCATCTTGCATGGACCACAACAAGCGGGAGGAGGACGACAGTAGCGGCGTGTTGCCGCACGGCAATGCCTGCGACTGGTCCTGGGGCACACCGGCCAAGAACACTCGCATGCAACACTTACATGCACCCTTGCATCTTTCCCAAAACCGTCCTTCAGCCAGCCTGCAAATTTGTCCTCCCCTGTTTCCCACGGGGTCTCTCCCACACAGCCACATGTCCTGGAGCTCCCAGCCCAACCGCCCAAGCGCAGCTTCCTAGAAACTAGTAACCAAACGCCACGCCCATCCCCCGCCAGCGGCAACGGTGCAACATCTGCCCCACCCAACCACCCACCTGCATGAGTGCAGTGACAGCGCTCTCCAGCAGCTTGGCGTCCGGAGAGGCAGGGTCGGTCAGCAGTGGGTTGCCCGCGGCACCACTGGCCAGTCCGATGACGCAGTCGTTGGTGGACGTATCGCCATCCACCGTGATCTGTTGGGTGAGTAGGTGCCGTCGCGGTGGGCCCACTTGAGAGAACGGGTAAAGAGGCTACGGAAAGATACGAAGATGACCGGAGCTGAGGCCGGGTGCGTCACCAGCGACTGAAATTACGTCAGGCAGCCTTTCGGGCTTGCTCTGCCGGATACGGTTAGGCTAGCAAGGCATGTTAGGTCCTGGCGGTGGAAAAGGCTGAGCTGGCCAAAGGGTTATCCCCAAAGGGGAACCGAATGTAAAGGGGAGGCAGCCAGGGAACAGCCACCCAGGTCCCGCTCTCCATTTCCCCGTCTCGGAGGCCACCTGCCGGAAGACGTTGACCCTCTCCGCATTGGACTGCTGGAGCTGTCGCGCGCTAGCATCTGGATGTTGAGGGAATGCCTCCAACCCGTCCCATGTCCTGTCTTTCCATCCCTGCTTTGGTCCCCTCTTGGCGCCTGGCGAGCCCAGACACGGCCTAGCGTGGAGGTGCTTACCGAGTTGAAGGACGCTACGGAGGCGCGCTTGACAATGCCAGTCCACACGTCCGGTGCTACCGCTGCGTCGCAGGTGATGACGCCCAGCATGGTGGCCATGTTAGGGTGAATCATGCCGCTGCCCTTGCACATGCCCCCCACGTGCACAGTGGTGCCGCCGATGCTCACCCGCAACGCCGCCTCCTTGCTCACCAAGTCTGAGAGGATGGGCGGAGGAGGAAATCGTATGCAAGAGAGAAAGAAGCAACTGCCAACGTCCAAAGGAGGAGGGGAAAGACGGGCGGGGCGGTAGGGTAGCCGGCGGTAGGGTAGCCGGCATAGTAAGGCATCGTGTGCAGCGGTTTTGAGATAGCGACAAGAAAGCAATGCGAGATCGAGGAGTGCGGCGGTTGGGACAGCGGGACACAGCAGGCAGTGGAACTGCACTAAGGTATGCAAGAGGTGCCGATTGGTGTATAAACCACGTCGTTTGCCAACGCAGGGAGACCACACATCACAGGGCTGGAACGCGCGCGACGGAAACACCATATCGCATGGCCGTCTGTCTCGGAACATGCGAATTGACCCTTGCTCCGGCAGTGCCTGGCAGGCTTGGTGTACCGGCGGTCCTGCTGCCCAGGGCCCACTCCCCTGCAGACCCCGCTAACCGCCACCTTCTCAGCGCACCCCGCCCATCCTCCCGTCCTCCACCCTCCCGTCACACCCGTAGTGGTGATGGCCACTGCCGCTCGGTGCGCATCCTCTGCTGAAGGGCCCAGTGTCTTGACCAGCTCGGAAATGGCGGGCAGGAAGTTCTCCATCTTCATCCGGCGACCGATGACACCTGCGGGCCACGGGGCGGGAGACGGGACCCGACAGAGCAGCTACATGGGCCGACAGGGGACATCAGCTGCCGGGGTCGCCTTCAAGCCAGGCATCCGCGGGACCGCAGGTAGGTGAGTCAGCAAGGAGACAGACAGCCCCGACCAGCGTTACCGTCGAGAGAGTTTACGAAGGTTGCTAAAGGAGCTCCTGGGGCTCCTGGTCCTGGTCCTCGCGACGACGGTGAAAATTGGGCGATGTCACACACCGCCTATGGCCTTCCACCTTAAAACGGTGCCTTCCTCACGCGTACCAAGCACGTATTACAGGATCCACAGTTTTGCGAGCGCCCTTATCACAAGCTACGCGCTGCACCAGCCCGTCGAGTGGGCCATGGGGCCATCCGGGCAGCTAGCAGCCCTCCGCCCATATGCCCCATAAGCCTCTCCAGCCCAGGCTGCAGCCGCCCGCTACGCGGCGTCAGTACCGTTAGGGCGGCCTTCCGGCGCACTACACTCTTCTAACGGCCCTGCACCCCGCTGCACTTCCGGCAGCAGAAGCCAGCTGCTATTCTGATATCTGCCGCCCCGCGCCACCCGCCAACAGCAGGAGCCCCACAAATACACGTCATTCAGAGCCCCCCTAGCCCCAGCCATGCTGCCCCCCAGAACCTAACGAGGCCACATTGCCCCGGGCAGTTGGGGCCCAAGCACGTTTGCCAATCCACTGTTCCACAGCCCCCAGCGCATGCATGCTTCCTGGCTTGCAAAAGTGATCCACCCAACCGCAACCCACCCACCGGTTGACTGTAGCAGGATGTCATCGGTGCTGGTGCCCAAGGCCTCCGCAAGCGCGTTGGCAGTGGCCACCGCGTCCTCATATCCCTACGGTCCAGGGTAAACAGACGGAGGGTCCATGGGAAAGACGGGTGAACCCAGGTGACGCGTGGGTGGGTCGGTCGGCGGGCAACCACGTGCAACCTGACAAGACATATTTGCCCCAGAAGACAGATCCCAGGCAGCGGACTCGGAAAGTCCTAGGCCCGGGTTACAGCCAGCAAGAATTCAAAGCGCAACAATAACGGGGGCAAGTCCCAGACAACAGAAGTAGCAGTCCGGGCTGTTGTTTTGTAGGGCACTATTAGGGTGTAGGCGACGGGATAATCAGCGTTCCTCACGACTGGCCCCCAATAGCTATTAGGCCGCAGGGGATGGAAAAAAGCAGCCGGGCATTGCGATACTCATAAGCCCCCTGGCATCCGGTCTCGCTAAGACAAATGCGGCGGGACCGAGGGGCAGATCTGGGCTTGCTTCCGCTCATTATGTTTGCTATCATAACGCTGCCAGGCATTGTGGAATCAACCAAGTGACGCAATTTAAATCACAATCGTTCTACTTTCTGGGCTGGTTGGTGGTGCACTGCAGCTGCATCTGCAGCTGAGCCAACGCGCTATGCCCCGCACAGCCGGGGCCTACTTGCCTGGGTGCCGGTGGCCGCGTTGGCCTGACCCGCATTTGTCATCACCTGGCCAGGCGGTGGCGGGTTGGAGGCAGTGTGTGACCAGACAAGGAGGCAGAGATCTGGAGAGCACTTGACTTAACAGCGAATAAAGCAACTTGTGCATAACGAGGAACACCAACCGCTGCAGAGTCCAGCTGTCGAAGATGGATGCCAACCGGTCCTCATGTGAACCATCCACAGCTGCCACCTGGCCCGTTAATCGGGACATACGTCCGTAAGGTGTTTACCCGCGTCCAACACAAAAAATGATGTCATGCGCCGCACGCGCACCCGGGAGAACGCACCGCACGAATGTGGGCTTTGCGACTGAGGACGTCCTTGCAATACAGCACCGGCGCAGCGCACATGACGTTCTGCGTGAAGGTACCGGCCGCGGTTGCGGGGGCATCCGCCACCACCAGAGCCAGATCGGCTTTTTTGCCGCTGGCACGTAAGCCAGCATGGGCGCCTGGGATGAAGAGCATTCGCACCGGTGTGCAGGTCAGGGAGTACGGTTGCCTTGTGAGTTTTGCCGTGACGCCAGCGTTGGCATCTAGATGCATAGAATAAACTGGATAATCCCTTAAGAAACAGCCAACGGGGTGTGCTTGGCCCCCAAAGCAGCCAGTTCCGGGCCCATGGGTTGACCCACCTGTCGCCTTGAAGCCCTTCGCCGCACATACGCCGCCCTCGACTTTACTCCACGGACCCTCCGGAATCAAGTCAGGAGCAGCGTTAATTTTGTAACAGTCTCCATCCATGAGGATGGCTTGGGCGCGACCAGACTGCAAAGTAACGAGGTCTTCATTACGTCGCCGAAGGCACGTGTCGTTGTTCACGACTGCAATGTGCACTCTACCTGACGCGGCATGACTCTGAGCGGAGCATTGTTAAGCTTCCGAGCATGTCCTGGAAATTCATGTGGGTGATCAGCAAGCTTGATGGGACCCAACGCTGGCACCTGATGTCTTACCGCAGGGCGCGATGCGCTGTTGTGCTAGCATTTTTGTCACTAAAGCCGACCGACTATCGGAAGCCCATATAATATCGCCATAGATATACACGTAAATAGGATTATGGACAGTGTGTCGTACCTGCAAATTTTAGTACGTCCTTCAGTGCTCCTCCAGCGTCACCAAGCGGCCAACCTGTATGATGTCGCGTAATTGTATAATTGTCAAAGCTTTTAATTTGCGATCATTACATATGAAGTTATCGCGTATCAGCCGCGGCTTTCATGGGGATCTTTGACCGTACAGAACAAACTTCATCTATCTTGAATACCCGGCATATCTCTGTGTCCAATGGTTATGGTGGTGTTCGGGTTGACGACTTGGCTGTCACGTCGGACCAAAGGGCAGTATACGATTAATCGCCATGTCCTGGAGGCTCTATTCCTGCTATCCATTTAGCACTACAAGCCGGGGCACCTTTGCAAAACATTTGGCTAGCGACAGTAACGCTCAAGATACATAAGGGCATCATCACCGTTGAAAACACTGCGCGGCATAGGCGGGGTGTGTCGAGCAAGGAAGGCAAGCCAGGCTCGCCAGCAGGAGCGCAGGACGTCGCAGCGGCTGATTCCAGGGCGGGCTTCGTAACGCTGGACATGCCACCTACCTTGAGCAAGGCCGAGAATGACATCCGTGGCTGTGGGCCGGGCACATCGGCATCACTGCGTACGAAAGGCACCAGTGCCTTGGGATCCATAGAGCAGTTGGGGGGCGTCGTCAGGTAGGCCAGCAGACCATCGACAAAGCAGCTACTGTTAGTGTGGTGGCAGCAGCTGCTATGTCAAGTGGGTCTGCGGCGGGGCAACAAGTTCATGAGCTTATGTACCGTATGATGTGTGAAACAGGGGGGTGTATCTTCGCCCGTGGCAGCTACCCTGCGAAACCCTGCCTTCCCCGGTATTTCGGGGCACCCTCATCCAGTCACCCTAGTCAACTTCTCAGTGGATCGCTCAGGTTCCGCGCCCACGACCAGCATCCAACGGAATCTGCCGGGTCGACAGCGGCCCAACGCCGTTCCTGGTCGGCTCGCAGGTTAACTTTATCCCAGGTCACCACCGTCCATCAACCAGGGGCGCAATGGCTTCCGCCATCGGAAGGACTTTTGACTCTGACGGGTACCGATCCCGGGATCTCCCGGGGGCAATGGTCGCGCCTTATCAGTGGTGCCAAACCCTTGTACCGTATGCATGCCGCTTTGTGTGCATTGCCAAGGAAAGTAAACTATGTCGTCAGCCATCGACTCAACCAAGAAAGGATTGAACGTGGTCGGGCCATTAGCCTCCCCTTTGTGTGACAGTGAGGCTGGTGGATGTTGCCCTGCGTTTGCCTCCACGGTTGTTCGGCCCTGCTATGCTGGGACCCGGCCTAAGGCTCGGATAACCTGGTGGCACATTACGCTACCCTCAAGCTGTCTGTGAGGCAATCCGCGAAGGGGCTTGACGCACGTTGGACGTGCGAGAACACCTTAGGTGAACCCCGGGTTCACCGGGGTCAAGGCGTGTCGCTACCATTATTACATGCGGGCGTCGTCCTGTGAGGGGGCACACCCTGGGTGGCGCACAGGGAGACCGCCCTCCCCTGTGATAGCACCAGGTCCTTATGCGCTTTAGGCTGGGATGTTGGGAACTAGATGTTAATAGGCCCAACGACCATGAGCGTGCCACACGTACCTGCAGGCTTTGTGGCTGCGGAGCGGTGGAAAATGAATTGCACGTGTTTGAATGACCTGCTTTTGATGGCTTGAGGGCTAAGTACAGGAGTGAACTCAGGTTTCAAGGGCGCAGCATGCGCACCATCATGACCGAGGCTTCCTTGCTGGCATTAGCTAGCGTTCTATCTGATATCTGGGAGACTAGGCACGCAGCGCTCCGGCGCTTCATGCGCAAACGGGGGCGGGAGGATGACGACGGTCGTAGCATTACGGTCCATGGGGCCCCCGGCTTCGACAGACCCCTCCGTGCGCACAAGTGCGCACAAGTCCGCACTTGTGCGCACACTGTAACTGTATCTGTTGCCGTATAGTCCCAACGGCACTGGCATCCAGGAACCTGCTTCAGGCTTTGGTTATACGCAAATGCCCGGCTGCACCATTGTTCCACGCATTGCTCGATAGGAACCCAACCAGGGAACACTGCCCCGGCCCTGGATTGCCGGCCCTTCCGCCCTGTGCTAGCTCACTGCTGCTTCAGAACATCCCAATCTGGAGCATGACCAGCAGCCCGGCGGTCGGTGCCGCAGCCCCGGAAGCCTAACTTCCAACCAAAGTAAGCCGTTTTTGAGCAGTTTACACAAGGCGATGTGCTTTTCGATTAGCTGCTCAAGGACATAAGCTTACTGCATGGAGAAAGCCTGCTAGGTTAAACAAGGTTGCGTTTTCGCACGCATGCCACGACGACGCAAGTTCCTAGGATGGGAGACTCGCCTAAAGCTCTTATATTTCTGAAGGTCCCACCGAGCAGTAAGCGTATGTCTGTGCGGGTTGCATCGCGAGATGAGATGAGCGGCGGATGTGCCTGGATGTACGGCGCGTTACGGTAATGTACATTACAGCTCATCTGCGCATTAAGTCCATAGTGTCTTTGTAAAGTTTATGGATTAGAACACTCAATCATGGTACTACGATGACGACACGCGGCGTTGCATTTGAAGTCACAGGGACAAATATATTGCTTCGCAAGCGTCGCTGCTGTACTGACACCCCAGTCAATCTAGTAGCTTTAGTCGTCCAACCTGAGGACCAACTAGCCTTAGGTGTAAGTAATCCGCAGCAGGAAGACCCCCAAGGGCCTCTTCACGCAAGTAGGCCTCCGGCTCAGCAGTGTCTACCGAAACCTGTTACTGGTTGTTTTTGTAAAACGGAAACACTTCACGACGACTAGAGGGAGGAACCAAGCTCAATCCTTGGTGTGATTCCAGCTAATGGAGCACCCGCAAGGCGGCCAGCATGGTGGTCCTCCAGCAGTGGGGGTTCAAAAGAAACGTCAGAGAGTGTACCAACACTGGCAGGGCAACGAGGTAAGCTTTGCTGCTAGCGTCTTTTGACTTGTATCCTGCAGCTGTTTGGCCGCTGAGCCCGAGGGCATGCAGCGTTACGCATTCATACGGAACTAAGGATACGAGTTTTGAACGGAGAAGATGCTTGAGGGTTGTTGGCCCGGCGTAAAGTTGCCGGCTTGTCCTTTGCAGAGGTTCTTCTGTTGGGGTTACCTGGTCGCCGGTCCGAATTGGAAAGCAGGTATTGGAACAGCGCTTGTAATTGCAGTTCCAGCTGGCGTATTCTTGGCCTTCGTGGCGCCCTATATGGGCGTGCATGTACACGCTATTATCCTTGTGATCAGGTGAACTTGTTTTCTCATCGGCCGAGACGGGAGTTCTCCGTCCTTACTTTTCATACGCTCTTTGCAGCTGCATTCTCCCCGTGCTGGCCGTCTGGTTTCTTATGTTGACGGCCTGCCGCGACCCTGGTATTATCCCCCGGCAAGAGCCAGACCAGGAGTATCTGAGCGGAACGAAGCCAAGGTGCGTCCATACTTGCCTCGTGTGCATCCTTTCCTGCAAGAGGAAAGCCGGGGTTGAGGCGGTTGCGCTTGCGCGACGTCAATCTCAAATCCTGGAATCCCCGTTGATGAACCTGATGCCCCATGGAACTGCATTTGAGGACAACCACTCCCTCTGGCGCTTGTTTGTTGCGATATACTTTATACCCCTCTCCAGTCCCGCTACCCGCCGTGCACATGTAAATGCAGGACTAAGGAGGTTTTTGTAAACAACCAGCGCGTCGTCATTCGTTACAACGACACGTGTCATTTTTACCAACCGCCCCGCGCTCACCATTGCTCAGTGAACGACAACTGCATTGAGCGGTTCGATCACCACTGTCCCTGGGTGGGCACCACTATCGGGCTGGTAAGCAGCACACGGGACGGTACATCGCCTCTTTTCTCCAAGCCTACTATCAGGGCTTCGTGTGTAAGGGCCAGGTTTCGTGTATTGGCTTTTGCACAAAGCACCGCATTAAAATGGCAGCTCCATGTGCAATACGCCAGAGCTAGAGCTAAGCCCCAATTTTTCCCTCGCAGCGCAACTACCGGTCGTTCTTGCTGTTTGTCTACACGACAACCGTCCTGTGCTTGTACGTATTTGGTGTGTGCATCGCGATGCTGTTTGTTAAGCATAATGAGCTTGTTCAAGACGCGCGGGATGCGGGCAGGGCCACGAGCAGCCTTTGGGGCAAGGCCCTGGGAAAGGTAAGGCGGGTCTGGGTGGTGCGCTGGGTTATATCGCCCCAGTACGGAATTGAGGGGCAATAAGGAATATGGTTGGAGGGACAGGAGGGTTTGAACTGTATGTCGGCTACTCGGAAGCTTATGCGGGTGATGAAGGATGCCAAGGATCAAATTTGCACGTCGGCCAGCTTAGGTTGGCTTGGCACGATCTCACGTGTGACACGGGCCTGCGCCTGGAATAAATGCAGTGGCTTAGGATGGAGCATTGCGCTTGTCAACCGCTAACGGCTTACCACACCCTGCGTAATTATAACCTACTCTTCCGGCAATGCCACGACGTCATTATTATTGTGGTCCGTGCCCGGTTGCCACTTTCCTCCAGTGCATCCCTGCGCTGGTGCTCATGGGCTACACTTTTCTGTTCTTTTGGTTTGTGGGCGGCTTGTCGGTATTCCATGCTTATCTGGTGGCTACAAATCAGACAACATATGAGAATTTCAGGTGCGGTTTTTATGTTTGCCACTTTGACGAACACAACGTCGACTAACGTTATCAGTAGAAATTGCATAGTACATGCATTGAGCACATGTCTCTCCTGATAACAGAGCTGCCTTTGTATGGCAATGGCACTTATGCCGCCGTAATCACCGGTGCTACCGGTTCCAGGCAAATAGCATTCAGCCTGCCGGTTTCCATCCTGAACAGGTATAACCATGACAACAGACCCAACCCGTATTCACGAGGTTGCCTGGGCAACTGCGCGGAGGTGTGGTGTACACCCATTCCGCCGTCCAAAGTGCAGTTCCGGGCATATGTAGACGAAGCCAAACCACCTACGGGCCAGCCATATTCGCCCTACCTAAATGGACCCGGCTCACAAATGCAGCAAGAAGGAGCCGGGCAGGAGCAGGGTGGTGGCAACGGTGGCGGTGGCGTGTTTGCCCTTGAGCCAGCCAGCCAGCCTCAAGCGCCTATTGTGGTTCCACCGTCACACCAACAGGCCGGTGTAAGCTTAGGTTCAATTGGGGGTGGTTATGCGTACAACCAGGTTGCTAGCGCAAATGGGGCATCGTACGACCCTGCTGGACTTGGTCAGTCGTACGGGATTCCGTACGGAGGACATAGTCAGCGGTATGATATCGGAGCCGGACAATCAAATCGTCATGGTGATATGCACAGTGTCACCTACAGCGACGCAGGCGCTGGCTGGGCATCTGGCAACGAGCAGCAGGTTAAGTCCGCTGGCACCTTTACCAGTCAGACTGTGCCGTCGACGAGCGGGCCTGGCCTGAGCGGGTCTCCGCGGGGATATGCTGGTGGCGGGTACACACATATGGCAATGGGCGGGCAGGGCATAGCCGGGCGTAGTGGCTACGCTGCGGTTAACAGTTACCAATCTGGGCATGGAATTTCGTCGTACTATGCCGATCAGTACGACATAGAGGATGACGAATATGCTGAATACGCTGAAGGGGATGAGGAGGAGGAGGCGCACGTTCATAGCCAGTCTCCGGCACAGGTGCGGCCAGATCAGGTACGACCAGTCCTATAATCGTTGGTTTTAACTTGAAAATTGCCCCGCGCGGCAGGGTTGTAGCGGCAGGACATCTTGTTAACATTGACTTTTGGCGCGTGTGAGCCATAGAAGCGTCCACCGGAATGTTTGCGTGCCTTAAGCTGCCTGCATGACAGACCTTACCAGGTATATGCTGGAAGGTGGACGGTGTTGTGTTTAACTCAACGGTTCGGGCGATGCAACCTTAGGATTCTGCGCATCAGCAGCAGGGCCCGTATGCGACGGGCTTCGACGAGCGGTGTGAGCAGTGCGGAATAGTCAGTACATAGACTGCAGCTACAGAGGTTAGGGGGCACTTACATTTCACGGATACGTTGTAGGTCTGCACGACTCGGATTACAGGCCGTAAGGACGAAAGCATATAAAATTCGCATGACTGCAGTTTTTCATAGGTTGAGCATGTGTACGCGGCTGGAGGTCTCGCGGTTTCGTTGGTTTACCATGCGATAAAATCCTGCATCTGGGCCGGGCCCCAAGGTTTAAGGGTTGGTATTCCTAAAGGTGTAAGTTGGCATAAGCGTTGCAAGTTCCGCTCTGACAAACTAATGCCTCTTGTGACAATCAGCCCTTACGTCCAATATCAATCGTGCGGTATTGATTTGATCCGCTCAGCGCAGCGCAGCGCAGCGCAACTTGACCATACCATACGAGCAGTTTGACACCCATTGATAGAAAGTTTACGCTCAATATCTCCCAGGAGCTAATGGAAACGCGACCATGCACTGCGGCGAACACGCACCATGCTACCTAACTGGCGACGGCCTACCCGAATGCATCCCCCCAAACTCCTGGGGAACCAAAGGAAGCCCAAACAGCGCAGACAAGGGAACGGAGCCAACCAAGGAAGAGCAGGGACGGGGGGAAACCAACTAACAACAACCAATCCGCTACCACGCTGCTTGCTAAAGGAGTTCCCGCTGAGAGAGCCGCTGACAATGGAGCCACACCCGCGACCAAGGCGCAGAGCTAATCAGCTGGGTGTCCGCAACTAAGTTCAAGTACCACACAGCAAACCACGTGCGCAGCATACAAGGCGTGTGCAAACCCATGATGTTTGTAAACCCGCGGAAACCCGTGACCAGCATACACAGCGTGCCATATCGCAAAGTCCGTGGGTTTAGTTTCCCCGTACTGCCGCTGCGTTTTCCACCCATTCGACCTTATAGACCGTAGAATATACTTGGGTGGCAAACGAGTCCTTAGCAGCGCCACTGGTGCGGCAGCGGTCCAGAGCAGGCTGTGCGCATGCGGGATGCCATTACGGGCCAAACCTTACCTTGCCACAAACCTTCAACTGTCGAGCTGCAATACGAGCATGGACGTATATCTGGTTGTATAAGTGTTTTACCCGTCGCTTAGCCGTACTCTTGTACCCGTTGCTTGGCCGTGAAAGGGACAAAATGGCACGTGCAATAAGATTTCAGGGCTTTGCTCTTGTCACAAGTCCAGCCAAGTTGATACAAGTACCTGTATTTTCCGACAGCACTATCAGTACCGACTGAACATGTGTGGCATATGTCTGTGTTCTAACCTGAGGAGGCTGTTGACATGCTGTCGCATAGTTCGCATCAACAACAATGTACGGCAGTTAGGGTGCGACAGTCGTACGCCTCCTGGCATTGATAGAAGTATTGTCGGCAAGGGAAAAACAGACGAGAGCTAAGCAACTGGGAAGGTGCTCATAAAGTAGGCGCGGCTGAGCCCCCCCGAGCTCATGATGTCCAGTACGCAGGACATGCGTCGCTAATGATCGTGAAAATGATGCAATTAGTGCAATTCAGCTGCGTTCAGTGAATGCAAGCTGTGAGAAACGAGAGTTTTGCCACCAATCCTTTCGCTGAACCCAAAAAATCGGGAGGTCCATATCACATAACTCCATCTGTACCTCGACGCCCACAACATAGTTTCGGATTAGTTTCAAGCCCTGCGCTTAGACGCTAAAATAACGCAGACACCTACGGAACAAGCTCGCGAACCAACCAAAGCGCATTCCCAACCCAGAAAAGCACGGATGGAAGAATCAAACGAAGCCCCAGGAACGGAAGAGCTTTAGTTCCCCGACAGCGCACAAAACCCGATGTAGGTTCTCCCTACATTTCAAGTGTCACAACTGCTTTATTGGCACTGCACTTTCAATGCCTCCTACCGGTCATAAAGAGATGAATTCAACACGGCACTTGTGAGAATGCAGTAGTAACGGTGTGTCATGGTCATATGCATCCGCACATTCTCACAACTGTAAGCACGATGTACTCCTATCAGTAATTAGAGGAGCCGACCAGGAACCACACCAACATGCATTAATACATAGTCATGCAGCAACACCATCCCCGCCTAGACGCGACCTGTGCGGCCCCTCCTCCGACTGGAGAGTCCGAAGGCGAACGGCAGCGTCGAGCGCATGTGCCCCATTTGCTGACTATACCCTCGGTCTGCCTCACAGCTTGAAGTCTCAAATGAGCGAGTCCGTCGTGAACATAGACGCGAGGGGTTCAATGACCACACGCTGGGAGTTTGGCTGTTGAGAACCGGACGGCTTTTTCAGTGCTGGTTTCAGACCTGCTGACTGACCGCCCGACTGTGGCGCTGCCACAGTGAGCAGGCTGTCGTCAAAGTGTGCCCAATCACCGAAGCCCTCGCCTGGAGAGCTAGGTTGCACAGGCGAGAGCCCCAAGGCGCCTCCCTTAAAGACCAAACCATCGACGACGCCGGGTGCGCCACCAGGCCCAGAGCAATTAGGCGGCATGCCGACATCGCTAGCACTGCGGTGCATGACGATCTACATGGCGTGAAGCGGCGAACATTCCCCGTCAGGAAGGAGATACAGGCGTCCCAATGGTGAAGCCCTAGATGGACCAATCCCTTGAGATCTAAGATTCATGCACTCACCGCAGCATCGCCTGTGGATGTATTTGCAGGACCGTTTCTAGTGGCCGGTCGGCACACTATTGATCCGGATGCCACAGACGAGGTCTCGCTGTCCACACCACCCAAGTTGATGAGGTCGACTGAGTTCGCTGAGTCCATGCTTGTCAAAGCGGCCTCGCTACCAGCCTGTGTTACATGGCGGGCGTCACAACGTAGTAACTTCAAAAACCATTCACCGACAAGCTCATTTACAGCAAGAAGGGAAACCAAAACACAAACAATTAAACCCCTCACCTTACGTAATGCACGGCTATGCTCGTCAGCTTGTTGGCTGTGGATATGGATTTGTTTCATCTGCTCAGCCAACTCCTCAGTGCTCATGGACTTGCCACGCCGCATGAGCCGACTGCACGAAAAGGTTAGAAGAAGGTATCTTAACTGGGCAATTACGTTACATCCCCCCATTCACCGGCAGACGCATCACTTGCCTCCCGGCGCCTCCGTCACCCCCACTGCTGGCAACCAGGTCCCCTGCGCTGTACGCATGGCCAATTGTGGCCGGTCCTGCCGAGGACAGCTCCCCAGTCACGCCACCGAATCCTGATGAGCTGCCTGTTGCCGACATGCTCTGCGAGCTGCCTGGCATCGGCAAATGCCCTTGGCCCACGCCATACAGTACGTGCAGGTGATGCGCAGCGTTGCGCTCAGGCAGCGGCCAGTCGATCTGTCCAACGGGTTCCGTATCCAAGTCAGAGACGTCATCGCCTTCCAGCGGGACTTCCTCTCTTTCCATTACACGGTAGGCGAGCCAAGACGACGGAAAGTACTCGTGCTGTTTATAGCCCAGGAACACCTGCACCGCCAAGGACAGCAAGGTTGAATGCGGATGCTAACCAGCATATTGGTATGCTCCCCCATTCCAATGACAATTTGAAGCTGCTTGCCAAGCACTGCTGCGTCAGAACCTGGCGGATGAGAAAGCGCGATACAAACGAGGTGCAATGCACTACGGCCGAAAAGGCGGAGACCTGCTTACAGCAGCCTTACCGAGGCAATTAAACACCTGAGCATTTACGCCCCCGCTAGACTGTATGTGAAATCCACTCGACCCCAAGCATCTTCCACCTCCCAGAAGCCCTGCACTTACGTCAATCATCTGCTGCTTTTCCTTGTCGACGAGCACGTTATTGTACCGCCGCTTCATCGCGACCAGCGCGTTTCCGTACGCCCCTACCCCGACCTTCCGCAGCTTGGAATTTTCCGGCTCAAAGATGAGAATGCGCTCGCTGTGCATCGCCTGCCGCAGAGCAGATGCCACAAACGTCCATGCTAAGAATAACGTTATGAGACAATACCACCACAAACGTTACAAGGGATAGAAAGCAGCCGTCAATGCAGCCGCCGGCTCCACAAGCGACAAGCAAATTTAACCGCTGCTGGCATACCAACCACACCTGGGATCCAGTATACAGCCATGCGCACATGTCGCCATTAACCAGAAACAGCTCAGCCAGCACAGACATTGCCTCCGGATGTATCCGTCGGCTGATAGTGTGGACCTTTCCTTTTCGCAGCATGCACCACGGAGTCAGGGGCTCGTACCGGTCGTCTGGGCTCGAACCTGCATTGATGGGATCGCGCAGGTTATGCTTATCAACAGGTACTTCTACAGGACCTTAGGACAGAAACGTAGGCTTCACAGTGGCAGTGGCACCAGCTCTGCTACTAGAACTGAATACAACAGAATACAGATCTTGACGAGGGCAGCATCCATCATATGCATGGCTCTCACCTGCGTCACCCGAGTCCGTCCGGCTGTGGGTTCCGCCGCCACTAGGTCCGGTGCGAACCTGTTGGAGTGCCGGGTCGCCTGGGGATTCTGTGGGTATATTGATCGCAAAATGCATCCCGCGTGTTACCCTAGAAATCACGGACTTAAGATGCATGTCTGTTTTCAGGCTATACACTATATGGCACTCGAGACGCAAACCTAGAATCGAGCACAAACACAATGTAAGATAACCGGCGACATGTAAACTGCAACATTGCAATTGTCACATCGATGTGAACACCTTCGCCAGCTCCACTTTACCTTGGCCCTGCACTGGTAACATGCCCCGTGGCGTCAGGGCCGCCGCTCCACCGGCCGTGTTGCTGTTGCCAGCCGCGGCCATCCGGAGCTCCGGGCCGCCGGATGCGCGGTTTGGTCCTGAGCTAGCTCCTTGCGGTGTCGCACCACCACCCAGCACGCCGTGCGAGCTAGGTCCGCTGCCGGGCTGGAAAATGGTGCTGAGGGAATCAGATGACAACCGGCCGTTGGACGGCACCGGTGGACGGTCCCATGTAGTCGACCGCGTGTTATGATCAACGTAAAATATGCGATTCGTAGTTTTGTCGATCTTGGCCTCCCAGCCCTACCAGGGGCAAGGAACGAGCAATCATGCTTAAGGTCATAAAGGCAGGAGCCCCATAAGATTGCTGTGGCGCTGCACGCAAATAGGCAAAAATGGTATAAAATGTTCCGAAGATACATTAAACCATCCAGCAGACTGGATACCCTTCGGGATCACCAAGGCCATACCAAACCAACAAAAAGTTTGTGCCATGTCCAAATGTAATTTAATGTGCGTAGTGGAAAAAGGGGGAACATTGTGCTCTGTTTCAAAAGACGCATACGCTGATTATAGGTTATTGGTGAGCCTGGAAAAAAGTAATGCCCGCGAAACGTTGTCTTCGAAGACCAACTGCTTCCTGCGGTGTCGCCTTACCGGCGGTAGCGGCAGCCCATCGGGCGCGATGGCGAACTTCCGTTGCAGCGCGTCGGCTGGCACAGCAGCTGATGTGCTCGCTTGAGCGGGGGGTTGTCCCGGGCCCCCGATTGACCGCTGCAACGGTGAAGCAGTGCCGGAGCCGCTGGCCATCGACGCAGCGGCTCCATACGGGCTCGCACCAGATGTAGTGAGACTCCCACGCAGTGGGCTCCGACCATCCCCAGCAGCCAGTGGTTGGATCATGGTCGTCAAGCCAGTTGCCACCTGCGGGGAAGGGAAGTTTTACGCTCAGCTTCCGGATGAGCACACAGTGGTACTTTCGGATTTTATGCGCGACATGATGGCGCGTGCATCACTCCAGGAAGGTGGCAAAAATATGTCGCACCTGTTTGCCAAACTTTTCAAACATCGCGCCGGCAGTATTGTTCCGCGTGCCCAAGCCGGCAGTGAAGAAGCTGCTGCTGTTCCCGGTCGCGCTAGTACCACACGTAGACGAGGTGCTCCCCCCCGTATTGCCAGCATATGGGGTGCCAGTACCAGGCGCCGGCGCCTGCAGCTGCAATGCACTTCCCCCCGGGCCATTTACGCTTGCCAAGGCCGCGTTAGATGCCCCAGCGCCAGGCCGAACCATAGTCCGCGGATCGCGGCTGCCACGGGCAAGTTGGAGCGCTGCCTGGTCACTGGTTGGCCGCGTGCGTGCTATGGCAATGTCCAGCTCGCGGCACTGTTCAATTAGCACCTGTAAGCATAAGATACCCGAGAGCCATAGCGATATGTCGACGATAGCCAACATTTACTGTGGAGTAAGTAAAAACAAGCCATGCGCACTGGTGCACTGCGGGATCTCTTGAATTGAAAGTTAGCGCAGGCTATGCAAGTTAAGCCGGTTGGTTTCGGAGCACGCACCTGCACCGCGCCGAAGAAGGACCCGACGTTTGTCCGATCCAATGAATCTGCACAGTTGTATCGCGTCACCCCGCGCTGCTGCCGTATCCAGTGTGCTCGCCAGCCAACGCCCGCTGCCGAGACCCGCGGGCCGACGATGCCCGTGCCGTTGTTCCCCCTCACCGGCATGTCCGTGGTCCCTGCCAAAACATAAGCCGACAAGTCACCTGACAGTCACTCCGTACTCTAGTTCCTCCGATATGCAAACATGCCCACCGGCTGTAGTGCATTGCTTGATTTGACGTGCAGCCACATCACATCAGCCTCAGACAGCCCCAAAGCATGTCAGAAACTTTGAAGCTGGTAAAACTACCATGGGGGACTATGCCGACGTTGTAAATCGCAGCGCACCTTCGTCAGGGCATACTTCGGTATGGTCGGGGCCGACCTTTTCAAGGGTCCCAAGAGCAAAACCGTGCGCCGGCAGGATGTCTTTGACCTGCAGAGAAGCCAACGGATAAAAAGGTCGCGTTTGACCCTCTACGCATACCAGTATCCTATTGTGGTTTGTGATTACATCTTAGCAACTTGCCAGTGCCGATGCAGTCTATAAATGCATTCCCCCCAATAGGGCACTGTCAATCACCCGGCAGATAGCACTACTTGCGATGCAACCCGGCTAGCCTGCAATTCTGACCGTATTCCAGAAAGCCTCCACGATGCCCATGTGCCCAAGCTGTTTATCCATTTCATGCCAGTCCAGGGCGATGTAGGTAAGGTTCATGCCATGCTCCTTGCGGAGCTGGGCAACAACCTGCAGCAAAGGTGGGCGTTAAGTACACCAATGACTTGAAAGAGCTGAGACAAAGACAGGGCAGCGGCTGCGCATCTTGCGACGCCCACATCAGTTGCTCCTGAAACTGACCCTTCATTTAAAGAGCTAACAGACTGGACTGCACCCGAACGGCATTCGGATGCCTGCGAGGGGAAAATGCGCATACTTACAAAATCAAATGCAGACGCCAGTTTCGCCTCGGAACGGTCCCGGTCAGGAAGGCCCTTCCGGAGCAGGCTTACAAAAGTCACCGGTACATGCCGAGACGGCTCGCCATCGGCACCGGCGACCGGCGGGTCCGGATCCAGCTGAGGGTTTGGCGTGTACCGCTCCTGCAAGCGGCGGACGTACCTGCACAACGCAACTTTACCATTGAGCTGTGTCCAGTTGGACCATGTACAGCCAGAGCCAGAGCACAAGGCCCGACAACACCGGGCAAGGGGCAGCAAGCACCAGATATCAAGAGGACGTGGTTTCCAACAGACACCTCCACGCCAAAACATTAAGGACACGTGCGCAGTTCTCAACGCGCCGGGTGGCCTGCTTTAGACCGTCGGGCGCTCACCGCTTCGAACCCTTGAATGTGTTGTGCGGGCGTATCTTAATCTCCGCCTCCCCAATACCGTTGTTCTTTATGCTTACGCCCCACCACAACGGTGCGCTGCCCCGGCGCCACGTATATCGGCTCCACAGGAGGAGGCTACCATCGCGCTGCTGCTGCCGCCAGATAACCTGCCATGAAAGAAATGGTTTAAGGAGAGCCCCAAACGAAGCAAAACCTTAGCTACGATGCCATATATGTAATTGTCCGTCCAGGCTTATGTCCGAGGGCCGGATAGTGTATTGGCAGCTGCACGAATAAACTACTGAAAGGCCGCAATTAGCGGTTTTGCGGTCAATGTTGCGCTCACTTCTAGTGTGTCCGCACGCAATCGTCAGGGAGTTACTGCTGCGAGTGCTTCAGGCGCATACAATGGAAAAATTGCGAAGTCAACAGGACGGACAATCATCTGGATGGCCGCCTGTAAAGCGACTAGCACGGCGCCCTCGTTAGGTAGACCCGCACGAAACAGACGAGGTCACGGCGCGCGCTTACGGTGCAACTGTCATGGACCCTCGAGTAACCTCAAGACACGCAGCCGTCACATGTACCTGCTCAACTTCCAGCTCGTTGCCCGGCTCTGCATAGTCGTTAAGCCCGCGTGCCTTGTAGCGGGGTCCAGGGTGCAGACAACCGCGGCGGCTGATGCACGCTACCCAGTACTTGGCATTGTCAAAATCCTCCAATAGCCGCGACTCACAAAGTCCCTGCACGACATAAGTTTGTTTGTCGCATCGGCTTAACATGTTCAGGTGCGCCTATGTCACCTGTACGATGGCCACTATGCTGTGTGTGCCGAAATCCGCTAATCCATAAAAAAATGTCCAACCCGTGGGGGTGCACGGATATATTGGCCTACATCTATGTTGGGGTCAGATCTGCGGAACTATCTTGAATGGCAGTTGACATCTGCCACCGTACTCAATCAACAGAAAACGAACACCGCAATCGTCACGCAGGCTCCAAAGAATAAAACCCATGAAAATCTAGTCCAGGTGTTTAGTAATGCCATCAGGATCTCGTTTTTGTTCCAGCGGACCTTGCAGCATCTCGGTCAGCTCGCGCACTAGAAAAGACTGTGCAAGGTACTAACTTCCAAGGCCTTTAAGCGGAAGCCGTTGCACTGCCTCCTGCATTCGCTCGCTTAAGCTGTAATTGCCGCTCGCCCCTGCATCAAATCCGCGCAATCCAGCCTTGAAGACGGGGTATAAGGCACAACAACACACCTGGAGCAGCGGCGGGCATAAGTGATCGAGTCCGAGATTGCGAAACGGCGCTGACATCCACCGGTTCCACACAAAGTCCCAGCTTGGGTCCTTCACCGCACGGTACGACGGGAAGGGCCGCGTGATGTCCAGTGTGTCACACAAGAAGTGCGCCCCTGCAGAAAGCAAGGAAATCCAAAGTGTCGGTACAACAAACGCTAGACTAATGGATTAAACAATAAAAACATCAGGAAACGGAGCCCCGAACCAACAATCACACAAAACCCTACAGTGCACACAAAGATTATATGAGCGAACCTGGTTAGAACGAATCCCTGGGTGACTAAAGCATCTCCACCTTACCGTCTATTGGAAACGAGAGCAGCCTCTCAATCCCTTTCTCAATTTCATCCTTCATTGCCTTCTCATCCTTCGCTCCTGCTTCCGGTGCCTGCGGGGAAACATCACATAAGCATATTTGCTCACCGTCGAGCTTTGACCAGACCCAGGGCACCTAAAAGCTGTACCAATGCCGACGGTTAGCTTGTACTATATTTACGGCATAAGATAGCGGCGGCAAGGGCGCTTGCAGTAAGAGCCCTCCGCAACTTGATCGCGGGCCCCCACAGGGCCAGCATAAGCCCCTGCGCTAACCTTTCCCCACGCTCCCCATAGGCCCCCTCCCATGCCCTCCACCATGCCATGCCATGATCCCTCAACCGTAATACCTGCTTGGTAGCCCCTATTGTACAGTAGGTTGCATACCTGAACAGACTGCATCGACAGGTTAATCTGCAACGGAATCTTGAGCCAGTGAGACTTCGTGACCGTCTTGACTTCGTGAGTACCCGGAAGGATAGCTGAAACACGGAATTTCTCGGCGACCAGCAGGAGGCCCCACTGCCCAATGACAACATATCCCAGAATGTATGGGGCACTGACGAGAATCTGCGTACCGTGCAGGCTTTGCGTCACGGTGCGTCCCAATACACAGCACACACCCCAAGCCGTGCGGAACCCCTGATCCAGGCTGCACCTGTATTGGTCCATCGACAGCTCTTAGATGGTCGAGGGCAGCAATCTGCAGGCAATGTGAAACAAGAACGCTTGACGTCGTGTAGGTGCCAACTCAGTCGTTACGCTGTTGGTACCTCGGAGTCAAATATGTCCTGTCCCTTTGTCTTGGTGAACTGAAGCTTGCCAGAATGCTGCGCAATGCGCAGCACCTGAGTCAGGCACCTGCCGTCAAAGAGTTAAGAAGATGCTTGCCAACATTAAAGGATACGTTGAGAACTTTTGTATACAGGGGATTAACAGCACCTTCCAAAGCCCCTGGCAACTATGTAGTATCGCTGCTTGACCGTGCTGTGCACCAGGAGCACCCGACCGTTTTCAGGTGCGCTGGGCGCGGAGGCGCTCATGACCTGCCTTCCTGCAGGGCACTATGCCCCAAGCTCTAAGCTAACAAAATGTCACCAGTCTGCGTGGTGCCATGAGGATAGGATAGAAGGAATGGAAACAACTTTGAGCAAACCGTGTAAAGATAACTTGTAGGAAAACAATCTTGGAAAACTCAGAAGTTAATAACAAGTCAAAATGCAATTTTGAAGATTATGCGCATAGAGGAGACAACAAGCAACAAGGAGTGAGAACGGCAAGCGCAACCGTACTACACATCAAACGGCTCTGCCATGAACTTCTTAGGGACAGATTAAAAAAGCCAAGTGCTAATTGGCAGTTTCTAGCTACAATACTAAGACCTGGTCACATAGTCCACATGAGCTTTGGGTGACGCATTTTTTCACGGCTTCTCCTTGTTTCGAGCTGAAAGGCACGCCGATGAGCCATCTGACATGCTGAGGACTATTTTTCTTGTCCGGAACTAAAACGTGCGTCTGTGTGCCTTCAGCGTTTGTCGCCGTTCGGTTGAGACCGCAACGGAACGCCGGCCTGCCGTGAAATGACCAGTCGCAATGAAATCTTACGCTGGAAAACCCCTAGCGTCGGCACTGTCGACAACACTGTAGAATATCAGTTCGATAACCGAAGTGTGTAGTAATCTGTGTCAAAAGGTAAGCATGTCGTGCGTATTCCAACATGGTTTATGAGTGTACGGACGCTTGAACGCCATGCCGCAAACGGGCAGACAGAAGCATGTTGTACGTGTTGCAGAACAGTGAAGTGCAGGAATGAGGCATCCCTGAAATTGATGAAGCGAGCGACAGTTAACTCGTACTCGTCATCAACAGCACAACCAGAGCACACTACCGGTTGCTTACGTTATTCCAGGCCATCTTTCCGAAGTCACCTCGTGCCCACGTATACTGTTCGATTACCAGCCAAGCACCAGTTACACTCTTAGTTAAGCGTTCTTCTGTCATACATCATGATGCCTCCCTGCCTCTCCGTGTTACGGAGTGAGGAGCAGTGGCATAAATCCCTCCTGACACAGCTCTTAGGTAGGGACGAGCTTGTAGCGAGAGTCTTACAGGCCTGAGTTTGTGATCAAAATTCTTGGATAATGAGAGCCTGCATTCAGAGCGCCGCCCATTTCAGAGCGACCATACGCGAAACTGGACTTTTCGCTGCCAGCTCATGCCATCGACTCACTCGCGTTCGTCCTTACTAACCTGGCCAATACTGGTATACAGGGTGGGAGGTGACCGACAGCTCACATCTACACTGTATGTAAAGATTGGACCCTGGTTGGACCCATTAACCTCGTCGACGCATAATGACCAATATGTTCCTGTCCTTGCTCAACCTGAAAAAAAGTCTCTATGGACAACTACAACACTTCTATCGTATTCATACGTAAGAGGCACGTTTAAAGGCTCTCCTGCACATTCTCGTCGGTATGGAAACGGGCATTCTGGATTGTGGCATGCGCAACGACTTGCCTACCCGTATCCATGATGCGATCCTTCATTGTTATTTAAATCCCACGGCGTTGGGCTTTGTAAGGACTGCGTTGCCCAGGAGCCATGATTAGCGGGAATGCGTTGCCCTAGGGTTAGCCAATCCCTTCACAATGCATCTGGTAGGACTTCCTTAGGAGCTGTCAAGATCAAAATACAGGGAAGAAACACCCCCAGTGGTGACCGCATGAGCTACTGACTCTACACTGTGATATACAAGAATGGCGAAAAACCTAAAACCTTCAACCTGCTAAGTACTCGTGCGCTAGTCAAAAAGTCAGATGCCAGCTGAACATGCGTGCAAAGTGTAGTGGAACTTCGAGCTTAAAATCTCAGGTCAGTCGGAAATAACCTCAAAGTCGCTGTCCTTATCGCCATCGTCATCCTCGCTACTGCTGATGATGTACGTTGCCTTAGCCGCCGCAGCCCGTCGGGCGCGTTGCGGCCGCTCCTCTAGGACGGTCGCCATGGGCCCAGAACAGGCGGATGCCCCTCCAGTGGCGCGTGCGAGAGTTTTAATTCCCAGTGGCGACGGCCCCACACGGCCCTTCTTGCCCTGTATGACGTGTGCGATGCGGGTGGACGGGTTTCAACAAACGGAAAATTTGGGCAAAGATGCACCTGGTCTTGTCCCCGGGCAACAGACCACTTATCTAAGTTTGCGTACCTTGGGAGCCACAGCTGGTGATGGAGCTGACAGCTCAAACGTTGCCTCCTCGTCACTCGTGTCAGCATCCTCGCTGTCCTCCTCCGACTCCGGCTTCTTGGCAGCAGCCCCTTTGCGTTTGGCTACGGGAAACAGTATCATGAAGCGAACTTAAGGTTAAGGGCTTCGTTTTCATTAGTAACCAGGGCCACAGACTTACCGGGCTGCTTAGCTGTCGCAGCAGTCTGCCTGCTCCCTCCTTTGGCAGCAACAGCCTTTGGCGCGGCAGTCTTCTACAGGAATCAGGGGAACGATTCACGTAATCAGAACGCTTTCCTACAGGACTGCATACCGCAGGGAAGACTTACAGCACCGGGTATTGTCTTCAAGCCTGGCGCCGGCGAGTTGACCTCGTCCACGTCCACAAGGTTCGCTGCCGTTGGCTTGGAGGCCCCTACGCCCAGTGGCTTCCCCAGGTTCAATTGGGTCTGGATGCGGCCTGAAACATAGAAACGACGATACCGACAGCCAGACCAAGTAGTTGTTGGTAGGTCATAGGCGGACTGTGATGGAAGTGCATAATAGGCGACAAGGACAGGATACACTATACAAGCATGCCCTTGAGCCCTCAGTTCGTACTGGGCGGTTCGCAGGTACGGTGTACGCACCTCCACGACCATGTAACACACACAAGCATGCGTAAGCTGATAAGCAGCATCATATTACCTGCAAGGCGAGCAGCCAACCCTGCCGCTTCAGGGTCTGGTTGAGTGCGGCTGTCATCCACGCTTGGTTGCTCGCTGCCTTGCGAGCTGGCCGGCAGCGGCTTTGGCTTCCTGCCACGCCCCGTCGCCGCTGGTTTGGCCGGTTTTGCCGAGGGTACCTTTCCAGCCTGGCCCGGCTTAGTCGCCAGCTTCTCGTCGACCTCCCATTCTGCTGAGTTACCTGCGTCCGTATCGCTATCGCTCTCGACGACCTGCTTGCGGCGAGCATTACCAGCTGCGGCAGCCTTGCGTCCAGGCGGCCGGGCAGTCGGCTCAACCATAGCGGGACCAGGATCAGGCTTGGCAGCCGCCGGGGGTTTTCCTGTGGCCTTCATCACTGGAACGTCAGAAGGAGGTTTCGGCAACTTTGCGTCTGCCAGCGACGCCTTCGGTCCCGGCTGGGCAGCTGCACGTTGAACCGGTGCAGGCTTGCGCTTTAATTCGAAATCGGAGTCGGAACCTCCACTGGAAATGTCGTCGTCTGACACGACCTTCTTCCCAGCCTTCCTCCGGCCAGCAGGGGCAGTGCGGCCCTTAGCTCCCTATAAGAATACAGAAAAAAACATGAAGGACCCTGAGGTACGACTCTGATCAACACTGCAATTATTACTATTAACCCAAGGACTCACCGCCCCCTGACCCTTTCTGGCCGCCAACTGTTTCCGCTTGGACTCCTCCAGGCGAGCATGCTCTTCAGCCTCCCATGCGTCGTATGCCTGTGAGGGAAAAAGGTGTAGATTTATGATCCTAGGGTCATGACATTGTTTGGTATAAAGCATCGCCTTCCCCAGTCATAAGGGAGGATTATCTTATGCATGCTGAAAACAAACACCCATTCCACATACCACTTCGAACGCATCAAGGTCTTCCGCCCACATCTGCCGTCCGGTGATGCTTGCAAGGTATTCCACGCGAGCCGCAGCTTTCGCGGCCTCCGCCCGAAGGGCCGCAATCCTCTCGAGGGTCAAGCTGTGAATTGACATGGATAGCAGGTACTCGTAACCTGGTTTGCTCGCCTCGCTCTCCTGCGCGCCGTCCTCATCGTCCCTCTCAGCAGATACGTCGTAGACCTGTCAACAAAATTGAACGAGGGGTTCAGCATGCATGATTGTACCACGGGAACTAGACGTGCACATCATGTGAGGGCAGGGCACCCTTTCTTTGCTACTCATGACCGTGCCCTTGAAAATAGCGCCGATTCGTTTGGCGATTGGCGACTTGACAAGTTTACCTTCGTAGCTGTGTTTGTCTTGCTCATGCGATCGAAGCCTTGGGCTTCAAGATCCTTCTCAATGTCTACCCGCTTGCGGTTGCGAACCTCCAGCTTCCCATGCACGACCGCAAGGATGAACCGGACCTTGTTGTCGGCACGCATTTGATCCATTTGGGCAAACTGCATAGAAGATAGAAGCACGGTTGGCACCGCATACAAGAAATGGTACCTAACACATACTAGGACAGCCGTGTAGCGCCTACCCGGAGCATGGCGATACGGCGCTTTTCGTAGTAATCCAGGCGCAGTTCAAAAAATTCGGCGATGATTGCCTCCGGGCTCTGGTAGTGCTTGATAATGCCATCCTTCTGGAACAGCATCATGTTGCCTACGACATTTAGACCAGGCATACCCGTGCATCAGATCAGCAACGCCTTAGGATATTGAGGCCCGACACCAGTTCCGTTGCAATAAACGGGACATGGGTCCGCATTAAAGCCCGAATGAAACGAACGCCATGCTCAGCGCAACCCCAATGCAGGGAGCATCCCCGGCAATATGGATAAGACGTACTCGTGGTGACCTTCGCTTGCAGCTTAAATTTAGCCTCCAGGCCACCAGGAGTAGCCAGCAACTCGTCCAGCTTGCCGGGCAGGAGCTCCACGACGAAATGGACGTTGGAGTCGGAGTGGTGCTCGTGGTAGTCCGCAATGAGGGGTGCCTCGTCCTGGGAAGGCAATGGCCATGTGGAAAAAACCACAAGTAGCATTACGACGCGACGTCATTTATGCTGTAAGCCTTCGGCTGGCACCATGCCACCTATTGCCCGCATCCGTTGCAGCTGCGCACCTTATCTTGCGGCCGCAATAGGGTCTCCAGGAACTCCTTGTAGTCTTGTGTCCACTTGCGAACCGGAAGCTCGGTGACTTCGATTGTGTTAGGTCCAGTCTGTCTCAAGAAAAAAAGGGTCCTTAGATGGGTTTGTCTGTGTTGCAGTCCAAGCAAACAATAATCACCAACCCACCTGGGCTACCAAGCCCCCGACCACGTACGACCGTGAGCCGGACTTGTGCGGCACCTCCGTGATCGTGCCGGTGAAGCCACGGTACCTGAACAGGAGCCAATATTGCGATGAGCGGGTTCCAGTACATTAACTGCTGGCAACACCAAAGGCACACGTTCATAACTCTTCCACAAGTTCACCAGGCCCGTAATGAAGAAACTCACCAGGGGTGCAGCGGGTCCTGCTCCTCGCCGTTCAAGAGGCGCCTACAAAAGAATGCATAGAAGGTTTGAACTCACGCTCCAATAATGACGCTCATCATATGACTCGCTTACCTTAGGTTCGCGATGATGTCACGGGGATTGTAGTTTGGAATGAAAGTACTCCAGCCAGTGCCGATACCTTCCGCGCCGTTCACCAACACAGTCGGCAGGATCGGCAAATACCTACAATATGAGGCGCGTTGACATGCTACCTGAACTTTTGTATGCAACGACGTTTTGTGTTGAGGTAGTGCTGAACGGGCTAGAAAGATTACTGACTTACCACTCCGGTTCTATGCTTTGGCCTTCCTCGTTCAGGTATTTCAGGAGCACGTCATCATGCTCGTTGAATAGATGGCGAGTTAGTTTTTCGAGGCGCGTATAAATGTAGCGAGCGCTGGCAGCATCCTTTCCACCCTGCAGGCGTGTGCCGAACTGACCGCTGGGGTGCAGGAGGTTGATGTTGTTACTTCCAACAAAGTCTTGTGCGAGGTTTACAATGGTACTGGCCAAGCTCTGTTCGCCATGGTGGTACGCGGAGTGCTCGGCTACGTACGCGGACAGTTGAGCCACCTGTGCCAGTTCAGCAACATGTCACCAACATGTCAAGCCCCGGGTTGAAAGGATGCGCCTTGGGCATGGGACATGCATCTCACCTTGATATCCTTCTTCAGGTTGCGCTTGAAGCACGCAAACATGATTTTACGCTGCCCGGGCTTCAGCCCATCCAGCACATTAGGGATAGAGCGATCCAGGTCGGCGCGAGAGAAGAGGATGAGCTCCTGCAGCAGCAAGTTCACACCATAGGGCAAAACCTATCCCAATCAGTACAAGATCGCGTGTCCTTGCGTGTACTGCATTACATGTCACTATGCACTACAGCTGCTCTGCACAACCATGGAGTCCTGACCGCTGTATAAAGCAGGCATCACCTTGTTAATGAAGTCCGCGTATGAAATCTTTTCCGCGGACTGGTCCAGGTACGTCCCCGGAACGAAGTTACTGAGCCACTCCTTCCGGTCGTCCACCCGTTTCTTGCTGAAAGCAAGCTCGATAGCATCCCCATCTTCGTCGCCTACGTGAAATTGCGAATTTCAGGACCTTATGAAAATGTACTACTTGGCAATGTGTCTTCTTACCCGTCCACACGAACTCCTTGCGGTGCAGATTCAGGCGCGAGAAGTACTCCTGTGCTTCCTCCTTGGTCGAAGTACCGAGACCCTTATAGTACTTTATATCCCATCCGCTTGTGTTGTTGTCCAGGCTCTCCTTCCATGCCTCATACTCAGGCATGGTATAGAAAACCTTGGTCTCGCGGCCACGGCGTGCCTGACATAGGACAGTGCACCAGTGAAAGCCGACAGTGACAGAAGTCGTCCAGTCTCCTAAAGCCATGGACATTACCAATTGCTGGGAAATGCCCGTGTCTTGTACGCATGGCCTTGGTGGGCGACGCACGTTCAGTCATTTGACTCTGCCAGCTGGACATGAACAGGGCCTTCCGCACTGTGTTTATGTTCGGAAAAAAGCTGGACGGTATAAACAAATATCGCACATGAATGACTCACCCTAAGAACCCTGACGTCTTGGCGACAATGCAATGACCAAACTAGAAAAACAGCAAATGGCCCATTGTCAACACCAGCTGGCTGATCCCAGGAATCCCCCGGTTCACCATCGGCATTCCCTGTGTTCATCATGTGTCTGAGCCACCCCCGTGTTCACCTTAACGATAGGAGTGATGAACTCAAGCATGAAGCCTGGAATTTTCAGTAAAGACGGGAAAAAGCTGTGCATGAAGTTCATGATGAGCCCCTTGATATGCGAACCGTCGTGATCCTGATCCGTCATGATCATAAGGTGGCCATACCGCAAAGAGGACGTGCTATCGTACACCTACAATACGACAAGGAAAAACCGTTGGCCATTTGCACGGGACAGCATTTAGCGCCCAAGTAACCCCTCTGCATCCTCACCCTGCCATGTTGCAAGCCCATGATCTGTTTGATGTTCTGGATCTCCTGATTCGCAGCGATTTGGACCGCGCTAGCTTCACGCACGTTGAGTAGTTTGCCCCTGAGTGGAAACACTCCATAATGATTGCGGCCTACTACACCGAGACCGCTGACAGCGAGTGATTTGGCGCTATCACCCTCCGTGAGGATTAGAGTGCAGTCCGTGGAACGTGGGCCGCCCGCATCATTGGCGTCGTCTAGCTTTGCCATGCCTAGGTAAATGGGACACATCACGGGAACTGGGTTAAGCACACATCATGCCTTGGCAAGCAGATGATGAAAACCCCGCCCGTTTCGAGCTTGCCGTGCTCACCAACCAGGCGAGAGCGCTTTACACCGTCCCCCTTCTTTAAATCTTTCTGACTCTTGAACTCCGCGTATTTGATGATGCTGTCGGAGAGGCCTGCCTTAAGGACCTTGTCGAGGAGCGGGATCGGTAATTCACACTTGGATCCAAAGCTAGTGGAGCGGAGGGTCAGCGTTTCTTTGGTCTGCATAGCGAATGAAGGGACGGTAAGTGCGGCAGAGGAGCAGTACCAAAAGCACGATCTTAAACGGACTTGCCTGTGAGTCAAAGGCAGGGTTCTCCACGTAGCAGTTCAGGAATATCCACAGGTGGTTGCGAACCATTGCTGGCTTGATTGCCGTTGTCTTGGCCGTTTTCTTGCTTAACTTCTCTATGCAATGCCTGCATATACCCACAACGTGTATGGGAAAGTGTGCGGGGTCTTGTATCGGCCACAGGAGACCTTACTTCACAATCTGGTTGACGATGTATTCCACATGGGTGCCCCCTTTCTGAGTCGAGATAGCGTTAACAAAGCTGACCTGCACACGGAAAGCGAAGCACCTGGTCACTACAACTTACACGCGGGACTCGGCCTCCGTGTGCAACCATCAGGCATTTACCCAAGCACCTGCTGGAACGACCCATCTGTAAGGCTGATACAGATCTCCCAGCGGTCGTTCAGACGCTCACAGAACCTTGGGATCCCATTGTCCTGTATCAGAACCAGGGTTTGCAGCGCAGATTAAAAGGAAACAGATGTCGTCTGAGGCGGAACGGCATTAACAGCTAAATCATTGCTGCTCATTCCGGGATCCCCTCCCTGGCACATGAGGAACACCCCGGAACCAAGTTCTTTTCACCTTGGGACCCAGGTACATGTCGACGTATTCCTGGAAGGACTTAATGCTCAGGCGCTCGCCGTTGTAGAACACCTGGGTATCCACAGGGCATTATAACCTGTCTTCCATTAGAGCAGGCAACTTAACTGAAACTGGAAGAGAACCTAAATCCTTCAGCTGTCACAGCCATGGAAAGCCTGGTGCTCGCATCACGTAATAGCGTACCTTGACGCCTTTGCCCAGCACTCCAGCCATGTCAAACACACGGCGGCGAAGGACAGAAACAATATCTTCGTCGAGCTCGGACATGCCGAATTTAGCAAGGTCAGGCTTAAACGTGATGCAAGTCCAGTTGTCGCTAGCTTTGCAGTCTGTAATCTTTGGTGTACCCTTCTGTTGCATATTATTAGTAAACGTCTGCTTGTAGCGTCGCTGTCGCGATCCATCACAAGTCTCGACCGTGAACTCCGTTGAGAAAATGTTGGCAAGCTTTGCGCCATAGCCATTGCGGCCGCCTGTAATCTAAGGGTAAGAAAGTACACAAAAAGATGCAACAGTGCAGCGTCCACGGCAAGTGAACACTCAATGCCAGGGATGCGTACATGATGACAATGATGTACCAATTGCGATCAAGTTAACCCTCACGCTCCAGCAACACTTTGGGCCGCAACGTGCGGGGACCCGGTGCTGGGCCGGGGATTCCCTCCATAGGACCACATGCTTGCGACCCGCATCGTAACACCCTCAACTCTTACCTTCTTCTCGCTGTCATTGTAATTGCTGCTGGTGAGGAGATGCCCAAAGATTAATTCTGGAACGTAAACCCCTTCCTCCTTATGCACTTCCACGGGAATACCCCTGCCGCTGTTCCAGACACGTATGCTGTTGTTAGCCTACCACATGAATGGGGATTCGGGGCGCAAGTTTTTAATGCACGGATGGGCCGGCATATGTCTTTTCAGGACAACCGATACGCTTACGGGGTCGACGTCCACTTTAATGGTGTCCATCGTCGGGTCCCGAACCTTGTTGTCAGCCGCGTTCACGAGGATCTCATCAAATATTTTGTATAACCCAGGTGGATAGTTTACAGTTTTAAGCTCCATCTTCTGCCCATTGTGCACCCAAATTGTGTTCGGCTGCCGCTCCGTGCTGCCGATGTAGGTGTCAGGCCGTAGAATGATGTGCTCCAGCTGCGTCTTCTTCTGGTACATCTCCTCAATCGTCTTGCCGCCGGCTGCAGCGGCCACATTACTAGGTCCTAGCGGCTGCTGGGCTTTAGCTGCTTTGAAACCCTTGCCCTGCGGCAAGGCAGAGAAGAACCCTGTGTCGACCTCATCCCTATATATTGTAGGCAAGACAAACACACCTTGGGAACGTGAGCATTTTCTGCATCCTCTACAACATCCATATCCATTGCAGCTTGTTCAATTGATGGGGCCCGCCAGAACGAAAGTAAAGTCAAGGCCACTAGTCTAGCGGCAAAAATGCAGTTAGCTTTTTCGAAATCACTTTGCGGTAACAGTCAAGAACAAATGCAATACTTGCTGTCATCTTGTTTCAAATTCCATGGTTGTACGGCACACAAGAGCCATTTTTGCATAATGTCATGGTTTACAATTTATCAGTAAATGCGTCGACGTTTTAATTCTACCTTCTGTGTACATTAGGGCATTCATTTTTGCTAGTTTGTTCTTTCCTCACCGGGAAGGCAGCCCAAGTCTTGCGTTGCGGTAGGATGCACAGCAGAGGTGTCCCCAGGTTGCCAAAATTGGCCTGCGTATCTGCATATCATGTTACTCCCAAATATATGGATAGTGAACCTCTGGGATGGCAAACACACCAGTGAATCCCTTGAGCCTTCTGGATACCGTCGTACAGCACTCACCGACACTTCTACATGCAAGAGTCAGCCGCACCTGCGGCCAGGCAAAGTCATTATTACACAGCCCTGAAGCAGCTAGTTCCTATCCTAGCTTACTCTGCGTTGTGTGATTACAGTAAGCATCGATCCTGTTGGCGTGTCAGGAAGACAGGTACTGCACAGCATGGCATACCATATGGGGCCATCCTCAAAGCATTTGTTCCATCGACCTGTAAATATCTGCTCTTATGCGGCAAACAGATTTTCACTCCTGCTGGAAAGTTTGTGCTTATTGTTTTGTTGTTGGGGTTGTGCCCAACTTACCAATGTCTGCAACCTTGCAGTATTATTGCTGTGCTTGATGCGCCATAGGGCTAGCGGTTCCTCACACATCTGCGATGCTGTTGGCGCTCCGCAGCTGCCTGTCGCCTCCGCTACTTGCCTAGCTTTAGCTTGCGCCTCCCGGCTCCGCCTCGCCACACAGGCAATGCCCATCTTAATTGGATAATCCCAAACTTCAATGCTGCGCCTCGGTAATGAGCAAAGAATATTTGCACGGAAATATCCCAAAGGTGGTCCGTTCGCTAACGATGCCGGTTGGTAAGGTTCCGTACAGGAAAGCATTCTGAAACCACTGAAGGTGTCAAAAGGTGAACTGCTTGTAACCTAACATGCACTTAAAATGCCTGCCAAGTACTCCCCGCTGTCATATCTTGTGCTGCTGTCGTAACCGCTACGGTAGCAGAGCTAAAGCCTCTCACAGCAAATAATATTGCGCCACACCAAATCACCAGTAATATTATTAATGCAAATGGCTGGCATGGTCAACCGATCTTGCAAGTCGCGAACTAACAGCAGTCGCCGGCGCAGGCGATCTGCAGCAGATGTGAAGCTTAGCATTTCTGACTGCTCCTCTTCAAACAGTGACGTTGAGGAGTCGCCATATGCTGCGATGTATGCTGGGTGAGGAACAGCAACACATGTTCGCGAATGCCATGGTTTCAGTCGCTTTTCGCCTGCAGGTGCCAATCTAGTGTTTGTAGATAGCTTGTTACTTCCATGCGTCTTATGCGCATTTGAAGCTTGAAATGGTGACCTTGCGTCCTACTGCAGCATCGTTTTGTGTCACGAAACCAGGGTCACTAAGGAGTACCAAGCAAGGGATGCGTCCACGATGGTCAGGAACTATAGCTTATGCCCATAGAGTTTATCGATATGCTTAAATGTTTTACCTGCAGCTCAGGAGGCTGCTTGGAAACCGCCTCTGTGCGCCAAGTGGAAACCGTTTGTGGCTCGCATACATATGCGATTGTCGGGTAGGCACTGGTAGGCAGATGGCCTGCTTTGGGTCCGGTAACGCGTGCAATTTACGGGTCATTTCGGTGATTGGTTGGTCACAATGCAGCTACCGCGGCGGTGCGAACAGCAGCCTTAAGTCCGAAACCTCTCCAGGTAGCCAGCGCCCGGGAAAATCCGGAATCATCAGCGTGCGGGTACCGCTTATCCCCCTTTTATTATCGAATAAAAAAGGTCATTAAATTCCAAAAAATGGAAATGTACATGCTGATGGTGCTAAGCGGCACCATAAATGAGCATGCGCCCATAGTCCTGGTGCCGTTTAGCACCAGCAGCATCATGCACAAGCAATTACCTGCATTTGCAACGGACCAGAGCACGTTACAGCAGGCCGCCTTCCCAAACGCAGGTTCACGCTGGCTCGCGCCATGGGCCCTGGCACGCGGCTGTGCAGTGACCTGTTTGAGGTCGGTGGCCAGCTATTTCGTCTGGAGCTCTATCCAGCGGGCCTGAACAGCGAAACCCACAAGTACGTCTCCCTCTTCCTGACGACTCCCGGTGTGACGCAGCCGATGCACCTGCTGTACGAGCTAAGCATACTGGACAAGGTGAGTTCCAAATATAGGACAAAGTCGCCCGCGCTAAACGTCGCGGGTGGGGTGCCAATAGCCGAAACCGTAAGGAGGCGGCTGGGGAAGCGCCCTGGATTTGCGTAAGTGCTGAACCGATTCCGCCGAGCTCGCATGTAGGGGCTTCAAGTTATAATGCGCCACACTTGCACCTATGCATGCAAAATGTGCAACATGCCTTACTATGCTCTGTTCAGTACTGGGGATGCAAGTGGGTCACCTAACGCCGCTGCTAAGGCTCTTGAACCGCTGCGCTGCTGCCTGGGCACCCGCACCGCAGGGCCAATCCCGTCCGCAGCACATCACCGAATCACGCACCGTGCATGCGCCGTTCCCGGCGGAGCCGGCAGCCATCCTAGCACCCCAGCCGGGCGTCGTGGCGGGGTTCCCCAAATGCATCAAAACCAACTTTCTGCATCGAAACGCTCGTCGGTTCCTGCCCGACGATACGCTCACCATTCGGTGCGTACGTGGTGGTGCTGTCCAGATATGACAATTGTCCAGATGTGATGGACAGGGCCCGAAGCGCGCGCCGACGTGAGATGTCCTTTTCGCGACGCACCACTTCCCCGTGAGCGAGGGTTTGGGGAAAATGCCGATGATATGGACTTTTTAGATACGGCGTGCAAAGCCTCTGTCCGTGCGGTGGTGTTAGTTTCCTGGCAGCAACCCTCCCTGTCTGCCTTTTCCGAATCGGTTGGTTTTGCTAAGTGCTATAGATACCGATCAACTTGCCCGCGCCCCGACGACCCGATACGTTTCCCAGGGCGACCGTCAAGGTACTGGCGGGGAAGAGCTCTTTCCCCGTCGTGCCTTCCGCGGCACAGCTCTACAGCCTGCAGCCCAACCGTGGGTTGGTATCACCGTTTCCGGCCTGGCAGGCACCACCTCCATCGACCCTACATAGCCCAGCGGGTGGAGTGCTGTCACCACCATCGTCTTACATGCAGCAACCCGCCTACGGCTGCGGATGCTATGCCAGTGCGCACCCGTTGCAAGTTCAGCTGCCATGCATGCAGCAACAGCAGCAGTTCGGCGGTCAATCTGGATATTTGGCCGCGGTACCTTTTCCCCAGGCAGCTCCGCCTTTTATGATGTTCCCGCAGCAGCTGCCGTACACTGCGGCGACCTCACCTGTCACCTCCGGCCATAGCAACCTCATGCTCTGACACGTCTGTGCATCCGTTGCACGCAGTACGCTCCCTGCCCGGATGCGGTGTTAAATTTCTCTGTGCATGTGTTTCAAGCAGCAGCTGCAAAAGCGTATGACCGCCTTAGCGGACCTAACGGCTCCAAGTCGAAAATAGACAGAAACGAAAGCTCACTGCAATAGTAGCATCGATGTGAACTGTTCATCCACCAATAATGGAAAGTGGCATAGGGCTTGGCCGTTGGGAAGGTATCCAACGTTTGTCGGGCTGGCATCACTTTTTGCTTGCATAGCTGTTCTGGGGACTGACCGGCGTGGATGCTCACCATATGTGCCGTATGCATGACATCCGGATCTTCTTACGTCGGTGTACGGTATGGCCATGGAGCTAATAGATTGTACGTTATCCGGATCGTTGCCCAAGCCGGGCGCTCGTTAGGGTGTTGCACTCGAGCCGTTATGGGCTCCACTGTAACTACTACTGCTCCTCCTCATATTACTACACCAGTTCCTATTTAAATTATTTATGCCGCATTGAGACGTGGGAGCTGACGGTGTCTGCACGTTCTCGATTCAGGGGGCCCCTTTGTTCCTAAGGCATACTTCGCAACGATTGGCTGGTGGTCCGTGGCTGTCGACATCCATAAGACTTCTTCCCTGGTTTTGCTTTTTTCCACCTCGATTACAATTCTTCTTGGCTTGCGCCAGATGGGTGTAGGGTGTGTTTATTTGCGATGACACTTTCAGATCCGCGGCAAAAGGAATCAAGGATTCCAGTCGCCGATTCGTAACCCACAGGGGTTACCGCCTCGTCATTCGTCAAAGTTCCTCCCAAGAACATTAGGGAATATCGCCATTCCCAAGCAGTGGATCGACCAAGGCAATCCAACCCGTCGTCGTATCATCGACCTCAACTTCCTTACATAGGTCAGGCACTACTGGTAACGCACACACCAATGCCCCCGGAGGATTCGGGATCGAGACCTGTTAGGGTCGAAAATCTTTCCGACGGTGGAAGGTACGTGTGTCCCTGGTCGAAGGACGGTGATAACTGAGGATAATGTAGTCCTGCGAGCTGATCAGGAATGAAGTTGAGCTGCCAATGATCCGGCAAACTCTGTTGAATGTCGGTGGTGGATGCTAAACCTGAGCAATCCATTGAGAAGCCGGATAGGGTGACTGGGTGAGGGTGCCCCGAAATACCGGGGAAGGCAGGGTAGCCGGGTGGCGGCCACGGGTGAAGATATGCCCCCCTGTCCCACACATCATAGGATGCATGGCCTTCGTATGACCACACACACACGACGACACACCAACATGTCACCCTTCATTTAATGGCGCAGCCCAAGCAAGATCCATTAATAGAGTGCGCCCCAAATAACGAAAGCCGATTAAATAAAACAGGCAACGGGGCTGAACTCTGTAGCCGACTACTATTCGCAAGCCCACAAAAGAGTCCACGTCCGGACCAGACACACGATTGCATTAAAGAGGTGGTGCTGGACACCATGATAGCTCCACCTTACTTTGCCCATTCCAGCTAGAGGAGATTTGCGATACCAGAAGTTTTGTACCCTGGGGCTTGTTGCCATGGTCACCTGGGACATCCTCGCCATCCCTATCAGGAATTCGTGTCACATGGCATACACGATCCAAGCAGGAATCTTAGAAAATCAGATCCACCATCATTAACCGCAAGGCAAGTCCGTGCTTCTGCAGCAGAGCGGACACGTCCTCGTGTGACCGGGCATTAGGCACGTGCATGGTTGGCCAGCTGAGCCGTAGTCGTTTTTGCTATCGAGATACTCCATTCTCCGTGTGATTATTGTTCCCGGAAACAGGGACTGATCATATAGTGGGCTAGCTAATGGTCACTCTACCGTAACATGTCCGTTCGTTTGCCGGCTCACGCGAAACAGGGGCGACACAAGCCCTCGTCCCAAACGGTCTTGCCGGCGCATCTTGCAACAACGGCGCACTTCCACGATGAACCTTGCTTGTGGCAACAGTGACGGATGTGAGGAGGCATCTCCGATCTTTTTAGGGCGTCTGATACGGCAGATAATTCAGATCTACATGCCAAGAGCCATGTGAGAACATTCAGTTCAAGTGGCTGCCAATTCTTTCATCAAGCATAGGCAGTCATTCCATGCAGAACGTACGGCACGCATAGCGCTCCCTCCGATACGTGTTGAGTCCCTGTGCACGATGAAAGCACACGTGGCCTCCGCCGCGCAGCTGGTGTCGCGGACGTTAATGCCGATGGGATTCACTCGAAACCCACCCTTCTGGCTCGAACCTGTACACGGGTTCAGACAACACACACTACTGACACCGCTCCCTTCACACCCGCCCGCCACAGCCATAAAGCCATTCCAAGCCGCCCAAACCGCTCACTGCACAACTGAATTTCGTTCTGCATAAACGTGCGTTTCACTCTAATAGGCCTCAGCCATTGCGCACGTCCGCAATGATAATTGGCCGTGTCATATTGTCCATGCATTGCAACTTCAACTCTTACGACTCGGAGACATAAACAGGTAGTTCATCCCTCCTTCCCTCGGTAAACACTCCACGTCGCCAGTTGCTACGAGCAATTCACACCCGCTGCCCTATTGGCAGTACTGTACCCCGTGCTCGCAGCACTCCCAGTGTACATCACTCACACCGCTCAAAGCTTTTGTCACTCACCCTCGAATCAGCACCCCTTCATACTCAGCAGCACCTCAACTGAGTCTCTGGTGCATAAATGCAAATAGGTCATGCATGTCGTCGCCAGGCTGCCCTGGCGCCCTTAGGCATGTCTGAAGTTATCCCGATACTGACATCCTAAACACTTTCCGGGCCATGAGCCCAACCTGCGTAAGCTGGCTCACGTCTTGCAGCTTGCGCATTTTATAAACTATTACTGACCCCATTCTCTCTCGGCACATTAAATAGACTCGGGAGCTGCCAAAGCACGCAACTCTTGCCGCACTTCGCCCCGCTCCGCCAACGCATGCATGCACGCACTCCCCTAAGCGATATTCTCTTTCAATGCCCACGCCAGCTCTGTAACGCTCAGCATCGCGCGAAGGGAGCCATGCATGCGACAATCCGTTCACGGCTCGCCCACGCCTTCTCATACTCTGCAGGGTTGGATTATTTAATATTAGTAATATTTCGCATATGAACGAACGTTCGCAAGCGAGGATACTTCCATACCTAACTTTTATGGCCTGGCCGCGGCAGTCCCGCTAGCCATCGAGCGCATGCCCCCTTATTGTTAACATGTCTGTCACGCTCTGCTTGCGATGAAATTGGCTGAAATGCCCCGTTGCACAAATCCGGCGAATTAGCAATTCGCCGCTCAATTCCCCCTTCATGGTGTGTTTGCACCCACTGTCTTAGTGCATACAGCTGACGGCTGCACATGCGGCTACATGCAATCGCCGCCGCCGCAGTGCCAGGATCAGCAGCCCTCAACGCATGTTGCTCTCCGCGCAGTCCTCATCCTCGTCTTCGCTCTCCCAATCGCTGCCATCTGGGCTTCCGCTGCAGCTGCTGCTCTCACTCTCCACATCACTTCCTGCGCTCAACGTGTACCTGTCCGGCATCATGCTGCTTCCGCTGCTGCCAGTGCTGCTACTGCTATTTCCACTCCGGTCGCTGGAGGTGCTCCCGGCACCGGCGGCAGTTCCGTTGTCCCCAATGAAGCCGCGGCCGTGGCAGCCGCCGTTACTGCCGCTGGTGCTGCCAGTGCCACCGCAAGCTTGCCTGTACTCCTCCAGAGCCTGCAAACATCCATACATACATGAAGCAACAGTCAGTAATCGGGGTGCCAGCTTCTCACGTCGGCTACATACGGACAATACGGACAACGGTCACGCAAGGCCCACACATGCGAGCCATGCCACCCCCCAACGCCGCAAGCCATTTCCTTTCGCAATTCACAAGCCAGCCCCTTTAAAAGCATTTTGAGCTCTTTGATGCTGCTGCGTTTGTTTTGATTTTACTGTCTCCACACACGTAAACGTTTTCAATTGTAGAACTGATCCAATCCACGTAGCGATAAACACATGGCAGCTAAGCCAACAGCAGCCTTTCCCCAGGCGGGACCGCCAGCCTTCCATCTATCCTTCCATATGCCACGACATGGTCACACAGTGCAGGTTTTGAACTCACACGTGTTGCGGCTGGCGTAGGCTTCAACGACCAGTCCACCTGCGCGCACACCGGGCATTCCGCCCGGAAAGACCCGCATGTAAACATCTTGCGCCCAAGCCAGCCGTCACAGCAGTCCCTGCGAGTCCGTGCGGGTGGGTCACCGGCCGCGAAATGAGTCAGCACGTTGGCCTGAACGCCCAGGCCAATAAACGATTACAAGAACAATGCTAGACAATTGGACTTCCCGGCCGGACCCACGCTTCTTCCCATTCCGTTTATCCTCCGAACGTACGTACATCCTGCCCCCCGGTGCACAAGATGCAGCAACCCCGCGGGCCCTTATCGCACCTGTGGAACGAGTGGCCGCAGCCAAACGCTAGGCAGGCTCGCGACCCGGTGAAAGCCTCCCCACAAATGGGACATTCCTCCGTCACGCTTCGCCCGTCGAGCGAGAGGACCGTATTGAGCAGTCGCAGGCGGGTGAAGCTGTCAGCCGTCCGGCCCTAAGGGATGCAAGCAGCGGTGGTGGCCAAAGATGAGGTCCAGGGAAGGAAGGCGCACAATAGGCGTGCACGGTTGCGTTAACCCAAGGTCATTCAGACCCAAATAGTCCAGTCCATGCACGTGTTTGAACGCAGGCGCTGCCCAGTCCTGTCGACGGCCCCTACCAAGAACCCGGTGTGTACATGTCTTACCAGCGGTACATGATGTCGTACATCGGTCCTAATGCGCCCAGTACCTAGGAAACACTCCAGAGACACCACTTGCGTTTCCTGCTGCGACCCCTGCTCCCTCCTCACCTGCATGTTGCAGACTTCCATACTCTTGGGCAGGACCCGCTGTAGAAGCGATGCTCGCAGTGGCGCATCGGCAATGGCCGCGCATGATGTCACGCAGCCGTCAAAGGTGGCGGAGGCTGCTGCCAGGTCCCTTCGCGAGATTTGCAGCTCCGCCAGACCAATAGCACAGTAGGTGAGCACCTCGTACTCCCGTAGCTGAGCTGCAAGAGAGGTCGCCCGCTCCAGGTTGCATATGGCCTGCAGTGCCGTGGCCACGGCCCGGTGTACGCGAAATGCATGTCGGTGGTGAGTATGAGGGTAGGTAGGGAAGGTGGCCAGTTAATCAGCCTCATCGTGGACAGCATTGCCGGAACGGAAATGGCATTCGATGATTCAGCAGGAAACACCCGTCATGCTTTGGGTCAGCTTCTAGCCAAGCTTACATAACAAGCAAGACTGGTGGGACAAGCATGAGCGGGTACAGGGTACAGGGACTTACTTTTAGCACGGTGTCGCTGCAGGGCTCGCGGTCAGATTCCACCAGGCCAGCTTTACCAGTAAATCCGGTTGTGGAGGGATTCGAGCAGGCTGCAAGTTGAGCCTCGTAGAGCCTGTCAGGGGATGGAGCACAGCCACCGGAACGCAGGACGTGGCGAAAGCGGTTGTAAAGCAGCTAAGACAATACTACGAAGCCTGGGGCTGGTGAAGCATCTAATTCGGGCTATGAGGCAATGGATCTGTGACGGGTCTCGTCCATGCACGAAGTCCGGTGCGTCGTGGTCGCCGTGGACATTTCGCCGTGCGCCAACGGCAGGCCTGACCATGCCAGCTCGTGCCGAAAACATTCCTGATAACTATTACGATTACACAAAACGGAGAGCGGGTAGTTTTAATAGATGGTCCCCTCGGCCCTCCCGCGCAGCTTACGAGGAGAGGAAACACCGATTTACGAGCTCCGAGCGCAGGCAACCGTTGCTTGCACACCGCAACCCATCTTCCATCAACTTAACTCCATTCACTGCACATATACATGTAGGTTTGGAGGAACTGGTGATTATTATTAGAACCACGGCACCCAACGGTCGCTCGCGCGGTTTTCCAGTGATTTTCCTGGCTGATAGCGTGGAGCACTAACATCAGCTTACCAAGCTGCTGCATATCCGGTTGTGACGTATAAACGTCCCCTGAGTGAGGTGTTCCCAGGGGCTGACGAAGTAGGTGGTCGTCCGTGCCGGTCAAGCCAAACAAACACATCAGAGAATTTTTGCTACGCCAGTTTAATCAGTAAAATTTTAAAGAGCAATATACGTGCAGCTACGAAGTGTGGCCTAGTCCTTATCGAAACAAGTGCTTTACGCCACTGACGTTTACCTGGTGTAAAATGCTCTAGTGGTAAATTCTACATATAGGGCGAATTGATTGCAGTGAAGCAACAGATGGTGTCTTGTCAAGTGTTTTGCATGGAGAAGAATCCACCCTTGGCGTCCGAGCTGGCGGTGCCGACAACCCGGACGATATACGGTTGGCTACCCGACGCTGACAGAGCCGCCTGCGCAAGGGGCGTAAGTCCGGCGTGATGTGATGAATATTTTGGTTTTCCTGTTCGTCTCTTTTACATGCTCAAGGGCGAAGATGGAATTGAGCCACTCACAGTAACCCAAAGAAAGCTGGTGTTTATTCGCAGGGCGCAATGCATGCACGTAACTTCAATATATCCAAAGAAGACATCCCTATAGTCACGATACCGTTTTTCGTACCACCGACGAGTGTGTGTGTGTGCAATTGGGTCGTGTGTAAGTCAGCACGCGCCCTTGGAAACGCTTGAGTCCTAGTCGACGTTAAGTTATCATATAGTCCGTTGTATTCTGCTAACTAGCATCGGCCATCGTTGCTGTTATCACGGCACTGTCGTCGCTTGTAATGGCAAGCGGCATGCGTCCTCAAGAACATTAATGTCCGTAATGTACAGGTTATATATCATCCCAACGGCCGGGCACTCCGATCGGGAAAGTGAACAGCTTGGTATGCTATGCCCAGGTGGCAGCTGATAGAAAGCCACTGGCAGGCTGCGTATACGTTGCTGCCGACCCATGGTTTGGATGAAGCGGGTTCGAAAGGATCACCAGTTCGAACTGCACCAGTAATGTGTTGGCCAAGGCAGGAAAAGGAAAGCACCAGCTCCACAGGTTGTGGAGAAAGTCATGCACATGGGAGCGTCCAGTGGCGCGAAAAGGCGGTCAGCACATAGTTATTTACAAAGCCGAACACATAACTGTTGCCGGCGTGCGTGTATTACCTACTAGGGCTCTCCATATATTGTGCCTACGGTGTGCGACGTACGCTCAATACTGCCCTAAGCGTTAACATTGCACTCTAGGCATTTGTCAAATGCAATACTTGTCGTTCGCTTAGTCGCACGGGAGAGGCCACAGAATGAGGCACCGGAGGACCCTTCGCATGAAGTGCAATAGGTCCCCTTGGCCCGCCTGTGTAGCCTGATGTGACTAATATACGTTGGATAGCGCTGGTATGCGCTTCCGGGTTGGTCGACGAGAGATTCTATCGTATTTTTTCTGAGCATAGTTCCCTGAGCATTGTTCCCAGAGCATTGTTCCCTGGACATCCCGAAACATCCCGAACCCCGGCCGGGCCCTAAAAGGGGCAGCCATTTTGCAAATACCTGTCATGAAGTAACGTAGGAGCAGTCTAGCATGGAAGACCACCCTACATCGGCCGTTTTCAGCTAGGGGCATGCGTTTGTACGTGTATAAAACGTTTGCAAATCATGGCATATGTCGCGCTCTCAACCATCTCGTAGCTCGGTGTTTTACCCCAATTCTAGCGACGTTCATTTCCGCATGTTGCGGATGGTCTGTCCTAGCCTTATGCAGCCTGATTTGGCACGTAGGTTAAAGTTCTGCACCAGGGATGTGTTTAGTCATTCTAGAGGGTCTACGCTGCAGACACGTTTCTCCATGTCAAGATTTTGGCAATCCTTGTTACCCTGGGTTACCCCACCTTTATATATATGACCGATGAATCTGTAAAGCCGACTTGAGTGCTTCGCACTTGATGCAATACGCACTTTCCTCAAACCCCAAACCTGACACGTGACACCTCGCCACACGCCTCATTTCACACCAGGCCACGCACTTGGCCGCGCAAGCAGCCAACACTCATCAGACACTAGTCACGACTACGCCTGCGTTGTACAGGATCAAAGCTCACCATCCTTGGCACAACACAAGACGTGCCGCATAACAAACCTACGGCGATATAACAAGGCTACGCCGATAAATCCTACGTATCCACCTCCCAAGTGTGCGTAAATAGTTGCAAAGGCCAACGGAGGTCAAGTGGCCATTAACGTGAGGAATCTAACATACGCCTACTAAGCTACGAAGCACTTGTCCCAACATCCGCGCAGCAATATATTGAGTATATTAATAGAGAGCATGCAATTGTTGTTGCCTGGTTTAAGACAATGGGGACATGGCATCTTGAATTCATGTCTCCATGCTGCCTGCTATGAGCTCCAGAGCCAATACGGCAGACCCAAGGTGTTGCCTTCTCGCGGCGTAGCACTGGTGCAGTATGTGTGCACATATCACCCTAGGCGAACAGTTATTGGCAGGTTAACTTGTTTACCACACCCTGACTCCCTGATGGCGCGGTTGCATATTCATCCTGTTGGCCTGTTCCTTCTCTTCTTCGGACTGCTCTCATGGGGTAAGCCTTATAGCGGTGCACTTCCACAGCATGAAAATTTCGGTTCCGCTTACCTTGCGTCTGTCTCATTATAGTCGTGGCGCTGGGCGGCGTTGGAGCAAGCACGAAAGACTGCACACAGAACAAATTGGATCAAGCTGCATCTTGCGCCAATGCCTATCAACTGGAATGGTACGCATGGCCGTGTCGCCCTGAAGTCGACCTTACCACGCAGTTGACCGGAACACTGTAATGCTTACAGGTGGAGCATTTGGTTCGAGTTCATTTTGCTGGTTATAATGATCCTGACGTGGTAAGTTTCAGATGTCTGCGTCTCGCTGTAACGGGCTCAAGGCTTGACGCCTAATTAATGGTCCGCAGCTTTACCGTCGCCTTCGACAAGGCCCGACACATCTTCTTGACGTACTTGGTAAGGAGAATGCAGTGAAAGCGGTCCTGCCTGAAAATGTATTGCCTAAATCCGTCTTTGCTATGCGTGTAGGGTATGGTAACGGTTCTGCTGACCTTCACGGCTCGGAACTTCATCACCAACACGTTCACAATTGTGAACAAGGGAGGCTCTTTGTTTGGAACCTATAAGACAGGTATGGTGTTTAAATAATTGGTGCTAGACCGCAATTGGCACTGGTTTTAGGCACATGGGCTGGTTCGGTGATTGATGTGTCGTCGGTCGTCTTCCCTGACCATTGTACGCTGTCCCTGACTGCAGATGCATACAACGCGGCAGCTGCGGGCGCTGTTCTCCTCTGCATTACAAACTTTGCGCTAATTATTTTTGTTGGCCTGGGAGCTGCTGGTCCCAGCAACGCATACACAAGCCTGGGTAACACCCCCTCGCCCACCTCTCTCCAGACAGGCTCCTCGGCGCCTTTGGAGCAAAAGTACCAGCCATCGACTTACCAACCATCTAACTTCTAGGCCGTCTTGCTGTAGTGTTGCTCTAATGGCTAGAATGACCCCTTGCAGGATGGCAGTGGTGGGCCAGCAGTGCGTGCTGCATCGTAATTGTCGTGCATAGGTTTTGCGCATGAGCGCTTCATTTTTGGGGGAAGATTCCGCTGCTATTTGGATGGTGGTTGTGGCTGTACTAGGCTTGCGGTGGGTGATTTGTGGTGATGGAGAGTGCGGGAGTCGGAACCTTGCTCAGACCAGACCGAAGCATTTCGTCAACATGGATTCTTATCGTTATACACGGAGATATCTGTGGTTAAATACGTGTAATGTGAACGAGGTCTGCAGGCTCATGTAACCAGTGCACGACACCCTAGAAACTGCGACCACATATCGCACATTTTACAAGCGTCGTGTCTGTTGCGCCCGTGCCGCCCAGATTCAGCATACATAAAATAAGGACAGCGGCCGTCGATTGTGTTCTCCCCTTCGGTTATAATCACTTGGAACATGGCTGCTTGCAGCCCTGCTGCTCCGGAGCCCGTTGTACAAACTCCGCTAGATACGTTGAATCGTTGTGTTGGAATGGCGGAAAGACTCTGGTTGGCCCAGATTGCACTCCGCGCTGGCAAAGCCTTGCCTTTACGCTTGCGCACCGACAATGGCCTGTTGGTCCCAAGGTCCGCCCATTCCATATTAAGGTCCAAAGAGGCGCCTTCCGCGAAAATACCATGACAGGTGAATCTTTGGCGGCGTCGGGGTGATCACATAGGCTCGCAGGAAACGGAAAGGCCGCTAGAAACGGGCTCCCGGTGCTAATAAGACGACTCGCGTAGAGTAGCTACCAGCACAAAGGTCGCTGAGGAACGGCTTGCTGTCGTCTTGAACCACGGAATCGACGGTGTTCAGCTTGCGATGTAGAATCGGTTGAGGCCTAGACTGCCGGACGAGTCCACAAAGTATTGTATGTCCAAAAGCTACCTTACTATTGAGCTGAAAGCTTGGCAAATTTTCTGCCATAGTTTCGCGTGGGCAGGAAATAGGAAGCAGCTAATTGGAGCGAGGTATAACAGTCTGCGACAGCTATATAGAATCTGTGGATGGAATTCAGGAGAACAGTAAAATTCTTGAGTTGAGAAGCTATAATTCACGTAGCCAACCATGGTTGGGGAATTTGAAATTCCTCAGCTGGATCTTCGTGCACTGCTGTACCGTTGCTTGTCTACCAGCCTTGGTGGTTGCCATGCGTGCTGAGCCTATCTTTATAAGGCCTTGAGGAGCAAGGGGCTAACCGAATCTCCGATTGCATGCGCTAATTAAATGGGTTATTGTCCGTCCAAAAGTGGAAAACGTGGCGCTGCGTACCTCCTCCGCGTGTACTGAGAAGCCGAACCGCCTTGCCCTTGTGCTCCCACGGTAAAAACATGAAAGACTGTGGCTTCCCATTTGCGTCCTTGCTATTTCGCAGAGGCAGCTGCGGACTTCCATGGGTTTCTAACAAGGAATGGGGGTTCGCGTAACTTCGCGAGAGGATACCATCCGCATGTCAACCTTGCACCCAGCACCTATGATGTGCACCCAGCTGTGGGTAAAGAACCTAAGCTAGCTTTCGCTGCAGAAGGAATACTGCTCATGCACGCGACTGCTACCGCGCTTCAGAGCGGAACTGACCGCTATGGGACAACGTATTCGTAGGGCGGGTGGCGCTTGATAGGTGCAAAGCGCGATGGTAGCGGGGGCGGGGAATAACTTGCTGCGAGACCAGAGAGCTGGGGAGGGTAAGGAGCGCGGCTAAGGGGGTAGTGGGTTACCTATGCGACTTTATCATAGGTTGCGCCTCACATTATTCAAAAAGACGATGCTAAATGTGGAATTGCAAGCACTGGTCTCGGAGCCTGGCAGACGACCTAAAAGAGATTTGCTTTACCATTCGTAGAATGCATTCCTTACAATGTATTGGGTTGAGTTTAAGAAGGGCTGGTGCACTGACCTTGCAACTGAAACTTAAGCCGGACGTACATGCCAAAGACATCCATTGAAGGCATTCCCAAGAGGAAGGAGAAGACGTATAATAAACTGGTGAATACACGAAACTGAGAATTCAGACGGATCTTAAAGTAATGCGTTCACTATTAAAGTATTTTGTGACAGGTGATCCTAAATGAGAGCAGCGATCCTGCGAGGGTGAATACTGAAGGTAGAGATGGTGGACGCGGCGCCAGCCCTGCATCGGCGGGTAGCCGGGGTCAACGTGGCGTAACAAAACCCGTCACCACTGAAGATGGAGGCGCGACGGATCCGGCGGCACTGGCGGTTAAGAATGAAGCAGCTAAGCGCGCCCGCGCAGACGAACTAATGGCTCGTTTGAGCAAAAAACTCCGCGTCACAACGGGTGACAAGAAGCGACTGAAGCTGCAAGCGAAGATGCTGCGCGTACTGCCCAAGTGTTCCCTCCCGCAAATCGAGCCGAAGCTGTCGGCCAGTCCACCAGCACGTGGCTTGGCGACCGGCACCGCGGCTCCAGGCCGCTCCATGGACAGCAGCCGGCCAGCCGCTGGCTGCAAATTTGAACTTTCTCGGACGCCAAAAGCTGCACTGCTAGCGGTGACGCGAGGCAGCAGCACTGAGGAGGTCGCACGGCTGCGGCTGCGGCAACAGCGGTTCGGGGATGCAACGGCCGCAGCTGCGCAGGAGGCGAGCGGAAAGGCACGTGCACTACTGCTTGGGTTCCCGGGCGCCAGGGACCCGGTAATCGAACCGCGTTGCTCAACTCACGGCATTGAGGCACTCACGGCGCAAGCATTTCAATCCAGGAGGAGGGTGTGACAGATCTCCCCCTCCTATCCAATGCTTCCTCTAGGGTTAGCCTGCGTGAAGCAGTCCGTCAATCCTGGGCGACAAACTTTGAGATTTCAGATGTTCAGGACAGCCAGCCGAAGGATTTGAATTTGCACTACCGTGTCTTAAGCTCTACAGGCCACTGATCCAGCCAAATAGCCTCATCACCCTTTTACAGCTCCCTTGTTATATCGCGCCGGCTCCTGAGCAACATCCTTGCGTGCTTTCCGGCGGCCCAAAGTTGCAGCGATCATCCTCAACCCATCCACTGCTGCGTATCTCACGTCGTGTGCCAGCAGGGAGATGTGGTGCTGGCTGAGTCGGGCGGCTACGGAACCAGCGAGGCCCTGGAGAAGGAGTACTTGCGCCTCACAAGTCTCCCGCGAGTTGCCGATGTTCGCCCGCCGGCTGTGTTGGCCGTCGCCCTGAAGCTGGTAAAGGCCAAGTGGCTGCAGCGGCCGGATTACGGCGCGGCTTCGGAGCAGCTCAAAGCCATTCGGCAGGTGTGGTGGCCAACTGGGGTTTCGGACCGCGCGAGCATCGCAGGACTGCCAAGGCACCCGGTCTGTGCGTTTGTATTGCCGGTAGGCACCCCGGGCGATGAGAGTGGAGCTGCAGGACCATCCGGGCAGCGCAAAGCATGAGCCTGCAAAGAGATCGCCTGCTATGGCTGGATGACTCTGTAGCTCGGGATCAGTTGTGGGTTGTGAAAATGGGTGATGCGCGCTGGGGCGTTGCCAACAAAGCGGTAATTGTGAAATTAGGCGCTCTTGCCCTTCGTGCCGACGGAACGGCTGCTTAAAGTAATGAAAGTGTTCCGACACTGCCTTTGCTGTGTCCTTGCCGCGCGTTGCGCTCCGTAATCTGGCCAGGACTTGACGGTCCAGCATGTACGGGACCCGTTGACGGTTGACGTGTATGAAACCCACGGGCGACTGGCGCTGGAGGCCGACGACCTGGCGGAGTTCAGGCGCTGCCACGGCGTATTACGGCAGTTGTACGGCGAGGGGGTGAGCTGCGCGTTCGCCGGTGAAGCTTTGCTGCCTACCAGCATGTTCGCAAAGCCCAAGGGCCCTCTTGGTAGCGATTGTTGCGCCTTCCACTGTCATGCTGTGCCAGCCAAGGCGAGGCGCTTTGCCCATCATTTCTGGGGTTATTATGTCTATTACTGTACTCTCCGCTATTGCTTGGTCGTGACGTGGAGCGTCGTCGACGCCTTCTTGTACCCTGCCAGTTGCCAGGCAACCCTGCAGAGTTTGAGGCGTACGGGTTGCTGTACACTCAGGCGACCGCTGCCGCCCGGAACACGCTGTCGATGGAGCTGAGCCGGGTGCCAACTCACCTGCTGAAGCATAGCTTCATGCGTCATGCGCTGGAAGTGTGTTCAGCAGCAAGGTGTGATGCGGTGCCGGGTGGTCTGGGTGATCGCGCTTGTTGCCCACAGCGAGTGAGGATGATAAACCTTATCGACATATGGCATGTAGGCGAGGTCCATAATGCAAGCAGCTGGATACTGGGGGGTTGTGGGCTAGTGGCAAAAGAGCGACCTGGACGCGTCGGGAGTTTACGACCAGGCCGGATGGAGGTACGGACTGGAGCCCCGATTGAGAAGGAACGCTCTGCGCATTGCTAGAGGTGTCTTGCTGATACGGACGCTGAGGCGCGGGAACCCTACATAGCGGCACGGTGGTCCTGGGTTGCCTTGTGAATTGGTAAGGAGCTTGTGGAGGTCACGGCGCCACTACCAGGCCGCTTCCGGTGTGGAAAGACACCAAAGAGCGAATCCAGACACGCCTTGGTGTTTCGAACATGGAGCGTCAGTTGAAGAGACTTAAGGGGAGAAAGGAGGTTATGTTATGCTTTGGGGACCCCTCCTATCCTGTGCACTTCGATTTGGAAGTAAGGTTGGACCTTTAGTTGGCCGTCAGGTTCAATGGGACGCCCGCCTGATGCTGCCTCCGACCCCTCAACCCCTCCTTCAGGTGCGGCAACTACGCACGCTTCATAGCCTTGTATGACGGAGCGCCGCGGATGTCACCGTACATCATGGACCGGCTATTGGGGCAGGTGGGTCATTGGGTGTTTGCGTTGCCGTAGGGTGAATGTGCAGCATGGGGTACGCCAATAAACGTCAAAATGCTGGGAGCTGGCTTCTTAAATTTATGATGAGCCACATAACGCAGTATCCCTTGTGTTGCCGTGGTTGCTCATGACGATTGACACTCCTCTCGTGCCCGGAAAAACGGCACGCAGATGCGGGCTTTAGCGCTGCAGAGCACCGTGGCTGCATTCAAGCCGCTCCCCGTGCCGCTGTCACATCTCGCAGCGCAACTGGGACTTGAGACCGAGGAGGAGGTAAGCCGTATGATAGCAGGACATAGCTCTGGGGATACCAGATAGTGGCGCCTGGAGAGCTATTCCACAAATTGGAGATGAGATATGCGCTTCTTCAATTTTATGTGTGAAGGGGGGAGCATGCCTTTGCTGTGACGAACAGATGACAGGTTCTTAGGAGGAATGAAGTTTTTGCCTACATTTTGAGCTTGCATACTTCGTGCACTAAGCCTCTAGTGGCTCTTCGTCAGAATCGCCAGGGACACGCATATGCAGCTAACCGTCTTACAAGCGTTAGGGAGATTTGAAAGGTTGTGGCCTAGGCCTCATGGGATCCGTGTACTGCTAACGCCTCGCTCTGACGCTGTCCTTAATATCCCTCCTTGCGGGATCCCCCCGCGTGCTTCAACAAACCTACCTATGACGACGGAAGGCGGCGGATTTGGCAGAGCAGTATGGCGCGGTGGCGGACAGGCAGACTGGGTGTTTGGATACGAAAGCTTCTGCCGCTCAGCAGCTACTGGCGTCGCGAGGCAGTGCTGCCCAGTAACGTTCAGGGCTGGCAGACGACTTTTCGGCCGATGATGGTGCAGGCGCGTAATTAAATGTAAACCGCGCTATGTTAAGCTGTTGTCCTTCCGTGTATTGCGCACCTCCCATTCGCGTCCACTCGTGCCACAACTTTTGCTAGCCCGCTGGGGCTGCAACCTCCATATATTGAGGCCGGACTGCACAGCCAGGAACACAGACTACGAAAGCAATTTTGACTACAAGCATTGCTTTGCCTGCCGACAGCTAAAAAGGTCATCTGCTATACTGCGGACCATCTGTCCTAACCCTTCACCAAAGTAAATACGCCTCGAAATTCGGTTGCTTACCAGAAATGACTGGTTCATGAGAGGAGATCCCTCCACGTCCTAGCAGGCTACAACAAGGTGCTCAGCTGTGAAACAGCACTACGGCCGCCCGGACCAACGACCATGCGGAATCTTTGCGACAATGGTTAGCCGCAGCCCCAACGACGACTAGAGGCCTGAGGCCACGCACAACTCCTGCACACAATGTGAAATGCCATCGCCCAACCAGACCCGGCGCGACTCGAAACCCCCAAGGATAAACTACTACAGTGCCCATCTGCGCGGTCGTGTTGCGTACAAAGCCATCTAGCCTCCGTAATATGTTGTGCTTGTGCCTACCTCCGCTTGTGGCTTGCCAGAACTAAGAACCTCACTGGGCCATCAATTGCGCGTCTTGGATGCTTTCACGGCAAATGGGGCACAGGTTGCCCTTGGCCTCAATGGCCGGTAGGCAGGTTCCACACAGCACCAGGTGACCACATGGCATCAGCAGAATCGAACGGGTATTCTCCATGCACACAACACACAGGTGTTCGTCGTCATCGTATTTTGACGCAAAAGTGGCGGCCTGCACAGTCACCGCCGGTGCAGCGGGGATGGGTGCTGCCGCTGCTGAAGCGGTAACAGTTGTAGAACGGTATTGCATGAATGCCGCAGCCATGGCGTTCGTGGGCCTGGTGCCGCCAGTAGCCACAGGCGCTGCTGCGAACTGCACACCACCAGGGACCTGCGCGCGCACCACTGTGGGTGGCGCAACGCCGACAGGTGGCATGAACGGCACAGCACCCGGCGCCGGTTGCCTGACAATAACTGGCTGCGCAGCATGGAGCGAATGCGGCTGCTGCTGCTGTGCGATAACAGGCCGCGCCACTGGGAAGATCTGTGGAACGACGACCCGCGTTGGGGCAGCACCCGCAGCGAACACCACGGGCACCGGCTGCACGGGGTTCAACGCGGCAACGGGACGGGGACCAGGATGGACCTGCACACCTGGAAACGCGCGCACGGGTGCGACGCCCATTGTGGGCCGAGCGACGGGCACTGCCGTGGGCGCAGAACCACCCAGCCGACCTGCTGCCGCGGCTAACGCCGGGTTGACCAATGCCAGGGCTGGGTTGATGAACGGACCAGGTGGCGGTGCCGTGGGCGCTGCAGATACGGCAGCAGCAGATGCTGTGGGAGGAGAAAGTTGTGGCACAGGAGCGGCGGCAGCTGGTGCTGCACCTAGGCCAGATACAGCCGGAGCAGCAGGCCTAAACTGTGTTAAAACCGGCGTGGGAACGGTTGAGGCCGCAACTGCAGGAGCCGTTGAAGTGCTTGGCCCTGTGAACGAACTGGAACCAGACGCGCTGGAGGCCGCCGCGGCAGCGGATTGCCCAGGTTCCTTGGCTTTCTTCTTCTTCTCCTTCTTTCCTGCTGGGGCAGGTGGCTCAGAAACGGGTGTCGATGTGGATATAGTAGGGGCAGCTGGCTCGCGAGCTGAAGGCGCTGCCCTGGCTGCATGCACCGGCTTGACAGGTGGCATTTCAACTGTTCCAGCTGCCGCCGGCTCCTGCCCAACTGGCAGCCGCTCGACTGCCGCAGATGGTTGGGCTTTCTCCGCTGCTGTTGGTGCCGAACCCGACGGACCCGCCGTGCTTCCATCGGCAGCCGCCACCTCTTCCTCTTCACCTTCCTCGCCGGCGGCCCCGGCGGCGCCCGCCTTCTTAGCCGCTTTTGCCGCCTTTTTCTTCTCGCTCTTCTTCTTATTGGCCTTCTCCTTCTTTGCCTTCTCTGCCTCCTCAGCCATAATCAGCTCATTGGCCAGCTGCTCTGCTGCCTTACGTTTCGCCTCTTCCTCAGCAATCTCGCGACACGCTTTGCCCCTACACGAGCGGACAGGCGGTGATGATGACGTGTCCTCTTCACAACAAGCAACTTATTGTAAGCATAGCTCATTGCATGAAAGCGGCTGGCGTCGGTGGCAGATACTGATGTCGTTGGTATTTTGTTATTCCATTACCAACCCACATGCAACGCGGGGTGCTTTGAGGGGCGCTTAAGCTTGCCCGCGGAAGACCCGAATGCGCCCATAAGTTACCACAGCCACTACATGCAAGCAACTTCCATAGAACTTCATTCCAGCACAAACGTTCGAGGGCTTACTTCTCTTTGTCGTCATCAGCAGCGGTGGTAGGTTCCTTGGCGGGCACAGGAGCCGCCGCGGCCGCCGCCGCCGCCTGGGACTTTTTGCCGCCTGCTGGTACACTTGAGCTCAGGCCTGCTGAACCGGAATCCATCCCTGCGGCCGTCGCCACTGCCGCTGCAGGACTGCGCGCAGAAGCGAACGTGCCTGCGTTTGTGGCCGGAGAGAGCGGCGCAGCGGCATTCTTCTTGGCCGTGGCAACCTTATGGCTGCCTGCAGCAGGAACAGGAGCCGCCGCCGCCGCTGCCGCAACTGCGAAGGGAGGACTTGTCGCTTCAGTTACGGATTGCATCGTAGCCATAGCGACGGGAACACGTTTCAAAGACGCCCGTACAGACTACGCCACGAATTTTTTCATACGGTTCCTTAATGGATGAGCCAACGCGGCGAGCACCGGTCACGAGCAACGCCGCAAGCAAGGGAAACACGCTGTATGGAGCCGCGCATAATGAACTGCTTTCGCCGGGTTACCTATGGGCGAAACGCTTTTAATAATTCACTTAAGGACACAAGTACGTCTTCCGCAATGTCCATGAAAAGGTGACCTCTCAAGCTTACACAAACGACTACGCTATCAAGATAGACGTACGTACGCCAATAACCTACCGGCTGCAGGAGGACTAGGCTCGTTGGGCACCAGATTGATGGTTGACTCGAAAAATCCCCCCGCTTTGATTACCGCGGCAGCAGCAGGTGCGGCAGCAGGTGCGGAAGCGATGAGTGTCGACGCCGCGGCAGGTGCTGGCACCACTGTCGATGGTGAATCACTCATAGCAGCATCTCCGGTAGCTCCGCTTATGGTGGCAGCCGCAAGCGCCGCTGCTTCTTGTGCTGAGCATGCCTCGGGCACCGTAGGATTGGCCTGCAGCATATCAAGCAAGAAGGCACCACACCAACCTGTTCACGCTCGAAAGCCATTATCAGAGAAAAGTAAGTCCGCGTTCGAGTCCCTATGCAGAATGATAGGCAACCAACGGACAACTTCACGAAAAGTGTAAATTCGATTACCACTTCGTTCATGTTTCCTTACCGACAAAAAAAGTTCATAGGCCCTGGCCATGAAGTTCTCCACGTCGTCATCATCGTCGTCGTCATCCGAGGCTGCTGCACCGCCTCCGCCACCTCCGCCCTGGTCGCCGCCGCCGTCCCCGTTCGCAACAACAGGGCCGCCGCCGTTACCCAGGGGTGGCGCTGCACCATCGACAAAGCCTGCAGCAGGTGGAACACCACCTGCTGCTGGGGCTGGGGCATTTGGGACATCGGCAGGAGCACCGGGCGGGGCACCCGCAGCGGGAACACCAGCATCACTTGGGGGCGCGTCCACATACTCGTTATCCGCATCCTCACTCGAAAGCTCAATTGTTGCACCAGCACCAGTTCCGGAGGTGACGCCTTGGTTAACCACGGCCCAACTGTTCTCACTTTCACTACAGTCAGCTGGCTGCAGCGTCGACGACACCACAGAGCTTTCCACTTTCGGCTTCTCAAACCCAAGTGTCGTAGACGCCGCAAGATCCTTGATACTGTTTACCTTGACTTGTGACACCTTGCAATCCTCAGCATCTCCTCCAACGCACGAAGGACCGGTATCATGGGGTGGCTGTGAAGAGGTCTTCGCAATAATCTTTGGACCAGCAACGTCGTTTGGAACAGCTTGCGCGACAACCGCCATGTGCGCTCGAATAAGCTGCAAGATGTGTTCAAGCTGTGATGCAGAACACTACGATGGTACTATTCGTCTGCGTTACGTGGGGCCGAGGAACCGAAGCAGTGAGAAATGCATACGGACCCAGAAAGATTGCCAAGCAATTTCAGGATTCTCCACGCATATCGTCATATATCTGGAGAATATAAACTTCAGAGGTAAAACACCACAAGTTTCGAAAATGCACGGCCTTCATGGCGGCCTGAACTTTCTTAAAGTTCAAGGAGGGATTATGAACATCGGGGTTCCATGAATTGGACGTGCCAGTAATTGTACTTGGCGCTGGCGATGCTATGTAAAACATGAGCCTAAGGTCCGAACTGGAGACCAGACGTTGCATAATTTTCGCATTACAGACATAGTTTTAAATTTCACCTTGCTACCTTGCTACCCAGAAATTCCGCTGCCGAAACTGATAGGAGTTGCTTGCAAGGAATGTTTTCAGCTCCTCAACAGGGAACCGTGCCTTCCTGACTGATTATCATATTGGTGAGGAAGATCAGATCGGAAAACGATGATCCCGAGTTCCAACAAACGGCGCACTTTCAATGCCCAAAATTGTTTTATTCTTCTCTCTTGTACGTCAATAGTACGGCCAGCGCCCAAAAGAGCGGCAACTTGCCACCACCCCAGCATTTGAGCGCACAAATGACAACATATAGTATTGCCGCCCGAGCATCGACTTGAGAACCATTGCTGCGTGCCCTGTGGTCATGCAATCTTATGTACTGTGCCGCCTGCTCCGGGTCCGCTTAGGCTCTGTAACACGGCCTGTTGTCGTCGCATGGTTCGCAAATTTGATCGCAGTGTCGCCTCGAAGATGTAGGGTGATGTTTGGTAGGACGTCTGCGTCGTACAGCATAGTAATTTCGGTTAGCGCTAGTAGCAATGTCCACATAGACTTGAAGTCCCGCAAAGCCGTCATAACACCTACCAGCAACCATGCCAGCCCGACGAGGACACTCCGAATGATATTAAGGGCATGCCAGAGGGAGACGCGTCGCTTGAAGGCAGACGTCCAGGTCAGCTCGTAGAACCGTGGATTGCGGTTGGACTCGTAGGTCAGCTCGTCGTCCAAAGGAGTGCACAACACCTGGCCACACGCATACGAAGCTCACGTCTTTATTACGGAAAAAAGGTGCAAAAATAATGACGAACGGACTGTGGAGCTACCCGGTAAGGTTTGGCGTCAGTATGCCGATGCCTGGGTATCAATACCAACCGAAACGTGATGTGTCTAGGCATTGTGGATAATGTTGGGGAACCAAACAACACTAACCGACACTAAACTGTGTTGGCTCACTGATGGCCCAACCCTTCACCCAGCCCGCCAGCCCGTATACGATATGGCTGCATGCGTCCCAAGCGCTCTATATCTCCATCACGGAATTCCATCCGCCACCTCGCTCACCGACGCCACATAAGCGCCCACGTACATCAACATTTGAATGACGTCCACGGGACCCAGCTGCAGACGGCGCGGCTCGAAGTCACGCAGCTTGTCTTGTGCAAGCCTGCGGGGTATGATAAAAGTGCCCCGGGTCAACCTAGCCAAGCGAACATGGGGACATCGAGCTGTGCGCATAACGCACGAAAACCGAAAAGAATAAAGGTACGAGACCGTCTGATGGACAGGTCAACTCCTCGATGGCCGTGTCTCTAGTGCTCCAGGAGAGTGTCGCGCGGGTCCCTTGTGCGCGTGCTACCATGCGGCTCACCCATCCAGTGCTTGCTATGATAGCCAGAGGCTGAGTGCGCCAAGGTACGTCGCTGTCCACCCACCGGCTTGTGGAGAAAATGACGGATAGTGTGATGAGCGCATAATAGATCCTGTTGTTGTTTTGCGCCAGCGGTGCGTAGTAGCTCAGAAACTTACGCATGTCGGAGCTGCTATACAGCATGTACGTCATGAAAAAGTTCAGCAGCGCGAAGCCAGCCAGCAGGCCCTGGGTGGAGGAGGACATAAGTAAGAATCGTCTCCAGCCAGGTTGTGCTCCAGCAACATAAAAACAATCAGCACTTCGGTTTGCAAACGGAGGCCATTGGACCAAACACAGGCGTCTTGACGTGATGCCCATACAGCAAGCCTGCTTGGCTGTATATACTACTGCCCTAGTCCTGCTCCTATCACGTATAATATGAACCCAGGAAGACATGCCGCTTCTGGGTCCAGATGAGCTTCTGGGTTCATGCTCTGAACCCGTGCAAAACGAATGCTGCTCAACTACTGTTTGAAACTCATCGTATAGACGTGGATCCGCAGGACGACTGCTGGGCTTGGCATACCGTACCTGCGCAAACATGCCCAGCACATTGCAGGCGTTGGTAAGGAACAAAAGCGTACGCCGCAGCCGGCCGCGGAAGCCCTTGTCATCCTCCTCATCGTCCTCCTATAGCCAAGACAGGGGGCGCAGGCGAATGGCATCCATCAGTAAGCTAAGAAGCTTGAAGAAGTACAGAACAGTACAAAAATCTGCAACCCTGCGCCGACGCAACCGCTGTGACTGTCGTTGAAAAACCGACATATGTGAAAGTCCACATCACCGCGGCTCCCCAGAAGGTCGCCTCTAGGCAGGTAGTCCTTTGTTCCGCGAGCACGTGCCGGCATCCGCACTGAACATATTAGGCTCAAGCTGCGCCACCCAGTCCAGGGAACTACCGCTCTCAGGACAAAGTTGCCTGCGGTCGCCACCTAAGCCTGCGACGCGATAGGTCAGGTAATACCTTCCAACGCGGCCAATGATTGACATGCTAAAGCCTACTGAGGCTTGCGCACCACGATGGCGTGCGGCTTGCGCCTGAGCAGGCCGAACAGCTTCCGCCGCTTGCTCTGCAGCTTGAAGAATATGCCTGTCACCTCATCCTCGATGTATTGCCGTGCGACGCGACCACCTTCACCCTGCCCGCCAGCTGCGGGGAGGCACGCAGGGGATGACCTCAATTCACTGGTTTCTTATTAGGATAGGGACTGCTACAACACTGTGCCGTGAGCAACCTACGTGAGACAGGGGAACCAGTAACGGGGTTTCTGAGGGGAAGAGAATGTTGCCCAGTAATCGTTTTCCTTGCAGCAGGTAAACTGTGAGGGATCGGGACGGAGACGCACAACCGCAAGCGATGGCAGCAACAGCATCCTGGTCGCCAACCTCTGGCACGCCGGCTGGGGTGACGCCACTCTCACGCGAAACACAAACGGTGACTATTCTTGACCTGCATTGTTTGGCCGGGATGTGACGTGGGGGCCCCGGCAGACCACGAACAGCGTCCAGAACGTGCTTGCTTTCCGCGAAGTAAATTTCTTTATACCTGTGGTAACGAGCATGCCCGTGTCCTCATCGTACGTGTACTTATGCCCCGGCGGATCCGGCTGCTCTGCATACTCCACTGCGCTCGTCTGTCCAGGCAGCACCGCACCGGGAGCCTCTCTACCCTGCGAAACAATGCGAAATGGAAAGCCACATGCACATGAAACCCGGAGGAACGAAGGCTTGAGCCACATCATCCCATGCGGCGACTGGCACTTGCGCCGACTGGCACTGTAACCGGTGTGGGCCACCAGTTACGATACGTTCCTCACACCGCAACTCAACAAACCACAAACCAGACGCGGCCTACATTTTACGTCAAAAGTGTCCAAAAGGCCATCAATCCTTCAGCGTTGGCACACCTGGCGCGTCTCGATAGCTTTGTCTGCGCCAAGCTCCTGCGCTATGCCGTAATGTTCTTTTTCTGAGCCCAAGGCGGTAGGTTCTGCGACAGTGTCGCCCGAAGTCTTGAGCCGTACGTCCTCGCCAGGAATTTCCTGCAACCATGCCATACGATAAAGTCTCCACCAGCTTAAGTTCGAAAGCTGCCCAAGCTTCCCTGGCAGCTACTGCTACTGCAATGCTCGTGCACGACGACGAAGTCCCCACCTGCTGAGTCGCCTCGTACGGCTCCAGCAGCTCCCGCGGCACCTTGAGCTGCTCGTGTGCCAGCGCGAACGGGTCCAGCTCCCCGGCACGGGCGGCTGCCCCAAACGGCTCCGCCATGTCGGCGGCGTCCTGCTGCTGCCTCGCGGCGACTTCATCCGCAAGCCCATAGCCTGGAGAGCATACGAACATCGCGCCCAAATGCGAATCTGGAACTCCACCATCCGGTCATTAGGTAACCAGTTGAACAGACGGCGCCCAGAGGATTATACACAACCCATATCCTGGTAGCTGCCACCGAGGCCGCCCTCCTCCACTGGTCCACCCAACGCTCAACCAAAGCTGCTACAATACTGTGAACTCTCACAAGCCAGCGGACTTACCGACTCCTCCCTCGCTTCCCGGCGGGGGCATCACAGGGTCCAGGCGCCGCCGCGACCGCAACGGCGGCAGCACGCCCGCGGTGCGGCTTAGCGGTGAGGGCGACCGCGACCGGCGGCGAGCCACCTCCGCTGCTAGGCCAAAATCTGAGGCGAGCGGGTTGGGCAGCTCCCGGTTCCGGAGCTCAGCAACGATGCCGTAGTCGGGTTCGGGCAGACCCGGCTGGCTAGCAGCCATCTCTTTAACGGTGAAGGGGTCCAGAGGCGGTGGCTGGGAGGCCGCTACTGCGTCGGTACGGTTGCTTGTGCCTAACCTGGCAATCCGATTGCCCCGGGGCCGGCCAGCACGCCTGGTGCGGTGTTCCACGGATTGGTCTGGGCCAGGGAAGCCAAGCTCCTGGTTGTTGAGGAGCTCCAAGGCCAAGCCATATTGTGCTTCGCCATCGGGACCTGGAAATGGTTGCTGGGCCTGTCCTTCCATCAAAGTGAAAGGATTCTCAGCTGCCTGGGCAACACCACCCGTGTTGGCACCCCTGGCAACACGAACCCCGGGAACCCTGGGCGGCTGCGCCGGTCGGTTAGGACGGGCAGTCCCCAAACGTGCCGGAGGTCGCACAGGAAGCAAATTATCGCCTGGATCGGCAGGTTGGCTGGGGCCCAACCCTGCCAGGTCAGCAGCCAGACCGTACATGGGCACTGACACGGCCAAGGTGACGTCGGGCAACATTTGAGGCTGTTCGCCTACAGCATTTCCAGGCAGTCCAGCGGCTGCTTGAGCCATGCCAGCTTGTTGGGCAACTTGAGCTGTCGCCGGGGCGTCATGGAGACGCTGCAGTAAAGGTTGTCGCCCGTTGCCGGACATTCCTAAGTTATGAGGACAGTAACTTCATCACTGTAATAATAACGTTGTCATTCATGTTGGGATTGAGTAGTTGCAAAACCGCGTAGCTGCACGATTCAAGCTTTGGTCAAGAGTGACAGCCAAGTTCCCGAACAGCCCGGAACACAGTTTGGCCAGGTTAACAACTGAGCCAATCAGCAATACGTGCCGGAGCTATACCATGCACTATGATGAGAATTGCTAGTCAGTATGCTATGTCCTTTCTTCAACGATTCGGTAAGCTCGTATAAACTGTAAAGATTTTTGTATTACAAGTGCTTCACAAAGACTGTAGCGAGAAAGCAATGACAGCTTGTCCGACTTCCTCAGTTTCCAGAGTGGACGGTGCGAAGGTAATTCGTTTCTTTACATAAGAGCTTTTCCATTGAAATGAAGGTGTGGTACGGTATCCAATGCCTACCCAGACATCACCAAAACAAGGGTTACTATGACAACTCCTACCGCTGCAGGCATTGCCCGTAGCCAAACCACACAAGAAGCCGCTCCGGCGGTGTCACAATCTCCTCAACCTCCAAAACACACCAAATCCACACTTACTGTTCCTCGCCCAAGTAAATTACGTGGAGACAAACCCCAAACAGGAACGCGTGATCCCCAAGGATTTCCGAACAAGCCCTTCGCCCTTCAACCAACGCATGGCCGAGCGCAGGCCCCCTAGTACATCGGCGTCCAGAAAATTTTGGCACGCGCCTTGACCTGCGCCTGCTCCGGGTCGCTGAAATCGAACTTCAGCATGCTATTACGTCGCAGCTTAAGGACGTCCCCGACCTCCGGTGGATATTGTGGGGGTACCTGTTGCCGGGGGAGAGGCAAATGGCTCTGTATTAGTCCCAACTGGACCTTGAGGGCCAGGATTTCCTTATCCATAACCTGCGCGTTCCCAAGCCCAAGACTTTCGAGGCATCTTCAGTCCTCATATTCCTACTTTCCAAACCAGCATTTAGTGCAATTTCGAGTTACGATCAGGCCACAAGTAGGCCATAACCCGCACGGTTACACGCCCCAACTGTGGGCCCATGCACCACTTCCGAGCTCTTGGGCCCCGGGCCCTTCGCCCACGCCACCCTCCCCATCGGTTCTCCAAATGAACACCCGCCGTAGCCCAAAGCTCGGCACTCACCATTGGCATGCGGAGCTCATCTGTGTAGTTCAGGACATAGTAGAAGGGCGCAGCGAGCGCCAAGCCGAACATGGCCCAGAAGCGCAGGTAGTACGTCTGCATAGAAAATTATCATGGAGCTGGTTGGAAATAACGCCTTGCAAGCAGCGCCGGGCTGTAAATCCCACGTTCAAGCGCACCTCCGTCAGGTTGGATGGCCAAGCGCCGAACATAAAATCTGCTACAGGCTGTCCCGGGTAGAAGCCGTTGTCCCACCAGAGCTCGTACCAGGTCGGCAGCTATGGAACGCAAAGAATGACATACCCATGTCATCTCCGATGTGCGCAATGTAGCCCAGAACAGCAAACACAAAGTAAGGTTAAAGCTTTGACAGTCTTACAGGCTTATCGGGGCGGGGCGCAAGCTTCACAGGTGCACCGGCGCCAGCCCTGGCAGGAAGCGCATTTTTAGCTTGCAGAGCAGTCCTTGCAAGTCCCCGCAAGCTACTAAAAGACATAGTGTTGTGGCTTCACAACAGGATGCTGTTGAGCGCCTGGACGTTCGTCGAGCTTTCACTAGAAAAGCCAAGACTTTGGTATTAGATAAACGGCAATCGAGTACGCGTGTGCTGCAGTACATACATAGTAATTCCCGTAAGGGTGTACCAAATAGGGTGAATTAGGGGTTTGTACGGTATCGGCAAATTGTTTAAAGGCTAACATCCTTTCAGTTCGCGGAAACCATGGATTGGACATGGAAACACCTGTAATTTCTTTATATTCGTGCCTTAGGTTCGTCAGATATGCTGTATGACAAGTGTTCCGAGGAACATCCGTTGTTCGCAATGCAATTTCAATCCTGAACGTGTCCGTTTTGCAGAACGTAGGGAAGTATGCCTGACACGAGGGGTGATGGCGGTTGCCTGGGACAGGCGCCGCCGTTGTCAGCGCACATGTTGTGGAGGGCTGAGCTCCGCTCACTTTCCGCTCTGGCGCTGCCTGTTGTCATTCAGACGAGTGCGCAGCAAGGGATGACCGTTGTAGACCAAGTGGGTGCTGGCACGATTAAGTTGTGTTCCTGTGTGAACCTACTTGACTAACATCCCTGCCCGTGTCCTGCGGCCATCCCCTTTGGTTCCTTTCCAAACGGCGACAGTTGACTTCACGCCGAAGACTCCATCTCTTATGTATGTCCTTGGGGTACTTCTTCATACGCATTTTTCCGGTGATATGCTTACGAGGCATACGGAACGCCATTCCACCAGCCTTCAGCGTGCCACATCCAAGCATCCCAACCCTACGGCCTCTCGTCCCCAGCGTCATCCTATTGCTCTGCATTCATCCCATAGATGCCTTGTCTTTCTCGCAGATGAGCACGACCATCGTGCCCACCGTGCACTGCCGCGCTCTCCTCTCCGCCCTTCACGGCGTTATGCCTCATCGCAGGTGTTCCTAGGTCATCTGGGTACGGCTGAGCTGGGTGCCGCAGCGCTGGCCAATGCGTACACCAACCTCATGTGGTGCGTGCCTCTCGTTCTCCAAGATGCGGCGGCTGCATTTGTCAGCCTCTAACGTGTATTTGACTGTGTATAGATGGCGGCTTTGTGTCCGAGCATGTGAATGCGTTTGCAGTCCTGTTACCTTGGTAGCCCATCCTGCGGCCGTGCCTACTTGCCTGTGTGCATGGGCTCGGAAAGGATTCAGCAGTGACCACACCGACCGTGCAACGGTGTCGACTCCGCTTCACGTTATCGCACCTGCGACGCTTGCACCCAGCAGTGCCGCCTCTACAAGACTCGAAGTTGCGCTCCGCCGGGCTGTTTTAGGCTAAGTATGAGTTGCGCGTGCTCGCGGTGACAAACCGAGCTCCGGGAGAAACGGCTGTGGGTGCGTCCGCATCCTACTCGTAACTTGCCAAAATAGTTCCCGTCCATGGGCCCCCGACTTTCCCGGATGGGTTTTTTCCCGCACTTGTGCAGAACCTGTAACTTGTAACCCACCCAATCAGGTTTTTCTTGTTGGGCTTCGCAACGGCTCTTGATACCCTTGGGAGCCACGCGTACGGCGCAGGAGATCGGAGGTGGGTCCATCGGCCTGTTGCTTCATGGACCGGCTCGTCAACCCATCATAGTCGGCAATGTGAGGATTCTGTTTGTTTGGGTTTGCAATGCAGGCTGCCGGCAAGGCAGCATCGTCGTCCGCTTTTTCAAACAGATGTGTCGTGTAAATCTCGCGTGCTCCGACCGTGCAGCAGACAGACTCGGCCGCTCAGTCATGTAGTCATTCCTCGTAACGACGCCTCGCACGTCCTGCCAGGGCTTAAGGCCGGACAAAGGAACACAGCTCCATGTGTCATGGACACGGAGCCTCAGGGCTCCTCCAATGGAATTAAGCTTGCGACTGGTGGCATTGGTCGAAACGGTGCTACTGCGCTTGGAAAGTGTACACTGTGATGACCCCGCAGCAGCACAACAGTGATTCCGTGGCTCCTTTTCCCGCTCGATGCACTGCAGGGCGCTGGTGACCTGGTGCGTGACGGCAGCTGTGCTGCTGACGCTGCTTGTGGCGCCTCTAGCAGTGGGCATGGCAATGGGGGAGTTTGTTGGCCGGGGACTGTTCGACCAGGACAAGCACACGGCGCAGCTAATGGGCCGCTTCTGTAACGGCCTTATCCCGGGCATGTGGCCGCTGATGTGGGGCACGGTGCTAACTAAGTACCTGCAGGTAGGTCGCGACTGCCGCGAGGGCTGTTAAGTGGAGAATGGGTCGGCATAGGTACCCTTACTGGTTGTCAATGCGTCGACCAGGTGGCCTGAGCGGCCCATCATGAATAGCGGACATGAGCTAATGACAGCATAAATAATCGTAGCCGGTGCAAAACACCGCAGCCGTTACAGCAGCACAGCATTCTCTCGCGTGAGTAACAACACGTTCTGCCTCGGGTGGCCAACTTCCTTGGTGGGCTGCACTGCGCCTCCCTGCCATGTCCCTCCACAGGTCCAGAACGTCATGTTGCAGCCCTCCCTGATCGCCGTCATCACGTTTGCGCTCAACATCGCCTTCAACGCGGCGCTGGTGCACACCATTGGCTTTCGTGGTGCGCCGCTCGCCACGTCACTATCCCGCTGGGCGCAGTTCCTCATGCTGGCACTAGCAGTGTGGCGACACGAGCGGCGGCAACGGCAGCAGCACAAACGGCGGCAAAGCAGCGACGGAGAGCGACAGGGAGCGCTAGAAGCGGCGCCTGCGCTGGATGAAGGCGCTGTCCTGCAGCCATTGCCGCCAATGGCAGCACCGCTAGATGCGGCAGGTAATTCGAACAACGGCGCTGCTGGAGATAGATCGAATCGCGGGACTCTGTCGGCGAACAGCCACAGCACGGAACAATTGCGGCTACTTGGTGAAGATCGGAATTCGGATGAAGAGGACCAGGACAGCAGTGCCAGTGGGACTGGGAGTCGCGCAAATGGCGAAATGAACCATGGCCCGCGCTGCGGCGCCAATGGGTATGCTTTGGCCAGCGGCAGCGGCAGAGTGAGCGACCCAGGATCCTCTTCCGGCGTGCACCGCGGCTCGGCGATGGTCATGGATAATTTGGAAAGTGGGGTGCGGTGCGGCGCCCTTTCGGTTCCTGTCACACCGCCACCGGTACCACTTTGGCGCAGGGTGTACCAGGAGTGTCGCATGGCGATGCATCCACGTGTGGTGGGGCGCTTCTGCCGCCTGGGCATACCAGGAGGCCTCAGCATGTCGTTTGAGGTGGGGCCCAGAGTGCTCGGTTGGGTGGCAGAGTGGCATTGCCATTTGGAAGTTTACATCACCCGACATTCCTGCGGGGGAATGCGCCTATAACAGCAGTCCGTAAAAAGATCGCGGCGTTTTTTTGGCATAATGAATTGCCATATGCCGACTTTCGCACTTTCTGAAAGACAAGTTCCGAAAGACTTCTGAAAGACGGAGCTCTGAGTAGTGGGGCATTGGGACAATGGGGCGGTCCTGTGCGCGCGTGTGCAAGGCCACGTGCTCATGAGGGCCGGGCCCGGTATGAGCGCGTGCAATTTACCTAGTGTCAAAGACATGTAAGCACTCGCAAGTCGCCGTACGTGCACGCATTTACGTGTCTTCCCTCGCAGAATGAGATACACCTCTGCCCCTCAAACTCATTAACCGCGTGCCCATGACCTTACAGCGGACGGCCCAACTATCACACGCCCCATGCCTCTTACCAATCCCAACATTTGCTGCATGTAGTAATGTCGCTCAGCTCGTGCTGACGGTTGCATCACGCCCTCCTGGCATTGTCCTCTGTGCGCTCCCTGGCTGTGCCGCTGCTGCCACCGCACCGCCAGGCCGGTTGCTTCGACTTTTCCACCGTGCTCGCGGGCCGGCTGGGCACGGTTGCCACCGCAGCCCATGCCGCGATGCTGTCCATTGTGACTCTGACCTACCTCGCTTGCCCATTTGCGCTCGCCACCGCTGGCGCCATCCGTGTCGGCAACCTCCTGGGAGCAGGCGAGCAGCCGGGCCGGGGGGTGGTTGTGAGGGAGGCCGGCACTTGGCTACTGTTTCTACTGCTGCTACATCGTGTGCCGGAGTATATTGAAGAGGGTCCCAGCATGGCGCCGGAAGTCTCCGGTGTTTTGGGGGCTGCAGTGCACGGATGGCGGTATGCATCGTGGGTGGACCTTTTGGCTGGGATGCGGGCCGGCCCCTGAAACGGGTCGTGTGGGACTCTTGCATGGTGATTCAGACCCCGCGTGCGTGTCTGTACGCCCTGCGAGATATTTTCTGAACCGCTTGGCACACCTCCGCATCGCAGGTGATCCTGACGGTGCTCGCCGGGCTGGCATCCTGGCGGTGACCCTCAGCGGCGCGTTTATGGCGCTGATGGCCATGACCCTCCTCGCCACCCGCAGTGTCCTTGGTTACATGTTCAGCGCAGACCACCGTGTCGTAACGGTGATCCGGGGCCTCGCCGTCTTTGCGGCGTTGTTTCAGGTATGTCGTTCTTTTTGCCATGCATGGAGCGCAGCACAACCTCGAATTGCGCTGCCGAGCTGTAAGAAGCCCGCAGGGGCATGCCCGCTCTCTGGCCTTGGACTCGTTATCACTAGCTGCTGCACGCAACGGGTCACGATCCGGCGTCTTGCATTCATGCAACCCCGCACCGGTACTCGCACTGCCCACGGCTTCGGAGCTTTCTCGCGGACTGGGCTTCCCCTGCATCCTGGGCTGGGCGTACTGCAGGTCTCGGACGGGCTCATGGGCTCCAGCCAGGGCGTGCTGCGGGGCTGCGGCCACCAGCACCTGACAGCGGTGTTCAACTTCACAGGTATGAGACGGCAACACGTCGTGAGCCCCTCCCACGGTCCGTTGGGCTTTGGCTGCTAAGCCTCACGGGTGACTGCATTCTGTTTCGGCAAATCGCTAGCTCTCACAGAGCGTGTTCGGTCCTTGTCCTTGCCGTGCGCTGCATCTTGCTGGCAATACAAGTGGCGGGCCATGCGACGCCTGACCAACTTCACTTTGAGACTTTGTTTCCTTGGCAGTCAGCACCGGGCAACCCGCTACATGCGCATCATGCTCACCATGACTTGTTGTGTCCGTCCCGATAGGTTTCTGGGTTTGCGGAGTGCTGCTGGGCTTCCTGCTGTGCTTCAAGGCGGGGCTGGGGCTCAACGGGCTTTGGGCGGGGATCTCCGCGGGTGACACAGCCACCGGTATCATGAACCTCATCGCCATGAGCCGCATTCGCTGGCGCAAGGAGTCGGACAGGGCGGTGGCCCGGCTCAAGGTGTGTTGTGGGATTTCGTACGGCCGGCCGAATGGAAACGGGTTTGGTTTGGTTGTGGATTACTGGGATCGATCAGGCGGGGACCACAGACTGTTGGCTTCTTATTCGTCGCGCTGCAGGTTCTAGCGCAGCAGGCCGAAGAGGAGCAGGCCATGCTAGACGGCTCCCAGGTGGCGGGGCTCAGTGCTGCCGACAGCGCCGCCGCGCCGCTGGGCGGTGGCGGCCGGAGCTATGCTGGCGGCCTGAAGCGCATGTGGAGCGAGCGCCGGCTGCAGCAGGCGGTCAGGGGCATGCAGCGGCGGTACGAAGGGGGGCTAGACCGTCAGAATTCTATCACAGCGAAGCTGTTTCGCAGTCTGTCTTCCCTGTTCCGCAGACACCAGATGCAGCTTGCGGCCGAGGACCTGCCAAGCGATGACGGTAGGAGAGGAACGACGAGCCAGGGGGCGGGGCCGGTCTTGGATATAGATAGGGAAACTGCCAATGAGTCGCCGTGCGGCACCCGGCCGCCACGGCAGGTGGAGTTGATGCCATGACTGCCGTAGGCAGGGCAGGATGGCGGCTAATAACAGATGTATTTTAATGCACCTGTGTTGATTGCCTTGCGGCACAGCGCTGTCCAGGTAGCAGTATGCCGTGCATGGTATGTTGGTTATAGAGGAAGGCTGTGGATTTGGGTCATTTTCTATGTTGCAAGGTGTTGTGCTAATTGATTTGTGTCGTAACGTTTGGGCAGTATATTCGTTATACATTCGTTGCTCTTTTGGCGTCTTCCTAAGGGCACCCCGTTCTTTGTGAGGCCTACGGGTCGCACACTAATGATGGAGAACCTGAGGAGTACCCGGATGATCGATTGCCCGCTGGCAGGCATTGCCCGTAAAGGGCGTTTTTGTATGTGCTTGCCACGAGGATTATCGGAGATGACTTCATTTTTGCCAATGGTGTCAGGGACCGGGTACCTATTTTTCATTATTGGGAACCATTACTTGTTGAAGATGTTTGATTGACTATGTCCTGGCACTTGGTGCTTGGGACATGTCCATGTTTTTTTATTGAGTGGTGCGCTACGCTGCTTAGTTTGGTTGACGCTTGAGCAGTTCTGGAGCGGAATGTGATGTGCGTGTCGGCGGCCAGCAGCATTGATGTGCAGGACATTATGTACGGCAGCGCTGGTTTGCGTCCCTTAAAGGTTTGCGCATGTGCCGCCACGTGCGTGTTACAAGGGTGGTACGGTGTGCCACTACCGCGACGGGCCAACGGTAGGCTGGATGCCGGTAAGCAACTGCATCTTTAAGGACGCGGTTGGCCACGCGGAGCCATGTTGCGCAAACGGCTGAGGCTAAGCCGTATCTGCCAATCCCTGGAACGAGGCACTTAAGTTAGTGAGCGCTTGGATATGAACTCAGTTTGTTGCAGTTTTCGTTAGGAGTCCGCACATCGCTATCGAGCCAGATGACATCATATCACCGGACGGGACACTGTTTCCGGGCCCTAGCAAGCGCCTTCGCTATAGCGTGTGGATCTTGCAGAGCGCCATGTCGTTGCTGCTGCTGCTGTTGCTGCTGCTGTTGTTGCTAAATGCGTTTTAGCAGCGCCCGGAGCCCTCTTTGTCCAGCCCACTATAGAGCATATGAATGATTGCCGACTTGAGCGCGTCTCTTGTCGCAGCTCGGGTAATCGGTGCGCTCGCGGAAGGTGTAGTGGCTGGCCGCTGAAAAGGCCTCTCGAGATGCTGGCGGTCGCGCTTAGCGCGTATTTGTAGAGGTTATGTGTGCCATACTGTGTACCAGCTACTACAGAAGGTCACGATGTCAGACCCTTGGTCGCTCGGTGTTTTGGGAGGGAACTAGCATGGGCAACAACAACGATGCCAGCAAGATGATCCTCAATAGTTTGTGTGCCTACTGCAACACCAGATGTCTGCGGTAGTCCGTACAGCATTGCCTGGTAGGGCGACCTGAATTCGCAGACTTCCTGCCCGCGGGGTTAATGTGTAATTCCTGCGAACGTAGGCGCCTGTAGGGAAGCAGTGTGCATAAGGTCGAAGCAGACTGGTTACTTCAAAGCAGCGTATGTGTAGGTTCTCTTGCGCCTCAACAAGTCGATGCCAGTTTTGCTCCTGCTACCCGCGATACGTCTTAAAGGAGGGAACGAAACGCTGTGCTTGGACGAAGCCCTGTACACGTATAATTGCTTGCGTTTGTATGCGGCACGCAGCAAGGGCTCGGCGGAATGTTCTGGTTCATCCCTGTTCGGCTGACTGGAAACTTAGAGCGTGGTTACAAATCATATTGTCATTACAAATCATATCTGCCCCCTTAAAAAGCATCAAAATGTGTGCAACAGGCACATCGGAGTGAAGCCACAGAAGGGTACCGGACCATTAACGCGTTGAGCAGAGAGCCGCAGGAGAATAACGGTGCTTAGGACTTTAATGACGAAGAGATAGTAGTCCGATCGCCCGTGAGTTGTGACTTATATGAGACATCGCCCGTCGCGTTGGCGAAGTTAGGCAGACAGTTTTCCTACATGAAAGCTATATTTCACTATCACGAACGTCCGGGTGCGACTGTTGCGGTTAGTGAACTTTTTGGCTGTCATGAGACTGGGGGTATCGACAGAAAATGCGAGCATGTGACGGTGTTTGACTGTAAACCTGCGATAGACATAATTGTTTGGTTACTATGAGGGCTGCTTGGCGGACGCTACAGTTTGCGTGACCTTTTCCACCACATCTCTATCATGCTTGTTTCCAAACTTGTGAACTTGATAACTCTCCCCGTCTTAGATTTCATTGTCCAATGTAATTGAACCTGACGAATTTCCTGCGGGATGCCTGAGAGTTTCAGTAGATGTAGCAGTACAAAGTACGGTAGACAGCTTTCGTATTTTGAACATTTTAAACAGCTCTAAGAGCACACACTCTTTCATAGGTGCAGTGACGGGCTTTTTTACATGTGACCAAACAACAACGTATATAGCACCAGCGAATGTGACGAGGGGTGTTTTGGCGACACGAACCTTGCGCGTCTATACTTTGACACGGAGAACCAAGACGTGATAATTTTTACAATCTACAGTAGTGCTGAACAAGGCTCGAAGTCATTCTCCAGCTTGGCAAGCGTCTGTTTAATATTGACCCCCGTCCTGACATCGATTGGGTTGAACGTCAACGGCCGCCTCCGCGTCAGTCATCATGATGGCGTGCGCTGAGCATTACGCCCTTCCAGATGAGGTCAGATAACTACCGGCCCTTCTACAGCGTTGCGTTGACTTTCAGTTGTAATGTCTTTGAACTTATGCAAGCCTAGAAGGACTCGGTTGAACATGTACGAGTTATATCTATTCCATTCCTCATGTCCTTTTCATGCAGTTGCAAGACACATCGTCAAAGGACACCTCCAGGCAGGCTCCCGTTATGGCCGGCAAGGACTCCCGTCCCATGGAGCCCCAACCCCCACAATTCAGCGCGCATGCGGAAGGAATGCTGTCGGCTATCATGCTGAAGGACGTAAAACAGCATGTAACTTGCGCATTGTGCAACAATCTCATCGCGTCTTCATTGGTGCTGTCGTGTGGACACCAATACTGCGGCAGCTGCCTCTTCGATTGGCTTGGTAACAAGCCATCCTGTCCCAACTGCCAGGTAGCCGAACGTGCACCCATAGGCCAGCTTATGGGATAACCTGTTTGTCCAAAGCGCATGCTCAATGCTTTGCCCATGCCCGGTTAACATGTCATCAATGCCGGTTGCAGGTTCCTTTGCGCGCCATCCCCATGCGATGCATTGCACTCGACGGCGTCGTCGAGGCGTTCCTTTCTTCATTGCCGGAGGAGGAGGTCGCCGCCTACAAAGCACGCCAAGAAGAGGGCAAATCCGCCGCCAATAAGGTAAACAAGATGTTTTGGTGGCTTCAGCCGTCAGCGTTGCCTGGTATGGCGCCGAGCGGCCCTCCTGGTTTCGGTGGCGCGCCCGGTGCTGGTATCCCGCACATGAACGGCATGGCCGCTCCCAAGCAGCAGTCCTTCACAGGCCCGCCAATGCCACAGCAGTTGCCATCCGGTGGCGTAATGACTGCCGGCATGCTCGGCGGTGCGTTTGGTGCTCCTAAAGGCCTCCAACAGCAGCCGCACAACATGCGCCGTGCCTCGCAACCAGGCGCGCCGCAACAGCAAGTCTTCCTCCAGCGCCCTGGGCCAAGGTCCAACTCGTTCTCCGCTGGCGGCGCATTGCCATCTTGCACTGCGCAGCCTGCTCTTCCGCCGCAGATGGCTGCCAGCATTGCCGCAGCAGGCTTCTCGGCACCTACCATCTCGCTGCCCGGACCCAACACTGATTTGGAGGCTGCATACTTGGCCACGGCACAGAAATTCGGCATGGAGGGGCTTGCGTTGCCACTCGTCTACCAGCAGCAGCTACAACACCAATTTCAGCAGCAGGAACAATTTCGCGGCTTGCTGCATGCCTGCTCAGAATTGCAGGCGGTAGAGTTGGCATCACCTTCGACCCAGGCACCATATACAGATCCGGCGCAGTTGCAGCAGCTCATCCAGGGCCTGTACTTCTCATAGTCGGCTCCTGCCTCTTGCTACGCCTGATACGTTGAACACGGGCCACTCCTTTGATGGTGTGCCCTGATGTGTTATCCGTGTGATAGCGAGGAGCTTTGCCGGGATTACAACCGACAGAGGACAGCAGGTTGGACTTTTTGCGTGTAGAATCCAGTGGGGTGACGAATAGGTTGCAGTGATTTACCGCAGGGTTTAGTATTCCGCTCTTGAAGTGCATGCAAAGCAGCTCCTGCACTTGGAGGTGCGCAAAGCTGGTTTGCCACCGCTGACTTGATTAATGGCGACTCGAAATGAGACGGTGTCAAGGCTTTTACGCTGGCTGCCTTGGAGACGACAAACAGTCTGAACGGTAGACGCGGTCAGACGTGGACAACGTGATTAACCTGACCCTACGACACTCTCGCGTCTGGTCATTAGTTAGATAGCTACCAGCAGGTGATCTGGTTATAGCATTATTAGGCTTTCCTTCATAGCATTATAGGACTATCTCTACCGATTATGGAACGATTTGAATGTTGTTGTGGGGCCTACTTAGTGCATTCCGCACTAGGTTTGCACTCTGCCCTAGGACTCGCACATCTAAGTTGCTTGTGTTGCGTGGATGCTGTGTACACATGAGCTCGACGAGGTGATCCGACATGGAATCGGGTCTCGGCAATTGCTCTGCGGGCTTCGCTTCCCTGTTTGTAATTATTGGCTGTAAACTGGCCCATTTAAGTCCCAACTGAATTTCAGTTACGAACGACGGAGCATTCTTAAGCTCCTGCATATAGATTGCCCCTCACAAAACCCTTCTCTGACTGTCGAGTGGGATATTCGAGTAGGAACTGAGGGCGTGGTGAAGTATCTGAGAAATTCGAGTGACATGATATGCATCACATACATCCTTATCCAACGACGTTAGAAACGTGAAAAGTGAACGGCGTAAGAACCGAAGACGTTTGCAATCGCAACAAGTCCAACCGTTGGAGAAGCCTACGAAGAGCACCCATAGTCAACTATATTTCCTATAGATGAGGATTGTATATCATACAGATGCCGACATACCATGCTGTCTGTGCACACAGATTGCGGACCCACCTGCATTCTAGTGTCTCACTGAAGTTGGCCAACCGCTGATCCGTTGGTAGGTGTCCTTGTTGCACTTTACAAAGATGCTTAGTAAAGCAAGGGAACACCGACTAATTTCCTTGTGATCCTGACCATCTGCTGATAAAATGCATTCACACAATATCGCGGCGCGGAGCGACAACCGACAAGTAGAGCGTTGCAGCGTTTAAGCACTAGTTTTAGGCTCCACAATCGATTGCATGCAATTACTTGTTTACAAACACAAATGCAAATTGCTAAGGCGATGTCCTTACTTTGCAACACTGGAATGGGGCAATAACGTTACTGGACAATATCAGATAAGCCTGCTCCCTCAATACTTGAGCAGCGTTTGCGACGGAAATTCTATGGCACCTGATGAGAAAACAACAGGCACTGGGCCGTCGAGCCCCGGAGCGAAATCCTTGGACGCGAAGTATCCTGCGCATCACGTTGATAATCCTGGAGCTTTCGGTCCACGGTTTAAAAACCCTTGGGAAACGTATGAAGAGCGCTCCTTAACTCACGTGGGTGTCCGTCCGGTCGCCAAACCCTGCATTAAAGCACTCTACTGATGCATACGCGCTTGCTTCACTTACCTTGCAAATGTAAGCTTACGTGTGGCCTTAGGCCATAATTTTGTGGCTCGTCTTTCGGTCTTTGCCTTCTCCACGGCATACCTCACCTGCAAACACTAGAGGGGCCCATGCCTGCTCGCGGCTCCCGGACTACCTCCCCCGCATCGACCAGGTTTGGAGATGGCACAAGGAGAAGCACAAGTTGGGCCTCCCCATGGGACCCCACTTATTGGGCAATCGAAATCCAACTGAAGAGGACTTCCGGTGGGTGGCTGAGGAACTACGGGGGAAAAGAAAGGCTTCCATGTAGGCAGGAGAAGCCCAACTGCAGATGTTGTTCTGCGGTGCAGCTTGAGGAAATCGTGGCGCCGATAGTGCGTGACCTGCGGGGAAAAGGTGCACAGGACTCTTGTTAATGTGCCACACGGCGGGCGGGACGGCGCTCCTCAGTGAAGCACTGTCCAGCTGCGCACGGAAGGACCGTTGTGTGGGCCCCATTAAAGAACCTTCGGGTCAGCCTCTGCCACTTGGTCCAACTTGTGACGGCTGGGATTGCTCCCGAAGACCGCACACCGTGCATGTAGAAGAACTAGGCTACCTGGCCGCATACCTACCTACACGCGAGAGCGCTTTACCCCCGCCGCGCCACATGCAAAGGGACGCCCTCCGCTTGACCCACAGCCGCACTTTCCCGCTCTGCCCTGTGGACTGGGAGGCTCTGGCTACACCCCCGACGGACGGCGTGCAAGCCGTGTGGGTCGGACACGCCACCGTACTCGTACAAGTATGTTATGCGTGTCTCCGTCCAGGTGTCATTATGGACGACCCACATTTCTGCAAGATTGGTTTGGTTCATTCATCCAGGATACGAAAATGCCGCCCTACCATTACCCTGCGGTATTGTTTTGCTTGCGACGCAGCTTCTGGGCCGGGTACACATCCGCCTGCATGTTTATGTACGTGCGAATGCAACTGAGCTGCAATCCGTGTGTGTGTACGTGCTTATATGCGCGGCTGCAATTGTTATGGGCCACGAATGCTCGAATCCGGGGACTCGTTTGGCTTTTAGCTGTTGCTAGGTCTGTGCGGACCTGCATGCCACTCATTGCCCTTCCCTTTCTCGTTCACAGTCAGCCCTCCCGACTTTGCATTTCGCGTACAAGTCCCCCCCTGCTTCGAAGCCCGTACCGTCATCTGGGCTTGGCCGCGTCCTGTCTGAGAGGAGGAAGGTTTACGGCCCTCTTGCCCCTGCCCTGCCCTGCTGGTATTATCTTCTGTCACAGATGGCGGGCTTGACGTTCATCACGGACCCGGTGTTCAGCGAGCGATGTGCCCCGGTACAGGTGCGGAAGCGGTCGTCGATGTCGGTTGCATTGGCAGGTCGGAATCGAGCAGCTGCCTTGATGAGGGCCTCTTAGCTCCCTAGGCTGACTTTCCTCCTAGTAGGGGCACCGCATCCGCCGGCCCTACTGTTGTGAAACGTGGGTGCTGCCAACCGACGTCATGTCCCTGTGAAGACAAAGCAACACACCGTTGTGGGCGCCTGGAGGTCACCCTTTCCTTCACGACGGCTTCCTTACTCTGGACACCTGGCCGTCATCAGCGACCTTGACAACCTGTGAGATCCTCCCCTTACCGTCGCCCTCGCCCTTGCTTCCCCCCATCAACACGGTTCGTCATCCAACGCCGTCGGGCCGCAGTTCGCCGGTCCCAAGCGGGTGGTTCCCCCCGCGCTGACGTGTACGGAGCCGCAGATGCCGCCCTTGGACTTCGTACTGCTGTCCCATAATCACTACGATCATCTGGACACCGACTCCGTGCGAACGCTACACCGCACACACGGCAAGGTACGGCGAGGCCAGGTGCTGAGATAGGAAACACGCACCTGAAGGGCGGGACAGCTATCTGTGATCACAGTTACTGCATTCTGGAGGGGATTGTTGGCAAGGTCTGCGGTTACCACTACAGTTACGATAGTGCGCGGCACGCTGCAGCTTGGGTTTGGTGATGGCCTTGTAGACGTGTCGACGTGTCCGATGTCAGTTTGTCGGCGGGTCGGAGGTGAAGTTAAGCACCAGCGGCAGCAGTAGCGGGTGGGGATGCGGGATGCCGGCTCATCCAGCGCCTGCATGACGCCTAGTTTCGGCTCGATTCGTTGACAGTGTCCAGCGGCTCATTATTATTTTCCAAGGGCATCCCGATCTGAACCACGTCATAGCGGAAACGCTAACCCAGAGCAACCCCATTCCAGCGCGAGCCAGCTTAGGATGGCTTAGGATACCAGCCAGACCACGTGCTCGCGGCCCACCTGGCTCCCATGCTTCCTTTGCTAGGCTCTGACCTGGTACGTGCCTCTGGGCCTGCGGTCCTGGTTCGCCTGCGAGGGGATGCGTGACAACGTGGTGGAGATGGACTGGTGGCAGAGCGTCGTACACACGAACGCCACCAGCGGCAGGAGGTACGGCAGAACATGCATGTACGACTCGTTTGCATTACTGATCGTGTCTGGAGCAGAGGTCCCTGAATAACTGTCACGGGTACTGGTGCCAGGGTCGAATAACTGTATGGAAATGTTTTTGGTAAAAGCCGAGAACCTCTCAAAGCTAGTGTTTACCTCCTTGTAAAATGGAAGGTTTGGTAACCTAATGATGAAGTTTATAGCTTCAAAACTGCGCAAACCTGCCTTTTGGGGGGAATTTCTGCACCCTGCCGTACGGCTGCCGTACCAGCGATGAAGAATAGAGTTGAATTTCTGCAACGGGTACAACGGAAGGACCCGTGGTACCAGCGGCGCTTGCCGACCCCTGGTCTGGAGCACGTGTGCGAACGCGCAGGACGCCGCCGCTGCCACCGCGGTTTGCACTTTTCAGGGCCGCACGGCACTTGGCTTCTGGCTGTGGCATAACTGGTGACGGATGCTTCCCTCCCTCCCACCCTTCCCCTCTCCCACCCTCCCTCTCCCCCACCTGCTGCCTGACTGCCACTCTGGGGAGCAGTGTGACCGTTACGATGGTGCCGTCGCAGCATTGGAGTGCGAGAGGTGGGACTAGGGGGTAGGAACGGGGAAAGAAGCACCGGGGGGAACAAGGGGACGTGGGTTCGGACGAGGCACATGCGCCGCACTGACGCCCTGCACGTCATGCGCCTCTCCGATGTCGACCATCAGATTGCTGGCGATTGCTGGCCCGGTGCATTGGGCCCTCCCCTTCCTGACACCCACACCATTGACATGCCACTATCCCGCAGGCGTACTCGACAGATTCCGCAGCCTGTGGGGGGGATACGTAGTGACCGCCCAACCGCCGCAGACCCCGGGCCAGCCCGCAAATGCTGACGCAGTCACTTTTAGCGGCGGCGGCAGCGGCGGCGGCAGCGGCGGCGGCAGCCAGGTGCCCGTTGCAGCAACCGCGGCTACTGCTGATATGGCAACTGCGGCGCTACGCTTTTACTTCGCGGGTGACACCGGGTACTGTCCAGTGTTCAAGGAGATTGGGGAGCGGCTGGGGCCCATCGACCTGGCCGCGATACCGATTGGTGCCTACGATCCCCGGTGAGTGCGTGTGTGTGTATGTGTGTGCGTGCGTGTGTGCGTATGTTTGTGCGTGTGTGTGTGTTGTCTGTGTGTGTGTGTGTGTGCGCGTGTGTGTGTTGTCTGTGGGTATTTGGGGAGGGGATGTGATATGGAGGTAGGCAGGGGAAGGATGCGGGCGGCCACGAAGTGCATTCGAGGGGAACAACAGCATGGGGGAAGCAGGCGAGGGCAGTACTGCGACTGCCAGGTCCATTTTTACGCCATTGGTCCCATTCGGGGTCGCGTCTTGATGTGGTTAGTTCTCTGTGTTCCTATTCCCCGTGGGGGCCCCTCACTTCTATTTTGTGTTTTGCCTCTCGACACATTCACCGCAGCCATGTAACATGTAATCCCGGCACGTTTATGCTCAAAATATGTCGGTAAGGGCCATTTAAGCTGCTTGAGCCCGGGGTGTCGCCGCTCGGCCACCACTGCTCCCTGCTCTGCCGCATGCTCCCTCAGGTGGTTTATGCGCCCTCAGCACACAAACCCCGAGGAAGGTTTGCAGATTGCGATGGATGTGCGGGCGGCCGTCAGCATTGGCATCCACACCGCCACTTGGAGCCTCACAGACGAACCGCTGGACGAGCCCCCTACAAGGTCGGTACGACACCACGTCATGCGGTGACCACAGCACAACACACGCCGGCTATCCTCCTGGCCGCTGTCCACTCAGCGGACAGCAGTGCATCATCAAACCATCGCTTCATCCCCTACGTTAGTTCGCGTCCCGGACCCATTCCCCTTCGCAGGCTTGAGGCTGCGGTGCGGGAGCGCGGCCTTCCCGCCTCGTCATTTGTGACGTTGCGACACGGAGGAAAGGCCGTGGTGCGGAGCGGCCGCCTGCAGAACCTGCCCGGGACCCTGCCGGTGAAGATATAGCCTAAAATCGGGCCGATAGGGTTCTGCGCGCGCTGACACAGAAGACACGGGGAGCAGCAGAGCTCCGCTTGAGGTTTGGAGCAGAGCTTTTTATTATTGTGATATGTTACACACTTGTTGGGACGCGGAGCAGAGCTGACAGCAATGAGAGTGGTGCCAGGTGGTACTAAAAGGAGAAGGCAACGCAGGTGTTTGCGGCTCAGGATGGCGATAGCAAGGGCCGTTTGGCGGCCGTTGGTGGCGGATGTGAGGAGAGGATTAAGAGGTGTTAAAGGGGAGGGAGAAATTTGTGCTGTGCGCGGGTGCGTTACTATAGGCGTTGCGACTGAGGCTGTTGGGTGCCGTGATGTGTATTATGGGTGATGCGATTATTCAACACTAGAACATGGGCCGCGAATGTGCCCTCGGGCCATCGCCGCAATATATAATATTGGGACGGTGGGGGAAGACTGAATGTACCCGCCATGAGTAGAGCCGTATTATCATGCCATACGGTGAGCCACGATAATTGGGACAACAGCGCTGCGAGTCATGGTGATCTCTGCTGACTTGCTGTCGGGTGTGACACCGGATGAACGTGTTGCCGTTAAGAGGGGCGTATGGTGATCACGGATTCGTATGATCCTGACTGCCTCTGGGTGTCGTGGGTGTCTACGAAGCTCTGTACGATCCTGTGGGGCTCGCAGAGCTACTAGGTACCAACCCGTTGGCTCTTAGGTTGCCATGGAGGTCATTTGTTACCCTTCCTGACATTCCGACTTCCTTCCCTCTACCCTAGGGCAGGGACCCATCGCGACCGGATCTTTTTTTCAACTTCCTCCTGAAAGCATCACGTAGCGCCGTACCTCTGGGCTGCCTTGTACAAATACGTAGGCAAACTGGCTCGGAGTGACTCCGAGGGTTGGTGTTCCGAGATATGGAGTTGTAATAGCTGGGAAGGCAAGCCTCGCCAGTCGAGCGTCCATGGGAAGTAGCCTGGGATGGCCGGAAGGCGATGCCGGCGGGGGAAGGCAAGCGGACCTAGGGGGACTTTATCCAAAACCAGCCGCCGACATCTATGGCTCCACTCAACGTCTCTTCCTGAATGCATCTGGGTGTGACCACCATGCCCAACCTTAGGTTGTCTAAAAGTGCATTTACAATTGAAGCCAGCAACTGTTTGGACAAGAGCCGCAGCAAAAGGTAAGCATTCCATCTAACGTGCTGTACGGCTGTATCATACAGCCTGTATGTGTGTACTATGTGTGCATGTGTATTAGATACACCTTGCTGGCAAAGGAGCAAGACTCATGCGAACCTGATGGGGCTTAACAGTTAAATAACCAGCCCCCAACAAAGAAACGCAACTAGAGAAGATCGCTCCTTCGAGGGCAAGTAGTCCTGATGCCTCGCGGCAGTCTTCCTTCGCCGTGCGTTGCAAAAGAATCATCCTCGACGGCTCTTTAGTCACAGCGCCAACAGTGTCTAGTTGTCCATGAGGTACATCATCGTCCCGTTACGGCCAACAACAAAAACCGAAAAGCATGATGGGGGGGCCTCAACAAGTTAGTGTAAGTGCGCCAGGAAGCTTGTGCCAGCTGCTTCGTCGAACGGCAAAAGGCCCAATCATTGCTGAATTTGACCGTCATCATTTTTCCAAGCTTGCTCCCCTCCCAATCTGGGAGTTTTGAGTTGGACTGACGTCACGAATCTTGTGCGCGCACCCACCCTCACACGAACCGGGGCCTCAAAGGGGCTGTGCTCCTTCAAGCAGAAGCTTCATGCAATCGTGTCAGGCACTTTCCTCCCTAAGACGATAACGACTATGAAGTTAGAAACCGAAACCTTCGCGGCCGTCAGCGACAGCCCTTCATGCGGTCAGCTCGAAAGGTTTTGTACCCGCACCCAGTGTGCTTGTACCCGCACCCAGTGTGCGCTTATGCTTAAGTTCACAGGCCATCGCACAACATATGTCCGCAAGCGTAACTCAAGTTTAGCACCTCCTTTAAGGAGCCAGTATTCTCATTCATGATGTCAATATAACGTGGCATGGACTGCAAACGTTCTGGCGCACTCAGCATCCGGCTGCGGATGGATCACGTAGAGAAACAAATGTGAAGTACCCATAACATTTATACATACATACATGCATACAGATACATGCATGCATACATACATGCATACATACATGCATACATACACACATACATTTGTACCGGCATCCAAGATTTGCCGTTGGTTGGCAGGGGATGTGCCAAATTTGGGCACCGCACCTTGCCGAGGCATTGCCGGTGCCGGTCTTGTGGCCTTCGTAAGTGGATCCCGGAACCTTGCGCTGTACGGTGTTGTGCTGTGTGATGTGCGAAATCTACAGTGCATATCTCCCCTCGTGGCGTCAGCTCAATGAATCAGCTCCCAAGTTCGTGCACAGGGTAATTGAGGGGCCAGCTCAAACCTCTCAGGAACGAACAAACAAAAGCTAGAGCCCCACGAAATTGCAATGAAACCCTACAATGTAGTTAATGGGCAACAAGATACGCGCGTCGCCCAGTCGTAGCAGTGTTGATCGTGACAAGGCAAGTGGGCGCTGAAAAGGCCCCTTAAGATGCTGGCGGAGCGCCCTAACGCGTATTTGTAGACGACATGTGTGCCATATTTTACTGCAGCGGGTGAGGGCGAATATGAATGTGCGTAATTTCTAACGCCCCGGGCATGCGCCTCAGGGCAGCACGAATGGCCTACAATGCCGTACACAGTGACCGTATTTCCAGCTATCCCATTGCATCTGCTATTGATGCCTTCTGTTGTCCTTAATTTAATACCATACCGCACATCAAATGATCTCCGTCAGACGCCGATCACGCTCCACTTCATTCCCTTCCGGGGGTATCTCACCCAGAGACCAGCTGGAACTTGCACGCGGGAAGACGACGCACGAAGGTGTGCGGGTTTGCGATTGCGCTCAGAGCAGCTGCTGCCTGCCCCAGCAGGGCCCCTTGCATCCCACGATTTCCGACTGGTCGGCACTACTAGTTGCTCTAGTCAACCGGCATTCACCGCATTCGCTTCTTTCCCCGCGGGAACACGAGAAGCAGCAACAGTAAATTGCAACGTATAGACCGTGCAGCCACAGCCACATGTGGACGTGCACCTGTGCCGGTACCCGCACCCGCACCCGCACACACGGACGCCAAGTGCCCATCAGCAATATCACCAACATTTCCATGCCCACATAGAACCGGTACACCCATTGAACCAAGCAATCGTCCACCAGGTGACCCTGCGCTGCACCAATCCGCCTTGTGCGGCCGCAGCACCGAAAAGCCTGCTGAACATCCCTGGTTGGCTGGTTGGCTGGCGGCGCCAGGGAGAGTACTGGAACGTAGCAAAAGCAGCAGCCACGGCGCCGGCGCGAAGGGCGCCACCAGCGCACCACATCAACACAACCTCAGCCACGTGTTAGCTGGCCATGACACGAGCTCCCCGCACCGCACACATCGTCACATTCAATCGCCATCACAACAACAGCTGCGCTTTTCATAGAAGTAATGTCATCCGGGCAGCATGCGCCAGGCGGAACACCTAATGAATCTCCCTCCCTCTCTCCCAACCTCCCCTTTCCCCCCGTCCGTGCCCTCACTCACTCCGGTTCCAGTTCCGTCAATCCGTCGGTACTCCGTCGTCCCCAAAGTCCCACACGTCTCCAGTGCATGAATGCCCAACCTCGTCTGCCTCATCTTACTCCATCCAGCCGTGGACAGACCCCGCTTGAACACGGTGCCTCAACCCCCAGCTGGCTCTGGCGGCCCCGCCCCGCAAACCCTCAATAGCAATAAAGGCAACACGCAACGTCAACAGCTGCCAAAGGAACCACGCGGCCGCCGCCTGCCCGGCGACACCAAACAGCACCCTGATGAAGTCAAATACTTCTCTCTTCGTAGCTAATCAAATACGTTTCATATCATCCAAATATTATCCGCACTGCGAGCATGGTGAGGCAAGGATGTAAAATTGTTTCCTTCGATTCGCGACACAATTCCCATGAAATCCCATAAACACCTGCCCCTCCAGGCGCACTGACGCAGTGCCCTGCACTGTATGACATGGGACCTAAAATCATTCTTCACGAGTGACTGAGAAGACATGTACTGCAGCGGTCAGCAGCATCAGCCCTGGTCCTTCCCTGGCAATCCGAGGCATCCGGCAAGAGCGCGGCCGGCAGAGTGGCACAATCACACCCTACGCTAGGGAAGCGGAGCCCCATGGTCATGGGGCCCTCCGCCTCATGGACACGGGCATCAGAGCGACCCGAACGGCCCAACGGCGCGGGGCGCCTTCTCACGCGCAGCGGCAGCATCAGCGGCAAAGATTACGCAGCTCCGTCCGGCCTCACGGCCCCCAACCGCACGGCCCTTCCTTGCCGAGATATTTGCCGCCGTCGTGTTCCTTGATCAGCGTCCAAGAGTGATGCGAACAAAAATGAATGATCATAAGCGAGATGGGAAGTGAAGATGGATGTAGAGACATGTTACTGTCATTACCTGGTGTTGGTACTGGGAACCACACGACCATCGCGAGCTGGTCCCGTCCGTACATCCGTACGTCCCAGGTGCATCAGCTTAACTGGGGCCCTTCTTATTGTGAGTGACCATGTGGGTTCCCCACGGGGTCAGCCTAGGGCTCCACAGGCGCGCATGTGTGCATGCGGCCCCAACGACAGTGACAGTGACAAAGGAAAGCGGGAGAAAACCCAAATAGGCCGCTGCTTATTCGTCCCGACATCCCGAGGGGGATGTCCCCGGCACACGACGGCGCATGTCTGCTCCTGTGCTGTGCCCGCCCCTGCCGGGTTGCATGCACAATAATTCTGTGCCATGTGGGGGCCCTGTAACAGCCGCCAGAAGTTCCGCACCGGACGGAAGCTAAGGTGGACCCGCCGGCTGGGAGAGGTGAGCGGTGGCAGCTGCGCATTAACGCATGGCAACCGAGAGCTGTGCTGCACGGATTGGGCAGCAGAAGAAGTGACACAGCACAGCACACTACACACATGATGGCACGCAAGTACGCACAACCCTTCACGGTTCAACTAAAAAACCCTAAAACCCTAAGGCCCCAATACGGAATAGGAACAACAGGCCACGATGGGCAGCAGGTACAGCGCGAGGGGGTCTGGGCGCGCAACATGCCAGCGAGCTCGCCCGCACTTGATGCGTGGGCAGCAGCCCCAAGCGGACTGAGCCCCCTTGCAGTAAGTCAGTACGTACCCATTCCTTCGTCACTTCAGCTGCCTCTACTGGGGCCGTTGCTGAAAGCGGCTGAATCTGCTGCAGCGGTGCTGCTGAGCTGATGAGGCGGCTTGTCGTATGGTTGCCGTTGCAGCGCTGGCTACGACTTCGAATGCAGCTGTTGTTGGGGTTGTTGGGGTTGGGGTTGCTGCTGCTGCTGCGGGGCCATCTTGCTTTTGCTGCCGCCAGAGCGCTTGGACTCAATAGCCTGCTCCAGGTGCCGTACGAGTTCATCCGCAGTGGGCCTTGCGGACGGCTCATGGGCCCAACACGCCTCCGCCAGTGACCTGTAGCGCCCGTCAACCAATGGGGGGGTCGGGACGGGCAGGTACGGCAGATAGAGCAGGAAGCGGCTCTCGGGAGACTAAGAGTTCGATCATTCGCAATTCGTCGAAGAATCGGCAGTCGCACTAAAGGTGATGATAGTGGCGGCAGTAGCGGCAGTGCAATTCAGGCGGTCTGGGTAGGCCCAAGGCAAGACCAAGCCTGCACTACTCCCCCATTGCACCGCCCGCACACCCACCTGTAGCTGTACGGCACCCAGGAGGGCATCTTGGGTCGCATGAAGCGGTGGGCCACGGCATTTGCGATGACGGATGCAGACTTCACCTTGTCGTACACTTTGACGCCGCACAGTAGCTGCGATATCAGTACACGTCAGATCATGTCAGGCCAGGCCAGCTCAGGAAGGACCTCCATTGAAATGAGGGCTTGCGGGGAACCCGGGGGTTTTCCGCCTGGATGTCCTCGCAGGGTTGTACGGAATATTTAAACTGCCCTAGTCCCTAGGGTTGCTGTCTCCAGGTGTGAACCTCTGTTGCACCGGCCCGTTGCAGCGCCATGGTATATATCCATCATTTGCCCCACAAACCGATATCTCCCATAACTCCAGGCACGGATAAGTCGGCACGGCGTGCTTGCCCTTTGCTGTCCCCCACTCCATCCCTTCCCCCCAGTTCCGCCGTGAATGAACTAGTGGTGTGGTGTGACCCCATCTGCGCAAACCACGTTTAGGCTGGGGTTGGGGCGGGTCGCCCATCAGGCGCGAGCCAGCGGCGGAAGGTCACCGGGACACAAAGCGCAGCGCAGCTGTGCAAGTTAGCGAGCAGCGGCTCCCCCTCCCCTTTCTCCAGCTCGGCTTGGAAATGAGATCTGCGGCGTTGGAATCCGCCCAGGACGCCCCCATGTTCCGCCGGCAGCCACCGCAACTGACCGAGGATGGATACTCAAAACGGGATAGAGATGGGAACCAGTACGGCACCCCTGTCTGCCCCCCCCACGTGGTCGTCCACCGCTACCATATTCCTACATTATACGCACTGTCCGCCTCACCTGGTACATGAGGATGCCGAAGGCTGATGAAGGGCGACGGGGAAGTGGACGCACGAGCAGTAGGTGACCAGCGGGCAGGGGCCACGGAGAGAGGGAGGGAAGGAAGCCGGGTGAAATAAACAAGATGCAAGCGAATGAAGAGGGAGGGGATGTGCGCCTTGTCAGTGGTAACGTTCAGGGCCGGAGGCGGCCGGACCGCAGTGGCATGGGCCGCGGAACCCCGGGGGGCCGAGGCGGGTTCCCGGGCGGGAAGCATCTAGCCAGGTAGCACGTGGACACAGCTGTGTAGGCCGCCGGGGGGAGGAGCAGGAGGGGGGGGGGCAGGAGGACAGGGTTAGGGACATGCACGGAGCCACCGGTCCTACCGCTACTTGGACTGCGCCCACCCCTTCCGCTGCCAGCCCCTATGGAGAGGGCCTTGCGCAGGTGCGTTGCTCACCCTCACAAGCGGCGGGCGCCGTCGGCCGCAGCCCCACATCACTCCACTCCCCACCCCGCCACACCTCCACCCCTTACCAGCACCTACCGTAGATGTCCACCGCCGCACCAAGTGACCTTTGACCTGCACATACCGGTGCCCAACGCACGGCGACACGAGGTGAAACACATGGCGGGATGACTTAGGGTTGCATGGCCGTTGCTTGGCACGCGAAACACAGCAGCAGTACAAGGAGTGCATGAGTCTGTCGGAAGACAGGCACAGCCGCACGACCGGCAGGGAGCAGCCGCAGGCGGGCTGCAGCTCCTCTCTCTCTCCCCCCCAGGACTGCGACACTGTCAGGGGACCACCCGAACGTGATGAGCTACACGACACGGCACGACAAAGCCCTCGGTCGCCAAACAAGCAAACAGACAGACAGACAGACTGGCAGACAGATAGACAGACAAATAGACAGACAGACGTGTATACGCATCGGATGCACCCTTTGCTCCAACTGCTCCCAGGAACCCGAAGGTCCCTTTCCCCACCCCCTTTTTTCGGGAAACAAGGGCCCAACCTCCGCCCCGCAGTCGCTCACCCAGCAACACCTCGGGGGCCACGTGGGTGATGGTTCTGCAGGTTTTGTGGAGCGGTCGTACAGGGATAACGTACGGCAAGACAAGCGTCATAAGGCGGAACTCGGTCATACACGGCAGGGGACACGCAAAGGCATCTGTGCCTCGCCCTCGCCTGAAGCTTCAAAGCCACCCCAACTCCCCTGCCCATTTCCCCCATCCCGCGTTGCCCTTACCCGCTTGCCACCGCCTCGTCAATGACCAGCTGCCCCTCGTCGTCGTGCGCCATCATCTTGGCCAGCCCGAAGTCCGACAGCTTGGCCGTGAAGCCCCTCGGGTCCCTCGGCGAGCTCTTGAGCAGCACGTTCTGGGGCTTGAGGTCGCAGTGCACCAGCGCCAGTGAGTGCATGTGGCGCAGGGCCAGAGCGATCTCGAGGAGGGTCAGGTACACGGACTGCAAGGGTGGGGTGGGAAGGAGGGTGGCGATGAGGGCTAAGATGATCAAACCCTGGCTGACATGTGGAGTGATAAAGCAACCCCCCTCCCCTCCCTGTCAACTCCTGTTCCCCCGTCAGCCCCTTCCGCTCCCTCTCACCCGCATGTTGATAGCCAGGTAGGTCTTGGCGGGTGCGGAGGAGGCGGGGGAGGAGGAGGAGGGGGAGGAGGAGAAAGCGGAGGAGGTGGAGGGGCCGGACTGAGGAGTGGCTCCACTTCCTCCTGCAACACCGCCCGTTTGCGGCGGCTTCTCTGCAGGGCGTGGCAGGACAGGGCAGGGCAGGGCGGCAGGATTGCAGAAGGGTCGTGACGGAACAGCACAGTATAGTACAGTACAGAAAAGAATATTACAGTAGAGCACAATGCCGTAATGTAATGTAGTGCGATACAGTACGGTCAGTGCAGAAAGGCGGGTTTATCAGGTATGCAGCTGCGGGCAATCCTAGTCCTGGTCCTGGTCCTGGTCCTGCTGCTGTGCGGCACATCCCCGTTGGTACGAACACAAACGGGGATGGCCCCACCCCGGCGTCGGAATGTGTGGCCATCTGCCAGCTTTGCACTCCCGGCCATCTTGCCCGCTTGTCCGTCCGTGCCCCCCTCTCCCCTTTCTCGTCCAGTCAGCCGTACTTCCGTACTCTTCTCACTCACTTGGTTTGTTGGACAAATGTAGTTAAGTTTGGCGATAACATAATTGTTGGGAAGAACTAAAGGGTTACAATTATGAACCTTACAGCGCTCGCTGTGACTTTGTAGTTTAATAAAGTTTAACTAAATTAAACTCCATTTTCGATGAGGAGCGTAGTCTAACTCACTTGGTGTGACCCTCTCAATGAATTTGCGGTTCAAGATCGCATCGCACAAGCTGCCGCAGTCGCCTGGAGGGGGAAAAAAGCGGGGAGGAGGGAGGGGGCCGGAGGGGAGGAGAGGGAAAAGGGGGAAAGACGAACCACACACGAGTGAAGCTGCTGCCAGGGCAAGAGTGTACCAAACGTAAAACTGACCGAAAGGCGTCCGTGAAGACCGCGACCTCGTGATGACGAAGTGAAGATATGTCGGAAGAACTACCTACCTAAGCCGCCAGGACTAATCAAGAAAAAGTAGTATTGCCAAGCCGTAAAGAAGTAGGTGTAGAAAAGTAGTTGTGAAGGCGACGGAGAAGTAGTGAAGCAGTGCTGTCGTAAAGCTGGCATAAAGTTAGCTGCTGGCCTGGAGAACTAGCTGATGAGCTGGTACTGAAAAGCTGTCGATATGCAAGTGCTCCTCCCAAACCCCCAAAAAAACTGAAACGCGCGACCGACCCGACCAACCCGGCTATCCTAGTCTAGGGAAAAGGGGGAGCGGACAGGGGTCGATCCAAACCGCACAGCCACACGCGCAGGCCCAACCTGCACCACGCACGCGAAACCCCCAGCCGTCAGCCTGCCAGGCCGCTGCCTTTGCTTAGCCCCACCTCAACCCCGTTCACTCCGCTGCCTTCGTCTCCCTCCCATTTTCATCAACTCTCCCCCAAACCAGCACACCCGCCCAGCCCCAACCCCGCCACGCAGCGCCTCAGAGCTCCAACTTACAATACTCGAGCACGAGCGCCATGGCTCCCTCGCCTTTAGACCCACAGAGACGGGGGGGAGAGGAGGGGAGGGGGCACGGGAGGACAACGGTATGGTTAAGAAATCCGGACGCCCGGCCAGCCACTCCAAAGCAGTATCCAGCCGGCATATGATCGGTGTTGTGACCCCTGCCCCTGCCCCTGCCCCTGCCCGTACTCACCGTACAGTTCCTGTCCTGCCTTGGGAGATTCCATGAGGGAGGGCGAGTGGCGCAATCGGAAGGGTCGGGACTCGGACGGGGCGTCCACAGAGTCACGAGACATGTCGTCAGGCTTCTCAAGCCTTTGGAGTCAGCCAGCGGTTAGGGGCAGTGAGGGGGCAGGTGGGGGTAGCTGGTGGTTAGACAGGCAAATAGACAGACAAGCATTTAGAGAGGACAAGATCGCTCCAGCCACCTCGCAGCCTTCTTTCCGCCCCGCCGCATCAGCCCATCACCTCGTGCGCTGTACCTTCGCGCAAACCCCCCCTTGGGATGCCTTCATGGCCCCTTAAGTCGTGTGGTCCCCTTCCCCCGTCCCTCTCTGCCCCTCCCTCTCTCCCTCACCTGACATCCATAAAGTAGGCGGGAACCTGCCATCACCGCCGCCGCCGCCGCCAACAACAACAACAGCAGCGGCCGCGCCACCGCCCAAACAGCCCCGGAGCAGCACCATGACGATCACCAACGGGCAATAGTAACAACCGCGGCATGACATGGGTATCGCATGTGTGGGTACCGTTAAAGGTCTGAACCGCGATAAGGGAAATGCCGATGGTTACGATGTGTGTGTGTGTGTGGTGGGTGGTGGGTGTGTGTGTGGTGGGTGGTGTGTGTGTGCGTGTGTGTGTGGGGGGGTTGAGTTCAGCCTTACTGAGGTTGCATTGGACAGTTCGGGCTTAGTTGGGTTCGGGACTCGGATTGGGAAACCAGCCGGTTGTAAGCAAGGCGTACGGCGGTCAACGTACGCCTTCGTCCCTCTCTTTGAAATCTCCAACTGAGCTCCCTTCTTTCTCCTTTGACCCAATCCCCACGCGCAGTTCCCCTTTCCCCTTGCTTCCCTTGCTCTCATTTTTTTCCGCCTCCCCTGCCGCTCTTCCCCCTCCCCGCCCTCCTTTTGTCGCTATCAACCCTTTCACCTGCACAATGTTGATGTGGCTCATCGACACTGACGCCACGAGCTCAATTGCGTCGTGCAGGTTTTGTTTGTGCAGCCCCAGTCCGTGGCTTGATGCGAGCAGGTTGGAGGAGCTCTGTACGCCGGCCAGTCGGGACTGCTTGATGATCTTCACGGCGACCTCGGTGCCGTGGAAAGTGCCCCTGAACGGGGTGACACGAAGCACGTGGTGGCCACAGGCGGGGTCAACTGGAGAGAGATCAGACACCGGGGACACCGGGGAGCTGACGGACGGAGGAGCTAGCAGCAGCGGCAGCACAGCAATCCAAAGCCCCTGGATAGGGCCCCCCCCTTGCTTACCGCAACACGCTCCCGCGGCGTCATCTGCATCGGGTCCCCCCCCTTCACTAATCACCCCCCCGACCCCACCCCGGCCCTCTGCCCGCATCCGCGCACCTGTACACTGTGCCGTACCCTGGTAGGCCCGTACCAAATTGCATGTGCGTGTGAGGACGAAGGGGGGTCCGCGTGGGGAGGCGGAGCAGCGCGCGGTAATCGTGTTATGTGGTCAGAATCAGTTCAGGTGAGACATCGGGGTCAGGGCCATGCAGAGCCGGGGCCCGGTAACAGTAACGGCAGGTGGCGGTACGGCAGCAGGTCCGGACACGAACACACCAACCTGACTGGGACATCGACACGGTCCGGGGGGACTCCGGTCGAATACCCACTTCCCACGCTACCCGAGGTCGCCATATCGCCACACAGGCAGCAACTACCACCACAACAACCGCAGGGCTTAAGTGAGGGAAGCGAGGTTTACGTGTACAGCACATGCACAGGGCAGCAGCCGAGGCAGAAAAGCAGGGTGGCCGGCGCCCTTCTCGTCCTCCTCCTCCTCCTCCTCCGCTTCCACCGCGCACTAATTGGGAACAGTGCTATACACGGGCACAGCCTGTCCTGACGCTGGCTCCACAGCTATAAACCACAGCTGCAGCTACAGCCACAGCTACAGCCACAGCTACGGCCGCTGGGAATCAGTTAGTATTATGTTTCAACTGCAGCCCCGCCCCACCCCGTCCCGCTCTGTAATCCCCATTACCCGCTCCTTCTCACCTCCCTGTCCAATCTCCTGCAGCAACTTGATGCTCCGCAGATCCTGCTGCCGAGCCTCTGAGCGCCCCGATATGGTCATCTGCACCGCCTGAGCCGCTCGCAGCCGGTCGTGCATGGAGGCGATGATGGGGGCGAGTTTGGAGGCGCCTGGAGGGGCGGGCGGGGCGGGGAGGGAGGCACGTGCAAAAGTGAAGGAGAAAGGAGATGGAGGTCAAAGGGGAAACAGGTGGAGGGGGAATCCGGATAGTGAGGCGCCGCGGGAGAGTCTCAAGCCCACTTTGGATGGATGACAACCTCCCCGGGGCTGCCTATATACACGGTGGCAAGCTTGTCTCAAGGGGCCAACGCGGCCTTCGCAACTCTCCACCTATTCTCCCAGCCAGTATGCCTCCTATCCTTCCTCGTCCCGTTCCCCTCTCCCCCATGTCAAGACGCCCTTTCGTCTTACCCTCCCTTCCTCTCCTCACCCCTCCCCGAACCTCCTCCCTTCCCACTGGACCCCGTGTGTGAGTTTTATTGATCCGTGTGTGTTTTCACGATCTGTGTGTGCGTGTGTGTGTGTGTGTGTGTCACATATCTTGATCTTGATTACCTCGCGGCACCTGGGCCGCCTCCAAGTGGAAGGAAACACTGCGTGTGGCCAGACCAGGAAGCAGTCGCCGGGTTTGGGCCGCATCGCTCTCCGACGCCGACTGGGACCGGCCGCTGCTCTCAGCTGTCAAGCCTGCTGCCAAGGCCAACCGGCTAAGATGCGCCGCGGAGCCGCGCCGCGCCGGATAGTCCAGGTCAATATCACCCTCGAGCGGCTCCCGAGTGGCTGCCGCACCAGCAGCCGCTGCGCCTGCCGCCGCCGCCGCCGCAACCGTGTCGCCCTCCGTCGCCGCCCCGTTGGATGGCAACGTTGGTCTCTGGCTGCCGCCGCCGGTGAAGTGCGCCAAGGTGAGCAGCGCCAACGGTGCCGGCGGCGACGACGGTCCCGACGGCGGTCGTACGACGTGCGCTTGGCCGCCACTGGGACGCGGCGGCTGGGCCTGCGCTGCAGCCGTTGGCGTAGGCGGGGCACAGGACGGTGAGGCCCGGTCCCCGCCACCGCCACCGCCACCGCCGCCGCCTGCTCTGAAGCTGGGTGTCAGGGACGGCAGCGCCGGCGGCACAGCGTCACCTGGCAGAATGAACGACAAGGCGCGCTGCTCCTCGGGACCTCCGCCGTCGTACGGCTCGTCGAGGGGGTCACCGGAGGGTGTAGTGGCGGTGGCGGAGGCCTGGGCAGCGGAGGGTTTGCCTCGTCGCTGTGTAGCGTCCTGGGGTGTTGAGGACGCCGCGGGGCAGCGGGGCAGCGGGGGGCGTCAGGCCCCGGCAGCTGTGGCCCCGGCTCCGTGTGCGTATCCTCGTCCCAAGCCCTAGTGAGGGCCCGGGGCAGCGGCGCCCGCACAACCCTGGCCTCCATCCCTTAGCTTCTCTCCCGTTACAGCCCCTCCGTACCCCACACCACCACCCGCCCACCTGCAACTGGGAAACCAGGTAGTGGTACTCCGGTCGTACAATGCCATTGAACTTGGAGGTTATCACGGGCAGGATGGCCTGGTGTGGTGGGGAGGTTGGCGGAGAGGGGGAGAGAAAGGAGGGGAGAGGTTGGGTTTTGCGGGTAACGCTGAAATGAAGAGGATGGACGCTCAACAGGCACGCGGACGCCATGCTCCAGTGCGCAGCGGTGGCTACCGGTGCACAAGCCGATAGATGAACACGCACAAACACGTCGTGGGCACACCGCCGCCTCCTTCAACGGGGCCCAAAGCCCTCTCTTTGGCGGCAGGGCCGGGTATCGCTGGACACATGCGACGCAACGCTGTGCTACTTGCGCTCCGGGTCCCCAACCGGAGGGGAGACCTCCCACTGCGTTTTTGCTTGCCCTAACGAACCTGAGCAACACGGGCGCCCTGTGTTCTTGTGTACCTCACTCCCGCCCCCACCCCCCCCACCACCCAAGCCCTTCCTCTTCAAAGCACCTGCAGCAGCTGTTGCAGCTCCTGCACTACCGCCTGAAGCAGTGGTCTGGGTAGGCTGGTGCCGTACGTGACGTACAGCGCCATTCTGGGTCTGCTCTCCCCGCTGATGGTGGCCAGGGCCAGGGACAGGGGCATGACTGCGCCCCGGGAGAGGACCAGGTCGCGAGGGTAGGCCTTCATGCTCTGAGAGGCGGGGGGAAGGCGGGGGCCAGGGAGGGGGATCCGGTAATCTCGCGGCGGAGGGTCATACACACACACACACACGCACACAGCCCCCTCCCCTTTTCTTTCCACGGCAGCTCACCACCGTGTACGTCTGGCAGTCGTCAATACACAGACCAGCCACCTGCTTGGACAGGGCCTCATCCAGGAGGGTGCGATGCAGCAGCAGGGTGTGCCCCTTGCAGGGAGGGCCCTGATGAGGGGTTAGGGAAGGGAGGGGGGAGGACGGGGTTACGAAGGGAAGCTGCACGTGACACACACACACACACACACACACACACACACACACACACACACATTACAACAAACGTCTCGTTGGCTAAGCACACTCATCCTCATCCTCATCCTTACCTTTGGAAACGATAATGTGAAGGAGGCATTGCAGTTGGAAGCGTGGGCGTTGGCGTTGGTGGCGGTGGTGGTGGTGGTGGTGCTGCCATGCCGCTGGTTCCAGGACTCCCGCTTCAAGCTATCTGCGTAATACATACAGACACACGCGCCAGTCACACACATGCCGGCACGGCGGTATCTGCCGTCTGCCAGCATCGAAGCAGGCAGACAGGTTCCCGGGCCGGACAGCATGACGCCTTGGCGAGGCGCGGTGGTGGCGGCCCAGGTCCCCGCGCCTCCCTTCGCGCGCCACATGCCGCGCGCCGTGTACAATGGACATGCTCTTCCAGTAAATCACCTTTTCGGGTCCTCTCACCCAGAGGGACGCCTCTGCTGCAAAGCCAACTCCCCCTTTTGCGAGTAGTACTTGCCATGTGTAGCATTCTTGTCAGCACGCACTTGTGTTTTTGTTTTCTCCCCCTCCCCCCTGCTCTCCCCGCTTCCCCTCCCCATCCCCCCCCCCCCACACACACATACACCTGCAATGGTGCCCCCTCGCTCGGCCTCCCCCGGCCCCGTGGTGAGTCCGTCCATGGAGATGCGCGCAAAGGTGGTGGTGGTGGCGGACTTGCGCAGCGCGGAGGGCATCATCACGAAGTCGCAGCTGCTGCGCCGCACTTTGAGCAGCGGGACGGAGGCGAGCGGATCTCCCTCGGAGGGCTGCGGCCGCTGCTGCTGGAAGATGGCGGCAACGGCCATGTTCTGTACGGGAGGGAAACCGACAAATAGGACGTGTTGCGTGGCGTCGCGCGTAACGTGGCTCGTGACGTGGCGCAACTCGATAAAAATTCGTCTAGATGTTTCTGAAATTTAATCCTCTATCAGCATATCGACCACGTCATAAAACATTGCGTGACCTTTATTTAGACCGTGGCTTTTATTTAACAGCGATGTAAAAGCGATCGATTATGATTTAGCAGACGAACTATTAAACTTAGCACCGGGGTGGGGTGGGATGGGGCAAGGAAGAGGGACTGAGCCACGCTCCGGAAAGGGAAAGGGCACTGGGTTGGCAGCGTGGGCGCGCGAGCATGTTTTCAAACATGCACAGCGACAGCCGACGGATGAAGGGTACCTTTAAGGTAACCTTGCAGGTGGCACGTCTAATGAAGGCACAAGCGGTAAGTAGGCCCGCGTGCAGCGTGCAGCGGCGTGGCGACTGCCCGGGTGGGTGTCTGGGTTCACAGCAGGTTTGATATCCCCTCGGAGCATTCGGATTCGTGCCAGGGGCCCAAGGGGGGTCTCCCGCTTACTCAGTGGGCGGGCGCTGGGCGTGGTGCCACGACCGACCCCCGGGCGCTGCCGGCCAACAATTGCTGCGGCGAGGACGTTTCGGATGCTCTCCGTGACCTCATGCCCATGAGGGCCTGTTAGGAAAATGATTTCATCTGTTGGTGTGCCTGTGTGCCTGTGTGTGTGTGTGTGTGTCTTTGTATTTGTGCAGATATAAATGTTGTTGTTCTTGTTAATGATGGTGACGGTGATAAAGGTGTTGTTGGCAATTGTGTGCCTTACCTCCCCTATGAACGCCACCCTGCTCTGTCCCCGCACGTACGCCACCGCCGCCGCCACGTCCACCGCCGCCTCCGCCACCGCGTTGACCAGGTCGCTGAATGTGGCCGCCGCATGCAGCTGCGACAGCGCGGGTGACGCCAGCACCGCCTGGGCCCTTCGGATGTGGGGGGACATAAGGCCCACGGCGGAGTGGAGCGCCTCGGGGGTCCAACCAGGGGGACGGACGGGGCCTGGAATAGACAAACGAGAGGCGGAGAAAGCAGGGGAGGGAAGGGGAGGGAAGGGGAGGGAAGGGGAGGGAAGGGGAGGGATGGTAAGGGGGCCGCGGCCGAGGATAGGGAAAAATGGAAGCGGGGGACCACACGCGAGGAACTTAGGAAAGGGGGAAGCGACAGGTAGTGCTCAGGACGACACCACCAAGGCTCTGTGCGAGGTGGAAGAAGAGGGCGCCAAACAGGGGGCTTGGGGGAAGTGCGGCAAGGTGAGGTACGGCACGTCAGGGCGCGGGGACGCAGAGTTCGACAGCTTTACGGCCCAGTCCCCAAAACTCGGGGACCTCGGCAGCTCCCACACACGTCCCCCGAGACACTTACCCTCAGCAGCGGTAAGAAACCCACGGTTCAACCACGGTTCATTAGGATCACTCTCAGCACACGCAGCTAGAGCTGGGCATAATCTAGGTAGCCATACCCATTCAAGCCCAGTGCAGCCCAGCAAAACCCAATCCAGTCAAACCCAGATCATTCAAACCCAGATCGGTCTGAACAAGATTGGTCAAACCCAAATCAGTCAAACCCGAAGGAGCCGGGCCCCTTCCCAGCTAGACCCCTTTCGGCCTTGCCCTCCCCGAAACCCTAACGCGCCCAGCTCACTACGCTCACTACGCTCACTACGCTTCTAAACAAATAACTTGAGGGCAGCTCGACCCAGTTCGAAGAAACTACAGCCAATGCGAACTCCCCCTACTTAACTCCCTTTTACGGCCCTCCAGTGCACCTGCAGCCCATGTCAGGTTCGTCACGAGCATTGAACACTTGTGCCCATACCATGCCTTACGACCAATCCCCCGCCCCCACGCTCCCTGCCTGCAAGCCAACTTTTCCACCCGCGTCCATACCCCTCCGCCTCATCCTCCTGAACGAGCAGTCGCTCCCCACTGTTCCGAACTTCCGACCCCTCCCAGCGTTAGCCCACAAGCCCCACACCTTGCGCTGCCAGGCTGAGCACCCCCACAGGCTCGCCCGCCTCCGTCGTCCACAGCACCGCCGCGAATTGGTTGAGTCCGTGTTCCTCGAACAGCATCTGCCAGTCCCCGGGCAGGTCCTCCGCGGGCCGCTGCTCCAGGGAGTGGGAGGGCGCCGTGTCGCCGCTGTCACGAGAGCTGACTGCGATCCCGTCTGCGCCTGAGGCGGCGCCGGGGGGCAGCGTAGCAGCGGAAGCTGTAGCAGTGGTGGGTGTGCTGGCAGTAGCTGCTATGGCTATGGCTCCTGGTGGTGCGGCTGCAGGTGCGGCCCCAGAGGGCATGAGGCCCACCGCGCTGCGATACATGAGCGACTGGCAGGGGCACTCCTGAGGAGGAGGGGATGAAAGGAGGAGGAAGAGGAGGCAAGGGGTGGGGGGCAGAGAGATGACTTCCAATACGCAATTATCCATGAGGCTTTGAGCATGCCGTACAGCGCCGTACGCAACCATTGCCAGAAGCGCACTGGCCCAAGAGATGCTGGCTGCCTGCCGTACCATGCGTGATAGAACCCTTAACCAAGCCGCACGAAGCTCCTGCCCACCTGTCGCATCCGCAGGATGGCGGCCGGCGCCGACCCGTTGAATCGCGGGTCGGAACTGTAGGCACGTCCCGCCGTTGATGCCGTACCCAACCCGGCACAGGCAGCCGTTGCAGCCCAAAAGTCCGCCGTGCTCAGCACAAAGATGCTGCGAAGGGAAGCGAAGCGGACGGGAAGGCGTGGCCGTGGGTGTGAGGTCGCGGAAGAGATGAGGGTCCTGGGCGACTTCGCGTGATTCGTCTGTTTGGTGTCATAACCCAGATGGATTCGGAAGAGGGGAGGGGAGGGCCCTGGGCGCAACTCTCGAACAGGGTCCAGAAAATTACACTTACATAGGCAGAAGGAAAAGAATCACATGAATCGACTGCTGACAGCAGCCAGCTGAGTGTTGCAAGAAAGTTTAGCTTGGGTGTGGGTGCGGATGTGGGTGTGGATGTGGGTGCGGGTGCCTTATGGCATATATATGTATCTCTTGGTGCCCATCAGTGCGAGGCGAGGAGCATAAAGACGATAGTCCTCGCCTGGCCCTATGGATACAGTGATTGCCAGCCGGTCTTCTTAGTCAGATTGCCGTTGCCGTTGGATGCGGAAGGCAGTGCCTCATAGCAGCTGGCAGCACGCAACCGCACCCGCACGGCCACTCCAGCCCCGGAGGCCTGGGGCGCACGTCCAGGGGGGTGTTTGTACTGGTACACACGTGCGCACCGTCTGCTTTAGGCTGGGGCGCCGACGCAGTAGTTTAGATGCCAAAGGTTGCAGGTTAGGGGGACAGCGCAAGGAGAGAAGGGCGAAATCGCAGGTCGTCTTTACTGTGGGTACGCCTTCGACGGTTTTGACGGTAAAGTTGGCGAAAACCACCCGGTCCCACGACTCTATACATAGGGTATGAGGAGATCATGCCTATAAGAGATTTTTTCGTTCATAGTCGACCACGCAGCGTGCCGTAATAGTCGATCATGCGGTGTGCGAGTCCAACTTACCAAGCATGAGCTGCGCCTAGGCACTCGCAAATCGCTTGGCATCCTTCCGAAAGTGCTGACCACCATCCACCTTCCGTAGTAGACAGCAGGTGGACCAACCTGATAAAGGCCTCGCTGCCCTGCAAAGTTACGGATGCGGCGTGGTGTTCCTATCCATGCGACCCCGTTGTGTTCATTACTCCAAGGCGCACGGCACTCACCAAGGTGTGTCCTCCATCACTACTTGGTATGATGGGTCCAAGAGCTGCGCTGCCGCTGGTGCAGTCGGTTTCTATGACTTTAGACGTAATTTTATAACGCGGAGGTTCCTTTTGAACCTTTTTGTCTGGCTTGGGAAGCCACAATGCTTCTTCGGCAGGCTTCCGGGCTTGCCCGTTCAGCAGGCATGAAAAAAATCGCATTTCCCGTTGGAAAAAGCTTAGATTGTAATGATTTGGATTTGTCTGCTGGACCTGTTAAGCTCTACATGGCAATTTAAGGAATTGCAACGCAGGAGCCCAGCATTCCTTGGGTAAATAGTTGCAGATTATGGCTGTTTCAGTTTACAAACAACAGAATCGTTTTCTGCTCAAAGACCGTGGAACCCGTACCTAAGTTCACTGCAGTATAATAACTGTAACCGGACCTACCTTCACCATGTTTCTTTAATTACACCGCTTGATTTTAGATGCAAAGATATTTCCATATAGCTTACGCTAAGAGTTACACTGGATAGGTTTAAATCATGCGATTGCCTAGTTTGCAGCCAGGTGACTTCTTCAACGGCAAGAAATTTAAATGGGTTTGCGCAGGCGTGAGCATAGATTTGTATCTACAAAGAAACGAAAAGGTTGCTGCCGCACATGCAGCCAGGCTTGGGCGGAAATCCTAATCCTACGTAGCAAAATGTATACGCACAGGAAGCAAGGAGAGGGAGCCGTAGAAAGGTCAGGTAGCACAAAGGCTGCAGCCTACTAGTCAGAAATTCGATGCTGGCGGTCGATTAAGCTGCACGCAGCGAGGTTGGGCTTAGCAGGCAGGCTGCCCAAGCATACAATAGCATAAAAGAATGATAACTCCAGAGTGGCCTTCGCCATTTCCGAATGTCGTAGAAGCCGACATCTCACTTACTGCAACTGCTGAACACCACCAATGTGGCACACAAATCTCTCGGTCTGAAGTGACTGATCACGCGCTGGTTAACGATTGCCACCGCTCCAACCTTCCTTGACCACCGTCCTTTTTTCATGTGTTACATTTACTGCCGGGATCCATGCACGGCACAAAGATTCCTTCATTCATTGTAGTACTGCCCCAATCCACTCCGCATGTGAACCACACGCAAATCATCTCGTCATGTAACAAGACCCCCTTCCCCAGGGTCCCACTGGGCTTATCAAGCAAACCAGGGTGAAGACGGCTAGGACTGCATCACAGCGTAATGCAGCGTGCACAGCACAACACAGCACAGCACGCGAAGTTCAGCGCAAACCTCAGCAGAAAATGTCACTGCGCCAAAGCGGTAATCGATGCGGCATACAAATAGCCTCTCAGGCTATTTTTGTGCCGTTGAGCGCTGCCTGCCTTCGTGACACTGACCAAGTAAAGTCTTATGGAAACACGCAAAGCGGTACCGACAGCTCAATAACCACCTCTACTGACTTGCGCTCTACACCCGTACAATGGGAATGGCTGTGAGACGTGGCACATGTCCGCAAGCAACCCGAGAAATGCCCCTCCTACGGTAACCCGGGAACAGACAGGCCCCGCCCGGAATCCGGATGTACAAATATACCGCAAAGCAGGCAAAAACAACGAACTTACAAACCCGCACACCATGCATACAGACAGACAGACGAACACGCAGGTAAACCAGCGGCATCCCACCCGGGGAACGCCCTGCCGCGACAAGTTCTTTCATAATGGACGCCAGAAGGACCATCAACGTTCCGGAAACTCTGCAAGGAAAACAACACAGCGGAGCAACAGCAGGCAGCAGGCAGGCAAGCAGGTACCAACCAGGGGATGACAGTTGGCCTCCCGATGCATACTATCACCGGAAACGCGCCACCATTAACTGATTCGCAACTGACCTCCGCGGCCGAACTTTTATATACTTTACAAAACCATGACAATAACCGGCCAACCATGGCATTAAAACATAAAAAAACCAAGCTTTGCACAGAGAACAGCGACCGGAGGGACTCAGCCAGCAGAAGCGGATGGGCTCTCAGGCAGCGTAGATGGCCTCGACTCCAGAACAGGCAGCCAGGGCGGCTCATGCTGTCGCTCCTGCCGTGTTTGTGTGGCACCATCCGCACTACTGTTTTCGACGAACCCTTGCTTGCCATCCTATGTCAGGCGTCAGGAGGGAGGGCGGGAGGGAGGGAGGACAGCCCGGGGGGGGGTTCACCTCCGGACCGCACCGTCCTGCTCCTGAGCACAAGCACAGACTTACTGGCTCGATCTGCCGGCCTTTCCGGTACTCGAACCTGCTTGCAAATCGATCGCCACTTTTATCATAATACCCTGAAAAGCCCAAGCTAGTTCAAAAACAGCTGGGCAGCAGCTGCAAACCTTAAAATTTGAGGCAACATCAACACCACCACCATCATCATTAACACATCATTGCCAATCATCAGTCCCCATCGTCATCACCGTCAAGCGCAAAAGCCTCAAGTACAGTGCCTAATAGGTAGGAGCGGCTGGGGGGGTTGAAAAGACACGGCTATGGAGGCCGGCAGCAGCCGCGATGGACGCCCCCCCCCGCAGCCAGCGAGCAACACGCTGGTGAAGGGGTAAAACTGTGCCGAGCCTGCTCTGCGAAAAAAACGTATAGGCAAGCGTGACAGCGCGGCAGGGTGTACTCAAACACCAGAGAACTACATATGGATAACAGAGAACAATATTTATGTAAGGATCTCTTTATTTGCGATCTTAGTAATAGTTGACGCACAAATGCGCTCTGGACCGAAGCCCGTGTGTGTGGGACTGCCCATATGAGCAAGACACTCAGTCACGCGCGGCGCAGTGGCGGCCACATTAAGGTCGCACAATGCCCGCATGAGGGCGGGATGGAGGCCATCCATCGATGAACCTCTCTCCCACCCCCCACAGACAATTCTGCACCGCCTCCTCTTCCCTAGCAATGCCCTAGCTCCCTTATGTTGCTGCTCGCTGCAGCTGGAGCGCGCATCTGCCTTCCCGTCTGCCGCTGCGCCCTGCATGCTGCTCAACTACCGCCGCTCAGCTACAAGCACGCACACACATAGATATACGTACACACATACGCACACATATACGTCCGGATCCTAAGGTCTACCGGAGTGTTGGCAAAGCAGGCGCCATATGGCAGCACGCACTCCGGTAGAGCAAACACCACGCGGTGACCACAGGCATCGTCCCGCACCCCGCCATCATCGAGATAACAGCATGTGCCGCCGCCGTACGGCAGCTGAGTACGAACCCATTGGCAACCAGTGCTAATGAGGATTCCCAGCCGGGCAGGAGGGCAGGAGGGCGAGTGTAAATCCTAAAAACAGGCATACGTGCATGCACCATGCAGACCGCGGACCAGCAGACATGGCCCGGGAAGTATGGGGAAGAGGGTGATCGAGTGATGATACGCCGCACCTGTAGGATTTCTGACCTATCCTGGTCCACGGCTGAGCCTGGCAGGGCCCCGCAATTACCACCACCACGGCCGTAAAGCGGTTGGCTGTACGATCCTCAAAGTGTACTGGTAAACAATCCGTCTTACTTATACCTGCTCCTCACATACATACCTTCATAACCACATACATACATACATACATACATAGGGTAAGGCGCGACCATTGCCCCCGGGAGATCCCGGGATCGATACCCGTTAGGGTCAAAAGTCCTTCCGATGGTGGAAGGCATTGCGCCCCTAGTTGATGGACGGTGGTGACCTGGGATAAAGTTAACCTGCGAGCCGACCAGGAACGGAGTTGGGCCGCTGTCGACCCGGCAGATTCCGTTGGATGCTGGTGGTGGGTGCGGAACCTGAGCGATCCACTGAGAAGTTGACTAGGGTGACTGGATGAGGGTGCCCCGAAAATACCGGGGAAGGCAGGGTTTCGCAGGGTAGCTGCCACGGGCGAAGATACACCCCCCTGTTTCACACATCATACATGCAGACAGACAAACGCGTACGTTGATAAAATGCGGCAGAAGCAACCTCCCGCAGGCAACAAAACTAAGCATATTCCTCTCTTTGGTTCATGTTTATTCACATCTTCCACATCACAGTGAAATTTTCTGCGCCGCGCCGCGCGGCATCGGTGGTGCCTTGTGTGGATGTGCACACCACGGCGGGCGTCCCGCATGCTTGCATACACCACGCCGCCACCTCCTCCACGTGCAGCGCCGGGCCCCTTAGTGACACCGACCACGCCCCCCTTTCCCCCCACCTTCCCACTCACTCCGCAACCTCCTATCGTTACCCACAACACAAGCAACGCAACCCAATTCTTCAACACACTGCGCCGAGATCGCATTGTGCTTTCCAGTTGTTTGCAAAAATCTGAAGCAGGTTGGTTAGCCAACGCGCACCCGGCAGCAGCGTGAGGTGCTCAACCGAGCAACACATGCATCGAAACGCACACAGACCCACGCACACAGCCCGCTGGGGCCGCAACCACCACTACTACCTTGATGATCATGTGGGCCCATGCCCAAGTCCGCGCTAATACCCCAGGCGATTTATCACGTCCGCCATTTCGCATTTTCACCTTGCCGCCACACCCGCTATACCCGGTGCAATCCACCAAGCAACAACACCCCACCTCACCACACCCCGTTCAATGCCCAGCCCAGCCAAACGCATTCACAACAGCATATACTTTTGCACCCCCTGACAAAAGCCCTTTCTAAAAACAGGCCGTCTCAGTTGAGCAGTTCGAAAATCAGCAGCACAACAGCCCGAAGCCACTTTGCCGTCCCAGTAACCATTAACCCGTGTGCATGGCTGCCAATATGCAACAAGAGAATGCGAGCTCCCAGCTGCCCATTCTTCCTATGTCTCACACCGCAACCAACCAACCCACCCCGCTTCAGCCCATCCAAACGCAGACTCACTCTCGTAAGGTTCCCAGTTCGCTGCAAACACACAAACACGTACAGACAAACAAACACACACACACACGCACACATACACGCACAGACACACCTATGTCTGCATAGACACACCAAAAACCAGCAATGGCTCCGGGGCCCCCACAAATACCTCAGTGCGATGGCGGTTCTTCATGACACCCCATCGGGGTCCCCACATCACCACCACACACAACATGTACAGTCTCTCCAGTGCCTCACCGCGCGTCCGGCTGGCCGTCCAAGCCATCATATGACCTACCGCATTCCTTCGCCAATACGTGTGCTTTTATGATCTGAGCCGCGATGAGGGAACTGGAAATGGTGGTACACGAAGACGTGTATGTGTGTGTGTACATGCTGAGGAGCTCCTGCCTCCCAGCAGGGAGTGCAACTGCCCTCTGCAACCCAGCAGCAGAGCGCACTGTGCAGCGCCACCGACTACTGCTGCTACTACTGCTTCTACGGCCGCATCAAATAAGGAAATTGAGAGCTTCCATTGCTGTGCTATGCACCATAACACCGTGAGGCGTCATAAGGGGATATAAAGCCGCCCATTGCGAGCATATACGCACGCACACACGCGCGCGAGCCAGTGTCTGTATATATGTATGTATCTATGTGTCTGATGCGGATTTCTGTGTGTGTGTGTGTGGGTGTGGGTGTGGGTGTGCAATGCCAGCCTCTACAGATGAATCACTTTCCCCCTCCCATGCTACGGGGGTAATGCAGGGGGTGCCATGCAGTCATCATGATGCTTAGTGAACACGTAGCTCCCTCACCACGAGGAAGGATTACTGCGGAAACAAGGCAACGAGAACCCGAGGCAGCAGCAGCGGCCGCAGCAGAACCGCACCGCACGGGGTGTGGGGGGTGGGGCCGCCAGCCCCTGCGCGCAGAGGCCAACGCAGCGGCTCCTTCTTCTTCTTCATCTTCTTAATGTCATAGTCGTTAATGTTGTCGTTATTGTCGTTCTGGTTCATGGCAGTTGCTCCCGTGAACCGGTGCCGAATCCGCGAGATCCCGCGCAGTGCACGCAGCAGCCACGCGGGCGGGGCGGCGGGCCCCCCGCATCACGGCTACCGCGACGGCAAGATTGGCGCCATTTCGCCCCAGCCAGCCCCTTCCAACACAACCAGGGCAGCGATAAATCCAGGGAGGAGGTCACCTCACCGCCCAGTCACTCCCCCCTGCCAATGGGAGAGCTCTCCCATCTCCCCTCCCCACCCCTCAACCCCCATGTTTACAGGCCAACCCCAACCCCGCGTGACCCTTCTCCCCGTCCCCACCACCCCAAGAAGCCACACAGCCCCTGCCACGTTCTCATGCACCAGGCTGATGCCTGTCTCTCGTTCCTTCAGCGCTCATGGGGCTCTGCCGCAGCTGTACCTGTACCTGAAGCTGCGGTTGTGGGGACGGGGGCTTGCGGCCTGGGCTGCGGGGAGCGGCCGGCGCTGCCTGCTGCTGAGGCGCCGGCTGTGGCGGCTGCGGTGCCGGTGCCTGTTCCTGTGTGGGATGAGTAGCTGCTGCTCGCCCGCTTGGCCTCCAGTGCTCGCTCCAGGTGCCGCACGAGCTCGTCGGCGGTGGGTCGCGAGGAAGGGAGGTGGTGCCAGCAGGCCTGAGCAAGGGACCTGGAGGCGGGATGGTGTGTGTGTGTGGGGGGGAGGGCGTAGGGGTGGGGCGGTGGATGTATAGAGATACAGCAAAGCAAGGGATGGCAAGCGATACGAACCCCACGGAAAACATGTTCGCAGCGCTTTCCCCTCTCCGTGTGGCGGCGATACCCAGCACGCCCTGAACACCGCTACCCTGTCCCTTGGCGAGGGTGGGAGGGAGGGTACGTCCCTGCGGTTGGACCACGTCCGAGTTCGATTGTATCCCCCCTTTCCTTAACCCGCTTTCCCCCTACCTCTCCCTACCTCCCGCGCCACCCGCACACACTGTCCCAACTTCGTAAAAGCGCACCGCCCGCACACACACCTGTAGTTGAAGGGCACCCAGGCGGGCAGCTGCGGCCGCATCATACGGTGCGCCACGGCGTTGGCAATGGCTGACGCCGACATGGTCTTGTCGTACACCTTCATGCCGCATAGTACCTTGGGTGGAGAGAATCAGATGGGTTGGGCTGGAGTGATGATGATGGGAGTGATGATGATGGAGTGATGATGATGGAGTGATGATGATGGAGTGATGATGATGGAGTGATGATGATGGAGTGATGATGATGGAGTGATGAGGAAGAGGAGGACGATGGCGGGGGTACCAAGGCGGCGAGGGAGGCAGGTTGACGGTGAGGGGGGATCTAAATCATCATGTGCGTGCATGCGTACGTGTTTATAGGCCTGGCATTGCATGCATGCGCTGCGCCCGCACGGGCGTCCCCTAAACAACCCTAAGACAAAGAAACAACACCCGATGCCCAGAAGGAGGCGTGAGGGGGCCGGGGATATATAGCTGCAATTGGAAGAGCCTTAGGTAGCACATACGGCTAAACACCATAGTTCCATGTCAACATGCCGGGCAAGGAAAAGCGGGATGGAAAAGGAGCTGTGCTATTATTCCACAAACACGTACATTCACGCGCACGCGCACCTGGTACATAAGGACGCCAAAGGCTGCGGTACCAACACCAGCAGTAGCAGCACCAGCACCAGCACCAGCAACACGACGAAGAGCGCGAAGTGCGGCACCCGGGTGCGGAACAGCAGGAGGTGCGCGAAGGAGGGGGGATAGAGGGGAAAGGAGTTCTTAGTGTGTTGGGGGGATCTAAGAATGCGGCTCTCTCAGTTCAGTTCACTTCACTTCACTTCACTTTTTCGTTTTATTCGGGCGCATGGAACAGTCAGAGCAGAGGTGGTGGTGGTGGTTCTGTTGGAGATGGCTATGTATGTGTACTGTTCCTAGGGCAACGGGCGGAGGGGAGGATAGGGCCACCCTGCCAACCGTCCTTCCTCACCCTGGCCTTCCCTCCCGAGCGCCCCTACCCCCTACCTCCCCCGGGCTCACCGTAGATATCCACAGCAGCTCCCAGGGCCTTCTGACCTGTAGAGCAGTAGCAATAGGAGTAGCAATAGGAGTAGCAATAGGAGTAGCAATAGGAGTAGCAATAGGAGTAGCAATAGCAGTAGCAGTAACAATAGCAATAGCAGCAGCAATAGCAGTAGCAAAAGCAGCAGCAATAGCAATAGCAGTAGCAAAAGCAGCAGCAGTAGCAATAGCAGTAGCAATAGCAGTACCAAAAGCAGCAGCAGTAGCAATAGCAGTAGCAGTAGCAGCAGCGAGCAGGAAAATGGAACCAGGGTGGGACGGAACGGGGCGGTGAGTGCGAAGGATTGGGGTGGGATGATCGGCAGTTGGGTTGCAGCCGCCCGCCCCAAGAGCCCTACCTAGCTCCCCATCCCCCCTCCGTCCAGCCGACCCTCCCCCCGGGAACGACGCATACACAGACCCCTCACACAAATCCTTAAGGCCCCCACTGCCCATCAGCTTCTTCCCATGTATCATGTCTCCATCTCCCCAGCTTCATCCCCTTTCCCCACCCCCTTTTTTCGGGAAACAAGGGCCCAACCTCCGCCCCGCAGTCGCTCACCCAGCAACACCTCGGGGGCCACGTGGGTGATGGTCCTGCAGGTTTTGTGGAGCGGTCGTACAGGGATAACGTACGGCAAGGCAAGCGTCATGAGGCGGAACTCGGTCATACACGGCAGGGGACACGCAAAGGCATCTGTGCCTCGCCCTCGCCTGAAGCTTCAAAGCCACCCCCAACTCCCCTGCCCATTTCCCCCATCCCGCGTTGCCCTTACCCGCTTGCCACCGCCTCGTCAATGACCAGCTGCCCCTCGTCGTCGTGCGCCATCATCTTGGCCAGCCCGAAGTCCGACAGCTTGGCAGTGAACCCCCTCGGGTCCCTCGGCGAGCTCTTGAGCAGCACGTTCTGGGGCTTGAGGTCGCAGTGCACCAGCGCCAGTGAGTGCATGTGGCGCAGGGCCAGAGCGATCTCGAGGAGGGTCAGGTACACGGACTGCAAGGGTGGGGTGGGAAGGAGGGTGGCGATGAGGGCTAAGATGATCAAACCCTGGCTGACATGTGGAGTGATAAAGCAACCCCCCTCCCCTCCCCGTCAACTCCTGTTCCCCCGTCAGCCCCTTCCGCTCCCTCTCACCCGCATGTTGATAGCCAGGTAGGTCTTGGCGGGGGCGGAGGAGGCGGGGGAGGAGGAGGCGGAGGCTCCGGACTGAGGAGGGGGCCTCTCTGCGGTGCCGGAGTTGCCAATACACGCACGCGCACCGGGCAGGGGAAGGGGAGGAGGGGGCAGCAGCAGCGCATACGGGACACGTCGGCGGCCAGTGGATGCCAATGCCAGAGCGAATGAAGCCAGGGCTAGGGTCGAACTGAGGCCAGAGCTCCCTCCTCACAGTTTCAGTAAGGAAATACAAAAAGAGTTACCTATTTGCCTTATTTCCGTACTTCCGTACTCTCTTCACTCACTTGGTGTGACCCTCTCAATGAATTTGCGGTTCAAGATCGCATCGCACAAGCTGCCGCAGTCGCCTGGAGGGGGGAAGGCGGGGAGAAGGAAGGGGACCGGAGGGGAGGAGAGGGAAAAGGGGGAAGGGATTGTCGACGGAGGACGCGACGGGAGAATTTGCAGACGCAAGACGACGCTGTCGGGGGGTTGGGGCCCCAGCAGCGGCAGCTGCGGCCGCAGGAGAAGGATTTTTCAAGGGACCAGGGTAGCGGCCGCAGGAGGGACCAGGGCCCCAGCGGAGGTGGCCGCACTGAGACTCTGGAGGCTCTGTCTTCCTCCTCCTTCTCCTCCTCCTGCTGGTGGTGGTAGCGGTCGTGCTAAGATCGCTCGGCTCGGACCCCGCCACAGTACTACCTGCGGCCGGGCCCCCTCGCAACATGGCGGCAGAGGCTATAAACCTACCACTCGCCCTCCTTCCCACACACACCCGCCCGCACTCCCCCTCCCCCCCTCCCCCCCTTCCCCGCGCGCCCCGGCCCCCCTCCTGCACTCACAGTACTCAAGCACCAGCGCCATGGCCACGTTCCCTGCGCTCGGAAATGGAAATAACACAATGGACGCCATGACGTAGGATAGACGCAAAAGAGGGTGACATGGGTCAACGCAAGCCTTGCAGAGGGCAAGGAGGTGAGAGGTTAGATAGGCCACCCTTAAGGCAGCAAACCCCGCCGCAACGCCCAAGCGGACTTCTCTCAAACTGCGAAAACATGCAGAATACAGATATAGTACACACAACAGGTGCAACAGGATGCCTAAAAACACACAGGACACAAACATAAACATTGAACGCAGGTATGTTCAACCAATAAAGCCAAGCGGTCCCACAGTCCCTCCTCCTCCGGGGCCAGGTCCAGACTGCCGAAACACGGGCCTCCCCCACCTGAACCCCAAGCCCTCTCCCCTTTCCGCAAAGGGCCCCCTCTCCGTCTCTCCCCCCCCTCACCGTGCGCCTCCTGCCCGGGTGCGGGTGACTCCAGCAGCGAGGGCGAGTGCACCAGCCGGAAGGGCCGCGAGTCAGTGGGCTGATCCACAGAATCAAGCGGGTTGAAGTCCTCCGGCTTCTCCAACCTAAGGACGAGGTGCGGGGGAGAGGGGGAAAGACGAACCACGAAGGGAGAGGGGTGAAAGACGGGGGAGCACACGTCTCAGGGTACACGATGTAGTGTGGTGTACAGCCGAGCAGGTCCGTGTGCTATCTGTACGCTCCTTCACCCGCCCAGTCGTGACCCCACCCCATACCTACCTCCTTTCCTTCCCCTCTACCCCCCCTCTAACTCTTCCTGCTTGCCCCCCTCTCTCCCTCACCTGACATCCATGAAGTATGCGGGGACCTGGGAATGTCAACCCACGGGGGACGGGGAGGGGTAGGGCGGGAGAGGGGGCACATGAATATAGAGCCAATACCACCACCACCACCACCAACAACAGCAACAACAACAGCGGAGCAGGAGCGCCATAGACGACAAGACCCGCTTCCCTCGTGGGCCCGGACAGCGGCCACCCTTTTCCTGCCTCCCCTGCCGCTCTTCCCCCTCCCCGCCCTCCTTTTGCCGCTCTCAACCCTGCACCTGCACAATGTTGATGTGGCTCATTGACACTGACGCCACGAGCTCAATTGCGTCGTGTAGGTTTTGTTTGTGCAGCCCCAGTCCGTGGCTCGATGCGAGCAGGTTGGAGGAGCTCTGTACGCCGGCCAGTCGGGACTGCTTGATGATCTTCACGGCGACCTCGGTGCCGTGGAAAGTGCCCCTGAACGGGGAGGGGGAAAGGGGGAGAGAGAGGGGGGACGCCAGGCGTGTGTATATGTGGGGTAATAAAGAGCCTGCGGCTGAAAGTAAGTACGTATGTGTTACATACGTGTGTAAGGCTATGCGTATGTGGAGGCCTCCAGCGATTTGACGCCGACCAATACTCAAAAGCACGCGAGCAATATGACAGCTCATCCACCCCACCTGGACAAAGGCACACAGACGTCCCTATCCCCCACACACGCCCCCACCACCTGCCATCCCACAGTCCTCACCTGTACACCGTGCCGTACCCTATGACCGTACGACGCCATACGGGGTCGTACAGCGCCAGCAACATGAGGAAAGGGGAGCAGGGCGAGCAGGGCACAAGGCGGCGGCGGTCAACCCCCTAGGGACGGCGTTGGTCTCACGTCAGAGAAGATGTCCTTTTACAACAGCCAGCAGCCCTCCCTCGTCGACCGGCCCCCTGGCCCCCTTCCGCTCGGGTGAGACGCCGCCTGCCACCTATCCGCTGTGCCTCACCTCCCTGTCCGATCTCCTGAAGCAGCTTTAGACTCTTCAGGTCGGTCTTGTGCGCCTCCGACCTAACAAACGTCATCTGCACCGCCTGAGCCGCCCGCAGCCGGTCGTGCATGGAGGCGATGATGGGGGCGAGTTTGGAGGCGCCTGGAGGGGCGGGCGGGGCGGGGGGGTGACGGGGAAGGGCGGGAAAGGGGGAGGGCCGGAGTGCACGGGGAGATTGAGCAGCACGGAAAAAACATAAGCATGACCCCACACCCGCCCGACAGCTACGAACACAGATACACACACACACACACGTCACATAACCTCTCATAATTCTCACAACCCCCTCCCCTTCGCGACACGATCCAAAACAACCGCTCCTCATCACCGCACTCCCCCTAAGCCCAGCAAGGCCGCCCCTCCCCCCGACATCGTTCCCACGGCCATCTATATCTGTTACTGCTGTTACTAGTGCAGCACCCACCCAGCCACTACCACCCACCCAGCCACCCACCTCGGGGTGTGTGAGCCGCCTCCAGCCGGAAAGACACGCTGCGCACTCCCACACGCGCCCGCAGCTTGCCGTGCACCTCCGCACTCGCACCGACAGCGTCACATGCCGACTGAGACCGCACCTGGTAGCACTGGGCCTCCTGTAAGAGGGACCCCGAGCCGCCGACCCCACCGCCGACCCGCCGACCCGCAAACTCCATGTCAAGATCGCCCTCCAGAGCTTCGCCTTCTATCGCAGCGGCATCAGCAGCAGTAGCGGCGGCGGCGAATGCGGATACGGCAGCGCCGCCGCCGGCACCGGCGCCACGAGCATGTGGGCTGCGCGGAGCGGCGCCGCCTACCGGCGGCGTCGCCGGCGACAGCACCGGCGGCGACTGTACGGAAATCTCGCCACTTTGCAGCGCGACGCCGCCGATCTGGCTGCCGCTGTGGCCAGGGGCCAAGCCTAGCGCGTGAACGTGGGAGGGCACGGTTGCTGCGGGTGTGTGTGGTGCAACCACGGACGGCGGCCGATCCCCCCCTCCCGCACCTCCCCCCGCCATCAAGGCTGCTGCCGCTGCGGCTGCCTCGGGGCCCTGGGGTGCCGATGGGGCGCGCTGCGGCAGGGAGATGCGTCCAAAGGCGGGCGTCGCGTTGGCTGCCTCCCCTGCGGACAGCCCCAAAGGATAGAGTCGTGCCAAACGGGGTGGGGTGGGAAAGGTAAATCGAAGGTTCACAACAAACGCGACTTCCCAGGCGCACAGCGTGCTACCATCTGAATAACCCCACCCACATTGCCAGTACGAGAGAAACGGACGACTCGAGCCAAGCCTTAACCCCACAGACCCACGGCCCATCACTCTCTTTTCCTTCCCACTCGGCCTCGGCCCCCACCCCGGCCCCCCACCCCGGCCCCCAGCTTTGCTCTCTAAGCTCCATGCGTATGCACTCACCTGCCGCCGCCGCTGCCGGCTCCCCCCGCGGGACGTTGCTGCCCGCACCCGCCCCCAGAAGGAAGGACAGCATGCGGCCCTCGTTGGGGGGAAAGCTCTGGGGCTCCTCGCACGGATCCGACAGCTGCTCACCCGAGATCCGGGGAGCAGGTACGGAGGGGAGCTTGCCCTTGCGATGAACGGCGTCCTGGAACAGGGAGGGGGGGGGAGCGGAACGGAGTGGTTTGATATGCAATATGCGGGGAGGGGGGGAGCGGGCACGGCGGTGCCCTTTCTGTTGGTTCGGAGTTGCCTTAGTCGAGCTTGGGTTCGCCTCTGGGGAACGCCAACATCAGAAGCAGTAGCGCGCGAGTAACAGCAGCAGAGCAGGAGCAGGAGTAGGAGCAGCAGCAATCACCAGTTCACAGGTGCATCACCCGTACCACGGGCAACCGACGCCGGGGAGAGAGGGAGGATGGAATGGAGGATGAAATGGGGGAGGGAATGGGGGAGGGAAAGCATGTACCATGCATTCCACAAGATGGAGCAGCAGCAGCAGTAGCAGTAGTATCAGCAGCAGTAACAATAGCAGCAGTAGCAGCAACGGCAGGGTGCATACCCTCATCCCCCATTCCCATCTCCCCCTGACTCCTCTCCCTTTCCCATATACACACATACACACACACATACAGACCAACAGACATACATGCAGTTGTGACGTTAGGTACTCGTACTCGCACTGGATGCTGCTGGTGAGCTTGGCCTTGATGACGGGAAGTAGAGCCTAAGAGGGAGTTGTCATCAGGGGTCCATAGGCGGGGGTAACATGAGTTCTAATCTTGTGTCAGGGAAAGAGGGGCAAACCAACGCAAACCAAACGCAGCCCAGGCCCTGGGAGCTAATCGGCCGGAGGGAGGAGGCGGACGCCCACCGCCATGGTATGATAGGTGCACGAGCGGGGGGTGCGCACGCGGGGGGTGCACGCGCGGGGGGGCCTTCGTCAGCTCATGGAGGTGTTACCATACAGCAGGCAGCAGCACCGTGCAATCACCTCTTCCCCCCTGGGGCCGATTTGGTTCAGTCTCCAGCCAGCCAGCAGGTCCATGAGGGAACCCAACTCCTGTTACTCCTAGCCAATACCCCTCCGTCCCCCGCCCCACCACCCAAGCCCTTCCTCTTCAAAGCACCTGCAGCAGCTGTTGCAGCTCCTGCACTACCGCCTGAAGCAGTGGTCTGGGTAGGCTGGTGCCGTACGTGACGTACAGCGCCATTCTGGGTCTGCTCTCCCCGCTGATGGTGGCCAGGGCCAGGGACAGGGGCATGACTGCGCCCCGGGAGAGGACCAGGTCGCGAGGGTAGGCCTTCATGCTCTGAGAGGCGGGGGGAAGGCGGGGGCCAGGGAGGGGGATCCGGTAATCTCGCGGCGGAGGGTCATACACACACACACACGCACACAGCCCCCTCCCCTTTTCTTTCCACGGCAGCTCACCACCGTGTACGTCTGGCAGTCGTCAATACACAGACCAGCCACCTGCTTGGACAGGGCCTCACTGAGCAAGGTCTTGCCCAGGGTCAGGGTGTGGCCCTTGCAGGCGCTCTGCGGGCGGGGCGGGGTAGGACAGGACAGGACAGGACAGGGGACAGGTCGCAAGAAAGATGGTTTTCAGGAGGTTAACAGCTCAAAAGCAGCAACAGCATCGTGCGCGACAAAAGCAAGGACAGCCTCATCCTCATCCTCATCTTTATACTTATCATTATCAACATTATCAGCAGCAGCAAGGTCCCCAGGAATCGGGAAAACCAGCTTTGGGACGTAACCCGATACCCAGGTACATAAAACATACGCACACACACAGACACACCCCAGGCCCAGTCCTGCACATTCACCTGGACGTCCATAACCACCTCTGGAGGTCAGCAGTCATCAGGTGCTAACCTCCTTTTGATTCATCACGATCACGATCACACTCATAACATTACCACCCACCCGGCCCAGTCCTGGAAGCCCCGGACATAAGCAAGGGCGGATACAGCAAGACGGACATGTCGTGAAAAACTCCCCTTCGTCTCCAACTGTCTACTGCAAACACGCGCGCACACTCACCTTCGACGAGGGGAAGGTGAAGGAAGGCAACGTCACGACTGTCTGCTGGGGTGTCCAGGACTCGCGCTTCAGTTGATCTGCGCGGAGTTGTCAAGGGCGGGATCAGAGCCTTAAGACCAATAAACACGACATGAAGTACACATCAACATATACAGCTCGATTTGAGCTCAAAGCAATGTACACGCTTTTTTCGTCTGGTCTGCAGCTATAATTAAAAGCGTAGTTTGGCAAGCTGGAATATCGCGTACGTACGGCCGTACGTCGATGGTCGATGGACACACAGCCTGGCCGAAACCACGGTTTGCAACGGGGACTACTTGCCCTTGCCACAATAATCTTCCCCTCCCCTCCCCTCCCCTCTCCTCTCCTCGACATCTGCTCTGTGCTTACAACCCCCCTCGCCCTTCTCCTCCCTTCCTGAGTCCCCCCATTCACGAGTCGTATTGCCCCATGCACAACTCTTCCCCCCCATTCACCCGAATGTGCGGCTCGCCCTCACCCACTACCACCCACCCACTACCACCCACCTGTCGCAGCAGTCATGGTTCTCTCAGTGCCTGTCGTGGCGGTGAAGGTGCGGTCCGCAACCCCGCTGGCCACGTCCATGCTCAACCGCGAGTAGGCAGCCAACGAGGCCACCGACTTGCGCACCGCACTGCCGCCGCCGCACCGCAGCGTCACGAACTCGCAGCTGCTGCGCCGGGCCTTGAGCAGCGGGAGCTGAGCCGCAGCAGCGTCACCCTCCTGCTTGTCCTGCTGGAAGATGGCCGCGGCGCCCAGCTCCTGCGCGACGGATGTACATACATGGGGGCAGACACATGGGGTAAATCGACCGGCAGCAACCCCGTGGCGACACGGCCAATGACAGTGGGTTTCCAACACACCCAGGTCTTCTTTCCGGGGACATGCGCCGAGCGAGAGTCCGAACAAGGCCGCGAAGGGGGCGGTCAGGCGAAGAAGGCTCGGTTGTACAAACAAGGCATTTGCTCTTAGAAGTTTGGACAGATGTAATTCTCACGGGAGACGGGAGGTGCCACCGCGCAGGGGCTGCAGCAGCCTCATCCTGCAGGGGCTGCAAGCTTCCCGGGAATGCTTCTAGCTGCACCGACCCCGCAGTACGCCATCGTCGCCTTACCTCCCCTATGAACGCCACCCTGCTCTGTCCCCGCACGTACGCCACCGCCGCCGCCACATCCACCGCCGCCTCCGCCGCCGCGTTGACCAGGTCGCTGAATGTGGCCGCCGCATGCAGCTGCGACAGCGCGGGTGACGCCAGCACCGCCTGGGCCCTTCGGATGTGGGGGGACATAAGGCCCACGGCGGAGTGGAGCGCCTCGGGGGTCCAACCAGGGGGACGGACGGGGCCTGGAATAGACAAAAGAGAGGCGGAGAAAGCAGGGGAGGGAAGGGGACGGGCGGGAAATAATTATAACTTTGCACACACTTAAGCGGGGGACAATTTAGATCAACATGAAAAGGACGCGAAATAGAAATTTCTCAATGAGGGGGCCGGACATGGGGTGGGTTGTTAAGCGGGGAAAGCGACGGGTAGCGGGTGTTGACGAGCAGTAGAGAAGAGGCGGTGGTATGGAAAAGGTGAGCTAGACATTTATTGCCGCAAAACAAGACAAAAGACAGGGGGAGCAGGGGGGGCTGGGGCAAGCCAACTGGCAAGGATAGACTGCGCGGGTAGACACCCCTCATCCCCTCCCTCCCAAAACATGCCATGCTTGCCTAATATATTATGGACAGCGATATTCAGTTGTATATGTGAATGGGCCTACCATATTCAGCATTGGGCACTAATTACGACGAACACGACTACCCAAAACACGCACGTGTCGGTAAGTTTGGGGTTTCGGAAATACGGCAGGAAGAGTCGCGTCTTTGCCTTGGAATTTCCTTTGTCCAGTCTAGTTTGTGCGTGTGTGTGTATATTTTGCATTCAATCCCCTCCCTCCCTCGCTCGCTCCCTCGCCCCGTCGCTCCCATCCGGCCCTGCCTCGCTCAACCACGCCTCCTTGCCAGGTTTCCCCGCTGCCCCGCCCTTCATTTAAAAAACCAACCGGCCCCGCCTTTCTCAATTCGCCTAACGTCACATAGAAGCCCCTTCCTCCCCGGCCGCACCTACCCTTGGCCGCCAGGCTGAGCACCCCCACGACTTCTGCATCCGCATTCATGAGCGCCACCGCCGCGAATTGGTTGAGTCCGTGTTCCTCGAACAGCATCTGCCAGTCCCCGGGCAGGTCCTCCGCGGGCCGCTGCTCCAGGGAGTGGGAGGGCGCCGCGTCGCCGCTGTCACGAGAGCTGACTGCGATCCCGCCTGCGCCTGAGGCGGCGCCGGGGGGCAGCGTAGCAGCGGAAGCTGTAGCAGTGGTGGGTGTGCTGGCAGTAGCTGCTATGGCTATGGCTCCTGGTGGCGCGGCTGCAGGTGCGGCCCCAGAGGGCATGAGGCCCACCGCGCTGCGGTACATGAGCGACTGGCAGGGGCACTCCTGAGAAGCAAGGAGGAGTGGTTGAAAGGAGGAGGAAGCGGAGGCAAGGGGTGGGAGGCAGAGATATGACTTCCATTACGCAATTTTATCCATGAAGCTTTGGGCATGCCGTACAGCGCCGTACGCAACCATTGCCAGAAGCGCACTGGCCCAAGAGATGCTGGCTGCCTGCCGTACCATGCGTGATAGAACCCTTAACCAAGCCGCACGAAGCTCCTGCCCACCTGTCGCATCCGCAGGATGGCGGCTGGCGCCGACCCGTTGAATCGCGGGTCGGAACTGTAGGCACGTCCCGCCGTTGATGCCGTACCCAACCCGGCACAGGCAGCCGTTGCAGCCCAAAAGTCCGCCGTGCTCAGCACAAAGATGCTGCGAAGGGAAGCGAAGCGGACGGGAAGGCGTGGCCGTGGGTGTGAGGTCGCGGAAGAGATGAGGGCCCTGAGCGACTTCGCGTGATTCGTCTGTTTGGTGTCATAACCCAGATTGATTCGGCACAGTAACCGACCATCTATGTAATTTGTGAAGGGAAGAGCGATGGCCAAGTTTAGAATGGCCGCGGCATTAGGGCAATGGCCGCTGGACGTTAAGCCATGCGAGTTGATTTCCCGCACGTCCGGGATGTACGCCCGCGACCCACATCCTGGATAACCCTATAAAACTGATAGAGCCACATGCACCTGCTATACATGAATGAAATCCCGGAGTTCCAAAAGGGCGGGGATCATACCCCATCGAGCCACAAGGCTTGTTGTCGAATGGTAGAAGGCAGCGGGCGCTGCATTCCTGCCATGGCAGAACTGCCCATTGCGAAGGCACCGTGCCGGAGTCAAGTCTGTGCCAAGCCACAAAAGCGAATCACATCTAAGCCAAGCTCGCAGCTTCCAAACTCGAGCGCGCCACATCTGCCGACCTAGCACGTCTAACATTTCAACACAATCCGCGGTCGGTAGCTCACAAACCCCCATATTATGCGCCTTTTTGCGGTTTCCTGTCGATACGTAGTCATTCCCCGCCGTTGAGGCGGTTAAGCGGCCTCACCAGGCATGCTCTGCGTTCAGATGCTCACAGGTTGCCTGACATGCTTCAGAAAGCCAGGACCACCAGCCGCCCTCCAGCGCGGTCAAGTGATGTATGAGCCTTATAAAACCATCGTTTAGCTGTTAAATAATGGGGTAGAGAGGGCTTGGGGGCTTAGCGATATCGTGCGTGTGCTCGTCCGATGGCGCTTTAGCAGCAGTCACCCAACGCCAACACAAAGGTCTTCAAATCATGCGCTCCATTTGAAATAGACGCGTACCTGGGGCTCCATTTGGGTTCCTTTATTTCGCCTTGACGTGGCGATAGCTTGGGCTGACACCGGCTCCCGCGCCTTGAAGGAAATTGGCCTGCCCTCAGGTCTCTCAAAAGGGCAATCCATAGGTGGCGTGGCAATCCATTCTTGCGCCAAGATATCTGTTTCCTGGAGCGGCTCTGGTTCTTGGGCCGCAGGGGTTCCGGTGAAACATGCAAACAATGGCATTTGATACAAAGATAAAGAGGGCTACAGCTCAATGGTTACGGTAATGTAAAGAACTTATGGTTATGGTCACAGGAAGGAGGCCTGCAATTCTCCCTGAGCGCGGATCGCCATTGTATACAAACGCATTATGTCCATCGGTAAAAAGCGCTTCGGCCGCTGCCAGCCAGAAACAGGAAGAAACATGTACGAGCAGAAAAGTCATGGCATGACATTAGTACTTACGGCACCATGCATTAGCAACAGGTGCGCCCAGCAGGTGCGACTGTAAACCATATGGATTCGACCAAGTCTGGAGTATCGCAGGAATTATGATAGAAATTCCGGTGTAGCTGCCGCTTGGGATTCCAGGCCATCGCATGGTTACTTTCGGTTACGTTCAAAAGTAAACCAGAGGAATGGCTGTTCGCAACCCCAAAACATCATCGGCCATTGCTTCTTTCATCAGCTTTCTGTAGCCATACGGGCGCCGTATGAGCGTCATACGGATGCCACCATAATTGCGTCTTTTTCCACAGACGCCACCATTCCAGCGTGTTTGGCCCCAGCGGAAGGACAACAGAAACGGAGCAACTTCTCGAAGGCCCTACATGACCCTAGCAGCGCCCTAATACAATCTGCACGCAAACCGAGTACGTTTTCCCACCTGCAACCGACCCACTAAACCCACTTCGTCGGTTCTGCACGCTTGCCACGTGCAGCGCCATGCGTCGGTTCCGAAATGATAAGACACAATACAATGCACCCGACAATTCGTTGTGACAGGTTAAGGCTCATAGAACTCGTGACGCATGACCACGCACGGGAAGCGAACTGCGTTTTTTCCACCTTTGGACTTAAATTTTGTAGGAACCTATTCTGGACGGAGATGCGCATTTAAAGAAGCCGGCTGACTTATTACGATGGGCGATTTTCTCTCCTGTCCTGTTGTAATCGCCTAGCTACGTACTCGCTTGGAGCCCGTCAATGGTGTTGTCGTGCTTGCATTGTATGCGTCAAGGAGTAATAGCATTTGACATGTACGCCCCATGATGCCGTATGTGCCGTACATGAATGGGTAAAACATATACTATAGCGAAAACGTGCAGCAAGGCATGCCCGCGGGATCGAAACTGTGTACGCCGTACATCGTACGATGGTAGAATTCCAGTTCTTTAGCTCTAAATATGAGTTGATGATTTTGCATTTGTGAATGTACGTACAGGTATACAGATGCAACGTGCGCGGAGCGAATGTGATCAAATGTCTTCAGTTCACCCAGGTTTATCCCACCTAACCCCAAGCCTCCCGCCTTCGCATCACCATCCGCGCCCCCCTTCCTCCTCCTCCTTGTCCTGCACAGTAAGGCTACGTACCTCAGCACATCGCAACGTCCCAGATATGAAAGGCGCCGCTATCGCTCCTGTAAATCTCGAGAACCATGACCCTTGGATCAAGATATACAACTAATATAAACAACAAACATCGAAACATGCATAGATACATACATACATTAACATACATAAGCACCAGCTCGCAAAGGAAGGGCGCCCGCAAATAATGGTCTCCTTGCACTCACAGACGCATTTCTACATGCCCGGTTCCAGATACAGCAGATTTACCAAGGCGCGGCAATCCCGAGAAATTTCCTCAGTCGCTATTGGGTGCATGCATCCCCAAGTCTATATAACCACCCATGACGCAGTTTTGGCAACCGTCGCAGCAGTCTGTAGTGCCCCTCAACAAACTAATCACTCACTCGATTTGCCTTCGCAACGCACATCGACATAAGGCCCTCCCCCCATAGCCCGCCCCACCCGCCCACCTCAACCCGTGTGTCGTACAAGGTACGACATGCATTTCGTCAATGCTCGATACTGGGAGTGCTCAGTCCTCACCGCCAGCAGCTATCCAACCCCTATCGCCCCGAACAAGCGGGGTTTATTCCAGTAACAGGCTTCCGAGCAGCTGCTGGCCCGCGCACATTTAGCGCATCCGCCCCTTCTCACCCCCACCCCACTTCCCAGATATGGGGGAGGGAGTGCGGGGAAGGGGCCATCCGGGCTCAATCGATCAAGAAAGGAAAGCGGTCGCCGCCGATCTGGGAAAACCGAAGGATCACACAAGTATATCTCCCCCAACCCAGCCTTCACTTCCCCCCAGCCCCCAGCCTCCATGCAATCCTCCACGGCTTCCCCTTCCATTATCTGCACAGGAGGACCCTCAGGGTCCGTACAATGCCCGTACAATGGTCGCAAAAGGGCCACGCTGCGATGCGAAAGGCGCGCACGTACAGCTGCAGTCGCAACACACGGCCCTGATCGAGCCCAAGACATCATTTGTAAAATAAGATAAAGGATTGGAAAAAAATGAAGGATTTTCCTCCTTGTCTGAGTTGGCTGTAGACGAACAACAACAACAACAACAACAACAACAACAACAACAACAACAACAGTAGAGCCGCGCGCCTGCCCCTGCGCTGTGTTTCGGCCCGGTCAGGGCCCCCGGTGCTCTCGGTCCTTTCTCGGGGCGAACCGCCCACAGTGTAACACCCCAACAACAACAACACACAACAACAGTTCACTATTTGTATTGGTAATATTCGCATTATAACTATTATCATCATATCAGTAGTAGTCGTATAGACCTAAGAAGGTGCGGCGCACGAGTCTGCACGCAGCAAGACATCGCTCGCGAGACATCGCTCGCCGCACCAACACCGCATCTTCATCACAACTGAGAGGTGACTCCGGTGGCGATGCACCTTGGTGGCGCTGCCAACTGCACACAGATGACAACACCCCAAGGAGCATGTGCGGCCCTGCAAGTGGCCCGGGGCAAAGGGGACCGACACGCAGGCAAAGCCCAGCCGTGATTATCCCCCTCCTTGACTACTGAGATTACATCAAGGGTGTCGTGTCGTCGGTACGGCACCCCACAAGACCCGTCGTCATTTCCGAGACACATCCACGTCACACCACGTCAATGTTCATATTTAAGCCAATATGCTGTTCCAAGCTGACGTGGCTTCAAACCGCAACGAGACTCATCGCGATGTTCCGGGCTGTCCCCTGAACCGCCGTGTCGACCGGCTCTTGCTGCTGCAGGTGCTGCTGCAACTCCTCGTCAGAGGAAGCCCGGGCAGCGCCGCCGCCGCCGCCGGACTGCGGCCCCAACAGCTCCGCGCGGATAGCCCGCTCGATGGCCACTAGCTGCTCGGCAATTTCGTCGAACGCCGGCCGGTCTGCCGGGCTGAAGCTCAGACAGCGGCGACCCAGCTCAATGATGCCCGCCGTCATGGGGGCGCCCTCGGGCCAACGAAGCTTCAGTGTGTTGTTCTGGATGCCCCGGATGACGTCCTCTGTGCGTGGGCCGGGGTGTAGGTGGGGGGAAGGGGTAAGGGTAGCCGCGGGTGGGTGAGGTGGGAGGGGGAACTGGGGGGCAGCTCAACCCTAACGAGAGACGCAGGTCGGTTCATCAGGTGATCGCCGGGCAGTTGGGAAATACGGTTGACTGAACCAGGGGGCCGGGGAAGTGGACGTGTAGGCGAATGATCGATGTAATCATCTGTCTGTCTGTCAATCAGTCTGTCTCTGAACGTATGCACCACCACCAGTCGCTCCAGCACGAGTCTAACCCCCAAACCTGACGCAGCCCCTTCTGGGCGGTGAAACAGCCACCCTCACCCCCACCCGGCTCCCACTCACGTTGCCCCAAGCCCATGTACGGCCGGGACCCCGTCAGCATTTCCCAGAGCAGCACTCCAAACGCCCACACATCCGTGGCCCGACTGACTTTGCCGTCAAAGGCCTCCTGAAGGGGGGGGTTGAGTGGCGGGAAAGACGAACCACGGATGTGTGAAGCTGGGGAAGGGGTTGAGTGGGGCCGGGGTTCAGTAGCAGTCCAGGAAAGGAGGCAGGCAGGGGGTCGGGGGAGGGAGCGGCGGGAAAAGGCAAAAGGGAAAGGGCGGTTGAGGAGGGACCTGAGTAACCCGGGCGGGGAGGGGTAGGTGAGGAGAGAGGCGCGGTGGGTCCCTGGGCCACACACACACACACACACGCACACACACGCGCACCCGCAGCTCCCCTCCATCCGCAGCTACCATTGCACCCCCCCCCAAGGTGAAAGCCCCGCCAAACACTAAAACCCCACACCCCAAGGAAACATCTTCTCCCCACTCCCCCCCCGGCAGGCCCAACCGCCCGCACCGGTGCCATATACGCAACGGAGCCCCAGCTCTTCGTGACCAGGCTGGCCACCGCGTCCGGGAGCACGTGGGATAACCCGAAGTCGGCCAGCTGGGGGAGGAGGTGAGGGGGGAGTTGGTTGTAGGTTGTGGGTTTCATGGGGGGTGCAGGAGCAGGTGCGGGAGCAGGTGCGGGAGCAGGAGGACGCGTGGGGAGGGGGAGAGTGCGCACGGGGAGGGAGCCCCGCAGCCGGGGACCCGCTAGCAGCCTTCTGAAAGCTTCGGCACGCGACACCAACCGCGGTGGATAGCCGCCCGCTTTACAACCACCGCACCGCCACCGCCGCAACAACCACCACTAAACGCAAACCCCTAGCCAGTGTGCGAATGGCTCCATGCCATCCACGACCAACTACTTTTCCACAACCGATTGTCGTACCTTTGCGGTGAAGCCTCGGCGGTCCTCCCTGGAGCTGTTGAGCAGGATATTGGCGGGCTGCAAACACACGACATACACGGGTGTACAAACATACATTCAGACGTACATACGGGGCTCAGATCTGTGAAACGCCGCGAGGGGGGGAGACGCCGCGACGGGAAGGAGGCGACCCGCACACCGCAAAAGAAACGATCCCACAACACACCAGAGAACAAAAAGTAGCATTATTGTAACCAAGGTAACGACGATGACGACGTGCACAACACGGGCTCACACACGAGGATTCACCCACGGGTTATTAAATTTGCGGTCCGAGGGGGTACCCGTACCCAGCAAGGCACGGCCATTACATGTGCGAGAGGCGAATGAGCGGGTAAGGGCTGATGCGAGTGTGTGTGTGGGTGTGTGTGTGGGGGGGGAAGGTCCCGCGTGCATCGGGGGCCGTTGTCGAGGGAATGAGGTGCCGTACGTGCCCATGTGCGCGTGCGTACTATGAAAAACATGCCGTACCTTGAGATCGCCGTGTACGACGCCGCCATCGTGCAGATGCAGCAAGCCCCGCGCGACCTCGCCGGCAGTGCGTAGCAATGTACGACGAGCCAGACGTAAGCCCCACAAGGGGTTGGGCTGAAAGATCTTCTTGCTAATCGCATTGTCCAGAGTGCCGCGATCGCAGTACTCCTGTACGACAATCACCACCATCTTGCCTGTCTCTGCCTGCGCGACGCAAGTGCAAAGCCGGGTTGTGGTGTTGGACCGGGGGGGCCGGGGGCCGGGGGCCGGGGGGGGAGGTGGCCACCACCAACAGGCCACCAGCATCACCCAGCCTTCAACCCCTCAGTATGGAACAGAAAGGTACCGCACACGCCGATGTGCTATGAACTACATACATACACACATACATATACACACACGCAATGGCGACACGTCATGCCGCACAAAAGGCCGCCAATGACGTCATGCAGGGTCAGCAGAGCCCGCAGCGACAGAGCCCCTCGTAGCATAGAACGGGGGCCCAGGCACAGGCCGGGTGTTCCGGCAAAAATGTACGCCACGAAACCCTCCCTAAACTCTTTACAGATCACACTCGTACAACGTACGACATACCCCCAGTGCGTGCAGGATCTGGTGCAGTACAAGCAGGGGGTCCATGCCATCATTCAATCCCTGGGGGTCACCAAAACCATCACCTACAAGCACACAAACAAAAACATGCAAAAACATGAGCGAAACGTACGGCACAGCAGATCAGAGGCGCTGAGAGGGTTGTACGGAGGTTCTCGGGAGGTGGGGAAGAAAGCACCAGGCGCGGAAGACCCGTAAGGGGGTTAGGACGGGGGTGGTATCAAGCTTAAGTTGGTTGCAGTCGGTTCACCCGGCAGTTAGGCAGTTATAAGGGGGGGATCCAGGCCATTCCTATCCCCTCCCGCACCCTTCCTCTCTCCCCCCTGATCTCACCAGATTGGATGGGGACCGGCTCCAGGGTGCGTGGCTGGTTGGAGTCCCGCTGGTCGCCCCTGCAGCACACCGCCACCAGGAGGAGATGCGGGCGGGGGTCGGCAACAGCAGCAGCAGCAGCACCACCACCACCAGCAACAAATGAATAGGTAATAGTACGAAAGCCACCAAAGCAACCAACATCAACAACGTCAACAGGTACCAGCAAAGGAGCAGGAGCAGCAACGCAGCCGTGCGTAAGAGAAGCCCGGAAGCCTGCAGTGCAGTGCGGTGCGGGTCGCACCATTTGCAGGCCCCAACGAGCCCCCTACGAGTGCGGACGGGCGAGAGACGGTGTGAGAAGCGCAGAGGAGGTGGAAATGGAGGCGCAGCACTAAATGCAAACACACGCCTATTTGTATAGTCATTTACACATCAATGCATAGCCACCGTCAGGTGCTGATTGCGGGGAGTGATGTGGTACGGCGCCATGCAGTCGAACCGACTGACCGACCGACCGACCGACCTGCCGCCCTCCAAGAGGTCGAAGAATTCGTTTGTCAAATGAGCAGCCCGGGTCGTAAACGTCTGTGTAAAGTACAACAGGTGGAAAGGGCGGGGGAGAGGAGGGGGGAAGAGATAAGAGATGGATAGAGACGGCGCACAGGCGCCTGATTCAGTATGTTCAGCAAGTCAGACAAGGTTGGGTCATATCAGATCTCCAAAGGAGGAAAGACGACCCGAAGGAAGCAGTTATATATTAGCCCGACATGAAGCAGCTGATGTGGGCTCAGTGCGGGTTTCTTCATAGAAGCTTTCCTAGTAGAGCAGCAATCAACGCCCTCGACCAGAGAAACCGGTCAGGGAGCACCCCCCAGAAAGTGACAATAAACCTTTCGAAACAAAAGCGACACAGCCCAAGCCCAGAGAACGGAAGAGGCGCGAAAGCCCATGAGTCGACAGCGCACTGCTGTTCGTAGCAGAGTAATGCGCGGGATGGCGCTTGCCGGCCAATGAGGTTCCCGGCACCTACCGAGACGATATTTGGGTGCACCAGGCTGGGGCCCAGCAGCAGCTCCCGCAGCGCGGCTCGATCCAGTCCGGCGGAGAGCATCACCTTGACCGCACAGCTCACACCGCGATACGCTCCTGTGGGGGACAGCGGGCAGAGGGAGCGCCAGGAGCTGTATATACCCTTGCCCTGGTGGGAGTGTACTGGTGGAGACATGGGCCCCCGCAACAAGATCCCGGGGCGCAGAGAGGGGGTGTTTTTAGGGAGGTTGGACTTGAAAAGCATCGGTCAGTGTTTCCACCTTTTGGACCTGGCAGCCAGGGGAAAGAGATGAAGTTGTTGAGGATGGTTGCTCAACGTGCTCAAGATGTTTTACGCGCTATATCTTTTATCTACACGGGTTTTCCTTGGGTGAGGCCAATTATGTAGATAGCCAACCAATACCAGCACGCGTAGTCGCCTTTTTAGTCAGGATTGCATGCGACGGATAGTAGACGATAATAGCACAGTAAAGGATAAAAATGCATGATTTTACCAGTAACAACGATGCCGTATGTCCCGCGTCCGAGCTCATGTTGTCTGAGGCGTAGACCATCCATAATTTGGGACGCATCGCACACCACGACATTTTCGGCATCCATTTCGTGCAACTTGGAAGCATTAAGGCGGCCCTTAATGCTTGATACCGCGTCGCCTAGCCTGTCAGACGTGGCGCTTAATGGACCAGTTACGACCTGGCCATTCGCGGAAACTTGACGCTCGGGGTTGCTCGGGCGGTGGTAGCCATTTACGCTCGCCTTTGGTGTCGATGGTTGACAAATGCTTTCAGCAGCCACCTGCACTGCTGGACCAACAGGTTTACTGCAGCATCCCTCCGGGATGCCTTCTTTGGGCATGTTCGTTTTTCCAAAGCATGCACGAAACATTTTTCACGAGTGCTCAGTCCACGCTTGTTTGCAGTTGAGTAAAGCAGTGAATGAGTCAAGCTTGAGCTGTGACTGTGAAATGAGCAAGGACAAAATCAGTAAGTGGTTCCACCACCGCTATAAGTTACCACCTGTTAGTTGAAGGGCCTTCGGGCGATGAAACGCTGAGCTACTGACATTATCGTCTGACTAAGTGTCGTATGATACGGGGGCTTATGTCCTAACTGGTTGACTAATGTTTTGGCGTCATCTGCAAAAAGAGCTGCCCCCTATCGTGTACATGTGGACTGAATTACCCACGGCTTTACAGTAACTAGACGGGTCGCAGCAATCTTTTGATTTGAGCCTTAACTCAGCTGTTAGCTCAAAATCCTTTTGATGTTGAAAGACCGTCTGTGTGCAGCGAGCATTTAGCCAATATTGCAGTAATCATTTCCTGCCAACATCAGAAAATGCATATAGGAGTCAATGCAACGCGATGCCGGCCAACGGTCAAACTCATAGTCAGTCGTAGGTACGATGGGTTTTCCGGACCTCAATCCACAATGGAAAAGAAGCCGCGCGCCGCCTCTCCTGGCCCTTATTTGCAGCAATGATGCATCCTCGGCGTCATACTCAAAGTTGCAGACCCTGTTGGCGTTCGGTAGGTTTCGGTAGGTTCATTGATGCTGGTTTGGACTCCTACATTCCTTTGCACCGGCACCGTCTTGGCATGCTGTTCAGTTTTAGAATCAAGGCTGGTCATAACGGTACGCCAGCATCTACTAAGGCATTTGGGGGTGAGCACCGCACGCGGCCAGGTGAGACCACAGGACTGCACGCAGAAGAAAGCGAAGAAGAAGGCGGTCAACCACCCTGCGAATGGAAAATGCTTTACAAAACCTTACAACAGACATCTCCTCGTATCCTATATTATATTACATAGACCGTAATAACGCAGCAGAGCGCTCACCAAGCGCCTCCAAGCCTAGCCTAGGACACCGGTCGCCCAGCCGGAAGCCGACCTCGTTACAGGCGATTGCCGAAAAAACATTTCCCTAGGGAAAGACCTGACTGCCCGCCAACGAAACGCCGCAGCAGCCAGGGCCCGCAGCCAAAGCCGCGAACAAGACAATTTTATTTCAGTCTCGGGGTGCCATGGGGTTCATTACTCTATTTCGTTCGGGATACAAACATTCGTCTTCTCTCACCAGGTTTGCTGTCAACAGCAGGCCCTAGCAATGTCGCCCCTAGTGGCCCCACTGCTGCCACAGAACGCACCTCCCTGTCCGAGTCTGAACGACTTAAGCTTTATCTCGGAAAGGGGCTTTCCACTTTAACAAGCAAACGCACAAACGCACACGTGGCCACGCCTTCACGCACGATCCTTCCTCCCCAGCGACCCGCAAGGAACTTTCACATCACAGAAGAATAGCGGGTTCAGTCCTTCGCCAATCCTGCGGTGAGGGGGGAGCTGGTACGCGGTAAGTCATGACCTAGCTCGCATCTACCGCACTGCGCGCAATGCACACATAGGAATAGAAACACCAGAAAGACACGTGGGGACATCACATCACATCGCGTAACACCATGCCCGCTGGCGTTTCTCTACCTTGCTGCCCTGCGAGAGAAGCGCTCTCCTCGAGAATAATTCATTTTTCCCCTCGATGCTACAAAACGGCCACAAAACGCCGCTGCGATGGAAGCGCATGAGAATAATCTACGCTGCAAACCAACATTGCATAAGATACCATCATGTTTGTCATTGGGAAAATAATCTAGTCAATAATGTAAAATGCGCAAAAAGCAAGCTGCAATCATTATTATGGCCAAAACGAGCGCCCATAAACATTGCCAACAAATCGCACAAAAGATGGTTATAAACGGCAAAAAAGCTGAGACTCGTGTGCACATTCACACTCTGAATTCGCACCATGAGCCCAAGTGAGCCGTACAACGTGCTACACTTACACTGTCTTGCGCAGCTTCAGTGCAATGCAAGCCCGTTTGCAGCCCAGGGGACAGCCGCTTTACCATGTGGGTGGGAGCAACACCAGCGCCAACAGCAAGAGCGCTGTGGTCATGGTGCAGCAACTTGAGCAACACACAGCGATGCAGCGCCACGGCAAGCCGTTACCAAACATGCGCCACCAACACACCCACACAACCACCACCACCACCAGCGGTGCCACTGCGTGATGGTGATGTCAGAACATGGAAATTGGGATAATGAGATCATGGCACCCTTGTTGCAGGGCCCAATTGACCAAACCGCTACTCGCACTCCCTCATTCAATCTTTTCATTTCGCTCTTCATTCATTCTCTCCTTCACTTTCCGAAGACGCAGCAGAAGGAGAGTGCACATCACTGCAACCAACTGCTTCGCTCCCAGAACCCCCGACTAGGGAAAATCGCACCACCCTTTCCGGCGTTTCGAAGGTTTTAGATATTTATTTACTCGCTTTTGCACCAAGGAACTTATGACAGGAAAATGTAAAGTAATTTATTCCACCGCGATGACAGCAAGGCCAGAGCAGACCCTTCAGGGGCCCATGACTGCAGCAACACAGACACCAGCACCAACAAGATCCGGAAGACAAAAAGGACACATCCAGGTGCGCGCGTGAGGATCCCGGCGACCATACACACACACATACATACACACACACGGGCACACACATACATACACACGAACACATACACGGGCACACACATATATACACACACACGGACACATACACGGGCACACAAATACATACACACACGGGCACATACAAGGGCACACACATACATACACACGAACACATACACGGGCACACACATACATACACACACACGGACACATACACGGGCACACAAATACATACACACACGGGCACATACAAGGGCACACACATACATACACACGAACACATACACGGGCACACACATACATACACACACACGGGCACACAACGATCGTTAGCGCTCTCACCTCACAAAGCCATATCCACACCTACACCGACATAGAGGCCCCCTCGCCCGCCGGCGCGCACACTGGTGTGCATCTGCGCTGTGTGCCGCAATAGGGCCGTGTGGATGTGTGGGTGTGTGGGTGGCCGCAGTTGATCTGGCTCTCGAAGAGTTTTTCATTCCATGCAATAAAGCACTCCTTTCGCGCCGCATTACACAAACATGCAGCAGCAGCAGCACTCAGGAGACCAGATACATACCATGTAAAATACGACAATGTAATTGAAGGTCAGACACAGCCCAGGATACTCTTCAGACGGAACGGTTCTGGGACCCCCCTTCACCCCCCGGGGGGCCCCCCTCCTGGCTTCGGCTCTGGCTTTGCTTTCCCCTCCATAAGGCCCCCGTCCGGGCATTGTACGGCATTACGAAAGGCCAAATCCGCCGCTTTCATTACACGTGGATAAGGGAAGCAAGCCATCGCCTTGACCGTCCCCACATCCCACTACTCCGCCACTGTCGCGATGACTCTGACCGCACCGCCGGCCTCGCAACGGCCGCAGAGGGTCCTAGGCGTGTGTCGCACATACACACGTACACTAACGCATCCCGTACATGTCGTACCCTCTTGACTTGCACCCTTCCGGCCGCGCGCGAAGCAGCACACGTACCCACAAACACACAAAGACAACCACAAAAATGCTGTGCGGTGTGCAATGTAGCATGCGTTGCACACATACATACATACATACATACACGGCCACAGTGACGCGGCGCCTCCGCAAACCTGCCGTCCCCCGCCGGCCGCCTACATGCTTGCGAGCTAGCGATCAATGCATACCAGTATAGGCAGGCGGCTGGCAGAGGTTAAGGCCTGACTTCTGCTCCCAGTCGACCCAGTCGACCCGGGTTCAAATCCGCCTGCCGGCTCCTCGGGTGTTTGAGGAGTGATGAAATGGGAGGTGGCCCCCCATCTTATGGACGGTGTAGGACGTGATAATATCAACTTGCGAGCTGACCAGGAACTAAGTTGATGCGCCGTTGATCCGCTAGATTTGGTTGGATGCTGGTGGTGAGTTGCCGAACCCAACGAATACATTCTGAAGTCGGATGGGGTGACGGATTAGGGTGCCCCTCTAGCAGGGGAGAGCAGGGACTGCCCCGGGAAAGGGGGCCGCTGGCGAAGTTAACCACCCTGTAACAACATACATACCATGAAAAGAAGGATGTGCATCAATGGTGGGACTCACCCGATCACAACACGAACAACTGATCAACCAAACGAAGCGACCCCGCCCCCAATGCCACTCCAAAGCTGACCCCGAGCCCCGGTGCGTGTGCGTGTACGCTCCCCCCCGTGGAGCAGCCCCCAGCCGCCGGTGCCGCCGTGTCACACCTGCCCCTGTGTCATCACTGACCCAAGGGTCACAATCGCGCACATCACAACAATTATCAATGATAGCCATCAATGATAGCCAGGGCCACCACTACAATCCACAAGCACTGCATCATGAACCGTCGGGCTCACACCCACACCCACACCCACACTGCGGCACCGAGGTGACCGCAACAACGAGGACGGACCTCTCCACCGCCGCCGCGCTGAAGCGACACCGACAGGCAACCAGGCTCAAAACCCGAAACCCCCCACCCCACCCCCACAGTCACCCGCCCGCCCTCAAAACAACCATCCATCCATCCATCCATCCAGACAAGCCCCGTACAGATTATTATGTTAGGGCAAAATACAATAAAATTTCAGCGAGATGCGATGAAGCCTCCACGACACTGCAAAGAAAGCATTACACACCACACCTGCGCCAAGGATAACGAAACAACGGCCAACGGTCCCCCGCTTTGTAGACCTGCGACCCCAGCTTCGCGTGTGTGTATGTGTGTGTAGCTTTCCTGCTCCCCCAGCTGGTACACTGCAACTGAGAGGAAGCAGCAAATTTTTGTATCTTCTTCATGATAAGGGACTTGCCCTCCATCTCATATGTAGCATCTCATCTCATCCCGGGGCCGCCCACACACCCAACCCGCTTCCGGCGGTGGGGGAAGGGGTTCGCGGCGCACACTGCGCAAACACCCAGTCGCAATCCCTTGGACTGGACACACCGTTGCGCGGGACGTGCGCGTTGGGTTTGCCAACATGCCTTGTGTGTGTGTGTGTGTGTGTCCCGGTTACGTCATGCGACTATATTTTAAACTCCCCCTTGCTCCCCCGGGCGGTCAATGGTTCAGTTGGGGGTTGCGCGACCGAATGGCTCTGCTCGTACTCTGAAACTCCGTTGCCACTGGCTCAGCTAACGGACCGAGTGCTTATCGGGCCATGTAGCTCTCCCCTCCCCACCCCTGCCATCCTGGTGATGTTAGGTTCGCTACGGAGCAGCACCATCACGAATACTCACCCCACAAGCAAGTGAGCACCATACTACGTATTCTTCAAGAGCTCACAAAAAATACGACAAACACATGCACACACATGTGAACGCGCAGGTGGCAAATGCGCGCAGGTACGTGTGCGTGCACGCAGCCAGCAAACTGAAATCCTGCTACATACATACGGACAAACAGTTAGACAAATAAATAATCCTGCATCAGCCGTCCCTGCCAGCACAGCAAGACGACTCTCGAATGCGCCAGTCTCCCCCATCCGCGTGCGCGCGTGTGTGGGCGTGCATGTGTGTGTGTGTGTGTGTGTATGTCCGACACGCGTCACACCCGCATGCGGATGCGGGAGCCGGACCGTGCTCACAACACAGCCCGTCAGAAGCGTTTTGACTGGCTTCAAAACGGCTGCCGCCGAGGTTGACGGATAAGCTCACCCGCGCATCCACGCAGCATGCGGCCGCACATGCTCCAGGTGCCTTGTCAACGGCACACACGACAGACATACAGACATGGCAACGCGAGCGCCCGGGACAAACTGCGCGCTGTTACGTGCGGTGTGGCGTCACCACCGCCGATGACGATGGCGCTGGCCCTGGAGCGATCAGCTCTTCGCGCTATTTGGCGTCTCCCCCATCCATCATCCATCATCCCATCATCCTATCGCATGCACATGCAACAGGATACACGCCTTTGGATAGTCCTTAAGGCCAATAACTGATACCGTTATACTCTGTTATTACCGTTGAAACGGAAGATTGCAGAACCGGCCTCGATTTTAAACCCCCAAACACCCCCGCAGCCCCAAAGCCCCGCAACACACACGGACAGTACGAGAAACACATGCTGCTTCCTAAGTAGGCAATACCAGGGCATGCAAGTGAGAATCGCGATAGTAACAACGCCAGCAGCACCAACGAATCATGACGCCGACGAATATCAACGCAGGGAGGAATTACCAAAACTACGGTACTGGTATTAGCCCTCGTGATGCGGTGGGTGTGTGTGTGTGTGTGGGGGGGGGGGGTAGACATCTCTCTCAAGCCTCAGTGGGGTCCTCAGCGACCTCCTCCGCAAACAACAATGGCCGAATTACTGCATCTGAAATTGGCTGACTTGTCGTACGGGCCAGAGCAGCCGCCGCTGCTTTGCGCGGCAGGCCGTGCCGCACAGTGCCCTCGTACATGACGGGCGGCACCTCCGCCTCCAGCGCCGCGGTGGCGCCGAAGAAGCCGCCGCCGCGACGCGAACTGCCGCCGCCCGATGCCCTCGACATCGACATCGCCTTCGACACGTCGAACGATCGCCGGGCGTTGACCACGTCACGAAGACGGGCGTCAATGGAGGTCTCCGGCCAGCCCGCGTTGGCGCCCACCGCCGCCATTGCGTCGAGCGAGCCCCCGAGGCCTCCTAAGCTGCGGCTGCGATCCAAGCCCACGACGCCGTGCCCCATGCTCCGTGAGTGCCGCAGCAGCGTTTGCTCGTCCATCACACCGAACGGTCGTACTACACGGTGCGCTCCGCCGCCGCCGCCGCTGTCGGTCGTAGCGGGCAGGACAAGTACCGTTTCGAAGAGGCTGGCGAAACAGACCCCCCTGGGCCCCCTTCGGGAGCCCTCTTCCACACCCGCGGGCTGGTGTTCCCCCTCCTCCGAGGGACGCTGCTGAGACAGCGACGGCGACGACGTGTCCCGGAGCTGCTCCACCTCCTCCTCCTCCCCCCCGCCTTCCTCCTCCTCCACAGGGGCCAGCAGTAGCTGCTGCTGCTGCTGCATCCCTTGTTGCTGCTGCTGCTGCTGCTGCCACTCCTCCCCCGCCTCCTCCGCGCTCAGCCGCGGTGGGCCCTCATTGGGGGGGCTCCGCTGCGGCGCACGTAGCCGCGGTGATGTGGAGGCGCTAGCTGGAGAGGGAGACGGCCGTCGCGCATCCCCCTCCCGAGCCTCCTCCGCTGCCTCCTCTCCGGCTGGGTAGTTGGAGCTTTGCGGCGCCGGGGCTCCCCCGGCAGGGGCACAAGCAGATACGGGGGCCACGTCATCGCCGCCGTCGCCCCGGGGCAGCACGCGCCCATCCCTCTCATCCCACCTCCGGAGCACAGCCGGTAGCGCAGATGTAGCCCCCGACCCGGATGGCAAGGAGGGGGGCTGCTGCTGGAGCGAAAGAGCCTCGGTCACCACCTCCGCCTCCGCCGCCACCGTATTAGATGCGACGTCGACGCACGCCGTCGCAAGATGTGCCGCGACCGCCAGCTGCACAGCATTTGACTGGCTTTTGCTTCCAGGACATGACTCGTCACCACCTGACGTGAGATCGGTGGCGGAGCCAGCCGCCGCCTCACTGTCAGCGCCGCCGTTGCCGCCGCCGCCGCCGCCCGGCACATCATCTTTGACACCTCTGCAGCTCTCAAGGCCGTTCCTGCTCTTATCCTCAGGCGTTGAGCTGGTTGTGGTGGTTGCAGCGCTGGCTCTCGCGACGTGGGCGGGCGAGAAGGAGGCGGTGGCGGTGGCCGGAGATGACATGGCTGAAATGAGGGCGGGCGCGAGGGGAGCAGGAGGAGTATCAGGAGCAGTATGACATGGAGGGACTGTTTGACCTGCGAAAACATCGGATTGGGAGGGCGGGGGAGAGGGGGGAGGGAGGTGAGGGGTGAGGTGACGAAGGGGGAGGTGGGAAATACGCAATGGTGAGGAAGAGGCGACATGACGCGGGATGAGGAGGTAGAGAACGATGTGGTGGACGGGGCTGTCATGGTACGTCGGTATGTGTGTCAGTCCGCGAGCTCTCTCTATCTGTCTGTCTGTCCGCTTCCGCGCTGCCAGCCAGCGCAACTACACACAGCCGCTCACACACCGACATACGAACGTACATCATTCCATGACGGCGGCTCAGTAGTCCAAAAAACACAACACGGCCAGGCGGTGAAAAACACCCCACATGCTAACTCAACCCCAACACCACCACACCACACCACAACCGGTGCCCACCCCCATCCCCACCCCCAAGCACCCCGCCCCCACACCTAGCTGCGGCGACCACAGATCTGAGGACGGGCCTCGCTCCAGAAGGCCGCCAAAGCCCTGTGGCTCCTGGCACTGCCCGGTGGACACGGCCCGCTGGGTCGCCTCCACATGCGGCGGCGGGGACGGCTCACCGGGGGGGCCCGCCGCCGCGGCTGTAGCCGTGCACGCCGCCGCTCTCAGCGTGCCGCCGCTTCCAGGGTATTGATCCTGTTGCAGCAGCGGCAGGAGTCGTTGAGGCTGGGGCTGTAAGTACAGCGGTTCGTTGGAGCCGTCGTCCCGGTCTCCCCTGGAATAATGCAGTATATTGCTACTGCTGCTGTAGCAGCCGGCGCTGCTGCTACAGCACAGGGAGCCGCCACCACCGCAGGCGCTGCTGCCGGCGTCGATGTCCTCGGAGCACGAGCCCAGCACCATCAGCAGGGGTTGTTTGTTGGAAAAAGGGGAGGCGCGAGAAGTGGAGATGTTGCTGCACCTGCTGTGAAGGCCAGCCGGTTTCTCCGGTTGGAGTTTGGCAGCTGCGACCCTGCTGCCGCTGCTAATGCTGCTGCTGCAGACGGGCGCTGCTGGTCCGTCGGGCGAATGCGCTGTCGGGTCTTTATGGGATAGCACACACGCGCCTGCAACAAGTCGCTCTGGCGCATTTCCTTTGTCGGTGAGGACGTCAGGGTCCTTACCAAGTCCGGCGCTAGCCTTAGGGCTCTGGTCTGAGCTGATGATGTTGGTCTGAGGGAGCGATGTCGCTTTGCGCAGCTGCTCAGACAGCAAGGACTTCCGCTTAAAAGAGCATGTACCGCGCGACACCACAAAGTATGTGTCGGTTTGACTGCTGAGCATTAAAGGCAATTGTAAGCTATCAGGGGCCGGAGTTGTCGAAGCCGTCTGACCAGCTGCATCCTGACTGGTACTTTTACAGGTAATTGTTCTCACAGCATTCATGCTTGCTGTTGCACAATCTGGTGTTGGGAGCGACCGCGACGGTCCTCCCAGCATAGAACGAGAGCGGGTCTGTCCCTGGCATACTTGCAGGGCAGGAATACCGATGCCGCAACCAGGATATGGGCTTTCAAGCCAAGCATCTAGACTGCCGACCTGATGCGCAAGCATTAGGATTGGGAGATAGCTGGCTGCCTGCATGAAAGAAGGCAGGGCAGCGTTCCAACTGACCACAATAGGCAAGTACTAAAATATCAACAAAAATTTACAATTTTTATATCATAATGTTTACAGGCTCCACATATCCTTGAATTCCCCGCAAACCCTGGTAAACCCTAGGAAGGCGTGGAAAGCCCTCATTACCTGATAAGCACTCACGAATCAATAGTCGTTTCCAAGGCTCAGATCAGCAGTAAACCTCCAGTCAGATACGCAAAAATCCTCGGTTGCCCGAGAGAACGTCCGGCCCCGTGTACACCGGCCGATGCTCAGCCCGCATAGATCATCTGTAATGGCTGCAAATGTAACAAATATTTCTACTACAATAATACTATCATTGAAGTGACGATTCACTAACTTGCAACCTGATTTTACGGGCAGCACGTGTACTTCAGGTGGATAACGAAAAAAGGTAACCCTCCTTTTCCGTACAGTAACTTCGGGATGCCTGTAACTTCAGATGTTTGGGATACCTATTTCGGAATCTTTCATATTTTGCGATTGCAAAAAGCCATGTTACGGCTGCTTACCTGGAAGTTCCCGGGTTGCAAATCAAACCACAGTGATCGCGCCCCTGCTTCGGATCGGACCGACCGTTTTGCCGATGAAATATATTGCCAAACGTGGATGTGAACATCGAAGTGGTTCCACCACACCAAAGCGAAGGTTAATCTATGTCTGCCATCTGTCCTTGCAGATGGCACAGCGCGAGGTTGATGCATAGAGGAGGCGCAAGACACCGGCAGACAATTCCTGACATGTGAGGAGCCCTCTTGAGCAGCAGTCAGCGAAAGCTGTGCGAAACCCGCCTGCTTGATGGCCTGACAGGGATCCTCGGGACCTTACCTACAACCGCCACCACCGACGGCGTGAGGAAGCCCCTCCGAACACGCCAACCCCTGCCAGTCACATTAGGTACATTTCGCCCCGTAGGCCTGCACTAACGCGTAAGCACTAGACGTATTTTGCTGTTCAGGCTTCGCAGCCTGAGTGTGGGTGTAAGTGTGTAAGGATGAAATTGTGAGTTATGTCGTGTGCTGTGTAGTGCGGAATGCAAGGGCCAGCAATATCAAGCTAAACCTTGTCGGACACCCTGGGGGACCAGGACGCGGCTCCTCCTCCCCCTCCCTGTCCGCATCCACCTTGTTGAACCCCTAACGTGAAGCCGGTTCAGCGCAATCACGTACGTAGTTCACATGGAGGTATATTACGGGGTCTCTGCTGTAGCAGACTGGGGGCATCCACCTACTGCCTCCATCACTCCAGGTAACCCGACGTCTACTTCTACCCCTACCTCTACCCCTACCCCTACCTCTACCCCTTACAACACAACCAGAAGAACTGAAACAAAAGCAACCGGGGGAGTGCCACCACCGCGTTACAACCATTCATGCATGGTCATCAGATTGGGAACCTGTATGTATGTATGTATGTACTTACTAATATTTAGGGTATGAGGAACCTTCTAGGAGCAGCCTGTCGCCCTCAGAGCCACAGAGCCCTACAACGACAAGCACGAGCGCCCTCATCGTACTTACATAGAGCAAAATAGCACCTTTTAAGTGTCAGGCAGAGGGATGCAAGGGGGTGATGTCCCCTTGGAAAGGCGCTTACTGCCTTCCGCCGCCAGTGATTCGTCCACTGTCTGCCCCTCCGAACCCCCTCCTTCAAATGGACAGATAGACATACGGACGGACGGACGACATTGTACTCGCAGAATTCGAGAAGCCAAACAGTCACTCGAGAAGAGAAAGGAAGGAGTCCTGAGATTTGTAACGGGTCGTTTCCACATTGTTAAGACCTGTGTCCAGTTGATTGTAGTGGTAGTAATGGTGTGGCAAATTCAACAAATAAATAATGAATGTTGTAATGTTGACACTCGCAGCTGATCCGCCGGCATCCTCTGTCTTTTCCCTTCATTCACATGTGGACGGGTTTGTTGTGCCGTGGGCACCCTGCTCGTCGTGTTGCATCGCATGCGCTGTGGTGGCATGACCCTATTCTTTGTCCGCTATATAACAATAGGAGAAAATAATGAGTTTTTAGGTTTTTAGGTGTTATCTAGTTGGTGCTTGAAGTGCCCTCGTTGTCTGTAATCCGTTCTAGCCGCCCACCACCTAGTCGCAAGTACAGCGCCGCATATTTCTACGGGCTCTTGATATCACTCTTTTAAATCAGCATCTGCTTGAAAGCTCGAGCTACGTATACGGTATCATTGGAAATATAAACACGTCACGGGTAATTACAGTGACTTTGGTGAAGGTAATTGTGTACCCCATACTACCATCGGCAACGTACCCTCATCGCGGCTCAGATCAGTAAAACACACACAAGCACAACCTGGTGGAAGGGGGGAGGTGTCGGCCCACTGGGAGGAAAATCCGGTCCGCAAACAAAAACCCCTTTCATCTCATCTTGTGGGAGAGATCTCCTCTAACGCTCAAGACCAACAGGCAACTGACCAACAGAGAGGAAAACGGAAACCCGGAAAGATAGTGGAAAACACTTTCAGTCGATATCCTCGTTATTCCCAACTCAGATTCCGACACCTGACACGTGCTTCAGGCGACCAGAGAAGGAACAGCACCACGACAGCTACCTTACCGCTGCAGGAAACCTTGGCTCCGGCCCTGCCTCCGAAAGTCGCCAGCGTCCGGAAAAATGGCACCGGAAACGCATTCAGCCCTTTAATAAACGAAACTTATAGAAACCTGGTATAGAAACTTGGTAGCCCGCTGTAAAAACAACAGCAACTGAGAGCCTGTGTTCTTCTCTTTCAATTTCAATGCTGCATGCAAACTAAAGCATAGCCATGCACCCACCATCACCACCTAAGAAGCTGCTTTACACCAAATACCGAATGGCTAGAAAGAAAGAACACGTGCATGCCGCAATTCAAATTCATTTGTGGGCTGCTCAAAAGATGCGGTGCAGATGCTTCCACAAAATGACTCCATGCACATAGCACCGCCACGCACCGTGCACACACAAATTGTTCTCTCGTACATGTTGCCATGCTCGTGCTATTTGTACAACCGTGATAGTGGACTCTTTGGAACAACGAAAAATGTCATTCATGGCGCATACCTGCAAAAGGCGCCTGGCACTGCACTGCATTGCACATGCCAAAAAACTCCAGAAACAATCACACGACGATGCTACTGCGGCTGCTGGAGTGCAAATGCAAAAGGAAAAGCAAACAACAACACCCGATCAACAGCCAAGGAAAGCCGGTTGGAAGCTGTACAGCTAGGGAACAACTATGGGGTACCAAGGAAAGCAAAAGTCGCATCTCACGCACCGCCACCAAGCACGAGCACGCTACCCACCCGCCGCAGCAATCTAAAACGTCGGAGCCCCAACACCGCCACACAATACTGCAGGTGGATGGATCGATCCGACGATTGCGCCCTCAAAACACTCCCCAACTGCGAAATCCTTGATGACAGCCGGCGGGTGTCAGACGGCAATCTCGAGTGTGCGCGGGTCTCTATGGAAGCCCCTCAGTGCGCGGACCGCAGCCAACACAGCACAGCGATGGAACAGAGTCTCAATCAGGAAGGAGAAGAAGAAGAAGAAAAAGGAGAAAAAGAAGAAGAAAAAGAAGGAGAAGTGGAAGTAGAGACAAAAAAGAAAGCGGCGGCCGCTACGGGGACTGCGACGCTCCCAAGCGCCGTACCCAGTACGATCTATGGGTTGCGTATTGCAGGTCGCGCAGGGCGGCCCTGCGCCCCCCTAGCACGAGCTCGCCGTCGGATCTGCCAACTTGCCCCTCAACAGCCCGCAGCAACAGCCATCAAAAGTTAATTCGGCGCCCGGCCCGTGCGATGCGGCAAAGCCCCTTGCACTAATCCGTGACTTCCTCGCGCCGCGTCAGAGCCGCCGCTGCCGGGGCAGCCGCCAAGCGCAGTAGTGCACTACGATTGATGCAACGAACCAACCAACCAACCAACTTCCCGTTCCTAGCAGCTTTTTAGCCCTCCCAGAAACTCTCCCGCCAGATGTCTTCTCTCTCTTCCCCCGCTGTCCCCAAGTGCTCGCACCAGGATGCGACAACCCACCCGACCAGGGTGCTTCTAGGACGCTGCCCCGTCCCCTCAGCCCGACTTGAGCCAGGGGGGAAGCATAAGCCCTTACCCCAACCCACCAGCGAGTGTGCGCTACCGTACTCGCCACAACTCCTCCCCGAGGTCCACAGGGCAGGCGCCTGCAGCGCAGTACCTCCAGCTGTTCCGGGGGTGGCTGCCGCGAACAGTGCCCTCGCTCAGGCCTCGCCTTCCTGAAACCCCCCGCGAAATGCCACCCACCCTGCTGCTGAGGGCGGCCTCACCCTCCAGGTTGTTCCGTTCTATTGGGGGCAGTAAGGCTGCAACTGCCTGGCGCACATCAGCAGCCAGAATGGGATAAGGAAATGTTGGGCTCACTGCCGTACAAAGAGTCGATTTGTCGTACTGTGGGCCACCAATGTACGGCAGCAGACAGGGTGTTGCGGCGCTGTCGGCGGCGGTCCTGTTGGAGGTCTCTGGTGGCGATGCGAGGGTGCGACTGAAGGCCGCGGTTGCTGCATCCGCGGCGCCGACTGCGGAGATGACGGTGGCGGGGGCTGCGGCGGCGGCTTGGACCTTGGATCCTTTGTACGAGCAGCAGCGGCTGTTTGCGCCGGCGAGTGTGACGTGCGATGCCGGCGAAGAGAGTGCCGTACAGAGGGACGCGAGACTCACCGTCGCTACAATCAGGAAGAGGCCGCGGAGCAGGGGGGGAGAGGAGGCGTGGTCCGTGAGCGCGGAACAATCGACAGAGGAGGAGAGGAAAGGAACGGAGCAGGGTGTTCACCGAGACTTATAACCATATCCACGTATTGTTGACAACAACAAACTGTGGTGGGTATTACTTGTATTTAAGTATTGTCGTAAGGATGACAAGCCTGTCCACTGGACTACAAAGGCTACATGGAACACTGAGCCGAGCTGTAAGAGCAAATGCAGCCCCATGGACAGACACTACGCAGAGCCAAAAAAGGATTGCGCGAGGGAAATAAATATGCAAGCTAATGACCGGGTAAGGCACGCAAGCGCTGCCGCACCTCGCGCGGGCATGGCAGGAAGGGACGCTGCGGTGTCGATGAAATGTGTCGGCGAGGCGAGGCTACGACTAGGTCCTCTTGAGATTGGCTGTGCGTCGCTCCGAGCTCCCACAGTGGGAAACAGCCGTCCGTAACGGGTAGTAGCCTCCGTGTCACAGCATCCAAGATTAAGCTGGGCTTCGTAGATTGTTAAGGTCGAGGCCGATACCGGATTGGAGTGTGTAAAAGCACCGACGGAGGTCAAGTCCTGGCCCACATCGGGGCATGGAGTTGACCTGTTGCAAGAAAGTGTCAGCGCTGCAGTATCAAGCTTGGGCTTCGTGCTGCACGACTCTTGCGCGGCAGCAAAGGGACTGTGATGAGGTTCCGACGAGAGCGATAGAGGCGCCTTCGGTAGCCATTCGTCAAGGGAGCCGACGTAATTAGAGCCAGGCATCGTTAAGGGAAGTAGGAATCCTGTAAATAAGTCAATCGCAGAACCGGAAGTGGGCCCTTTCGTTGCAAGACGGCGCAAGGCGGAACATTACAATATGTAGTATGTCAATGTGCGAATATCAACTGAATTATAGCCATCCCGAAATGATCGGAATATATGTGCTAAGTTGAAATTGCATAAACGCAAGCAAGGTACAACTGCATGTACACGTAATTTGCTGTTCAAATTTGCACCAGCAGGTGCAGAAAATTGCAGGACCTACGCGAAGCAATCAGGCCGATGTCGCGCAAAATGAATGCAAGAGGTACGCCCAACAAACCTGCACGTGGTCCGTTGCCCACGGGGTGGTTCAGCAGAACGTTGCAAAACAGTTTAGCTGTTGCCTTCTGTTGGATGAAAAAGAAATGCTACTATGGCAGGAATTTGTAGGACGGATGGCGCTAGAGTCCCTGTAAAAAGCAACTTGCATGCCTTTCGCGCACCGGCGGCCACATGCGAGGTGCACGTTTTGGGTTTTGGTGCACGTTAGCTGGCTTGGTATGACTCTGCTAAAAGTAATTTCGGTTTGCCATGTGCACTCTGCTATTATCATCTCGATTACCATAGCCGTACTAGAAACGGCCGAATCCCCAGGAGCTTGGAGCCAACCGCTTCCTCTTTGCAATTCAGACTTAACTATGGTTTAACTAAGCTTTTTATGAGTTACTCTGGCCTATGTCTCGCCATCGCTCGGACGAGCCGTGAAACCGTAACGCCCAACCCAGCTACCCAGGACTGGCAAGAACCACCAACCAGTTACTCGAATGCAATGATGCAAGACCCTCCGATAGGATGCTTCCCGAGTGCCTGTCTATCTTACATCCTCCACTCTCTGCTCCGTTTTTGGTCCTGCAGCTGGGACGCATTTTCTCCCGTGATGCCCACTTCTCCAAGCGCTACAGACGCACTTGCCCATATATCACAAAGGTTGAAGCTCGCATGGATGCGCTCCTTGCTTGTGGCAATGACATGCATAAGCGCTCTGTGGATGGCGTCGCAGCATAGAGTCATAGCTGTATAAATTCCTGCACAATGTGTCTCTTGACAGTCACCCCATCATTGCCGGGGTTGACCTTAGGAGCCCCCTGCCTTGCTTCATGAAAGCTTCTTCGCTCTCAACGAGCCATCTCGCGAAAACTTCCCCTATCCTTGCCGGCAAATGTCAGACTCTCAGCAACTGGCAAACTTCTTTTGACGGTTTGATGCGGTGAATGCCGTACAGGTCACGTGACAGAACGCAGCATTACGTTCGTACTCCGCTGAGACAGATTTCAGAAAACAGCTCCTGCAGACGGCTTATTTTACAGTCCATAACTCGAGTTTACACACACGCCGGCCAGAGTTGCGTTGTGATGCTTCCATTAACACCATTTTGGTGGCTAGGGATAGCGGACAGCACAGCTCGCCGGCGCTCCAGGCTTCCTGGCGCAGGTCCTCGTCACGAACACACATGTCTAGGATACGTGTCAAGAACACCCCTGCAAGCATAATAATTAACACGCATGCCCAAGCCACACGTGCCTGGAAACCCGTGACGGTTCGCGCCGGCTACGGGGAGCGAGTCCGTCCACATAACATCCCACGCATCGCTTTAGACTACAATTTCTCGACTTGCGACAAGAAGGAATGTCGTCTAGAAAGACACAATACATGCCTGTATGTACATGCGCCCAGGGTTCCTGAGGAGGCCTCCTCTATTCCACCTCACGCTTCATGTCCATGAAAGCAGCAGGAATCGTCCCAGGGGACATCTAGGTTTAATTACCGAGACCCCTCTTATGATATTTGTAGATGCACAAGGGGCTTTTGATGCCAGCTCTAGTGCTACGCAAAATGGTCGGTGCATACGGGGATTGCGCGCATCAGCCTGGCAGCTATCTACGCCAGCGGCGACGTGGTAGACATTAAGTTGCCGTGCAAGTCAAGTTCCTTCTCACCTCCCCACATTATGCCATTAGCCTTACGAGGGACGACGATTTTTGATGCATGCGATCATTCAGGTTACGATGTAGGCCACTACCCGCCATCTGACACCCAAAAATGCAAAAGCGAAAGGCACAGCAGCATACACCAGCTGCAATGTGCCAGCAAAAATCTTCACAAAAGACAAAGACCAGATGCCAAATTCCTCGCACTTTGCGCCGAACACAAGATGCAACTCATAATGGGCAGGCTGTTTGTTAGCACTAAAGTTATGGCATGGCCGCGTACCTGCGTGCCTTGCAAGGACACGGCAGAGGAGCACACTGAGCTGCAGCCGATACGGCGTTGCCTACCACCACGCTCTGAATGGCCAGAGCTGCACACCAAACGAACAAAGCTACGGGTCCACACAAAGCTAAGGGCTCCATTTATCCGCGGATTAGCAGTCTAGCGAAGTGCACAGGAACAATATCTCAATCAGCAGCTAGGCTAACGCAACCCGCTAGGCAAACGACCATAGAAAACTGCGCAGATAGCTAACACGCGCTCAAACTGCCCACACGAAAAAAAGCACGGAGGAGCCGCTCCAGTATCTCCGCGGCCTGATGCATTCTACTTCTTGACGCGCTGTTGCTCGCGAGGTGCTGAAGACAAGGTGCCGCATAAGAGTGTCCCCGGCTGTCGCACATTGCCAACGGCGCATGAGCTCACCATGCTGTTCATGCTCTGAGCCATATCAATACAAATGGATACACTCATCAGCTTCTCGTTACTTTGGCGACCAAAACATCTTGCCGCGAGCACCATACAGGGGCAAGGCGGTCAGGCCCCGCCATGCAATACGCAGAGCAGGCGTTAGCCCCGAAAGCTAGGGATTGTAAATCCCTATTAAAACCTGACCACGGTCCACAACAATGTACTCATATTTACTTCAGATGGCCCCGATAGCAAAGCTCAGCGGATGTGCGCGACTCGCCGTAGGAGGACTGGAGCCGACGCAGTACCACGGAGAGCTAACGCCCATGCATGGGGCAGCCGCCCAGGCACGGGCCTAGAGAAACGAATATACCACCATCGGGGCTATCGGGGTCCCGTGAATAACGATAATAAGACGTGCCACGTGTCGCTGCTTTATGCGCGCATAATTCTGCGCACCTGCCTGCGGCCAGTTTGGTAAGAAACGGCACACGCAGAGAGATAGGCGCCATTTATGAAAATTGGCGCGGATTTGTACACACACACCGCATGCGCGCAGATTATAGAGAGCACTCCTCCGGTTCACTTCAATGAAGGGGACAAGACGCCAAGTGGAAAGGCCTGGTTCGCCTATCATTCGCAGGACACATGTGCTGTGTCCTGTTCGCTCCGCTTTCTCTGCTCCCCTTCCAAAGGAGAAGCATCTCGCCTCCAAAGAGCGTCAAATCAAGTCCTTTACTGCAGAGAGAGCTTAGCCTAGCCGTCTGAAGCCGTACGGCCATACCATACAAAGCGTGTTGCCAACGAAAGCGTGCCGCCACTCTTGCCGATCAACGCATATCCCTAACTATGAAAACAGCCCTGGTTTCGTTTGCATAAACACGAACGCTTTACGATCCAAGATCGATGCATTGGTCCAAACGACCCAAACGTTTCACAGCGTTGTTTGGGAAGAACACGCCGCATGCCGCCGCATGCCGCGGTTCCATGATCAGTAAAACCCGGGGCAATGAACTCCGGGGGGACCCACACTTGAGGCAGTACGCGTGCGGCCGGCTGCGTGTGATGTCACATCATCAAGCCACGCGAGTTTATGGCCGGTCGCAGGTATTAAAATCCCACAATAAGCACCTGCGCGAAAGGGCCGCTGTGTGGTGACGGCCAAGGAGAACCTTGCAGACCGTACCCACACTACTACAGATTAGTGCCGAACGCGCTGACGACCCAACCCCATTTGTCATTCCCTTGACACTAGATAGAGCGCGCGCAGCAGGAACACTCTCCTCATTGGCACACACGCCGCACAAGCTGCCCAGCAGCGGGCGAATGCAGTTCACGCCTCATTTTGCTCCTTTACGACTTTGGCCACGCCAAGCTCCAGGTGGAACAGCACCGATCAAAAAACGGCGCAAAGCTCCAATTGTCAGACACATATCGTGCAATATGATGATACATTTCTTTGACAAGAACCCACATAGACCACCGAGGGTACGTTATATTATGAGCAACCAAACACATATAAGCTAAACGAACATAAGCCATCCAAGCCCGACTGTAACACTTGAGGTGCACGACGCAATTCGTCGAAAGGCACGCAGGCGCAGGTCGGGATCCAGGCCGCCCAGCAGCCTTTCTGGAGCATTCATCCTGCGGCCGTACAGCAATGCGTGTAGCGCCATGTGTTGCGTGCACTACCTCCGCGCACAGTGCCCTCGTAGAGGCCTCGCTTGGTGGATAGCGGGAGGGGACGATGTGGCGGGAGGGTGACGACAGTAGGGGTGGCGGTGGCTGCAGTGGCGGCTGACCCAGATGGTGCGTGTACGCCTCCGCTACGACGTCCATTTGTTGTCCATCCGCAGGCGCAACGGCCGGGAGCATGCAGCACCTCGCAGGCAGTCCCTTGGGATGCTAAGGGTTCGCCGTTGCATGGCGTGGGCTCCGATGTGGACGAGACCGGGGGCATGGAGCTGGTACGCGAGGAAAACTTGTCCGTGGCCTGAGGCTCTTCCTGAAGGGTCTCTTCGGGATCCTGGACGCATGCGGCTGCCTCCGACAAGGGACATGCCAGTGCGCCAGCGGACCTGTCTGGAGATGAGAGCGCTCGACAGAGGGTCGCTAGGCGAAGCGGCGAATCTGCGGCACGAAGGGATGAAAAACGAGTTGAAGGAGTGAGGAGTATGGAACAGCAAGAGGACTGGTAGAGGCATCGGCGGCGTTGGCGACCAGCAGGGAGGCGGGGATGGGAACGCGTAGCAAGTAATGGCATGGATGCACCTTGGCGATTCCGCGAGTCTTACCTAGGCTTGGTTGGTAAAGGGGGAGCGACGTGGCAGAGATTGAGGCTGCTCCACGTTGCCGCTTGCCGTGCGGATCCCACCGGTGTGTTGTTACTGAACTGGGACCGAAGGGAGAAGGGGCGCCGAGGTACCTGCCGCAGCGCACTGTACCCTCGCTCTCCAAGACGCAGTCTATGGGCGACTCCAACTGCATCTGGGTCGGATCGCTGATGTTCACAAGCATACGGCCATGCGCTTCTCCTGGGACCATGAAGCCATCGCCATCCGCGAGACAATGGCAGCAGGGAGCCCGCGCACAATGACTGTTGTGTAGCCTTGGTATGGGCATTGGCTCGCTCAGCGTTTTGCTGCGCTCCCTCCTTGCCTCAACTGGGAAGGGGCTCTTCAAGGCACGTGGTGGAGCTGCCGACGCCGGGCAACCATGAAGCCAAGCATCCAGGGACCCCACTGGAGTTTGGGTGTCCATGTTGATAGCTTGAAGCCGGCGCCTGTTTGGGAAGCATCCGCAAACGCCGTTACTGAATGGTTAACCGGATGGAAGGACCTAGACACCGTTGAATGGTCCTGAACCTGTATGGGAATGCTACGAATCATGAAGCAAAACGCAACTCGATCAAGGCGGGAACGACCAGGTGTGACTGACAAACACGTGGTGGCCGTTTTAGCACGGGGCGCACGCGTGGAGGCTTAACGCGTTGCCGTTCTGGATAAAGGTTTCACACCAAACGCACCAGGAAGCTCTTAATTAGAAGGATGCTGCCGTCAATCACTGTATCTTTGCGCGGCTAAGAACCTGGCGCCCACGGGGCATGGATAATTGAGCAGCATGCGCATCTAAAAGATTTGTTGTCAAAGTTACGACGCATATAGCAAGGGCACCACGTATGTGTGCAAATCGATTTTAGTCGTACCAACCAGGATGCGCTCATCCCACGCCCACCCATTTTTTTCCTAAAACGCGGAGTGTGCTGTTCAGTAAATTATTGATGTAGCAGCTATCGTAGTCACTATCTGCTTCAGTTGACTCCGAACGTACGTTCGTTACGGCGTCGCTTCTGCATTCTTGTTCTGCGGGGTTGGAGTCATGACAGCGCCCACGGCAACAGCGATGCCATGCCTGGCATAGCTTGTTTGGTCCCACGTTAGCCCTCTGTTCGGCCCCCGAAGCCACAGCATGCCTGCAGCGGCTTCAGCGGCTTGCCATTGCTCACCAACCATTCCTCTGCATTGGGCACCATTAACCAAGTGCGTCAAGGCCTTGGATTACACATGCGGGCAAACGGTACACATTCACTCTTTTTCGTTCATGATGCGCGGCGGGACTCGCGAGCAAGCGGCCATCACCAGCAATGTGCAAGGGTTTGCGTATCTCCACAGGTTGCGTATCTCCACCTCTAGATGTTTACTTTCTCCGCGGATTCAGCCAGCTTCCTTCACTATCTATGGTTTTATGATGACGACACTTTCTTGGATTGGGAAGCCTGGCGACAACCCAGCACTGCCCAGTACAACCCTCCCATGTAAAGCATTGGCTAGATGGCAATGACCGCGTCACCGGCCGTGTGTTTGTGGTAGATGCGATGGTCTCACGTCGGTGTAAGTAGGGAGTGATGACGCCCACGCCAAGCGCACCTTTGGCCCTTGGATATCGCTATCAATTCCGTGGCGACACCTGTTGGTAAGTATGAAAGTGGGACTGCTTAGGTATAACCAACCTTAACCGTTAGAGGTATCGCAGGAAAGGCTCTCTGCGGTAATGCCATCACCTATATCCCACACGTCGCATCTCGCATCCAGCTGCTGTCAGCCATGCACTGTATTATGGTACCAAGGGGCAGGAGCATGGGAAAGTGTTCTTGTCGCTCCGTCCTGAATTGCTACTGATATTGTTGCGTGCTTTGTTCGGGTCGCAGGGTATGTAGTCAATATGGAAATGCAAGCGGCAAGGGGGGTAGGGGAATAGGGGAAACATTTGGGGCCATGGCTTGGAATTCTCTCATGCGAGCAATGTGGCCCCTGCACGCGGTACTGGTCTATCGAGGGTGACGGCGGAAGACATCCAGAGCCTGGGAGGCTTTCTGCATCGCTGCGGTGCGCTGCTGTTGCCGATCGCTGTGCAAGGCTGACAAGTGCATTCGCGCAACCAGTAGCTTCTGGCTCTGCAGCGCTACGTTACAGCGCAACACAAAATTGGGTTTAAGGGCGGGCAGGCATGTTCGTTTGGCGCATGTATGCTGGCCTGAGTGTGCGGGTGCAAGGCAGGCCATGCGTGCGTGTGTTGCTGAGACTCTACGCAAGTCCTTACATCGATCTACCACCTCAGGTGTTTTGCTGAGAAGCGGTAATTGGGCCGGTGCCGAATGGGCACCGGCCCAATTAGAAAAGGGCAGTGCAGAGGTTAGAGGCCGGCAAAAGGCGTTCGCAGTCGGAAATCGCAGTCAAAAAATTACCATACGAGGCGGTTGCGCCAGAAGCCTCATTACCTGTTTTGATTATGCAAGGAGGCAAGCGCTATGGGAGGGAGGGACGCGGCACATCTACGCTTCTGTTTGGTCAGCAGGGACACATCTTTGCTTCTCACTCCCGCACACAAACATATAAACACGCAAACATATAAACACGCAAACATATAAACACGCATTCATACACGCCTCTCCAAGCGGGCGCACACAACCGGTTGTGACCGCAGTGTACCCATCTCAAGCTACGACAACCTAAAGAGCCATAACCCTCGCACCCTCGGCTGCAGCTACAAAGCGTGTCAGAGAACACGCGGAACATACATACGGACGGACGCGCAAGAATACAGACGAAAAAAAGGGGACGTTGCAATACACTGGGCCAACGGCATACTCGGTGGCATATCATAAAAAGCTTGTGTAGCTAGCTCTAGCCGACACCCGTTGGGACAGTCGTAAACAATAGTGCGACAGCGCCTCCTCGAACAAACGGACAGACATACTTGTAAAACATACAACATGCTTGTGGCCGCCTCATCCTGCGCGCCCAAGGCAATCCAAAACCCATTGCCAACCTGACCAAGCCCGAAGACAAACACAATTGCCATTCTGTTGTTTTTCCGTTGCTGGTCGTACGAAAAAAATGCAGCGACGACAGGCCACCGGGGACGTACACGCAGCTCCGTATCCCGCCGGTACACCCGCCATACCCAGTGCGCATGCACGTCCGCGTTCACCGTACATACCAGGCATGTCCGCGCGAAACATATCGGTCATTGACAAACAGCACATGCGAAAGGATCCGCGTACACATGCACACCGAAATATCAGCAACGGCTAATCATCGGATGCGGATGCACCAATGACAACCGAAATCCCGAAAACGCAAAATTACGTGGTGCCAACACCAAAGTTGTTCGGATGGGCATAACAAGGACCTCGCTGCCGTGTATCTCAGCTCTAGAATCACATGCTTTAGATATGGTCATGAATTAAGAAAACCCGACCTCGCTGCCTAACATCAACGCTGCCATACTCCCGGGGTCCCCTGTAGGTTAGACAGCCCAGTGCGGCCCTCCCGCGAGGAGAAACGCCCCAACCGACAACTGCTTGACGGTCCTCCATCCACTATTTTTATACTTCTGCGGCTTCAAGACGTCGTCACGTCAATCACAGCGTCACATCAATCAAGAGAGTCCCCAGCATCACAAGCCTATACCTGTCCAAGCATGTGGTCTTCCAAAAATGCCTTTCCTCAAAAAAACGCCCTACCAAGCACTGAGGCCATTGGGTCATTCAGGGCCATTGGGCGTGTCACTCATATGCTGAGGAAACATCATTTCGCATCGCCGGCCTTTCCAAAAAAAGCTCGCGATGCCGAGATGTCCAGCGACGGACACGTGGATTGGCAGGGGATATAGGAGGAAAAGTCCCCTTGTGTGGCGGTCCCGTCCGTGACCCTGCCTACCTCTCTCTTTCAAGAGACGCTAAACCGAAACTCCGGCAATATGAAACACATCGAAACATGTGCAACACATAATGTCATGGTTTGTTGGCCCTTTGCCCGTGGGCCTGCACGCGGGCCTGCATGCATGCGGGACCCGATTTCGATCCGGCCGTAGGTGACTCGGATGTACTTGAGGGTTTAGTCCATGACATCAGGAGGTAGCACCTGCATGCGCACAGCGTTGTTGCGGCGTGCACGCAGGGGTCCAGGACTTCAAAACCCATGCACACCACAGGTTGCAGCCAGACACAGGTACACAAGGGCGCGGAACAGAGTACTACAAGATTCTCGGTACACCAACCGCAGGGGAACGCGGACGGTCGGCAGCTATTCACCCCCCCCATGTCCGGAGACGTCAACTTCGTTTCGTGCGTTTGTTAACCCTACTTGCATGTCCATCCTTTGCATGCCGAGTCCGTTTTGCCGACCTCGACGACCAGCACAGCGCAGTCGAGTAGAAGTTGCAGCAGCAGTTGCAGCAGCTATAGCAGCAGCAGCAGCAAGCGGTCGGGTGCGCGTGAGATCACCACCCATGCACACATAAGCGCACACATACTTAGACACGCAGACAAACAACACACCTCTTTCAAGCATAGTAGAGCTGCTCTAACGCCTCAACACCTTCACATGCACACACGGTATGAAGTTACGATGCCTTATGTTGCGGCGACATATGCAACCTTCCTCATGGTTGGTAGCTGCCCCACTATCCGATTCAACGGTACGGCACACGACCTGGAAAACTTACGAAGGGAGGTTAACAAGAGCTCAAGCACATTCCGTACCAGAAACTAATAGATTATACATTTTTACTCTATCCTCGGTATTTCCTCATCAATCAGACTAGTGACACTATACCTAACAACCTCAAGGTCCTGACCTACAAAACGCGGCAGATACGTCTGCTTTGCATCACAATCAGCCACAACCAGTATCAATCTGAGAGGGCTTCTACAAAACAAAGATAAAACTCTTCGCTAACTGACTGAGCTTCAGCGGCAGCAACCACCGAATCAATGGCAACTACGGTAGCAGCAACGTCAGTAGCAGCAGTAGTAGCAGTAGCAACAAAAACATCAGCAGCATCAAATGACGCTACACCTAATTGACCAACCCGGGCTAATTGGCCCTCGATGTCGCATTGGTGCGTGTGCGCTCAAACCAACAAACTAACCAACGCAATGTCCGACAAGCACTCCTACGTCCACTGCGCGCCCCCTTCCATGTGACCACCGGCCCTGTCCCCATCCAGAATACCTCCACGCGCGCGATAACTTCCCTTCCAGCACCCGTGCGAGCCCCTGCTGGCCAGTTCTTCGCTGTATGGTTTTGGCATTTTTGTTCTGCTTAACACCATCCTTATCCCAGTTCCCACTGGCCCTTTTCCGAACCGCGAAGTGCGGGAAAGAGACCGCCTCCCGGGTCACCTCCTGCTTCACCGTGCAGCCGTCGCCACAGCCGCCACTGCCGCCACCATCACCGCCGCCCGCTGCTCGTTCCCCCATCAGACTTGCATCAGGTAAAAGTCCAGGAGAGTGCCACGCCCTATGCAACCATCCTGCTCCCCCGGTCCCTCCGGAGCCATTACCCAGGAAGTTGAGCGTTCGAAAGCTGCGATGGCGCGCTCTGCGTCGAACGGCTCTGACAGCTCGGAGACCGCCGTCCTGCGCCCCGTGGTGGTCATGGCTGCGACCGCACCATTGGGGTCGGCGCCAGCAGCCTCCCGTGGTGTGGGGTTGGCCAAGCTGGCCTGTCGCGACACGAGTGCTATTGGCGATGAAAGCGCCTTGCACAGATGCACCAGACCCAGAGGTTCTGCGGGATGCGGTGGTGGTGGGCATGCCGGTAGGAGGGTAGGGGGTAGATAGCTTTAGTAGGAGAGCATGCGCGAAAGTAAGCAGGCGGAAGCAGATGCCAACTGGGTCCGATCTTCGAGTACAGTTTTGCATCATGATGATATTGGTCGTTTTGTGCGTCTTAGGATCCAGGGCGCCGGATAGCGTGGCGGTTGGGCGACCGGAGCTTGGAAATGCATCCCCGGCCAACTGGAAGCCGCCGGTCAGTTTCATGTACATGCTAAAGAAGGAGTGGCAGCAGGTGGTTGCGCAGTCAAACGCCTTCACCGCACCTTGCGTGCTCTGCAGCGGCAGGGATGCAGCATGGACTTGAGGACCCGTCGCCGCGGCTGGGCAGCCCCCCAATACGAGCTCTGAAAAAAGTCTGTGTTGGTGTTGAAGTGGTTGATGTGCGGAACCAGCTATAAGACTTGGGGTCTGGCGGGAGGGTTTGGCGGGGTTGTAGACACTGCGTGGCTGCGGGCCGCAAAACAACAGCTCTCCCATCGGCGAGGTTCCCAGGCGGTCCGCCAGGACATTCGGCATCGAGTCGGACGGCGATGAAGTATGCAAGCATCCCGAAATAGTCATTTCCATTAAGTTCGCAGGATGCCCAAGGAGACAAAGGAGATCCTCGCTTTCGGATGATGACCGCGACGCCAAAAATTGTGGGCTTGCGACAGCAGGCGGCTCGAAGAGGGAATACCAACGCGGCCTTCGATCCCTCCACAACGACCTCGATGGCGTTGGGATTGGGATAGGTTGGGAAGCCGCCGGCACAAGCGCAGGTACTTCACAAAGCTCAGGTACTTCACAAAGCTCTGCCTGAACCACTGGCCAGGTCGGTGATGGCAGCCATGTGCCAAACGATCCAACTTGCTCAGGAATATCCACCAACTGATCCTGCAAGATAAGCGACGCAATAGAACGGTGGCGAAAGGCGGCAAGAAAAACGGCTGACTAAATGGTTAGCTCCGCGGTAGAGCAGCTAGCATACAGCTGCTGATTAAATGCATCCCTGGCAAGATATACGCAAGTCCATGAGAATTTCCGAAAAGACCACTCAAGCGTTTTGGATCGCCGTGACGCCACAACCTGTCTAATTCCAACCTTACATGGCGTCCCTTGTGCCAAAAGCAGGACAATATTGGAAGGTGGCTATGATCTATAAGATAGCCATGCATCTATTACAATCAATAAATAGGTCAAGTAGGACAAAGCATTTGTGAACGCTTATCGACGCCAAGTTGCCATGCTGCCTTGTTGAGAAGCGCTCTTCATTGCATAGCTTTGCATGGCGAAAGAGCGATAAATGGGCTGGATCAGAAACTCCAACCAGCTACTCACCATATGCATGCACGTGGAATCACGGGAGGCCCCTTACACTATCTAAATCTAAATTTATTTCTTCTGGATGAGATTAATTGGGGGCATCTACTCACATGCGCGAATGTGCGACAGGCGGGCACTGCAAATCGTACTAGCTTCGTTTCGGCATCAGGTAAAAGTGCCATATACGGCCGCAAGTGAGTTAGTGGCCAGCTAATCCCATATTCCTTCCAGGATACAGACAAATTATGCCTCGTATTGCGCCAAACGTGCCGCACACAAGTGGCACGCGCTTTACCGTTGCCTGAAGCGTCCTCTGAGTCATACTACACTCAAGAACCATTGACGCCTTCGCGGCCTGCACCCAGCAGCATAGCACGTAATAATTCCTTCATCGACATCCTTGCCAACGTTTGGTTCCAATCCCGCTCCTCAATTGTCTGACGGCCTATGGTACGCTGACGAGAATGTGACGTACAATACCGGGGTTTCGTCATCGATTGGCTGTTGCTCGGAACTTACTGCTCGCCGCCTTTTTTTGTCAACATGTTGATCTAATAAGGCTTGTCCAACGAAGGGTTATTGGACATACAGATAAGATGCTGCGGCAGACATGCCACGTCGATGCTGCAACAATGCAATTCCGATTTGAAAAGGGCTGAGTCAGCGGGAAGCTCGCTGGTGCCTGCGCCTACTTCGGTTCGCGTTTCAAAAGCAACGGAAAGCGGCTAAACAAGGGCAACGGAATGGTGAGAATTCTCCTTCAGCACCTTCAACCAGCAATTGCTGCATGGAGGACGGAGACTTAAGTGATCAAGCACCGTTAAGGGCCCGCGCGGCTCTCCATCTACACCCGATTCCACGTCTAGATTGCATCCAGAGCGCGTGCGGCTTGGAAGAATATTTGTCCTTCCTTCTGGTGGTGATGCGTAACACACGGCAACGTAATTAGGAATCAGCTGGCCCCGCCTCGAGAGTCGCCCTAGTTAGGAAACACAATTTTGGATTTTTTGCTTCATTCGTGCGCCAAAGCCGTTTCCTACCTGGTGCACTTCTCATCTCGCATTACGCATAGTATGCAACACGCTGAGGGGATGTTATTCGGAAGTGTCTGACACATGCACTTCGTGTAAAAGCCAGGGTTGCACGAGGCCCGCCGTGTGCCGTAACAGTAACAGACAGCAAAATGGCACCTTCAATAATCAATAATGCCTCACTCGCGCAGAGGCGATAGGTCTGCATCCTCATTACGTGGATACTGCTCATTACCAGCGAAATCTGCCAGCCTGAGGCCTGCTGAAGGTAGACCTTGGCAACCCGTAATAAAAGCAGGGACGTGCAGTCGACACCATTGAAGGCGACAGTAATGGCCGCGTGCTCGTGGCTGGCGGGGGAGGAACACTCAGCGGCTTGTTGTGGTCTTCCATGACCTGACTCGTCTACCGTCCATTGAGGCAAGGAAACCTCCAATAGAGAGCAGGCACCGAATGTACCAGAATTAACTAAACTACATGCAGTACGAGTCGTGTGCTACAAGTCCCGCACATCACTAGAACCATAATACAATGCCGATACTGGGCCCTCATGTCTCACGTGCAAACTCCCAGCAGCATTGCTTTTGAGGACCTACTCAAAATGACGCCGTTCATCATTTTGTGATGTCGCACGCGCGGATTTACCACCGACTTTCTTGTAGTCGTCCTTCCACGCACTGCCTTCGCAATCGTCACCGCCTGCTGTCCGCACTTCGCAGCTTGTCTTTACCGCCCAGGAAAGCACGCAGAGTATATATAGTCATTTTTTTTCCAAATTTCAGCACCAGTGTCAGATGCGTTTTTCAAATGGTGTGTAGCTCTTCTGGGCTACATAGGCTACTTCTGGGCCGAGTCGCGTATGAATGGCTAAGTTAGCGATGTTCGTCATTTCACCCCAAGGTGAAATGACGGGCATTGGGTTCTAACAGGGTGTTTCCACTTGGCCGGACACTATCTTCGGTACACTGTTTGTGAACTTGGTCAAAGTTTTGAAATTTACCTCTGTACAGGGTATCCTGAAACAAATCTAAAGATGTATACATGGACAGTCTTGTTGGGAAACTTTTCATCTGTCAGCGTGCACTAGCCATCACAGTAGCATGCAGCAGCTCAACAGGCAGGCCTGTTAACCAGGCGTAGAGAAGGTACTTCTTAAGCATGGTTAGGCACTTTCTACTAAATTCCATTATGGTCAATCGAAATTTGTCCTGGCCGGTAACCGATTGGTAGGGTCAGGTAGGGTCCGCTCCGGCAGACCTAGCGGCCGATACACAGAAGCCAATCGACCGCACCAACCGCGGTGGATAGTTCTATCAGGCCAACTGATTGATGAATCATTGTATCCGATCAATCGAACAGGTTTACAGATAGGATAAACTCGCTTATGTGCGTTTCGGGCTGCCACCGTGCACGGTGCCTTCGCTCAGTCCCCACCGCCGGGACCCCGTGAGCGCCGGCGCGCGGTGGGAATAATGCAGGGCCTGCTTATGGCAGCGGGCGTCACCGGAGCAGTGGTAGCAGTTCCGTAGCCTGTGGGCGACTTGGTTCCTCTGGCGTGTGGCGGCGGCAACAGCAGGCCACACCGCCGCCCTGCATCAACCCGGCAAATGCCCTATCAGCATCAGTGTTTTTTTTGGTAATATATTACTTTTTTGGGGATAAATGGGGGTCTGAGCCTGGAAGAAATGGAATCGTTGGGTCAGTTGGGGTACTGGTTCATTACTTCGGCCATAAGTCGCCCCAAATGCCTTCTGCACATATAAAGCTGACCATTTGGAGCTTATACACTATTTATATATAAGATATTTAATGATATCACCATGAGACGGCCCGCTGTTGCATTCAACTTAGGTCAACGGGACATTCGTTCATTCTTGACCAAAGCAAACGGCTCAGAAACGCCGCAGACGCAATGCCCCAAACACTTAGAAGAAGAATTGCTTACAGCACACCGTAAGGCCTTTGAGGGGGGGGTCTGGGGGGGGCGCAGCAGCCCCCCCCAGCGACTATACAAATAGGAATCGTAACCGCAAGAAACACCCAGTTTATTACTCTAGGGTACTAGGCCCAAAACGAAAAAAAAAACACTGATCAGCATCAGCATTAAGATCAGAATTAGGACCGTGGAATGTGCTGGCGCAGAACTCGCCCTTTAAAGTCAAGCTCCTATCTAGCTCCCTGTCGCAGCAGAGGGTGCGGGCAGGAGAGATGTCCGCCTCGCTGACCGAGGGACGCCAAGCATGCGTGCAGATGACGCGTCGTCACTGTCAGGAAGAGCAGCAGGAGGAGGGTTCTTGTCTGCTGACCAGTCGACGGTATCACCGCCGCCGGCGCCTACGATCGGGTCGCCGAACGGACCCAGCGTGGATCGAGCCACCTTGCTGTCTGTGGGTGTATAGCCCGCAATGATGTGTTTCCCCCCAGAACAGGGGGTTGCTGGCAGCGTGACCCGGACAGGCACGGCACACAGCAAAAAGAAGCACATGATATCGAGATCAGACCGAACGATCGAAAAAACATGAGAAAGTAGCTTACCCAAAAGTAATTGAAACTGATGCATAGAAAAGATGATTTGCCCATGCCGGGTGGGACATATCAGGCAAGGTGGTGCGAGATAACCGAGATTTGCGCTGTAAGCGCGCCCGCCCATCTGGGGCCACACGCACGCTTTCGTTATCGTTGCTAGGGACCCGAAGATGAAAACCTCCAAATTGGAAGCCTGCATGCGTTCGCAAGTTTGCTTCCATTTGACTTATCTGGAGGTCAAAAGTCCAGTGTTCGGTCCGTGCAGCTTCCGAGAAATCCCACAGCACCGTACCCGAGTTCAACCATTTTACAAACGTACGACCAGCCATGTTTACCTTGGAAGGAAAATGAGCCAGCGCGTCGCCCTGGACTTCCTCGCCGGAAACCACGTGACTGGCAAACTGGGGGCATATCGATAGACAAAACGTATACAATCTTACAGAAAATCGCTAATATAGTTGCGGATACTGCTCACTATGAACTGGAACGATTGAAAGAAACTGGCGCGCTGCTTGCGTTTACGAGCCGGCCGCCGTTGTCGAACTGGGTTTCGGAAAACGTGGCCGGAATGGCTGGCGCTTTCTGTTATGCACTTCAAGCCATTAAGAAGTCGAAATCGTATTCAGATTATTTGAATCCGCTCTTACATGGCGCAGGAGATTCCCCTGATTTTAAGGATTGATGTGCACCGATACGCGCGGTCGACCCAGCTGATTCCCCTGCTGATCGTCGAATGCCGGCTCGTCCTTGAATTCCCCTCCCTTTGCGTAGCTATCCGATGTTAAATCCAATCGAAATCGATTATTTTTTGCAATCGCGATGTGTAATTACGATGGCGACATCAAGCTTAGCTTTTTATAGGGTTGAGCTGTGCAGTTATTTTCTGGACGTGTCTTTGAGACCTGCCACCACTTTTCAGCAATCCTATAAAATGCAAGGAATTGCGAACTATAATTGGCGACGAGGCGACTGCCGCCCATGGTGACCATACGACATAATATATTTTAGGTCGACGATTTGGTTGGCACAGGCTCAGGCTATTGGCACAGGCTCAGCCAATGGTTACGCTACCAACGACAATGTGTTCCTTGTCCTTAGCTCAGTTCCTACCTAGGAAGGGACTGTACCTCGATCCGGCTCCATCGTTGGTAGGAGCGTTTGGTAGGTAGGCGCTACAGTGAGCCCCAGACCCAAAGGGAATCCCCCTCGAGCACGGAGTTCACCTGATTGGTAGCTTACACTAAGTGTCCCAGAGCCTGCAAGGAAACACGGTCGTTGGATGCTTTCGTCCCTATCAGGTACCTTCCAGCTAAATTAGTCAAATCGCTGAGCAGTCGGCACCTTGAAACTCGCCTCCGTCAATCATGACAAACGAAGCCTCCCTGGAGTTTATGGTCCGGGAGTGCGTGGTGATGACAGCACCGGAATCACCAGAGCGGCTAAGGCTCACCGCGAGGGTCAGAGAGTGTGTCGTCCCTCGGACACAAGGAGACGATCATTGGGGTCCTCCTGGGCGCCTTCGGGGACGGCACAAACCGAGCCGCCCTTTGTTGGCCGTGTCCTTTTCGCAATGCGGCTGGGACGTCAGAGCAAACTGTGTAACGCAGGAAGGGGCCCAGACCTGCCCCACCGTCGAAATCGTATGACTGACATCTGAAAAGGTGAGCAGGCAACCCCCACCTCACACCCAGCGCAATGTAATAGCGCATTTCGATTCATTACACCTTACACCACCAAGCCAATCAGCACATTACCTCAGTCACAAACCAGGCTTACAGTCAAGCCACATGCACAAGCAGGACCAATCGCTGATAGGACGAATTGTTTTCCACAACAACCTTATGACATAACAACACATACTGCAATTAGCAGAATAGCAGTACACGTTCCTGGAATTTGTCGTAATATACATACTGGTAGGGTAGAAATCGCACCAAGAAGGCCGCCGCACCAAGGCCACTGGCGCGTCCCAGAAACGTTCCCGTACTGCAGCATACGTACCAAAGGACACACCGCTCGTGCATCCGTTCAACCACTATTTGAGCATGAGCATGGAGCAATGAGCCATAGGGCCGGCACGGCTAACACATAACGCACATGACCCTCGGCCCGGCGCCACGGCAATAACTAAAGCTCGCACAAGGATGCGAATGTGCATCTTATCTATCCCCTTAGGAATGACTTCATGGAACCACCTCACAACCGACCGAATGAAAGAATATCGCCAGGAGGCCCGAGCCACCACTCCCTGATCTCCGTCTCCTCATGGCGCAAATTTCCATACAAATCACTGCAACACAGCTGCCAAGCCGTGTACTCGGCGCACTTTGCCTCCAAAAAAAGGGCGCCAGGTGGCTGGGTGCGCTCCCTCGCCGCCAGGCGGCCTCCGACGCCGGCAACAGAACAAGTTACAACAACCACAGCAATAATGCGGCGCAACCGAATAGCATGTCTTCAGGGCGTGTGCACCAGAACGTATGCAGACACGGAAAATGCGACCAAACAATTCCAAACGCATCCATATTCATGCCCCAATCCTGCCCTACTTCTACCTCTATTACACACGACTAATAAGTTAGCTCTCGTTCTTGACACGCCACCAACCGCGAAGTAATCTCTTTGTCCAATATAAAGAAGAAGACCTGGCAAAGGACGTAACTGAGCCACCACATGTGACGCACGTCCTCGCAGGACGAGCTTCACTGCTCCATTGTACCATTCAGAGCACGTTAAGCCCATCCACTTCCCCCCCCGCTAAACGTCGCAGGTGCCTTGGCACCGACCGCACCTAGGCTGCTGGAACAATGCTGAAATCAGGATACGCAAACTGCAAAAATAACCTCGCCCCCGGCTCCCACCCCATCCGGAAGACCCCTAGGCCCTCTGCCAATCCACATCATCCACATCCTTAGTATGCAGAACCCCCAAAGTGCGAGTGCCGCCCCATTATCTCTTTGGCCTGTGGGATGTGCAAAAAATAACCGGTTAGCGAAACTGCTTGCTGTTGGGTCCTTGGAGCAGCGCTTTTGTCAGAACAGCACTGAGGCGCAACAGGGCCCGCTGAAATGCGCGGCGGAAAACATGCAGCCATGCAGCCGGCCATATGTACCCTCTTTCCGCCTCGCCCCAAATCCAGAACCCCGTCCGCGGGACAACCCCTTTTGCATCACGATATCTCACGTCTCAACGTCATGTCAATTAGGAAAGCCCATCACCGCAACAATCAAGAAACTACCAGTGACATACGACATCCAACTTCCATGCACAACAAGACACACAAATTCTTGATGAAAAGCCCTTCCAGACATCGGAACTGCAAATGAAAAGTGCATAACACCCGTGTAGTTGTTCGCACAACCTACCGCCGGTGCGCCGGCGGGTTCGGATTAAATGGCCGATACCACGAGAAATGACCAATACGGGATTGAGCTGCAGGGAAAAGAACAAACGCCTTCTGTACCCATCGGACTACCGCCGAGGCACGCTGAGGACTTCAATTCTTCTCCCCAGGAAATTTGAAACCTGATCCCACCTGCCCCGCTGCCTAGCATCCACCTGGATCCTAGCGTCGATGTGCACCCCACCGCCCCGGCCAACGCAGCAGCAGGTGCGGGGGCTAATATACCCTGAACGGGCGAGTGTTGCCCGGTAGAACGTAAAAAAAGAGAAGAATGCACGTCACTGCACCCAAGGGTTTGCGTGGGTAAGGAGCAGCTAGTCCCGCAACAAAACGATTTGTGAACCAAAGAAACATTGCATCACACACAGTAAAAAAATTGTATACTAACGACGACTACACAGCACATCGACCAGTCGACCAGACATCCTAAGCGTCATTCAAACCGTTTCTGACTACCCCTTCCTCCGGGTGTCGCAATGCGACCCCACATGCATGTGGGCTAATTCTTCTACACTCATTAAGAGCCTGGACTCGTAAGCACTTGGACGTGAAGCATTCCACCACACCTAAAAGGAGCGAGATACGACGCTAATATGCCAAGGCCATGTAATACCCTGCCTGCGGATCACAACCATTCACTTCTAGCATCTTCCACAAAATTAAAACACCTGCACCACGTCCTCCCGGACAAAGCAATAATCCTAAAGCGACCAAGGAATCGCAGCTCACGGGATAAGCAACCCTTTTCGAATTCGGGTCTACTGCAGGTAGACCCAATATACACGGCGTCCGGACAGCATCATTATGACAGCAGATAACCCGGCTGATCGGTGATTTTCACCGTAATGTGCAGTAAGTGCTCTTCTTGAAAACATACAATTCAGGCACGAGCCCAACACATGTTTCGCGATTGCATTCGACACCTGTGTTCGACACCTTTGTTTCCGGGAGCGCTCCAGTGGGCTCCATCAGCACTCGACTGCCTACCCAGGTGGGGTCCTTGCGGTAATGTACATCCACGTGTTGCGTGCACTACCTCCGCGCACAGTGCCCTCGTAGAGGCCTCGCTTGGTGGATAGCGGGATGGGACGACGTGGCGGGAGGGTGACGACAGTAGGAGTGGCGGTGGCTGCGATGGCAGCACAGGGCGAGGCTTGCCAACAGGGCAGAGAAGGCCAGCCACCATCGCCCGCAGCCGCATGAGCAGCAGCAGCGAAAGTTAAAGAGCACCCGCCACCGCCAGTGTGCGCAGTCACACATGGCCCAGACGCCCGAGGCTGAGTTCCAGGACCGAATCGTACACCATGGGCGTCGACCTGGCTGCATCCAACGGTAGCGTGGTCTACCAGTGCATGCGCTGACACCCCCATGGAGGTCCCCATGGATAGTGTGAAGGCGGCCGTAGCAGCCGCAGTGACGGCGGGCGAGGAGGTTATGGAGGCCGCGCCAATGCGTACTTTGGGCCCCGGCTTGCCTTGAGAAGCCAACGTGTTGTGGAAGGCGGGTGAGGATAAGCCCTTGAGAAGGGCGTCTCCCCGGTCGCCAGCGGCTGCAGTCGCGGGTGGAAGGCGTGTATTGCATATGTGATGAACTGAGACCGAGTAATACTAGGTGAAGTATGGAGGTGGAGGGCATATGCAACAGGGGCATGGAAGGCGAGGGGGCTTGGATTCGCCTATGTGTGTATGCGTATGTATGTGTGTGCTACATGTGTTATAGCTTGCGTCGCGTTACCTACGATCCGGCGGCCCAAAGGCTAACCAATGGAACAGTACAAGGAAAAGCTTTGAAGAGCAAGTGCAGCATTGACCGCTTTGGGAACGGAGAGTAGGTAAGGGAATCTGCGTGGAGGAAATGAAACGCCGCTTTTGGAGAAACGTGGTTCATATGATGTGCAGGCTGCCGCGGCCAGGCTGCCGAAGGCCCGCCATCTTCGCTTGGCTCTTCCGTATCTCCTCACCATTTGTTTCGGGAAGAGGAAGCGAGCCAGCCGTAGTCAACACAGCCGTAGAGCCGTCGTAATCGGAAGTGGACACTGTGCCAGCCGGGCTGGACCATGTATTGAAGGTGGCAGGTCGGGGTCTTTCCACTTCGGACAGCGTGGGAGCGCCATCCCGACCAGCATTACCCCCAACCACTGTCAAAACAGAGATCGCTTCGAGTATTGATTCGTCCTTCGTGGTTGCCATGTGGCTCGGCTCCAGAGCCTTTGATCTTGAGGCTCGATGTGGCAACTTGATGAAGCGAAAGAAACGCAGAGTCAACCAAGACAGCTGAGCAAAGTCATTGTGCACAAGGCTAATATTCGGCTAGACAGTGCTAGATGATCGCAGGCTAGCCAAAATTCCTGCGCCCCAAAGAAAGCCAGCTCATCACTCCGGCGGCACATTAAGTAATTGGCATTAAATTGCATACCATAAAGTCGCCACCTCATATGACAAACACAGGAAATTGGAACGCGTGATGGAAATAAAATCGTGAACGTGACGTGACCACGCCAGCCGGTGCATCTTGCCTTCCAACACAAGACAAACAGACCTTGGTACGCATCAATGCCATCTGCCACGAACATACCATAAAAGCAGGCTGCACCCACGGTCACGTAATAAGAAATCCCGCCCTTGGACGCCACGAACCACGTACCTTTCACAATAATTCCATGTTGCAAAATGGCCAGTTCAGTTCAGCAGCGTCAGCTCTCGGAGAGAAAGCAGACACGAGACGAGCTTGCTAGTCGAAGCTCAACTACCACCCAGTTTTAGAAGCCTTAGATCAGGATCTAAGAGTGTGCAGTGTTTGTCATCACAATTCTAGCACGGCAAAAACAATATTTCGAGCCGGATAAGTTTGCGAAGGCACAGAAAATGCCCAGCGCAAAGCTGAGGCTTTTGACCTCGTTTGCAAACAGGGACAACAATCCACTTCAGGTCTTGTTGACGTCAATATGGGACACGCTTCGGGTCGACTCAACAACAGAGATTACCGTATGCCGTACATGTATGCATGCCGCATGTGTGCGCCTTGAAAGCACTGGTTTGCCGGACTCCATGTAATGGCGCGTTTTGATCTGCACGATGCAACAAATGCTTGCATGGGCTTGCACATATTGACCGTGGTGCACTTAAGTCCATCCCTTGGATGTTAATACGTAGATTATTTTCTTTTCCATGCTTGCATCGTGAGACCTCAGGCTCAGTGCTTAGCTTGTGATTATCGTAACATGGAGACCAGGTTCATGTAGGGTTGGGAGTCCGGGGGATACGATATGGAGCTGGGACATCGGGCATGGCGCGATGTAAATCGGCATTTGAAAATCAGAGGCAAACTGGATAATAAACCTTACAACCTATCAACTTGCCCGACTGGCGAGAGGACCGCAGGGTATGGCAGCCTGCCCGCCAAGTGGCCATGCAAGTCTCGCTCTCCACCCCTTGTCATTCAAGGGTTTGGGCTTCCGTCTTGCCAGGTTCCGAGAGAGCTGGCGCGGCTCGCTGCATGGCCTGTCTTGAGTAGGAACTGCAACAGGTTCGCCTGCCTGCCTCTCAACCAGCAGGTGTAGGACTAGCCAGAACTCAGCCCGGTCACAAGTGGTATTGCTGAAGATCGCATCGCATCCATTTCAATGAATCGGACGAAGGACTTGGCTTAGTCCACTCCTATGCGAAGTTCACGTCCATGGCCGCCGCGCAGAGGCCGGTGTAAGCCATGCGGAAATAGTGGGGTTCAGCAGCGTGGAACGGCTCATTTTAAGCCACCAAAGACGTATCGGAGGCAGCGGACAGTGCTGGCCAACGGCACCCAAGCGGCCGTCGGTCTAGCGAAGACCATAGGACGATGATAGGTTGATGGCCTCGGCTACCTCTTCATACAGCTTGCCTGCTTAACGAAGTAAACCAAGTGCGGCTGGTGCACGAGTGCATCTAACACAGCAATCTATGTACGTACGTTCATTGGACATTCAAGAGTCAAATTAGCCCACAGTGTTGTTTCCTGTTTGGCGCCTTACCCCAGGCCCCCAATTCCACACAGGGATTGCAGGCAGCAGGGTTGACGATAGTGCTCCGAACCAAGGAATCTAGTCCTGGTGCTCAAGAGGATCTTCTGGTTCTGACACCTGATGACACTGCCCGCTTGCTTGCTCGCTCGTCTGCCCAAATCGTCAAGCGAAACGGTTTCTAAGCTTCCACAAGATTAAAATTGAATTCCGTACTCCCCTCCATCATCCTTCCGTGGACTCCACCAGAAGCACACTGGGACTGGGAGTATGTGGGCTCACCGAAATTCAGTTACCCCTTTTGGACGCTAGTCTGGGCTGATGTGCGGTGTTTCCTTTTCTCCGTGGCTTTTAGGCGTTGTGGTATTGCCCTTGGGCCTTCGGCTCGTATGGGTAGTTTTACAGGTATGGGTCACGCACCCCCCAACCATGCAACACACACACACACACACACACACACACACACACACACACACACGCTGAGACATGTGTGTTCGCGAGGTTCAAAACCCTGCCGTCGACATTCCATTCTTGTGTCTTCTAACTTAAGCTACTCTGATCGGAGTTTGCCTTCGCGTTGCGCCGTTTTCTTAGGATGAGTGCCGTTCTTCAGCCAGCTGCACGGCTTAGCGTATCCGAACTTCACGAGGGTACGTTGTTCGGTACTTACCTCATCCCCGATCGGAAGTCTAACATTCAATCTTATCTTTGGGGCCATGATAATAGGTCCCTCACACTAAGCCCAAGGCAACCTCTACGAGCGATGCTACAATAAGCCGAAGTCTAAGATTTTCTCGACATCCTCGTCTTCATGTCATATTACCAACCTCCTCCGCTCCTCCCTCCTCCCGACGCCCCTTTCAGCACCGCTAGCATTATCGTAACTCTTACACCGCTAGGCTGTGTTGCGTGAGCCTTATCAGCTTAGTTTGTCAAGGTAATGTAGCGTACTACACCCGCACGCATGCAAGGACGAGAGCGCATGCATAAACAGATGCAGTACATACATATAAATACATGCACGCACACAAACGCACAGGAGCGGTGTCATAACACGAACGCACGAACTATTTCGTGGAAACAGTTGTTTTCCTTCGTTCAGTTATCTCTGATATTGCCTTCCTACCCGACTTCTGCTCTCGCCTGCCGCCTCCGTATTCGGCAACCCTTATTCCCTGTACATGTACCCAGAACATAACAAGAAATATAGCGGGAGCGCAATTACACATGCGCGCATGCACATGGGCTTTGCTAAGCAAACGGCCGAACGCCGTCATTTGAATGGACATTTACTGCTACGGGAAGTACGGCAATACATACGGTGTTCAGGTCATCTGTGTGCTGCCACACAGCAGCGCGCTGTCCTGCGCAACCCTTCCGCCTCCCTACCTACCTACCTACCTCCCTACCTACGGCTGCCGCTTGGGCTACTACCAGCCGCCCGCGCGCGCATCCACCGTTCGACCAACGCACCCTGTCCTGTTGGCCCCGTATATAACAGCGATGCCATGTCATTGTTATCGAGGGCTGAAGCTGGCAAACTTCCATACCCCAACGTTTCGCTGCCTGTCGCGTCATACGTGATCATACGTGATCATACGTCATACGTGACGCGAAAATGTCGTGACATGCCAAGCCTTACTATTCAGGAAAGCTGAATCATGGATAAAGGCAGAAACCTCCAGCATCTATGCAATAAACTGCCATCTATGCTGTAGCTGACTGAGTCATGAGGAAGGAGTGCTACGTGTCATGATGAGCGAGTCTTGCCGGCTACTTGACAAATACTACAAGTACAGTTCCTGGCTAGCTGGATGCTGTACAACCGCCTGCCAGCCTGTCTGTCTGCCATCACGTATTCCGTCATCTCGTCAAGTCCGTCCATCAGTTGATGGGTCAGATGCCGTCTTCCAGCCGGCCCTGACGCTCTCGCAATAGAAGACCCGGCGCTAGCTGCACCTCCCGGGAGATGGGATCGTCAGCTAACGGGCTGACGGCGGCGGATGAGGCACCGCCGTCAGCGCAAAAGGTGCCGCCGCCGTGCGCCGAGGAATCGTCCTTAAGATGGCGGGGAGCGGATGGGAAGCCGCTACTGCCGCCGCCGGGGTTGCTGATGCCGGCCTTTGCCTTCTCAACTGCCAGTGCGGGCGTACGGCTGCTGTCGGGGTCAACTTCCATATCATCATCACGGTAGAGAGGTTGAGTGGCGCGCCATGCCTGTGGTGAATTGGGTGTTAAACATGGTGGAGTGGTAGTATGATGTTGGAGAACGAGAGGATCGGGTATGGGCCCAGTGTTGGGAGGGAGGCAGGGTCAAAAGCGAGGGAGGGAGACAGGTGAGCGAGTCAGTGCATGTCCCGAGCGGCGCCATGTGGACTTTCTGAAGAGCGATAGGCGGCAGAGCGAAAGGCGGCGAATGGCTTCTGGGAATATGGCCGGAACAGGTTGGCGACGAGGATTGTGCGCATGGAAAACGTATGGGATTAGAACATCGGATGAGTTGTTCATCAAGTTAAATGGCTGGGTGGTGAGAGATACTTGCGCTTATGGCATTGTTTATCTACATCTTGGTGCGTGCGACGGTGTATTTGTGCGTGTGCACCTACCTTAGGGATAAAAAACAGTATGTCTAGCCCCGGCCAGAAGCGCTCGAACAGCGACACCGCCACGAACACCAACAGCGACACGACGGGAGAGATGAGGGAGTCAAGGCCGGTCCAGTCGCTCAGTGGCGCTGCGGGAGGGCAGCAGTCGGAGCGGCAGGAGATATTCAGCAAAACATGAGTGAGGTAGCGCACGAAGGTGGCTGGCTCCTGCTGCTGAGTAACGCTCCGAGTCATTGCGATTCCCTGGCAGGTTTTGGAGCTAGTGCAATTACCTGTGTGGCCTGCGACTTTGCGATCGGAAACCCGCTTCATTCCTGAGGGCTTTCCCCCGGCGAACACTTGAAGTAATAAGATAAATATAGAACATAATCCGGGGTGGCATTACCAACAATAAGGATGAATACACGCACATGTACACAAACGCAGCTCCTTCATAAAACCACCTATCCCCGCATAGCGCCCTCCCGTCCGCAGCTCCGCTTCCCGCCCGACGACAGCTGATAGGTATTTTACACTCTTGCGCTCATCAACCCAGCGGCGAGCCGACCCGGCATCGCTCTTTCCCACAGACACCATACCCACGTTGGTCACACGTGAGTGAGTCCGGATCCCAGACGCCCGCGAAGTCCTGTTGGTCGGGTGGGTCGATCTGCATGAAGGCCGGCAACCCAGCCAGCGCGCTGCCATACTGCAGGGCGTACTGCCCAAACGCGACCAGAGAGCCGTCCTTGGGCAATGTGAACTCCAGCACCAAGCGAACCAAGGAGCCGCTTACGCACGCCAGCAAGCCTGGGAAGCAATGGGGAAGGGGAGCATTGAGAGAATGGGAGAGTGAAGGGGGGAAGGGATAAGGAAGGAGGAATGCAGGTTTTTGGGGAGATGTGAGGTCTTGTGGGGATTGCGTGGGGGGTCCTGGGGGGAGGATTCTGGGTTTCAGGATTAGATCTATGCTTGGAAACGTCCCCTTATGGGCGGTCTAGGTGGTCCAACATGCGGCGGCGGATTAGATAGAGCAGCGAACAGGGTGTCGCACAAAGGAATAGTAAGGTCGGTCGGGTAAAGGACTGCCAGCGCGTGTTCCCAATCGCGCATACACCAGCTCCTGACACACGGCTCATCCAAACACACACATACATACATGCCGACAAAACGATATCCACATACGCACCATTCCAGAATCGGTGGCACGTGCTCGTCGCACCATTTAGGCCTCTGCATTCCACACGCCTTGCACTTCATACACGAGCAGCGGCACCCCATTACGCTGTATCACACTAAACATTACAAAGGACGGACAAAATTGCCGTACCGGCATTGGGGCTGGCCCGCGGGTAGTAGACAGCCGCCAGCAGCGGAACCAGTACCCCCGCAAACACGATATCAAAGGCCACCACCAGCAGGTAGGCGGGGTTGTATGCCCAGGCGGCCACACAGCAAGACATCACGGTCATAGGCACGTGGAAGATGCGCGCCACCCACAAGAGGTTAGCTTCGCTGGTGCCGTATTTTGGAACCTGTCGTGCAATGCGGCATATGTGCGATAAATTGATTTTCAGGCGCCTGGCTGGGTCGGTGGGCTTGTGGGCGGAGCTAAGGATGCGACGGCAGGAGGCAAGTTGTAGGGCCAACAGTTACGTGTATGTATGTGTGCGTTGTGGCGGGTGAAGAGAAAGGTAGATAGACAGACAGACAGTCAGACAGACAGACAGACAGACAGACAGGCGAACTCCCATGTCTGATTGAGAGTGGGACGTTACACTTCCTGCCAGAGCTGGATGGGCTCAGGATGGGCGCTTCTTGCAGCTACGGAACCGGCCAACAATCACACACCCATGCACAGGGCTTTCCCAAGCCCTCACCTTGCGCCAGATATTGTGCGCCATGACGGTGGAGGTAGCCAGGATAGCGCCATCAGCTGTGGACTGCAGGGGAGAGGGAGTGCGCGGGAACCGGCAACCGAAAGCGGGGAACAACGTGGCTTGCAGAGACATGGGAGGAATAAGTGAGGCAGCGGGTTACGCGGGGCCGGCGACCACGCTGCCTTACGGCTCCTCTTGAGCTGACGAAATTTACTTTGGGGGCGGTCCTGCGGACGCCGCAAATAGTTCGCTGTGGTTGAATCGGAAAAGCGTCGCGACCCCCTCGGGTCCTATTACTGCTCTCACTTTCCGCTGCTTGTATGATGTGTGAAACAGGGGGGTGTATCTTCGCCCGTGGCAGCTACCCTGCGAAACCCTGCCTTCCCCGGTATTTCGGGGCACCCTCATCCAGTCACCCTAGTCAACTTCTCAATGGATCGCTCAGGTTCCGCACCCACCACCAGCATCCAACGGAATCTGCCGGGTCGACAGCGGCCCAACTCCATTCCTGATCGGCTCGCGGGTTAACTTTATCCCAGGTCACCACCGTCCATCAACTAGGGGCACAATGCCTTCCACCATCGGAAGGACTTTTAAGCCTGACGGGTATCGATCCCGGGATCTCCCGGAGGCAATGGTCGCGCCTTACCAGTAGTGCCAAACCTTATATACGTATGTACGTAAGTGTCGGTCACATTCCAACACCCTGCACATTGTTGACCCGCTCCCGCCGCCTTTCTCGTTCCATTTGGTTTTTTTGGGCGGGGCCCCAGCGCGAAGCGCCCAGGGGGGCCCCGACCTGTAGGATTGCCCATGTCCATGTGTGTGTGTGTGTGTGTGTGTGGTAAATGACATGCCCTAGCAAACAACATTTTAGAGAATTCTTCGTGAGCGCTTAACATGGAGCTCTGACAGCGCCGTCTGGCACTTCGACTGTGTAGTACGTTCAACAATTGCGGGCATTCGCACCTTGCCGTACATACATATCGCACGTGTACACATGTATATGTACACTTAAAGCCGTCCATCCAGCCAATATGTGCCCACAGGCTCTTTGCGTAGCTTCCCCGCCCTCCCTCACCATTGAGGCAGTTACGATGGCCACCATGGTCCATGCTCCAAGTGCCTTGGGAGCCTGGGGCGCAGCGCATGCCGTACACCGACGTAGCCAACTTCGCAATTTAAAGTGAATTTTTGGTGTTCTACTGTTATGGGCCATACCGGCTTGCGGTGCTTGGCTAGTGACTTGCACACACGGAGGCTACGGACGTACATGCAGACGAACAACCACCGCGCATCTTGAAAAGCAGCAAGCAAAAGATGAAAGAAGCCGCAGATGACAGCTGCGCTAGCCATTAAAACGGCAATGCAATAATACGTTGGCAATGACTACCAGGTGCACTAATTGAACTCTCGAATCGGTCATGTAATCCCCAGCCCAGATGAGATGTTAAAATCCGCCACCCTGGTTTGTGCCCCCCCCCCGGCATCCCGTCCATCCCCGGAAGGGATTACTCACATGCTGCCACAGTAGCCTAAACAGGACATCCTGCCCCACCGGCAGCCACTCGGCACAGCTGGACAGCCCGAGAGGGGCGCTGCACGTGTCGGCCGCGAACTCAGCGTACTGCGACGGTCAGCAAGGAAAAGGTCGTTATTTAAGGGGGGCATGCCACTCGGTCGATTACGCGGTCGATGGAGAGGACGATGGTCCGCTGACGGCCGGCCGCTGACGGCCCGTGGCCACAAAATATCTGAGCGTCCGATACCATGCACCCGAGTGTGCTTGTGTGCGTACGACAGCGTGTAGGGAGCTGGCCGGGCAGCGCACAGCCTTCGTGGTACGGCACGCAAGTAAGGGATAGGCAAGTCTTATCAGCCTTCAGATTTAAGCCGCCGAACGAGTATAACCCTGCAGCAAACCATGTGCGTTTTGTTGTGTACGACAACGTACGTAAGGGGCGGTAAGACGCAAGGTGCGGTGTTTTACGTGCACCCATCGACCCACCCGTGGTTATGCCGCCCTGCGACTCCCTGCTACCCCGATATTCTCCTCGCCAACCGCCCACTGCCAGTCACCACGGCAACCACCACAACCTACCTGCGAATCCGGACCGTAGTGTTTGCGAGCCAGCCCCGACAGCAGCCCGAACGGCACCCCGATGCAGACGAGCAGTATGCCCGAAATGAAGCAGGAGGTACGTGCCACGTTCGGGGTCTTGGAGGCCATGCAACGAGCCTATAGGTGGGGTTGCGTGCCCGTGTGGGTGTGTTGATTCAGAGGTCACCATTGAACCACCAGGGTAAACAGAGGCCCTGCCGAGGCAAGCTACGTGTGGGTGCGTGTGGTTGGAAAGGACGAGATGGAGGGTAGGGGGAAGGGTTTTTCGGGTCGAAAGGAGGGCTGACGACAGGGCCTGAGTCGGACTGGAAAGGGCAGGTAAAATCTGGGAGGCAGGAGCGACAAGAGTTGGATCTAACAAGGTCGCATGTGGGTCAAATATTGGGGGAGCACCTGGGAGCCCTCACAGTCCGCCAGCTCCTACAGCGGTATAAAATCCTTCCTCAAGAGGGCCAGGGCACTGATCGCACACGGACGGCTATATATGCAGAGGCCTGCCTGCCTGCTTGCCTGCCTGCTTGCCTAAACAAGCTTCTACCTGGAAATCCAGCGCGCAGAGGTTCCCCAGTCCCAGCACGAAGATGGTGGCCCAATTGATGAGGATCGCGTTCGGGAAGGGCGCGTAGGCGTTGGGATCAGTCATGCCATTGTCATAAACCTGCGAGTTTTAAGCAAAAAGAGACAGCCATAGTTCATCTTTTCCATGACGAAGGAAATGCGTGCGCATTGTCGCCGCGTTTACAAGCAAAGCACTAGGTGCGCAACCTAACCCAGCCGCCTGCACAGTAGTATGGCTAATCCGTGGTGGCGGTTCAGACTCTCAACCCCCGCAGTCACCAAGGGTCAACCCCCAACACCCACCAACTTATCGCCCTGCGGGTAGGCGTAGTTGTCGCAGGTGGAAGCCCCGGTTACTGGGTCGCTGCAGTTCAGGGGGCCGCTGTAGCCGGGGGTGGTGGCCTGTAGAGCGCGCCAAACACCCGAAGGGTTAAGGGGTCACGCAAGCCACGGCAAGGAGGATGGCCATGTTGGATTAGTACGCCGTAATGGGTACGCTTGGGTGGACGAGGATTGTGTAGCAGAGTATGGCAGGGTATGTGCGCATAGCCTTTCAGCCCCAGCCCCTGCCCCGGGCCCAGCCCCAGCCTTACAGTTATGTTTCCTAGGTCCAGAGCAAAGCCCAGGCTGGGCGGCGCAGCCTGTGGACCGGACTCGTGAGTCATCATGTAGATGACGGTGGCGGTGAAGGCCGTGAATCCGCCGATCACCTGGGGCAGCATGCAGCATTGGAGAACGCGGGATGGAGTGTCCATGCACATGCAGAGCAGACGAAAAGACGATGCTTCCTCCTAGCACCAGACGAAATCCAAAAACGAGGCTCAGCTCATCACAACACACACAACATACAGATGACGAGGCAGTAACACGCGCACACCTGCGGCAGGTCGGTGAGGGCAACGGAGAAGAGGCCGCCACTGGCTGAGTAGATTCCCAGAACGGTGCCGGCAATGGCAATGCTGCCACCCTTGGGCAGGCCGAAGCAGAACTGGAGCACCAGAGATATCCCCACCAGGTTGCCTGATCAAGGTACACACACAGTTCACGTGCGCCAGGGAGGGTAGGCAGCTTAGTCAATCCAGGCTGAGGTTATGCGTATCGCAGATGGTCGCAAGTACTTCGGTAGTTCATCAGCCGGGCCGGGCCGGGAGGAGGAGGAGGCCCGAGTCAGCGGCAGGGAGGGGTTATTACGTTCTTGGGAGATTGGGCGATGTTGACAGGCTGTCCCGGACGTGTGACATGCAAGCATGTAAGTGTGCAGGGTATAGATAGCTGCCCGAGGGGAATGAGCGGATGGTGCCGGCAGTTCCAGCGGCTGTCCTGCTCAAACCCAATCCTCACCCTAGGATGGGGCAGATGGAGCTGGGGCGTGGGGCTTGCGTAGCATTGCGTGCTGCTCTCCCGACGGGAAGATGACAGAGAGGACCGCTAATGGAGATCACGCGGACACGGGATTGCACCACCCTGACATGATCTTCCCTCCCCCGCGCCCTTGCCAATTAGAACAAATGATCAATTCGTGGTCCCAGCACTCCCCTCTGCTATCCCCTTCTTCGCCACTCTTGCTCACCTGCCAGCAAGAACGTGAACGAGGTAATCTCAATGCACGACACAATGACCTGGTGGAAATGTACGGCATAGCTGTTGTACAATTACATCAACAGCGCCTTGAAGAGGTTGCATCAGGAGGTCAGAACGATAGTGAAAGAATCTCGGAGGAGGTAGAGCTTAATGCAGGTCTGCGGTTGTGACCCTTGCTAGGCTTCATCACCATCTTCCGGTTTGAGCGTGTGGCACTGGTGCAGACCACGGACCGCACGCCGACCCTAGGGAATATAGCTCCGGTGTCAGAAGCCGCGGAGGCGAGGACATCACCAGCCGCCCATTGAATACGCCAAGAAGGCATGCGGTCCGATGCCGCAATGTAATGACTAGGAATGCGAGGTATACAAGCGTAGAGCCCAGCCTACGGCCCCTGGCTGTGTTTGAACGATCGCACAAGAATGCAAACATAGGACAGGCAGCAGCCTGCTGTCCTACAGTCGCACCTCCATAAGGCCGCCGTACTTCCTCCCGAACAGCTCCGGCAATGTCAGCAGCCGCATCCGATTGATGGGGGCTGCCAGCAGCAGACCGTTCTGCAGCGAACGGAGTGAGGATTGAGGACGCCCTTGTTATGACGTTGGTGGCCTACGTAATCACATGCCCACCCATGCAACCCCTGCCGCTCATGCAGCAGCGCCTTCAAGTCCGTTGGCGCTGTGACGCACATGGGCTTCCTATCTGTTCCCGTACATACATACATACATACATACCCACCCACCAGTACGAGCGAGATGCCGAGCCCCAGGGGAAGCACTGCGCCGTCTGTGGAGCACGGGGTTTCAGGGCGGGCGGGCAGGCGGGTGTGCGGAGCATGTGCGCCGGGTGTCGGATTGCTTGGGCTGTGGTCGAGCTATGCGCATCTTCAGAGCCAGATAGATGCATGTATGCACATGTACATGTACACGTACATGTAGATAAACAGGTTCAAATAACCCATTCAGAAAAGATGAAAGAGATCGCTACGGCCGGCAAGGAGCGACCGACGTCGTCCACAAATATGGTGATGCTAGGCCCTACATACATACATACCCACCACGGACGATTACGCCTGCCTGACGTACTTACCCCAGAAGGCAAACTTGTAAGAGTTGACGACGTTACCTACAAAGCAACATGTCCGTGATGAGCAGGCCATTCCTGGGCGTTGACATCGAGTGTAGTGCAATGGGGGGCCCAGCCCTCCCAGTCCCCACCCTGCCGGTAGGGTGGGTCCACCCATGCACCCATGCACCCGTGCATCCATGCAAGGGATCCTCCCCCATTCCGCCCTTTCACCTAATTCCTCCCTTGCTTGCAACCTGTCTATCTGATCTCCAGTGGGAACACTGAAGATTGTCTGGTAGCCCTGTCCTGGTCCCTAACGAATGCATCGGGGAAGCAAACCACGCATGTATATCCACACCTGTCGGACGCCACTTATTACCAAGCGCATATACGCACCCATACTGCTGCTGCAGCGCTGCAGCGGCTGCTGACGGTAATACATACATTGAAGGTTCGCAAACGCCGTGCGCATCCGCCAAGACTAAGACTGCAAACGTATGGCGGGGCAGCGCCCACCTCTCCACCCGCCCGCCAGGCACTAAAAATCCCAGCTCGGCTCCTCGTCCTTCTCCTTTTCCTCATCCTTCTGCTTCTTCTCCTCCTTCTCACAGAAATATATCCCTCTATCACTTACGTCCCCTCACGCGTACTACCCTCATCTCACATCCTAGCTAGCCAGGTCGAACAGATGTACATACATACATACATACATACATACATACATACATACATACATACTCTCATCTACACACATACATACATACTATCATCTCTTAGCCTTTCTCCCTTGGAGGTTTTTTTGTTGGCTTGTAAGGTGTATCAGGAGCCCTCCCCTGCCGGGACTGCCCTAACCGTATTTTTATTTCCTGTTTTTTGGGCGGGGCCCCAGCGCGAAGCGCCCAGGGGGGCCCCGACCTGTAGGATTGCCCATGTCCGTGTGTGTGTGCGTGTGTGCGTGTGTGTGTAACGGACCAAACATAATATCTTGCCCGGCTGAAACGCGTTATAGGTACTATATATCATTCTCTATCGCATGGTATCTCGCCTGTAGCCAACAAAAATCGTATGAGCACAAACAACTTTGGCTGCCTCAATTGACCGAGGCCAAAGTCACATCAACGCCTCTCGGGCTAAATTTAATCTCAAAAGGTACCGCGTATCTCATATTTGAATTCCTAGATGACGGCGTATGATAACTCAAACTCCCAGGTCTTGAGTGTGTAACCGACCAAACATAATATTTCACCCGGCTGAAACGCGTTATCGGTACAATATATCATTCTCTATTGCAAGGTATCTCGCATGTAGCTAACAAAGATCGTATGAGCACAAACAACTTTGGCTGCCTCCATTGACCGAGCTCATAGTCACATCAACGCCTCTCGGGCTAAATTTCATCTCAAAAAGGTGCCGTTTATCTCATCATTAATTTCCGAGATGACAGCGTATGATAACTTGAACATCCAGCTTGTGTTACCATTTGCCCGCACGGGCATTCCGACTTGCCACCAGCAGGCCGACAAATTTGCTTACATTTCTCTATAAAATACGCAAGCTGCTCATTTGTACATTTACTTTAGCCAATGCTCGGGGCCTCCGGAGACTTGCGGTGTGCCCCGATGAAGCCCGCGGCTGTGGGGCGGATTGCTGAGGCCGCTGGCGCTTCGGGGATAAACATCACAGACAGCATCGAAATTCACCCAGCTTTCGTTACCATTTGCCCGCACGGGCATTCCAACTTGCGGTCTGCCGCACTGTCCATGCGGCATGCACCCGGGATGGATGCGATTCGCGTGGAGCCCGCAGGCGGTAATGACGATTCCGCCGGTGCAAGCTTAGCTCTCACACCATCAGCACTGCTGCAACAAAGCACATCTCCCACCGCGTTGACACGACCCATCAATTGTCACACGTGCCGCGCTAGCTACCGGCCTGTGCGGATGCAGGGGGGCCCGCCCTTTTTCCGGCTTCGAGGAAGCCGACACCCGACTTGTTCCCTTGGAATCCCGTTTTCGTTGGTGGTGTTTTGGGGGGTTGTTTCAGAGAGCCTTTGACTTTGCCCTAGCTAAGACTTGTGGGCTCGCTCTAGCGGGACCTGAGAGCCCTCCGTGGTGTTTTCACTGCAGCGCCATCCCCGGATGGAGGGGCTGCGGAGTGGCTGCGTAGAGTGTTTGCAGTCTGAGTCAGGGTCGGGAGCACACAAGACTAATCGACTTGTGCTGTGTGCTCCCGACCCTTGCGCTGTGTTTCGGCTTCGGCCCCCGGCTCTCGCGGCCCACAGTGTAATCTAAGTCATGCATACATACATACATACATACATACATACATACGTTCTTTCTGGCGCAAACAGCTGCAGCCCGAGCAGCCCGCAAACAATCCGCAGAACTGGCCCAGCGAACTAAGGACCAGAAGCGGCTGATCCATAAAACGTCTGCAGCGGAGAGACGCAGCGAGCTTATCCAGTCTGCCCGTAAGCAGAAGGCGAAAGGTGCCGAAGCCACCCAGGGGACCCAGGCCTCGGGGAGGGAGCTGGGGACTGCTGCTGCGGAGGGGGACGACACGATTATGGAGGCGGAATCAATGGGCTCCCCATCCCAGAGCCTAATCTTACACCTCCCCACCGCCTCCCAACCTGGTTTTAAAGACCAGCCCACTGCCACCCCCACCCAACTCTGTTGATGGAAGCGACGACCACAATCAAGCGCCAACAGGGCGCAATGCAGGGACGGCCACTTCGTATTGCAACACAGAACATGCAGGGTCTGCTGGCCAAACACAAGGACAAGATTCATGCAGCGGCCAAACAGTGGATAGAGATGGGGCTGGATGTGATCTGCCTGCAGGAAACCCACCACACCAATGCCCACCACCAATCCCTGTTTGAACGCGAGCTAAGCATGGCAGCTGCAACAGCCCACAGCCGGGGCTGGCGAGTAGTGGCCAGCTCGTGGTCTAACTCCATCCACACGGGGGGCGTCCTTACCCTCGTCCGACAAGGCCTAACAGCTACCGTGGAGACCAAGCCTAATAAGCCGAGTGTACAGGGTCGGCTGACGAGCTGCCTGCTTCG